CGTCCAGCTGGATGATTTTCACATTGGAGTGCTTTGCAGCCCAGTCCTTCAAGTCAGTAGCAGCGGTTGGGTCTCTGGCAGTGGCCACAACGGTGTTCTTTCCGTCAGAACTCAATTCCTTGACTAGTGAGAGACCGATGCCCCTGTTACCGCCAGCAACGAGATAAGATTTAGATGACATGAGAAGATGGGAAGTGTAGTGTGTTTTTAAGCGATAGTTTCAAAACTTGCTTACTTTGGGAGGAATAGTCGACTGCTTGACTTTCGAAGGAGCATCAAAACGCCCTTTTATATACCTCTCATTGAGCTCAGGTTTCGCAACCATTTGTCATCGTTAGCTTTGAGGTGGCTTCTTGTGCTAAGACTTGGAGAGTGTTTGAGCTGTGTAAGCCTACTACATTAATAATCGGAAGTAACTAAATCATCAACATCTCGCGCTGCGCCAAGACAAAGTATGTGAGTGTTCAACATTCTGGAGAATTCTCTGAAATAGCACGCTCATCATTGAAGTCGTTCAGGAGTGATTATGCTTTGATTTTTAGAAGTCTTGGCAGTCGTATATTTCACATCTCTACAGTTTATTAGATGCAACTATGATGAAGTTACAACGTTAGATACCCTAGTATACATCCAATTGCAGGAAATGTACCTATGAGTAAGGAAATCAGAGATTCTTGGTATGAAATCGAGTATCTTGATCGAGGCTGATGTTGCGAAACGAAAGTTGATTTTTCGATGCCTCCACACCGTCTTTCTTTTCCGCTAGTTTGCAAAGAACTGCTAGCTTTCTGGCTAAAGTAGCACATTCGACAATCAGTAAGACAGATAGGTTCACGTTAAAATGAAACCTTGTTTTACCAGAATGTGAGAAAACTTGATACAAGACGATGAATCCATGTCAAGCAACTATGCTGCCATAACTAACGCATTTTAACTAGTATTCACTGCCCAGAATTTCTTCTACTTCCACCGGCAACTGACGAAATTCTTTTGAGCTCTATTAGAGGTGATAATAATCTTTTGAACACACAGGCTTCTTTGCGATATTCGAAAGCATCGACATTGACGGTTGAAACTTTATGCGCTACAAAATTGTTTTAGTAAAGCTGCCCAGTGACCTTACCGAATAGCTCGAAATTGGCATAGAGGCCGTCGATCTCAGTGAAAATATCGATGGATATAAGAACCTCTTCCCATTCGCAGAGAACCCACCTTGTCTAGGCAGCAGGTTTTCGAATTGTCCGAAGTAGTGGAAATCCTGTACTTTTATGTCAGCTTAATAGAGTAGTGCTGAGCTCGAGAAAAGTTTGTACCGTGCTACTTTTAAAGAGCGCTACGACGTCAGTATGTTTTCTTTCACAGACCAGGAAATCATTTCCAGCACCGTTGCTGTCATGATGGCTATCATAAACGCTGCTTAAAAAAGACGTGATGAGAAATTGTCTTACTGCATAGTACGGTTTGCATTTTTTGAAACAGTGTCCAACTCAGCATGATTTTTGCTGGAGAACAAAATTAACCGCCGATTCATTCACACCTATCATTTTCGGAGCTCTTTTCATCATTGTTCTGAAAGATGAGGCAAGATTTCTGGCTTTCCTAATGAAAGGTTTCCGCATTTCCGATCGAACTAATGTGGTGGGTGCTAAATGATCAGCTATTGGTGTATAGACTCTCGTGAAACGTAGTTGATCTTTTGATATCATTTTCATTTTAGATGATCGTACTACACTTAGAACGAGCCCTAGACATTGGAGGTTTTGTTCATCATATTACACATATCTAGTGAAATATTTCAAAAGGATGAACATGAAAGCTGAAGCGTCTTCGACTTAATTTCGACATGTAGTTAACCGAGTCCAGATATTAAATTATATGCTCTGGAGTAAGTGAGTTTAACTGTCCTTAGTTGTATAGCTTATCGACTTGCAAGCTCTGCCGCCTCTCAGACGTCAGCTAGTGTCATCCCCATCTAACAAAAAAAATAGTTACCTAGAAACTAGATTAACATCTGTGTTGATTTAAAGCTTTTCACGAATTAATTGAAATACATAAAATGTCAACTGGATATGTGCCTTTCTAAATATTTTAATAAGCTGGAAACACGGCAAGACCCTGTGCACTGGAGCCAGCCATCGAGCCGAGGTTGAAAGATTGGATGATAGAGCTATTCTTCCATTCACCGACTGATAACACAGCAATCTCAGCACTGCTGTTTTCTTGAGTACCTGGAGACAAAGCGTAAACAAAGTTGCCGGCAGCGGTCAAATCAGTGTATCCTGTGGCATCATTCGAACTAGTTGTATTAACAACAGAGATCACAGAAGCATCCACCAAACTCAATTCAACAATATGGTTGACTAAAGGATCGGTAACAAAAGCAGAGTTGGAAGCTGGCGATATGGCTGCCCAGCAGGTGGCCATTTGGTTAGGAACGGCTTGTTTGTGGAGCAATAGAGATGAATCGGTTTTCTCATCGACAGAAACGATTGCAACACCATATGCAGGGTCAGCTACAAAATATCTGTTGGATTGCGCAATCTGTTCGAATCCGAATAAGGCAACAGTACCATTCAAAGTACTCTCGATGCTAGCAGCGGATACCTTGGCCTCGCCAGTTAAACACGAACCACCAACAGTGAAAGCGGCGAGGAACCCTGTCTTGTTTGCAGCCGGGTTTCCCTTGACGGTCACAAGAAGCTGGGACTCATCCTCAGAGAAGCGAACCTGTCCGACAGTGTCAAGAGGGCCAGCTGGGACTGGTTCTTGATCCAGATCAAAAGATCTCAAAAAGTCCATTTTGCCGATTCCGACGAATGGAGAGTAAGGCGCACATGCAACACCACCTGTAGAGCCACTCGTACCCACACAAACCAAGTTATTCAACTCAGAAGCACTAACAGTCACTGGGAAATCGCCAGGAACGCTGGCTGGCATGCCCAACAGCGTGATGTTGGTGGGGTCTTCGGGATTGATGTTGAACATGGACACAGTGTTGTCGCCTGCGTTGACTGCGAAAAGGCTGTGGCCAGCCACGGCGACTGCACCCTGACTGCTGAGCCCGTCTGGACTAGCTGTCATATTGGTAGCGGCACTGAGCATGCTCGCACCAGTACCGTTAGTGTACGTCATGATACCTTCACTCAATGTACCATTGGCGTGAATTTTCACAGAGACGATAGCGTTTTCTTTTTCGTTTGTTTGGAAGTACAAAGCTTGGCCATTACTTGCCCAGCCAGGAGCAGTTTCCTGCTGGGCATATGCTGGCAATGCCTGCGTGACATGGGCCAGTCCAAGGCCAAAAGTTAAAGCTAATTTTAAGTTGTTGAGCATTCTTTGTTCGTTTGATGCTTACTGGTTTTCTCTAAAACTTAAAACTGGAGAACAAATCATTAAGTGGCAAGTACATATACGCCAAAATCTGGCACGATGCATGAGATCTAAGCCTTGTCAGGTTACTAATACTTCCAACACAATAACTATCTGGCTACATGAGCGCTACATCTTATCTTCAACTACTCGAGAGGTCCAGGCATGTTGGCGCTAGCTGCCGTTCTTGGCTAAGCCAACTATACTTACAAATTATTGATTACGTTCGTGCGTATTTCAGCGCATAGGCCTACAATAGCTCGCGATTAAATTCATCAAGGTGTGGGCATTTGGGTATACGTTCGAGTGAGTGCGTTCGTATGTTTTCGGTTTGCCAAGAACTTGTGCTTTGTTGAGACAACGTGTAGTACGGATTAGTAAGTAGTCTTTATGGGCCGCACATCTGGCTGAGTAAGTCGTTCAGAGCGATTTTTAATAAGTTCGAAAACGTTTCCGTTCAGTGAAAATGCCAAGAGGTTAAAGATGAAGGTCTGAGTACGCATCGATGTCGTGTTTTTATTATTGCAATAGAGTTTGAAATCGCTGTAAGTCTCCTGCACGTCGTTCCTCTGCAACCGCTGAGTATCAATTGACGTCGTGAAGAATTGCGCATCAAGTGATCTTATCCACGATTATGAAACCTGAACCCTGAACAATTGCCTGGCTTATTAGGAGCATCTTCGCCATTCGTTGGCACATAATGAAGAGAGATTGAAGACAAGAGAGAACATCGTGATGTAGACCATGCACCAGAGATGGGTCGTTTTGGTGATAAGTTACATGACAGTGTATCCAAGTGATTGTTGCTGGGAATGCAACAAATTGGTATAGTGTCGGCAATTTAAGGGATCCCCAATTTCAAGGCTGAGCATCTCGTTGACGTCACACTAGATTATTTGTTACCAAATTCGACGACTCTGACGTTCACAAACTACAAAGACTGAATGGATTAAGCCTCAGTTACTAATTGTTCGTACCAATGGCAATGATTTTTCTGCTCTTTCTCAAGAATAACTTGCACAACTTACCTCTCTTTCATTGACTGTTTATTACTAATACTTCTTGGAGTTTGGCAAGGATCACGTACTGAAAGCAACTCTGACACTGGCGATCGTATCTCTAACCAGGTTTGCACCTTGGGTTAGTCTCTCATTCATCAACGTGGCCGTATGCGGAACCCTTTTTATAAATAGTGATCTTGCTATCGATTCCGTAGGCTTTTTAATTTGTCGTTATAATCTTTCTGTACAGACCTCAAGACATCACATTCTGCTGCTGCTATGAATAAAGGAGGAAAGTTCTTGAAACTGGCTTCTGGGTAAAACAAAGGACTTGATTCAGGATTCCTTAACATTTCCCCTGCGTCAGGAAGATACATCTTCCTGTACCAAAGCATTTTCGTTGCAGGAATTTTGGAGTCTTTTCATTTTCCTTCCACGAAGGCTGTGTCTCATTATCTGCTGTGTTATCAGTAACGGGAACGACCATAATCTGAAACTTAAGTGGCAGCAACCTTTTTGATAGCGGCGTGGATGCGTGTCTAGCTCGTGAAGACAAAGCAAAGTTTCATTTTGCAAGACCTCCAGAGGTCTCGATGTTATTTATCCAGCATCTCGGCAATTGGTCTGCTTAGAATGAAGCATTTGATCTATTAGCCGTCTTGTCGCCTTGTTGTTTGTAAAACTCATCTCAAATCAATGGCACTGCCGCTGCCACTACATTTGGAGCTACCCAACAAACTTCGACTTCAGGAAGACATAGTACATTTGCTAAGCAATTCACACGCTGAGATAGACGATGGCTTGCTTCATTCCTGATGGCTCCCTGATCACAGCACTCATCCGGCCTGCTGCTCACATCAGAAAAACATTTATATATAAACATAGAGATTACCGATCCTTATGGTCTTAAGGGGCAGTTTTACTTCTACCCATCCCCTCTTCAACGACTTCTCTTAAAATACCAAAACGCAAGCTGTATACTAAATTTACTTGAAAGATACCAAGAGTCACGGCATCGCCCAGGTACACTTTTAAGTTAGTGAGGCTCGGAAAGGAAAAGAGGAGCATTATAGTGCATCTTTTGGTAATCCCAGTAGAAAGTTAGTTCAGTTTGATTGCTTGATTGCTCCACTTTACAGTCTTGCAGGAAATTGGTTTTCTGCAACTGCTTTTCGGCGTAGTCTAAAAAGTCTGACAGCTTGCACGATAAACCAGGTCCAGTTGAGCACTGCTCAAGTGGAATCACGGCGTCATTAACAACGTATCTCACATATGATTCATTTCCACATTGATACAGCTGCGTGTAGATCCTAGCACCCAGAGGAACCATCCATGATCTATGGTATGAGGATTGTCTGAATGGAATGTGGTCGGCTGGTAGCTTCAAGCCGTCATCAAACAAACCAATCGCAGTAAGATAGTTAATAAGGTTTGTGTCATGGGTAAAACTTAGCCAAACCTTGTTGTCTAGATATTCGCTCTGTTTTAGTAACTCGATAGATGAATTGAATGGAACAGACCCTACGTCTGCGCTCAACGAGTTGCCCGCTCCCTCCCCGTAGTAACTAATGAGGTCTAGGTTGTAGGAGTAATAAACAAGTTCTTCCCGGGTGAAAATTTCGCACATTGGGCTGTAACCCCGAGTATCGATCTCATACGCGCACCAGCTGAACATGTTGGTCACATCGCTTGTGGTCAAATTCAATCCGGGATTTTCAAGTAGCAAACGCCTACTGATTCCGGAAAGATAATCCTTAGGAAATTTGGCATATATCGCAGCGTGTTCTGTTTCATTGTAGTCCTTGCAAGAGTTATACGGAGTCAAAGTATTGGCACCTGAACTTGCTTCCTCAGAAATGACTTGCATACTGATATTGAGCTTATTGCTTAGAGCCTGGCCAAAGTACAAAGCTGTATCGTGAACCCTCTTGGAGTTTGAAGTGAAGATTGGGAGAGTGGTGGTATTTTCTAGAAGGTCCCCATAATGATACATGAACTCACGAGCATGTCTTTGAGCATCTTGTTGGCCCGAGTAAGGGTCTATGGGGTCAATTACGTTCTTCAGGGTGGTCAATTCTTCAAATTGGGTTGGATCTTCCAAGAAAAAGCAGTAGTCGTCGTTAATGAACGACAATGAACCTGTGGAATTGAGGTGCGCATTTTTCAATTTTCCGTAGGTACTTTTGATCAGTTGAGCCGTGCTGTTTGTGGGATACCTCTCCCCATGCCTCGCAAATAGTTGGATTTGTTTCATGGAACATTTGTCTGGCGCTTCAACCGAGACTCCTGAGTTCATAGGGTATGAAAAGTACGGAGCAGAACCACCAAAAAAGGGAAAGAGGTCATTTTGGGTACCGATAATGGTAATGTCGGTGAACTTTTCGTTCTTAGAAACTGGTATCGCATATGCAACGCAATTGCAAAATGCGCATAGCAGTGCAAAATATATCATCAGGAGTGCAAAAGCTCTTGTGGATTGAATGGCACTTGAAATAAAGTGCAATTGTCGGCTCTGGCTGTCTATATCAAAATAGGAACTTTTTTATATACTGTCCTTCTACCTCGAAGGCGAAGAGCAGATAAGAAGTGTGCATCCTCAATATTGTAAACTTAGACCACTCTATCTTTCTTGAGCCTGGTATCAGTTCATTTGAAAGTGCGCAAGATAGTCGGCTCGCGTCGGTGACATATCGGATGGAAGAGTTTACCAATAGCTACTACCGTCGGACATAAGAGAGAATTGCGCCTTTACAGCAAGTCGTCGATGAAGCCCAGTTGTTTGAATGAAAGATATGAGAGAGTGCAGACGTTGATATCGTTTGATGGCCTGCTATGGAACATCGCCAATGAATGTAATGATAGGATGAGAATGTAAAAGCCAATCTCTTCCCCAGTAATGGAACCACGACAGATCTCCGCTGACCACTGAATATCCGTCGGACCTAATATTTAAGTCCGGATCTTCATCGTCTTCTATCTTTATACCCAAACATAGTATCGTTCTTATGCCAACAATCTAATCGATCAATTTAAGCTTAAACGTACCTGGTGAGCAATACGGTTCGAAGCGGCTCGCTGATGATCTTCTCGAGCAACTGGCGCTCACAGCGAGGTCCTTATCCTAACGAGAATATGTGGTGAGTGCTGTCACCTAAATGTTGGCAACACAATGCTTGGCTAGTTCCTCGAGGAATTGCTCTTATTCGCAGTGATAAGATGATGAAGGCTTGCAATCCGCGGACGAAACGACGGATTAAGCTTTTCCGCAATGAGCCCAATGATAGATATCGAGCGGCCGAATAATAAAACCCCTACTAACGCATGGTCGGAAGTTTTGAGTATAAAAAAGCATGAAGACATGTACTGATACGTCGTGTCCATACTTTTTTTTTTTTTGGCACCTTCTGTTGAAGCGCCCACTGATCATGCTCGTTGGTATCCTCCTTGCACTTTTCAATCTCTTGCAAACGTCTGTATTTGCGTCGCCGGTTATTTCCGGAGCCCACACTTTATCAGATTTTCTTGACCGAAGTGCCAATTTTAACGATGACAGTGTCATATCTGCGTTTGTCGGAGAATTGAAATCTTTGTCCAGCAATGATTCTTCCAAGTGTGAACAATGCATCACTAGACTTGCAATAGGGAAATCTCTTTCATTGTTGAGACCAGAATTGGTGCCTCCAGTTTTCACGCGGTGGTGCAAAGAGACTGCATACATGTCAAACTCGACATGCACATCAACATTTAGCCGTAACACTGTTTCGACAAGTTATACTGGTACCAATTTTGCTGATATGCTATCCCTTATGGACCCTTTTAGTTACGACGGCCAACTTTATTGTTTTTACAAGGAAAAAGCATGTCCAAAACCAAAAACCCCAAATGTGACACTCGAACACATGTGGCCCTCCAAGCAGCCAAAGCACTTCCTCGCTCCGGAACCTTCCGCAAATGATACTTTCAACGTTTTGCACATATCGGATTTTCATATCGAATTGGACTATACCGTAGGTGCCGAAACCAATTGCACCTTGAGCATGTGCTGTTCCCCGAACTCCAAAAACGCAAAGTCTAGAACCTCACATAACAGTACCGCTATTGGATGGAACTCGTACCATGACTCTTTCTACACCAACAATTCATTCGTAAGGGGCCCACTCATTGACGTTTTCCAAAACCAATCGATCTGGTCACCAGCTACCACGTTCGGTAGCTACACTTGTGACGCACCCGAAATTTTAGTCAACTCCACACTCAACTCAATCGCCAAATTTTGTGAAGACAATAGTATTCAATTTGACTTTGCTATTTTCACGGGAGATATGGTAGACCACGATGAACTTGCCCTGACGAGCTTCGATCTAACCGTCCAGTCGGAGGAGATAGCGTTCAGAGACATAAAAGATAAACTCGGCGATGTTGCCGTTTATTCTGTCATGGGTAACCATGACTCATTTCCTTATGGGGAGCTGGCTCAAGAGAACCACGGGTTTCTCAACTATTTCTCGTACAACGCAGAACTTATGGCGGACCTCTGGGAAGATTTTGGATGGCTTGGTCCTGAGGAAAGCCAGTATGCTAGGAAACACTATACCGGGTTCTCTGTCGAAACTCCAAGAGGACTGAAAATCATCTCTCTGAATTCTAATGTTTGGTACCAGAAAAATCATTATGCGTACTGGAACGCTTCCCAGCCTGACACATTTGGCCAAATGGAATTTTTGATTGAAGAACTGGTGGAAAGCGAATCCAAAAATCAGAGAGTTTGGATTATTGCCCATATTCCATTCTCGCAAGAAGCCCTGCCTCTTCCTGCTAAAATGTTCGCGGAAGTAGTTGAAAGGTTTTCCCCTTACACGATTGCCAATATCTTCTTTGGACACACCCACAAGGACCAGTTCGAGATTTTGTACTCGGTTCCAGGAACCGACGGAAAGACAGTTGAAAATGCGGTTGCGTTTGCCTGGATCTCACAGGCTGTCACGCCATGGATCAACAACAACCCTTCGTGGAGATATTACACCATTGACGCCAAGACGTTTTCAGTCATGAATGCGTATAACTACTATACTAAACTAAATGAGACTTTCACAAACAACGGTGACGAGCCGCTATGGGAATTTGAGTATTCCTCCAGAGAGGGTTACAACATTGACTGGCCAGAAATAGCTCCTCTGAACGCTACTTATTGGCATAAGGTTGCAACAAGGATTAACGAATCAGTGGAGTACAACCAAATGTATGAGAACTTCGCTATGAGATTCTCGCCATTTGTACCTGACTGCAGCAAGTCGTCATCCTGTGACTTGAACTATTGTTATTTGACCTCATTCACGGTTGATGAATATGATGATTGCGTAGCCCAAATTCCAACGGCGTCGTCTTAAGCGATTTATGTCTGACGTCTACTCAGTAGGACTGGGGACGAATCTGGCGAATCCGGCTTATTAGGCCACGAGTCCATCATTGTATATGTGTTGGAAGCCTTGAGCCTTCGAGTTCCACTGCCGCAAGAGCGGTGGGACTATAGTGTTCAAGTAAATCTCTTCAATGTGCTTAATAGATGAACCTTCTTACGGTAATTGATGGCTTCCTGTTTTATTTTAATTTTAATTTGAGATGTTTTCATCCCCACCCTTCTCGCCGGACGTATGTCCGCCATTGGTATGTCATCATCACTTTTGTGGATAACCCGCTGGTGCACGATGAACTCATGTCATTATCTTCACTTGTCCTTTCTATGGGAATGCCGTCCATTACTGACCTACATGGGCAGATGGTGAAGCACTTCATTCGCTTTCTCAGTACCATCGTACTTTAAGCATTCAAGCTCAAAAGCGAGAATCAGTTATCCACAGTCTTCTTGCTGATGGCAAGGCGCCTTTACACATCCGCAGTCGATTTTTTTGTACAGTAAACGGAATGCGCTAGTTAGCAAAGTGCCAAAAATCGGCTTTGAATTTCGAGTCAGTAGCTAAATTATGTAACGCTTTTCTTAGATGACTCCTTTGTGTTTATACTTGTGTTGATGCTCTGTCTCTAGAGTGTGGTTGCATGATAAATGTGCCATATCTTGGGTGATTCTATCCATTTTGTAAGATATAATCATTGCTTTATTGATAGAGTTATCTCTCCGTGATGTATTTAGCATGAACGGAATGAAGTTTTAGGTTGGGTGGAACATGCCTTTTTATACAGTTCTTCGGAATGTTCCGTCGGTGACTAAAGTTGTTGGGATTGGTGAACTATATGGTATAGTGTCAATTGCGTAATCCGAAAGTGACATATTAGTCTAAAATGACATCTTAAGCGCTAAGGTGAATTGGACCAATCGTAAAGATATGAAGCAACAACACGTCAACGCTATGCAGGATTTACAAGCAATCCAGAACGTTTATTAAGCATCCTTACTAATGGCTAGGGTCTAGAACATTACCTACTGTTTGCTATTGTTGCTCCAGAAATCGTTTAAATATCCGTGGTCTGGTCAAACAGAATGTACCAAACTTATAGCCAAAAGGACCGCGGAGAGATAAGTAAAATCCATAACCATAACCATTCACTTAGAACAAATCATTACTGAGCAAACGAAGCAGATTAACAACTCGAACACTGCCGACGTAGTCGGGCCTCAATAAAAGTGAAAGTTTTTATGCATTCTGGGTGAAAGTGTGTTATCTGACCAATCCATAGTCATGGCACCATCCAAGTGGCACCACTTGGTGTAGATGGCCACTTCTGCTAGATCGGTGACGATTTGAAGCGGTTCTTAATTGTTTAATCAAATCTGTCGCTGTCATCAAGTCACGTGCTTTGATCACCCCGTTATGGATTGACGCCAGAAAGACAGAGGTTACGACAGGTCCAGCCATAAACTGCTTGTGTAGTGATTTATGCTTCCGCAGATGTTAGTAAAATGTACCCTTCAAGAGGCGGACCACGATACCCTTGAAGGAGCTTTAAACTGTATGACTGTTTTCCCGTGCTTCTGCATTTACTGCCACGCATGGGCGCTCTTATATGCACTATGTAGGAGATGCATAAAGAGTGCATCTCGTCTTGCATGTCCATCCTCGTGATCATAAACTTAAACCCGACCTTCAAGATTCGGCTTTCTTGTGCATATTACTTGCTATGTAACAGGTATATTTTGATTGCCTGTTTTGATGCCTCCAGCGAGGTTCGAGCGGATGAAAGATCATATGAACTCGTTTAGGAGATTCGACTTTAAAGGAGTGTCGATGACAGGAGACAGCAGATCCACAGTTTATATGCACCAGAAGAAGGTATAAATGAGCAGACACAACTTTAACGAGGTATATCTCCAGCTTGTTCTGCATTCACGTTTGCAAAGTCATCTTCGTGTCGATGTCCACGCACTTATGACCCACATACCCGGATAGAGCGTTCTGAGCGCTTTGTGTGACGTTTAAGCGCGTTTCACTTACATTCAGCTAATTAATTCTCGCCGACAGTCACGAAAGAGAAATGCTATCAACTACGAGAGGCGCTTAGCCATTTACTGCTCAATTTTGACTTCGGCAGAAATCTGCTCTTCCCTAAGCCAGCGCTGCTACATCTTATGCTCATTTTCAATCAGTATGGGTTTTGCCCTGACAAGGCAAATAGAGGTGCGACAAACGTTGAATTCGAGGACATACGGCTGTTTTAAAGAGGATTGCTTTCATTTGCCTCGAGCGCTAATTGTGAATCAGTCATTACCAATTGATAGATCTGCATGACATGGAGAATAACTGGTGCAAGAACGGATACCTTCAAGTGACCCATGTGTGATCTTCTAGATTAACGAATTGACCGGCGGCACAATCGCCAACTAGTAAATGAAGATCTGGATCAGGACATTGATCCTGCTCACAATAAGGTGATTAAGCTGGGCCTCAGGGCGGTGTGATTACTCTTTGAACATAAGCCATCGAACGAGGGACTGGTTGCGGCATGTGATTTGATAAGGTGTGCTTTTCAAACTCATATTTGCAAATATGCCATGCTAGCGAGATCTGGAATACTTACACAGCACAACGTTTCCATGATATATCATTTGTTCATGAAGTTCTCAAGGAATTTAATTTTCTCAAGTTCTCCCAAGCATTGGAACATCAATATATAAACTATTCAAAGATCTGTCCAGATTGAAATCACCGCGGTTGCTCAGAGCAACCGTAATCCAAGAGTCGACCAGCATTCTTGGTCTCCAACCCACAAAAATCTTCCTCTTCTGTGCACGGCTCTAGTAGGGCTTCTCGGCACGACAGATTTTTGCGCACTAGTAAAACCAATAAACACGTTTCCGAGAAAGTAAACAAAACCCACGGCTGATTACTACTGTTTTCTCAGAACGGTCAAAGGACGTGCGGTGTAGATCTGTTCTCGAAGGGTTAAAACCCTGCGTTGCGTAGCATGTCATCAACATTTATACATTGGAGTTCATTGTCGATAACTAACCTCCTACGGAACTCATCGTAATGTGTTCCCTTTTTGGCCTGCGTCGAACCTGGTACTTGTCTGCCCATAGGTGACGGGCCCCAGGATGGGGTGTAGCAAATTTCATCCCACTGACAAACGTTCTTGCAGCGGTATTGAAACTCAATCCACCCCAAAGAGTGAATCAAGTCTTCGACTTCTTTCTGAGCAATTTCAATAGTTTCGATATCCTGCAAAGAAACTTTGAGCATCGAAGAGCTCACGATCGGAGTCAATAAGTCGTTGACCTTGTAAATTACTTGGACAATCTTGCTGACAACATTGACAGCCGCAGACCAAACCAGATAATCGGCATCGGTTCGCAGTTCCTTCAATGGTCTCACGTACTGGTAAACAGCAAAGTTCTGATCGTCGCCAAACTGAGTGTCATCCCCTTTTTTCGACATGAACCTGAGACAGAAATTCAGTGTGACAGCGGTCGCATTAATGGCCCTTTCTTCAACTGAAGTGTCGTTGCGGTCCAAAATGCCTCCCAGAATCTTCAACATTGGTGCAAATTTATCACTTATTTCGTCGAAAACCTGCTGCCAGTTCGTGCTTTGGGTTGCGTCGAAACCTATTTTTAAGGCCTGTTCGAGATTAGAAACCATTTGTAACTGCTTGTCCCAAGTCATTCCATCATTCAACAACCTTCTATTGTTGGGATCATTGTTGATGTACGTTCTGTTAATGCCGGTTATCAAATACCTGTAGTCTAGTTGAATCCTCTGCTCTCCTTTGTCATGAATTGCACCCGCACGCAACCAGTTGAAGCTTTTGATTGCGCGAAATCTGGATAACTTTTCTTCCCATGAGTCTTCTCTGTCAAGCGTAGCCCTCTGCTCCTCAGTAAGATCTTCTTCTACTAAGTTGTTGTCACCATCAAGGGGCCATCCGTTGTCCTTCGAAACGACTGTTGGTGGAGGTAATTCAAAGTACTCACCAGGAGAGACCATCTCCAAGGAAGAGACCAATTCAACATCACCAGAGAGAAAGTCGCATAAAATTACTTCAAACCCCACCTCAACCCTCACTATACCTTGTAGACCTAGTGGTTTCCCCCATCTGCAGATTCTAGATGCAAATAGTCTTTCTTTCATGATCATATCTTCATCATCGCCTGTCAGATTCAGCTTGGTTTTGATGACGTTAGACAGCATTTCTTGAGTGTCCATTTCACCTGTGTTTTCGGTTTTTGCTGCAGACGCACCGTCGAGGTAGAACAGCCTATTCAGGTCTTTACTCGCTCGATAAGTGAGCATCTTGGCGCTTGACTCGGGTTTCTCATCTGTGCCGCCTAAGGGATTGTATGGACGACGTCCTTGCTTCTTCAATGATTTTCTTCCATAGGATGGGGGTCTAAGTCCAAAACTATAACTAAACTCATGGTCCATTGCCAGCCATTCGAAAGTTGTGGGAGGTGTTGGCCCTGCATGATACATCAAAGTTCCTTCAGGAATGACAGCAGGGAAGTAGGAAACTCCAACAGGATGAATGTCGGAGGCGGCTTGTCTCAGAGCTGCCCGCACAGAATTAAAAAGGGCCGTACTGTTTTCAAAGTCAAGATCTCTGGTGAATTGTGAGTAGTTGTCCCATCTTATGGCGCTTGAAACCGCAGGCTTGGATCTTTCTCGATCGTTGTTATTCAACTTCAAAATCGAAGATCTGTCATAAATGTTAAGTAGATTTCCAAAAAATAACAGTAGTAGTATTAAGCTACTCGCTGCAATTAGACAGCACGAAATCTTTCTTACTGCCATTTACTGTTTTGACGAACGAAAGAAAAGATCACATCGCTACTATCCATGCCCAGTGTTTCTGACTTAAATATGCGGATACGGTTTAATTTATTATGTGGGTGTCATTATTATTACTATTCATCTTATCCTGATGATCATGCAGCACTTGAATGATTTCAAGAAATATTTTACATTCTTCATGCGGGTCTCTGCTTGGCACATATGCTTGGCATTTTACCGGAAGAGCGTTAAACACACGTTCAGCTAAACGTAAGAAAGACTCCAGGAAGTTCACGTCTGTGTAGCTAAGCTAAAGAGCACGTATCTGAATCACTTTTTCCAGCTGGAATATTCCAGGAATAAAGCATATGCATTTGGTCCCTACGTAGCTCCCACAGCAAAAAGAGCTTTCTGTTACGGCTAAAGGAAGTTTCTATCGGACTGTTGTTCCCTGCTCCGCCTCGCTGCACTTTTGAAACACTTATTCGTCCGTAGTTGGCTTTCAGGGTTAAAACATTAACCCTCGAGCATTGATCGCGTTATTTCAAGCCTTCAAAGGTGATGTTAAACAACAGAACCAAGGGAGAAAACATCTTAAAGCCCTCACTTCAGCGAATATAATATCTGCGATATTCGCCAGTACGACCAATGATTAGTTTGAGTCTTGATCATTCCCGATCTACTTGCTTTCTTGCAAGGCTCTTTGTCAAAATGGGTATCTTGTGAGCTTCATGTAACCGCTTGTGTTGTTGAATGATGATTGAATAAAGAGCTAAGTTTGCACTCCAAGGTTCCAGTAGTTATCTTGATGGCAAAATAGCACCCCTATTGAGAGCTCTTTGAGAGGAGTTGGAAGATACCACATGCCAAATCGCACCATTGCCGGAGTTTTCCAAAGCCTTGAATTGCCATAATTTCGATGATTTCTTACCTACCTGGGAGAGCAGCAGAGCCGTCCGGTATAGTCTGTCGGCATGATTGAATTCACTTGGTCAGATTTTTCCAATGGAGGCTCAGCAGAAAATTTGGTGAAACACAAATCGCCAAAAAATGTTTACGCCGCGGTTTAGAGTTCAAGAGCGCACTACGAGTCGTCTATAATCGAGTTATGCAGTAATCCCCGCTAGGTCAGATTTCTTGCTGTTTCAAAAAATGTTTGAATCAAAGAGCGATTTACAGAAAAGCGAGAAAATAGGGTGTGTCAGTTGTGGGTCGAGTTCATATGATCGCGCCGAACGTGCGGCAGGAGCGACGTTGAAGTCCACACAGAAGGAAATCAGTATCTTACTTGATATTAGCCCGCCAGAGGAGAAGAAGAAAGCGAAGCCACCAAACTGCTTAGATGCCTTTGTAGCTTCGATCGACATCGTAGGGACCTTCAAAGACCACCAATAGCTCCAGCAATGTCTTCGGTCTGCACACCTTCTGTAGTAACGTCGTGGTAAGGCGAACCAGCGCGGCCCTTTTCCAACGCCAGTTTGAAAAGATGGCCAACGTGCGAGCGTGGGACTGCTGGCCCCACGTTGAGACCAGCGTCGATGTAAGCGGGTTTCCCAGATCCACTCACCATATTGACCAACGTAGTAACAAGGTTTGGATCTCCCTTGCCGCTGGTGGACGTGTGACAGACGTAGCAAGGACACCCTTGCCTTTCTAGCTTAGCGCAACATCCTCGAATTTTGAACGCAAGAAACCCGCACCTCTAGTTTGTTTTTGGCCTGCCTCAATGCCGTAAAAGTCCGGTGAAAACACCAAACACACAGCATTTAGCACGTAGGGGCTTATTCGTGCCCATCAAAGCGTTCAACATCACCACAGTCGCCTTCCGCTCAATCAAACAGCTTTCTTGGTATTTGCTTAAATCATGGATGTAGCCCGAATGGACCACATCATCAGACGCAGCGACGGACTTCTTTGGCATGTTCAAATCCTCGATAGTACCTTTGACGATTTCGATGTCAGAGCCCACCTTCTTTTTTTTTGGGCAGCCCTATCTGATCGGGCTAAAGAGGATACTCTTTTACCTGACTTCAACAGCTCTGGAATTACTGCTCCACCAGCAAACCTGATGCTCCTGTGACAAAGACTTTCTGTTCCAACCCGCCTAGATCTTCTTATTATGCCGCCGAGGAGTCTCGAAGAGAGGAAAGGCCCGTGCGTCACAACTCGTTTAGGTGGTGCTGCTAACGTGAAGTGCCGATGACAAGAAATGACGAATCTGCACGTTATGGCATACGATCAGACATATCTTGGAGAATTACAACGAGATACGCTTTTAGCTGACAAAGGCCAGGCCCTATGCCTATGAGCCGCATTGATCTTCTAACAATCGTGCTCATTTGCCTCGGGACTTATTCTACTTTTGCCTTTGAAGATGTTCTTCAAGCTGGCTGTGCATATTGCCAAACACCTTTGTTTCACGTCTCTTGACGAACTGTTCTGTGCGTTCTATGTATTCTTTGTGTACGCTTCACCTACTCTCACCAGAGTTGTTTAGCTCCTGAGCTTAAGGACGAGGTATGCTACGAAACATGGAGAACGCTGAGCAAAGGATTGTATATCTCAAAGGCCCATCCAAGGTTAATAATGATCTTGTAAAGTGCTTTCTTTATAGTATTTTCGACTGACCCAACGCTGCTACCACTAGTACCGTGTCCCGTCAATTTGTGCAATGCCTCTACACGCCGATTGAATGCAGCTATAAACGCCAAAACCCAGAAGCACGGCTTTGCTGCAGAACGTCGCTTGTCTCCGCGTCGACTTTAGCCGTTTTCGGCGGACACATCGAGGTAGACGACTTCAACATTGTAGTACTCTGCAGCTCGGTCCTTTTACTCATCGGCAGACCTTGGCTCATTGGCAGTAGTCACAACGATATTTTATGCGTCATAACTCCGTCCCTTGATAAGTGAGAAACCAATGCTCCTGTTACGGCCACTGACGAGATAAGATGAAGACGACATGTGAAGATGGGTAGCGCGATGTGTGTCTAAGCTTGGTGTGTTCTGAAGACGTGATAATTTCAAAACTTGCTCCATCGAAGAGAATAGTTGATTGCTAGAATCTTGAAGAAACACCAAACGGCCTGCTTACGTACCTTGCATTGGGCTCGATTTTCGCAAACATTCGCCATCGCTAGTTTTGAAGAAAGGTTTTTAGGCCAAGACTTGAAGTGTGCTAGCGTTTTGCGAGCCAATCTACGCTAATAACCGGAGTAAACAAAATCATCATCATTCCAACATCTAGAACTATTGTCAAGACAAACTTCTATTGGTGGTTTGGTCCGCGAAAGTTCTCCCTACTCGCTGGTTTCAACAATTCTACAGCTAATCAAAGGCCCCTAATGATGGTATGAAATTCCGACGTTTGAAATACCACAAATAGCATGCGTTAGCACACATTCGAACCTGCCGCTATACATAAGCCTCGACGAAGAATATGAGAAACGGACATTATTGTTACTCCGGACCCGAGAGAGATTTCCTTTGCGCGGACTTTAAGCAATGACAGTCGGAATCGGCTGTCTAATCTGCATGTGTTTTAGGTGGACTTTTACGTATACGATCACGAACATTGAGGTTCTCCGCTGTGAGAACATTCTTCATGCCAGTGAGTGATGTCGATTTGTCCTCACTATAAAATCAACTGCCTTTGAATGAGAGAGCAGCCTGCTGTGTCTTGTCATGACGTAGAAAATCCGGCTCTCTTCATTCATGTCAAAAGTCTATTTCGTTTCTGGTGGGAGTAGGGGTATCGGTTTTGGCATTGTCAAGAACCTAAGTGCCACGCCGAGCAACATAGTGATTGCCACTGCGAGAAATCCAGACTCGGCAACTGGACTAAAGGAACTCGCCAAAGTTCGTCCTAACGTCAAAATTGTAGCGCTAGATGTGGCAGATGATGAAAGCGTGAAGGCAGCTGCCAAGGACGCCGAACGTATTTCGCCCCTTGGCATTGATGTTTTGATCTCCAACGCAGGTATCGCAACAGAGGCAAAGCCGGTTCTCGAGTGTAGTGACAGTGCTTACATGCACCACTTCAACGTCAATACTATTGGTCCGATCAGGCTGTTGAGAGAATTTCGTGACCTCCTAGAGAAAAAAAGCACAAAACAAATTGTGATGGTTTCATCCGAGGCCGGATCTATCACGAACCTGTTGACATTCTTCCCCACTTCAGCCTATGGCATGTCGAAAGTTTCCTTGAACTTTGCGGTCAGACTTCTCGACCACGAATTGGGACCCGCTGGCTATTCAATCATAGCTTTGCACCCTGGCGTTGTCCTGACCGACGCTATGACATCCGCTCAAAAAGATATGGATCCGGAGACGGTAGCTTTTCTTGCGAAAAACATGACACTCTTGTCGCCAGATGAGTCAGCGTCTTGCATTGTCAACAACGTTCTAGACAAGTTAGATACCTCAGCCTCCGGTAAGTTTTTAAGCTACGACGGCTCTGAGCTCGCATGGTGAGATTGCGTCGGGCAAACATGGTATGCTCGAGCACCCCCCATTGGTACCTCAGGCATAGGACGTTCTGCGTAAAATGTTTCTCGCATGAGAACACAACCTTTATATTTCTTCAATTGAATCTCGACTTTTTAGCAATTTTGGCATCTAAGGAGTACATTATAAGGCCGGAGACCTCTGTCATAACATGGTCTGTACCAGATGTTTCAAGTATTCCGATTAGTGCGTTGATTATCAACTCAATAAGATGCCGCTCTCAACGATTACTCAGAAAGTGTAGACGATGACCAAAGGAGTGGGTATCGAGCTCAAGTAAGTGCTATTAGTGTAGCAACGATACGCCAGAAAATTCTGCTTCACTTTCGACAGCTGAAATTGTAGAATATGCAGACACCTTAATCGAGCAACAATGAAGGTTATTTCTCCTTCTGAGTAAGATCGGTAAAGGCCAGTGGTTGAAGTTAGCACCGCTATTAAAATTCAAAAGCACAATGGGTTGTTGCTGTGAGCCACACGAACAGATGACTGATACTTAATCACCCCTTATCCTATCTTAAAGAATGGCACCCAAATACTATTCAAATGCCGAGAGTTCCATTTATGCTGGAGATCAAAGAGTTCCTGGTGATCTGATGACACACATAAGCACATCGGCAGGTAAAAAGGTCCTTGTGTATGACACAACACGCCAAATTCTAGACAACTGGGCGCATGATGTTAGTTCATATCTGATCAATGCGGCTATCCGTGACAATCTCTTGAGCATCCTAGTAGCTGAGCTTATACCCTATACAACTGACAGTCAAGGCGTTAGAACCTCTTCTTACAGCTGGCGTCAGATCCAACTTATAATGATCACAAGCACCTGGTCCCATGGGAGCGACAGAATTTACTAATTAGTCAAGATAAGATAAACACAAGTTACTGGTATTGCATGAAAATGACATCAGCAGTACTTGTTGGTATCCTGGACACCACTGAATCCATCTCTCAAGTCCAGTAGACTGTTTGCATTGCAACAGATTCATATGTCTGTAACGTCTCGCTACCCTGGATGAGAAATGTCGACAAGAATCGCATAAAATGTAATAATGATTTGTCCCGCTGTTGTAGAAATGCCACAGAGAGACTCTTCTGATTTCGACCGAACAATAATTCGCTATTTACAAGCAGCGGAATATCATCAATGATAAGAGACGGTCACAGTACAGAGACCGCGTATTATTACGAGCATGAATAAAAATTACATTACCTTTTTCAATTTACTAGGCTCGCCTTTTTCGAGAGTTCGTGAGTCATCCCCATATCCATGAATCGATAAATGTTTCTGCTATTCCTAAAGCTTCATTTCTTGCCTTATACTTAGCTGTACTTTGTCTTACATATTTGATTGTTCGAGCGGAGTTTTGGGCTCTGTGATTTCCGAACAACTGATAACGAGATTCGCACTTTATTCTATATCTAAAGCAAGGGCAATCTGCCCGCGCTCTCACTCATGGCGACTACTAACGGTGGAAGGAGGCTGCCGGCAAAATGTCTAATCCTGAAAGCTTCAGAGAGCTTTGTCGAAATGAATTACACTCTGGACCAACTTCAGGGTTACTTTCAGGGTACGTCCAAGCGAATCTTTTGATCCTTCCACAATCAGCTGCTGAAAGTTTTGAAGACCTTTGTTTCCGCAACCCGGTTGCATGCCCACTTTTATGCAAAACAAATGATAGCCCTTACCGCTTAGAGAACCATGACCGCTACATCAAAAATGGACACTTTGACATTCGCAGAGACTTTCCGAAGTACAATATATATCACGGTGGAGAGTTGATCGAACAGAAGAATAATTGTGTCGACGAATGGGCCGAGGGCCATGTGGGATTTTTGATCGGATGCTCATTTTCGTTTGAATATGCATTGGCCCAAGCTGGACTGGCTCCTAAAAACGTAGTGCAAGGTTCGAACGTTTCAATGTTTGTGACTACCAAATATCTCGACACCTCTGGTATATTCCATCGATGCCCATACGTTGTCAGTATGAGACCATACAAAGTGAATGATATCGAGCAGGTAAGGCAGATTACAAGGCTTTTCAAAAAGACACACGGAGAACCCATCGATTGGGGTTTCGATGGTGCTCAACGACTAGGAATTCGTGATCTAAAGCAGCCTGAATACGGTGACCCAATAGACATTGCTGAAAACGAAATACCTGTATTCTGGGCGTGCGGTGTTACCCCCCAACTGGCAGTGGCAACTGTTGGGCAGTCGATAGATGGTGCTGTTGTTGGCCACACACCTGGTCACATGCTGGTTTTAGATACAACTCAAGTTTCTTGAAAGTTGGCTTCATGTTGAAAAGCTAGTGATCCGGCCTACCAAAATGTGCTCGCAGCTTTCTAGTTGTTCGGCTTCAATACAAAGGTCTGGTTGGATACTTGGTTTTGATAATTTTACATTGGAACATTGTTATAGAGTTTGTCGGCCATGAGCCCATTAAACGGTTTTCATTCAAGTTACATTAGCCTAATACTCTTGTATGCTTATCCGACACGTAACAGTTATTGTGCATCTGTATAGCTTCTCGAGAAATCGGTATCGAAGAATTCGTCCACAGATGTCCCCGCCAGAGATTGACTGGTCATATTATTTAGCACGTCCGACAAATCTAGAAATCCCACGTCTTTCATGTCAAATTCTCTTCCATCAAATGAACCATCTTCTGGCATAGCAATTGGGCTAAGAGAAGCTCGGGGGAACGGAACAGAGCTCTGTTTTTGTGTGGAATCGGGACTCGAAACCCCCATGACCTCTTCGGAACTTATCATATCTATGAGTTCAGTAAGCTGCTCGTTAAAGTTGCTAGCAGCTGCATTGTATTCCGAGATTATCTGTAGTATCTTCAAGTTGTTGTTGATAGCATCGAATAAGCTTTCAATGTCCCCAAGATAGATAACGTTTGTTTTCATAAGCCTTTGACAGTATCCAGCTAAAACCAGTATGATTGTAGCGCTGTAGATGTAGTGGCAGTCTAAAAATGAGCTATTTGCCATTTTACCATCGTGATAGAGTCGGGTTAAAATCCCACTCTGAATCTCTGCAGCTTGAATGCATGATTCGAGCAGAATACGCATCAAGTCAAACTGACGTTGTTCGAATATCTTTTCTTTATCATCTCTTCTGGTCAGAATGGCGTTGAACAAGTACAGTAAAACAGGCCTAGTGGTGATTATAATCGAATAATTGTAATTGATATGCAAATTGACTGTTGATCTTATCAAACCTGTCTTAATATTGTTATAATCAAATTTGAGTTCATCAGGAAGTATATCAAACCAACTCTTCAGCCGCTTCAATACGGTGTAGCAGTTGCGCAGAAATGAAAACGAATTTTTAGAGTATATCATGGTGATAACTTTTGTTGTGATCATAGCAAGTCTGGCTTGGGCGGCAAAATGATACATATCTAGCGATCTTGTGGTCTGTGCTTCTTCTGCTTCGTTGAACATTGGAACATTTATTTCACGCTCATCTATCATCAATGGAAACCCGAACCTCACGGCGAGTAAGCGATCATATATGAAACACAACCAAAATGTACGACTTTCCCTGTCCGATCGCGTAGTCTTATGGTATCCGAGTGCAAACATAGTTCGAATGGCAGTCCCTACCGTTGTGAATGCAAAAATGGTTTTGTTCTGCGACAAAGAAAAATAAGCAATGCACAATAAAGACTGTACTAACGAAGCATTTGCAGCTTGGTCATACATGTTTGCCAGATGCCCATAGAGCGATATAGCAGTACGGTGAAATTTCAAACTCAAAGATTTCGAGTCCTGATTCTTTCTGTCAAACAGGGAACCAAGTGCCAAGTAGCTAAAAAATCTAAGAAGCTCGATTGTGAAGGCGAGCAGCTCCAATGGTTGATGTGGCACCTGTTCATCGTATATCACGTGTTTGACGGTATTTTCGAAGTACCGCGCTTCAATGTACATGTAATCAGCACCAATCATCCTGTAGGCATTATCGATAAGTACTTTGGCATCTTCTATGTCTGGAAGACATTCTGCGGCCAGATTTTCGACGTATTTCCGATCCAGGCTAAATTCGATGTTATTGGGCACCAAACCCTTAGTGACAGCTCCAACAGGTAAGCCCCCATTGCGAGAGTCCGCTAAGGTTTGCTTCAGCTTCCTTAAGAACTGAGCACAAGCAGACATTCCCAGATATTGACTCGACGTTTTTGGTCCTGAACTTTTTGGACGAAACTCCATACCATGTGGGGGTTCTAAAAGCGGATTCATTTCTGAGGTGCTTAGTCCTTCATCATAATCAGGGGTCGTTTCTACTCTGGATTTGGTCAGTTCTGCTTCTAGCTCCCATATTCTATTTTTCAGAGAGGTTACGTACCTTTCCGTGACTTTGGTCGTCTTGGATTTTACTTTTGTTTTATACTCACAGTTCTGGGGTTGGTCGATTTTATTGCAATATTCGCATGGTAGATCACCAGAGCATTTCTTCTTTCGTTGCTGGCACCTAGTGCACGCTTTGACCATTTTTTTGTTTGCCATTTTCCATGAATATTTGATTGATCTTTTTGTCTACTAATCAAACGTCAAAGGGTAGTCTTGCTTGCGATCATCGAAGGATAGTGTGCTACATTAAAGAGGGCACTGGAACATACTCACAGAGACTGTATAGAGATAGATTAGTAACTTTCTATTGATGTGGACTGATGCAATTGTTCAGTTCGTTGAGATTAACTTGTTTAACGAAGAGTAATATTAAGGATTATTGATAGACGTCAAAAATATGAGCAGCGGTCTTTTCACTTCCAAAAATTCCGCCTTAATATCGATCGACGATAATAGATAGCTCGCGGCTAAAGCAGCAGAGTTGGCGTATATAACAATGAGGAAACGAGCACAACGATCGATATGTTCTGTCTCTTGAAGATACAAGCTCATCAGATCGGCAACCGATAATGGATACTAAGAATACTTACGAGCTGACTATCAAGGATGGCCAGGAAATATCAGCAGAGCTAGGGGAGCAAGCTACGATTACGGATTACTACATTGACCCCGAAGAAGAGAATAAGCTTGTAAGAAAATTGGATAGGCGTTTATTGCCTATGCTTGCGTTTATGTATTTTCTTTCGTCGTTGGATCGTTCCAATATTGGTAATGCGTACACCTCGGGTATGAAGGAGGACCTGGCTCTCACATCCCGCCAGTACTCTAATGCGGTATCGGTATTTTACTCAACATACTTGGCTGCGGAACTGCCTGCCGTTTGGTTGTTGAAAATCGCTAAACCTCGTTACTATATGTCAGGGCTAGTATTTGCGTGGTCCATGATAACGTTGTTTAGCGGCTTTGTACAGAGCCACAAATCTTTGTTGGCCACAAGAGTGCTCTTGGGGGCTTTCGAAGGTGGGTTTTTCCCCGCGATGACTCTTCTCATTACCATGACCTACAAGCCTGAAGAGCAGGCTAAGAGAATAGCGTTCTTCTTCGGTTCCTCCGCCTTGTCAGGAGCTTTCGGAGGGCTCATCGCCACTGGTTTGGCGTCTGTCAAGAATGCAGGTGGGCTAGAGGGCTGGAGGTGGCTTTACATCATCGAGGGTCTTATCTCGGTGGGAGCTTCAGTTTGGCTATTTTTTGGTCTTCCCGACAATCTAGAGCACTTGACTTTCTTGAATGAAAAAGAGCAGGCAGTTATGGCCTTGAGGTCCAAGCAACGAATCCAATACATGGGAGCGAACCCTGCATTTAGCTGGAGTCAAGTGCTGCTAGCGTTCAAAGATCTCAAGACTTATTTTGCGTTCACAATCCAATTCTGTCAGGATATTATTCTATATGGCTTCAGCACTTTCTTGACTGCAATCCTCAAGCTGGGTTTGGGATTCGGATCAAGAAAAGCTCAATATATGAGTGTACCGGTGTACATTCTAGCGGCCATAGTGTTCATGATTTCAGCGTACCTGAGTGATCGTTTCAAAGTTAGAGGACCGATTTTTTTCGCCTACAACCTGTTGGGAGCAGCTGGTTATATTATTCTACTTTCTGTCAAGAATGACGCGGTCAAGTACTTTGCTTGTTATTTGATAACGTTTTCGCTTTACACAGGAACCGGACTGAACATTACTTGGTTAACCAACAACGTTGCGCCACATTACAAGAGAGCGACAGCTTTAGGATTGAACCAGACTTTGGGCAATCTGTCCGGTGCTATTGTAGGACAGGTTTACACGAAATCACCTTATACTTTCGGAAACTCTTTTTCTTTAGGGTGTATTGTACTGTCAAACATATTGACGTTACTTCAAGTAATGTGGCTAACGAAGTTGAACCGGGAAAAGGCTGCTATACTTGCGGGTACCAAAGAAGACAAGAAGAAGGAAAGAATTGGAGACGAAGCTCTGGACTTTAAATATTGCTTGTAATAGACTTTTAGAGAGGCAGAAACATTGTTTGATTATGGGAAAATTGCATATTTTTAAGTGAAGCTTTCGGCAAGCAGTAGTTCAATTCGTGTACTTGCTTTCCGCCGAACAAATGGGAAACATTTGAGGTCGAATCATTACGAAGCGCTTCCTTGGAAGTAATCGGCAAGTTATGAAAATTGGTTTTCACATATATAATACAGTTTTGCCAAGAGAGATCATGACTACCAGTTCTCTCGAGTAGAGATTATCCCTAATCAAGCATGCACGTTTCAGCAAAGTACAAAACACCTATATATTCCTCGTACTCTTTCGTCTTCCTGTGTGCAGCAACTCTAGAGATTGATTTGACTGATCGTCTTCTCGAGCCAAAATGAGGATCCTGCATAGAGAAATAGAGCAAAGGTAGCGGTTTGAAGTATTCTAGTGTTCCGCAATAACCTGGTGATTCGTCTTCTATGTTGGAAAAGGCCAGCTCGATTCTAGGTATTGATGTGCTCTTCCTCTGCACGATAAGACTTGAGTTCGCTTGGTCGAGAGAAAACTCAAGAGATAAGTGAAATACCTCGCCAATTGAAAAGCCCATAGGGCTCTAAATTTCGCATCAGACGAGCTCAGTTTTGCCGCCACCAAATGACTGTATCTGAGCTAGTTGTTCAGCATTTGAACGTATTAATTTGTTTGTCGGAGATGGCGTACCTTCTTTTTCCGACTTACTAGATTAGCAGAGATAGACGAAGGGAGACCCTGTTCACACTATAAAAGTCAGCAAGACATCGAAGGAACTGGACGGTTAGCTTTAATCCTTGTCTTCAAGATCCGTCGACCTCCACTTAGATCAAAAATGAGTAAAATAAGAATAGCTATCGATAGAGGGGGAACATTCACAGACTGCATTGGTAACCCGGGATCCGGAGATGCCAAGGACGACGTGGTTATAAAGTTGTTGTCTGTGGACAGCAAAAACTATCCAGATGCACCATTGGAGGGTATTAGAAGACTTCTGGAAATTTTCCAGAAAAAGACCATTCCAAGAGGTATTCCTTTAGACTTGTCCGAAGTAGAGAGCTTGAGAATGGGAACTACATTGGCAACCAATTGCGCACTTGAACGTAATGGCGAACGCTGCGCCTTTATTACCACCAAGGGTTTCAAGGACAGTCTCTTGATAGGAGACCAGACCAGGCCAAAAATTTTTGACTTGAGCATCAAACGTCTCAAACCGCTCTACGACGAAGTCATTGAAGTCGATGAAAGAGTGACCCTAGAGGACTTCTCAGAAGATCCAGAAAATTTCAAGTCAAAAGCTAACCCTAACGAGGGCGTATACGTGGGCAAAAGTGGAGAACTCGTGCGAGTTTTGAAAAAACCCGATCTCTCGGCTTTACAAACTTCTCTGTTATCAGTCTATGATAAAGGCATCCGCTCAATCGGAATAGCACTTCTTCATTCCTACACTTATCCAGAACATGAGGAGGAAGTTGCGAAGCTGGCCTCTGAGATCGGCTTCACCCATATCTCTTTATCGTCACAAGTTTCGCCGATGATCAAGTATTTGCCTAGAGCTAATAGCGCCATCGCTGACGCTTATCTGACACCCGTCATAAAAAAATACCTGGATGGTCTCCAAGCCGGTCTCATTAATACTCAAAACACAAGCATTCAGTTTATGCAATCCGATGGTGGATTGGTAGAGGGCTCTAAATTTTCCGGCTTAAAGTCGATTCTTTCCGGTCCTGCTGGAGGTGTAGTTGGCTATTCAGCTACTTGCTATGACGCTGAAACTAACACTCCTCTCATAGGTTTTGACATGGGGGGGACATCCACAGACGTCAGTCGGTACGGCGAGGGTAAACTGGATCATGTCTTTGAAACTACCACCGCTGGCATCGTAATACAAAGCCCTCAACTAGATATTCACACTGTTGCTGCTGGTGGGAGTTCAATGCTGTTTTGGGAAAATGGTCTTTTCAGGGTCGGGCCTGAATCTGCTACAGCCGAACCTGGACCAGCCTGTTATCGTAAAGGTGGGCCTTTGACTGTTACAGACGCTAATCTATTACTAGGACGCTTGGTTCCTGAATTGTTCCCAAAGATTTTTGGTCCTAATGAGAACGAGTCTCTGGATTTGGATGCCACCCGAACAAAATTTGAAGAATTGACAAAAACTATCAACGCTGACCTAGGTACGGCTTATTCGGCTGAAGAAGTCGCATATGGCTTTGTTAAAGTTGCAAACGAATCAATGGCCCGTCCAATCAGAGGTCTAACGGAAGCTAAAGGTCATGTTATTTCCACACATGAGCTTGTCACGTTCGGCGGTGCAGGTGGACAGCATGCTGTTGCAGTGGCTGAATCCCTTGGAATCAAAACCGTTCTTGCGCATCGTTATTCTTCGATTTTATCAGCATACGGAATGTTCCTTGCAGATGTTGTTGAGGAAAGCCAGGAGCCTTGCTCATTTGTTATGGACAATGCTGATGCAAAGAAGGAAGTGATGAAGAAGTTGGCGACAATCGTGAGTAAAGTCACAACTAACTTGACGAAGCAAGGCTTTTCTTTAAGTGACCTGCATTTCGAAAAGTATTTGAACTTGAGATATGAGGGCACTGAAACAAGTTTAATGATACTTCAGGATGGTGAGGAATGGAATTTCAGTAACGACTTCGCAGCGTCGCATCTAAGAGAATTCGGGTTTGTCTTCAAGAACAGATCAATTATCATCGACGATGTGAGGATCAGGGCTGTGGCAAAGTCCCCAGTCAGATCTACGAAATCGATCACAAGGGAACTCAACTCCCTTGCCAGTACTGATGCCAATACTGGAAGTGATGTCGCATTTCACAAGGATGTCTTTTTCGAGGGCAAGCTTGTGAAGACTCCTGTGTACCGAATCGATAACACTTCGAGTGGCGCACTCATCAAAGGTCCCTGCATCTTGGCTGATGGAACTCAAACTAATATCATCCCAAGTAACGCTTCGGCGGCGGTTCTCAGCTCTCATATTGTCATAACGATAAACTCTAAGACAAAGGAGGACGATAAGGCTGCAGCGTCCAAAATTGATCCTGTACTACTTTCGATATTCAGCCACAGATTTATGGACATAGCCGAACAAATGGGCACACAGCTGAGAAAGACCTCAGTATCTACAAATGTCAAAGAGCGACTAGATTTCTCCTGTGCCCTGTTTGACCCAGACGGAAACCTTGTTGCGAATGCACCTCATGTACCTGTACACCTGGGTTCAATGTCTACATGCATTTCTGTGCAGGCCAAACTATGGAAAGGAAAACTGAAGCGTGGTGATGTTTTATTTTCAAATCACCCTGAAATGGGTGGAACTCATCTTCCAGACATCACCGTCATAACACCGGCTTTTTCTGATACGAACGACGAAATAATATTCTACGTGGCTTCAAGAGCCCATCATGCCGACATTGGTGGTATTCTACCTGGATCCGTTCCTCCTAATTCTAAGGAACTTTTTGAAGAAGGTGCAGCCATATATTCAGAACTTTTGGTGAAAGAAGGACACTTTGATGAACATTTGGTAGAAAAGCTTTTGCTTGAAGATCCCGCCCAGTATCCCGGATGCTCAGGGTCTCGGAAAATAAGTGACAACATCAGCGACCTCAAAGCTCAGATCGCCGCAAATAACAAAGGAATTCAGTTAATTGCAAAACTGATGAAGGATTTCGGCATTGAAGTTATAGTAAAGTACATGCTTGCAATTCAGGAAAACGCCTCTTCCACTGTGAAATATGCCCTCAAGCAACTGACAGAGCATTTCAATGCTTCCGAGTTCAATGGAGAGGACTATATGGATGACGGTACTCTGATCAAACTAAAGGTCACACTTGATATTGAAAAAGAAGAATATGTTTTTGATTTCGATGGGACTTCGCCGCAGGTGTATGGTAACTTGAATGCACCCGAGGCAATCACAAATTCAGCCATTCTATATTGCTTGCGTTGCTTGGTGAATAGGGACATCCCATTGAATCAAGGTTGTCTCAAACCAGTGACGGTAAAGATACCAAAGGGATCTATTTTGAGTCCTACGAAAGGCGTGGCTGTTGTAGGGGGTAATGTTTTGACTTCCCAGAGAGTCACCGACGTGGTTTTGAAAACCTTCAAAATTATGGCCGATTCCCAAGGTGACTGTAACAATTTCACGTTCGGAACGGGTGGTAAAGACGCAAATGGAGAAGTGGTCAACGGGTTTGGCTACTACGAAACGATTTGCGGTGGACACGGAGCCGGCGCGGATTCTTGGAGGGGCCCTGGATGGAATGGAGCACACGCAGTTCACACGAATATGACAAACACGAGGATGACGGATGTAGAGATTTTCGAGAGAAGATACCCTGTTATTTTGCGCGAATTTTCTGTGCGCACTGATTCCGGCGGTAATGGAAAATACAGCGGAGGAAATGGGGTACTCCGTGACATTGAGTTTCGCAAGCCTGTCCAAGCTTCTATACTGTCTGAAAGACGCGTCGTTGCTCCTCATGGCCTCAATGGAGGTGGCGACGGTGAAAGAGGCCTCAATTTATGGATACGCAAAGACCTTGGATCTGTCACGAATATTGGCGCCAAGAACACGATTAAGGTTCATCCCGGTGATAGAGTTATTATAATGACACCTGGTGGTGGTGGATGGGGCAAGATGGACAATAAATGACGTCCATAGGGGTTTGTTTAGCCTTTTATATAAACCCACCACATAGCAGAATTGATTGACAAAAAGAATGCCTAAATACATCAGATCTTTTCAGCTACTCGTGAAATAGCGGATAATGATATGTGTAATGTCTTTAGAAAGAGTATTAACACATTGTGGAGCTTGCAGATCGTCGATGCAAATGCGTATGATTTTGGTTGAGTTGCTTTCACAGGGGCAATGATACTTTACCGCCTGTGAGCGAAAGCTGTCCATCATATGTTTTATTGAACAGGACGTAAACTGACATCGGAAGATTACTTGACAAAAAAGGCTGTCTTGGCACGCAAACAATATATTATTTAGGTACTGAGAGGAAAAACCGTTATCAAGGGCTGTCACAAGAGCTTGCTCTCTTGACGGTCTCTCGTCTAAAAAATTGTAGCGTGCTCAATACAGGCTTTTAAAGAGCTAACGCGTTTGTTTGTGAATCTGTCTTTCATAATACAGCGATATTCTAAATTCTTAAATACCAGTACTGAAGGCCTGCATTAGTTTGCAATTACTTTTGCTTCTCAGTACCAGGAAATGGCTTGAGCTCATATTATAAAGACATTAAATGTCTGAACTCCACTCATCCAGACATTCTCAGCAATCAATTGGCATAATTCGGCGCTATTCACACGCTATATGGGGACTCAAATGGTAACGTTAAAAACATTGTAGTACAAGGTCAAATGGGCAGGATGAACTCAATATCTTCCAGGTGACAGAGCTGAATGAGAATGACTAACCTTGGTCGGGAAACTCATCCTACGAAATAAACAATTGATGAAACCTCTGTTGTACGAGATCGACCTTGCATGTGTCATCTCTGCTCGTCCAGAAAGTAACCTGTTCATTTGGGCTGTGTGATTGGTAGCTTTCGGCGACAAAGCGTAGCGGACATCATGGACATGCATAAAGCACTGAGGGCATTAAGTTTTGAGTTGAACGCTTTTGAGACCCTTGCAAATCGAATTACACCAGGTCCCGTGAAGTAAATCAACAACTTAATCGACGCAGTTAAACGCGGCGCTTCGATGCCTAGATGACCGAAATATGCATTTTCCGCTGTCGATGATTTTATGTCAGAATGGAAAGAAGTCACTTTTGGATGACATGCGGCTGAAAAGGTGATGCAAGCATTTGTTGCTTATTTAAGTAGTGTACTTCTCCATGCTAAGAGACAAAATCAGTAGTTTAGATATCTGTTTGCTGCGATATTGCCTGTCCTTTTTTGACCGTAGGAAAAGCATCCAATAGCGAAAGTAGCGCTGAACTCGAACATTTGCGTTTCGGATAACTCAGTTCAAAAATAGCAGGAACAGCAAAGATTTTCAGCAATTCCTGATGTTGCATCCTAGACATCTTGGCTACAAGAGGTCAGAAGACTCGATAAACTATGGACTTTTTCACCTGTCGTCCCTGACACAAATGACTTTGGCATCGCCCTAACCCCGAAATGAAATTTCAAAAGAATGACATAAACAAAAAATATCTGCTTGAGCTTATCCCAGTTTCTTTTCGATTATTCACCAACTCTGTGTTGTTTTGAGATCTGTCTTCTTGATACGTACGTATACCGACCAATATCCTGCGATAAACAATTTCAAGTCGTTTCGGTATCGACAAAACCAATGGAACAAAAAAGCATTCCAGCCGGCGGCGTAGGGCATATTCCCAGACCCTGGATAAGATCGCTAAAACTTCCTTGAAAAAATGCGCTCATCGCTGTTCAACAAGTGAGATAGGTGTTCTACAAGTCGCCAACTACGTTTTTACGATAACACCGACATCCACTCACAATGACTCAATCTTTTTTTCGACACCCTGCTTGTTCTTTCCAATGTCGCTGCAAAGAGTTGGAAAATTCAGTATAGAGAGCTCACGCCATCAAAGCTCGGATAACATAACCCCGCCAGCCCTAAAGTTATTCTTCACATAGTCCTCTAGAAAGTATATCAAAATTTGTTCTCGAGGAAGTACCCGTGCATGTACGACGAAGAACGGGCCTATAATTATGCAGGCGGCCTTAGATCTGCGAGAGGAGATAAAGATATTTACAGATACTATGGTGCCCAACAAACAGAACAGAGTGAACCTATCGACAAAAGATCAAGAACATAGAGCCGTTCGTCACTTACGTCGGTCTTAACCGACGGGGTTAATCGGCGGTCTCTTCTATAATCAACATTCTTAGAAGCACGTAAACGGAATACAAGCTATATAAGTACCGTCTGATGAGTGATGTTGTAATGATTCTTGGTACTAATGTAGACTTTGAAGTGTATACAAGAATTAGGCAAACTTCGCTGGCAAGATGACGCACGCTACGGATATTTCAAAGCTAGGAACAGGAACACAGCTAACGCTTGTGGGCAGAAACACCAAAGACCAACACGGATTTGTCAATCCACCGCTGTATAAGGGCTCAACAGTCATCCACAGCACTCTGCATAGTCTTGAAAACAAAGGCGGTAGGTTTTTCTACGGAACTGCTGGCACTCCAAGCATCGAAAACCTAGAAAATGCTTGGAACCATTTGACTGGGGCCGCAGGAACGGTTTTGTCTCCTTCGGGACTAGGATCGATCGCTCTAGTGATGTTGAGTGTAGTAAAAACAGGCGACCATATCTTGATATCGGATAGTGTATATCAGCCTACCAGACATCTGTGTGATGTTGTGCTGGCCAAATTCAAAGTCAGCATCGAATACTACGACCCTTTGATCGGAGTGGGTATCGAAAAGTTGATCAGACCCAATACATCGCTGATTTTCCTAGAAAGTCCCGGCTCTCAAACAATGGAGATTCAAGACATACCCGGTATCGCCAAAGTGGCCCGCAAACACGGTGTTAAGACAGTCCTCGATAACACCTGGGCTACGCCGCTCTTTTTTAAGGCCCATGCTCACGGAGTTGATATTAGCATCGAAGCAGGCACCAAATACGTCGGGGGCCACTCAGATCTGCTTCTTGGATTAACATCGGCAAATGCCGAATGTTTCCCCGCGCTCCGCAGAACCTACGAAACGTTTTCGATGATGCCAGGTGCTGAAGACTGTATGGCGGCGTTGAAAGGACTGCGGTATCTGCAATTAAGAGTCAAAGAAGCCGAACGGAAGGCCTTGTATTTGGCAAAATGGTTGGAGACCAGGCCAGAGGTGGTCAAAGTTCTTCATCCGGCACTCGAAGGCAGCCCTGGCCACGAATATTGGGTTCGTGATTTTGAGGGATCCACGGGTGTTTTCACTATACTGCTTCGTGAAGGCTTCAGCAGAAAGAATTTCGAAGCCATGCTCGAGAAGACGACTGTATTCAAGCTGGGATTTTCGTGGGGTAGCTATGAGTCGCTTTTGACAACAGTCAATCCTACATCATACAGAACCGCAACAACTTGGGACCACAAAGGTGCAGCAGTGAGACTTCAAATCGGAATGGAGGATCTAGAGGATTTGCAGCGCGATCTGGAACTCGCATTCGAACGTTTAACTGCACCTCCAAACGCCCGTTTGTGACCACTTTCAGTGTATAGGTACTTATGCATATCATAGGCACGGACTTCTGGGCCAACGCGTCGGACGGCGGCTAACTGACGTAGCGCATTTATAGAATAACAAGTCTTTGTATTTATCGATTTCATTCTCTACACTGAGGTCGAAACAAACACTGATTTTGTAGGATCTCTCTAAGCAACTTCATAGTGCACAAACCAAAAATCTTATCTTTTCGAGCACTTGTGAAAGCTGTGAGTCCTGCTGTAGATTATAGTGAAGCATGTAAATACATGAGCTGCTTATTCAGACAGTCAACGTAAAGCTGCTTTACAAGCCGCGAATAGCTATACAAAGTTTGTCATTTTCAACCGCAGGTGGTTAAATTCTACCATAAAGTCCTCCCACAATTGATCCTCAGTCATCATTCGTACTAGATTTGATAGAGAAGACAAGGAATTTTGATACTTACTATGTAAAGACCACTACCTGCGCCAAGCCTAAGGCTTCGATATAATGGCCTGACAATCGCTGTCGACCACCACCTTCGAATGTTTGCACCTTCTGAATCGTAAGATTTTCACATCTTATTTACTGTTGTGTCTTCGTAACTTGATAATTGTTCGTACGTTTAAGCAAAATGAAAGAAAGAAAAAAAGATTCAGTTCCTCACTTTTTGTGCATCATATCGGCCTGATTTTAGCAATATGGTTTTCTCAAGACAGAATGATTAGTCCCTCAAGAACCTTGGGCTGATTTCTGAGCTCTGCTTGATGCTGACGCTTCTTTACGCTAAATGTGCTTTCTTTATCGGTGAAACTTCGAAAACGTAATTAAAGTGGTTTGCAGATCGTCCACCACTCGTTCGTTCGACTGCTGGCAATAGGAAGAGCCATTGCGTTATCGCATATCCATTTCGAAACAATGTCTGCCACTTGTCCGAGCTGAATCACAGGAGATTGACAGAATACTGACTGCACGTTCCTTAGGCTTCATTTGTATGTTGGCATCTACAAAAGCCACGGATGAATAATGAATCCTATCATTTTATATCAAGGGAAGACAAGCTGAATCTTTAAGTGCTCAAAACCCCACGGAAAGCTTCACAATACTTTCTGCCGAAGTTTCGCGGTTTGGACAACGGGGCTTTCCCTTGACACATTTATTAATGAAAGTGATCTTATGATATTTGTTAATGGCAACATTGACATCGACGTCGAAAAACCGCGGTTAACGAAATGCATATCGATCATGGAAAACCTACTGCCCTCGACATTGTGCTACCTTACGCTGGAACTTTTTCAAAGCACACCATCCACCAAATTCGAGTTGAAATGATCAAACGCATCTTATTTTCCACCGGTCACAAGTGAACAGAAAGATGAACATCACACTCGCCAATTGTGCGTGTGGATTTGACAAAATGATGCGGATGTTAGTGAAATTTGCCCCAGAACTTTGTTGGCTGTTCCAGCTTCAATAAAACCGGTGCCGATACGTCCAGGTATTGAACTAAGCCCTGTTAGATCACGGCACTAAACGGACGAAGCCATGACTGCCAGTTCAGTGCCGTGAAAACCCGATGCCGATACAGCTTCAACATAGCCTCAGACACGATTCAAATGTCGAACCCGTATTTTCCACCTACACTCTCAGATAGTTCCAGCTGCATTCAATGCTTGCAGCAACCTCTTAAACATCTGATTGTTGGAAAGCGCAAACGGAATGAGCCTCAAACGGAAGGATGGCACCGCCCCATCCTTCTGTCCCTCCTACGTCCTAACAATTCCCAAAATCTACGCTTCATCCAAAGTCCGAATAATTTCCGGATGCTTCCGTCTCATAATCTTCTGTCCTACTCATCTTTTAATACACCTAAGGCATAAACTTCGGTGCGGAATATAGCAAGACAAGAGAAAATTACGAAGTGGCCAAACTACACATGCAGAGAGAAATTTACGCTCAAATCCAACTAGGCACCTAACCATAGTTTTTCAATCCGCCCTGATGGTGACAATAGTGCCGTTAAACGCTGTTTGCTCACTTCATTTCCTGTTCTCTCTGGTAGCACCCGGTTCAGCTCATTATCTCCATTATCTCCGCTGTTCTTTCACCACGTTAAACGTGATTCAAAATTGGTGAAGGATTCCGATGGCATTATGACAAATTCATCGATCTGGTGCATCTACATATAACAAAGCCTTTAATTTCGCCAAGAGTACCGGAGATTAAATCTAAATGAGTATCTCATCAAGTCTTGGCAAAGTAACAGGAAGATGGTAAGTCTTACAGCTAACAGAAATGTTTCCTCGAGGCAATCACAACACTCGAGCGAATCCGTTACTGATGGTTTCATCACTCCTGAAAGAGACATGGAGAATGAGGCAGGCAAGAGTGAGAGTATAGGTCCAGAATCGGAATCTGACCCAGAAGGCAACGGTAGGTTTTTGGTCGAGTTCATGGATGATGACCCTCAAAAGCCACTCAACTGGAGTGTGAACAAAAAATTATACCACACGATGATCTATGGTATTGCTACGTTTGCAGCGCAGTTCAATTCAACAACCACGGCACCGTCAGTTTTACACTTGGCACATTACTTCGATGTGAGCACAGAAAAGGCCTTGTTGTGCACGTCGCTGTACGTGATAGGTGTTGCTTTTGGACCGATGTTCTTCGCACCGCTTTCAGAAATGTACGGACGGAAAATAGGTGTGTTTGTCCCGCTGTTTTTGTCCATGGCGTTCACGTTGGGATCTGCAAGATGTAGCGACTATCCCAGTCTTCTCGTTACCAGATTTTTTGCCGGGTTTTTTGGAGGCAGTCCGGTAGTGTCGTCTGGTGGGGTTCTTGCAGATATTTGGCCAATAAGCTTAAGGGCGGTGGCTTTGGTATTTTACGCAGTGTTCGTTGTGTGCGGTGTTACGGTAGGACCAGTAATATCTGCTTTGCTAACTTACCAAGTTGGCACCGATGAGTGGCGATGGCCCTTGTGGTTTATCTGCATTGTACAAGGTGTTCTTCTTATAGTCGCTGCTTTGACAGTTTCTGAATCGTATGCCGGGGTAGTACTTGCAAAAAAGGCGAAAAAAATACGTAAGGAATCTGGAAATTGGGCATACCATGCAGCGCACGAAGAGTGGGACCTGGACTTCAAAGAGTATGTTAGTATTCATCTTTTAAGGCCCTTCGCGATGCTTGCAACTCCGATTGTGTTTGCGCTCGCATTATTCGCTAGTTATGTTTTTGGCGTCTTGTACCTAATCGTAACTTCGCTACCTTTGACCTTCGAAATGACAAGAGGTTGGAAAGGCACTGTCACTAATGTCCCTACTCTTTGCATGCTGATCGGCGTTCTATTCGGTGGTTCCGCCAACGTTTGGGGAGCTTTAAGGTATAGAAAAATACTGCTGAAAAATAACGGTGTTCCAGTTCCAGAGGAAAGGTTCCCACCTATGATGATGTTTGGGTGGTTAATGCCTGCTGGAATGTTCATATTTGCGTGGACTTCACAAGAGAGAATACATTGGATTGCGCCCTGCATAGGTATCGTAGTCATGTCCATTGGATTTTTCGTCATTTTCCAAGGCTGCCTCAACTATCTGGTCGATTCGTTCACGAAGTATGCGGCGTCTGCTATTGCTGCCAATACGTTTTTAAGGTCAATTCTGGGCGGAGTTTTTCCTCTTTTTGGGCGCGCTCTTTTTGAAAACCTAGGGGTGCCATGGGGTGCCTCGACAATTGCATTCATTACCCTCGCAATGATACCTATACCATTTGTTTTCTATGCTTTCGGCGCAAAAATTCGCGCGAGAAATCCTTACATTAAACGAGTCAGTTAGTATGTCACAGGCTACATTTAGCATAAACCTTCTATCCCCGGACGGAGGTCGCAGTGTGGGTTTCAACACCAAATTAGTCAAAATTTTAACGTGGCGGTCTCCTGCAGCTTTTGGCTTGTTCATTGTATCTACTGATTGGAGGTTGGTCAAGCCGTTCAACGTTTTTTGTACCGTCTGAATTGAATACACAGCTAGCGTGCTATACCTGAGACTCAGGACACAAAACCTTAATAGATTCGAAACTTCACTAGAGTTTTTCTGCTGCACTCCACGCTTAATCGAAAAATCTCACTACAAGAATAGTGATCAACGCAATTGACCAGAAAGTTTCTCCGTTATTATGTTACGTCAAACTCAGTGCAGAAAAGGCCTGTTCTTCTAACCAAGTCATAAAATGATTGCATTGCATTATTTTGCAATCAACTCCCCGCCGCTGATCGATTTGTCGTCTGTATGTTCTCAAATTTATAGATTCATCGCCAAGCAGACCGAGCCTCATTTTCTTTCTCAACCCATAAACTTTACTGCTGACCTTTTAAGCACGTCCTTCTTCTGTAACATAGTAGATCACGGTGGAGAAGAACGCTCTGTGAGCTGTTCTTAGGAACACATCATCTTAAACACCTTTTAGTTAAGAAACATTCTGTCCATTTCTTGTTAGCTGTTGGATGCTGATCGAACACTAGCGCCGAAGATTACGATCTCGGTGTAGTTAAATCAACCAAACTATAACCCTGTTTGTGCCCTTCGATGATACGGCGAGACAAGTCAGTAGACGGATTGTCTTCCCTGCCCTCGAATCGAATACAAGGCATGATAGAATTGCCAAGAAAATGCCTGTTGTACAGGATTCAGCAGACTGCTGCAGTTAACGTATACGATTCTATGTGTACTCGTGTACAATAGAAGCTCCATGTACACTGTTCAAGCAAAACGATGCGAGACGCTCTTGGAGCTTTTCGAGACAAATTGGGATCCATTGAGGTATTCGGGATACAGCAACTCTTCCACAGAATTGCGCAAGCCAGAGAGGTAGCGTAGAAAGTTTTACTTCTTTCAACATTGAATATGGCGACATTTAAACTCAACCCATATCGACGCAAGTGTGTACAAGATGCATACTGGAAAGCTCTTTATCCTAGCTAGAGAAAATTGGGAAGGCGAAAGCACTGATGCCGGGTTCACTTAATCCAGGGTACATTTATCACACTGGGCGGTTAGTTAGCGCTGTAGAAAATACATCGTTATTCGAGAAAGTGAATTTTCCTCGAAATCATAGGAAGAAGATATCATACTTTATGTCTTAGGCAAGTAGCTTGTAGGGAAATTTCGTAGTCCTCTAATCGACAAAGAGGCACAATGCTTCTCAAACAATGTGTAGGGTATGTACACCCATCAATCTTAGTCAAGCTTAATGACCAGTTTTTCAGCAGAGACACCCTTTTTTAGCTCTTCGAGTCCGTTTTGGACTGCTCCCAAACCCTCTCCGATCACACGGGAAGGAGGCGATGGGACAAAAGAGCCATTCTTGAGTCCGGCTGGGAGAAATCTAGCGAATACAGCTTCCCCAACTCCACTGCTTTTCAGCTCCCCGGGAAAAACGAACTTGCAACCGACACCATCTGGCAACTGTGCTGGTGGTGCGTTGGCACTAGCAACAAACTGTTTGCCCCTAACCTGAGCTATGATCTCAGCACATGGACCTGCGGTGTTCAGTCCTATTGCCAGCGCTCCCGCACTCTTCTTGCCACTGAAGGCCTTGACAATGTCCTCGACGACAGTACTGCTGTGGTAGTCGAAGACTTTACTGGCACCGAGCTTCTTTAGATAGTCCCAATTCTTGGGTGAGGAGGTCGAAATAACCTCATAGCCCGAGGCAACTGCCAACTGGATGGCATTAGTCCCCACGCTGGAGGCTCCACCCCAAATCAAAATAGTCTCGCCAGTGGCACGAGGTTTTGACGCCGCTGGATAGGTCAGGCCGAGATACTCTTTCTCGTATAGGCCACATGCAGCAGTAGCGACAGCAAGCGGGATCACCGCTGCATCTTCGAAAGAAACTGTACTGGGAATAGTCGAAGCCAAGTTGGTATGCAAAATAGTATACATTTGGAAAGCGCCTTCCGCTGCCCTGTTAGACTGCCAAGCAGAAGCCATGCCTAACACATTATCTCCGACTTTGAAGTTGGTGACACCCGGACCGGTTTCCACAACTTCCCCTGCTACGTCATTACCGAGAATGCAAGGATATTCGGTCCATGCCAAAATTGCATTGCCCATGGTCTGTCTAGCCCAGTCAACAAGGTTAAGGGCTACTGCATGATTCTTCACCAAAATCTCATTGGCGTTGGGAGATGTGTATTCGGCTGGCTTTACCTCCAAAGGAGTTGCTTTTTCGGCCGTCAGCCATGCGGCAGTGTTAGTAGGCATTTTGGGGTATTTGAAGTGCTAAGGTAAGGTAGGGATAAACATGTTATTTTCGGAGTTTTCATGCCTGCTTGGCATTGAACATTTATCTACTTATACCTTCCTGGTCGACATGCCAACTGCCTGGAACTCTTGCCAAGCCAAACTGTCCTTCTAACGACCCGGGACTCGATCCGTGGATGGCACAAGGTTCTTAGGAACAACTTCCACGGGAAGTTGTAATTTCACGACAATGACGTTTAAATTCCGCGGCCGCCAAGCACATACTTCTTTTTAGAAGCTCTTTCGTCAACCTGAATACGTTGCCCACCCTAACGCCAATACAGCTCTTCTCAATGGCCAATAGTACCGTATTTTGAAAATTAAAGTGTTGACTTTTCTGGCTTCCGTGGAAGCCATGTCAGATAATGTTAACTCGCTTCATATCATAGCAAACCATAACTTTCTTCGCTCTTTCTGTATTCAGACTTTCAAGCTTTATGTCTAGCTTTATTTGACAATGTTGTGGTGTCTACTACAAGTTTATTCCCTTCAACTCAATCTAGCCCATCTGCCTTGAATAGTAATAACATTTGTAAAGGCGAAGGAAACAAAGAAATCGAATGAATGTGACACGATTATAGCAGATACTTCGAGCGAGAAAACATCAAGTTTGTAGGCTATCAGGATGTGTAACGGTTTTTAACGACCGCAGCTTTGACATGCTTGCTCTATCATCTGTAAGCTGTCACTTGGACACAGTTTGTAAAATGAGAAAAGCTAAGAACTCCTTTATCAACAGTAGCAACTCTCTCCGTGGTAAATTAAGCAAATAGTGACCTGAAGTACGTGAAGTGGTGTACTGCATGTTGATATGACAGGTGCATGCTTAAGTGGGAACTACTCGTTCCTGGCCCCAATTATCCATCAAGGTGGCATCTAAGAGCGACAAACGTTTACCATACTCCCGTTTCTAATCTCAAAAAAGCTCTCACACAATCTTTTTCCCCCTAGCATTGGGCATAACTTAGCATCAACAAGTGCATCTGTCATAACAACAATTGGGTTGGCCTATATGTATCACTATTGGAGCGAAATGCACCGCCGCGCTGTTGAAATCCCTGCCGTCTTGCTGTATGAACGCAATTGAGGTCTCGAACACGCTATTCCATTCATCTAGAGCCACCAGTAGAGGTTTCGGCTGACAAAGTAGTTTCTGGAGAGCCATCGGGCTTTGGTCATCTTTTTCACGACCTTTCTGACAGAGTTCTTGAAAGCTTGCAGCCGGGGGTTGACCAAACCAACGGAAGAATGTTCCATGTCTAAAAGCACTCTTGATTCACCCGATTTTCATCGGCTTTCTCGACTGCTTTCATAGCAGAGCAATTTCGCCGTTTTCCGTCCTTGGTAGCTCAGCAATGCTCTCAAAAAGTAGCTGTAAAATCATCAACAGTGCGATGAGTCCCATGTAAAGAGTAATCTTGATGTGGGCAAATGACATGCCAAAAATTACGAACGACACCAGTATACGAGGAATGAGTCGAACTTTTGATGGGATGTTGCTGTCACCAGCAGCATCCAAGCTTTTATCGCACAGAGCTAAAACGCTCATGCAAATGATAGCAACACCGACACCCGCACCGTAGAAAATCTGAACAGAATGCAGGTAATCCGGTCTTTCGGTTTCGAAACTTTCGGAGTCAAAGCGCTCATTGGCGTAAAAAGAGTGTGATCTCGTAAGTGCGCCAGCTGCATCTGCCGAGATTATGAGGGAGATCATGAGTGGAACATGCACATAAATCCAACAATAAGCAGAAACTACACTGCGACGGAGAGCGTGGATTGCCTTTCTGGAGCCCTCACCACGGAAGTAAAACCACGCAAGGCAGTAGGCGACGATGAGAACACTGATTGCACGCGCAGTCCTTTCATTGAAACCGCTTGCAGCGGGAGAAGACGCTACTATGGTATAAAGATATTCTCCGAGAGCTATCACGACGAAAGCTCCATGCCTTTCCACTTCATGTTCGATATTTACTGCAGTGGAGTACCGAGCGCCTATGAGTTTTTTGAACCATGGGTGGAAGGTGATTGCGTACACGATAGTGTCATAAAAATAGCACACAGCAGCTATCGCGATCTTTCCTCGCAGAGGTGCAATGATGATAAACCCAAATACCAGAAGAGAAACGCAGGTAAAACCAGAGAACCATCTCATTTGTCGCCTGTGCTCTTTCACAAACACCGTATAAACTAGAGTGAGGAGAATTGCACTAAAGCGAGCCAAAATATAGCAGCCAACCACCAATCCGGTCTGCGCTTTTGACTCCAATACTTCAATAGCATTGTTTGCATATACCACTAAAAGTACCATGATCCAAAGAACGTAAGCCTTTTGGCTCAAATCGTTATTATAATAATAGTCCATAAACTCTCTCATGTCTGTCCATATCTGCCACGCTGCCATGAAAAGAAGGACATATTTGACAAAAGAAGCACCCGTAGCCTCTTCAATAGCAGCCTCTGCCAAGTTAGCAATGATTCCAACGTACAAGAGGTCGAAAAAGAGCTCAAATACGGCAGAACCACGTTCATTCTTAGTACGATATAGCTTGCCATCAAAGAAGTAGTTAAGTGCGTAAGGCCTAACAAAGAGTCTGTTTGTAGGTGGTGGCTCGATCCATTCCACACTCACTGGGCCATATTTTCGAACGAACTCCGAATCAAACTCGGCCTCGGACTCCATGATACAGCTGCAACTGATCAAAAACAAAATGTATGTTGATTTTTCAGAAGGAAAGGAGAAAAAGCATCAATTTGAGCAGTATTGAATCATGTATGAAAAAGGTCTTCACTGATGGGTAGGTAAAGAGGTACTTATTCTGTTGAGCATGACTTTATTTGAATTCACAGCCAGTGAATGTGAGTAATGTCAAGTGAACTGAACTGAGGGCCGAAGAGTTCAGAGGAGTGGGCACATTCTGCTTTTGTAGTGTTTTAAGATTTACATAGTTGCAGGAGGTCAATTCATAGCTATCAGACTCAGTCTCTAAGTCAGTACGGTCAAGCAGCTTAAATTGGCTGGGGGAACTTGCTGGCAAGGTATAGGGTGTTTCAGCACAATGCAGGGAACCATTTAAATGGGCGCCAATTTGAACAGTTTAGCTGAAGAATTGAACAAGTGTGATGCAAGATATGACGACGTAGAGGGCTGACTCTAGTGCTTCTTGCTAGAGGTTTCTGCTCTTGTGTGTCACCGATGGTATTTTGCCGAGCATACCTGTAGTCATAGAAGGGATGTTTGGTATTTACTGCGCTCTCAAGTTATTTAGCTGTTTTGCAGCGTTCCTCTTGACCGACACCTAACTTACAGTAGCGTTTGTTCATTATAGCTTAAACATGCCGCTAGCTGTATAACAGGCTTCTTCTCTTCACACTCTCCGTGGACCTGTCGATATTCAATTAAAAGCAGAATCTGACCAGTGGATCCTCGAGATCTTTCCTGGACCTTCTTTCGAACTGTTCACTTCCACCTAGAGATATCAAATGGCCGCTACTTCTTGGGAACTAAGAATTTCTTTAATTCATCAGCCAAACGGGAAGGCTGTTCTTCGGGAATGAAATGGCCGCAATCTTCGATGGTAGCACCCACTACTTCGCTCGAAAAAGCTTCTAAAGACTTGGCCATGTTGGGAATTGAGCCCTGGTCCGATGACACTGCAAGCAATGGCGGAGCAAGTTTACCGTTCTTGAGTAACTCTTTGTTTTGCTGAGCAGATTTTCCGCAAGCTCTATAGTAAGCCAGGCCCGCACGCAGTGCCCCAGGCTGCAAGAAGATGCGCTCATATTCGTCCAAATCAGCTTCGGTGAAAATTGTTGGATCAGCACTTTTGCGGCGAAGGAACCAGTCCAAATATACACGCTCTTTATCGCTAATTAAAAGTTCGGGCAAGTCGGGAACCGCATGAAACGGGAAGTGCCAAATGCGCCATGCAGTGTCAGGACTAGTGGGAAGCTTATCTGGGAGTGTGACTCCGGGAATTCCGGCGTCTAACAGAGCCAATCGTTCGATTTCCTCACTAAACAGCAGTGCGTACGGGAAAGCGACCCATGCGCCGACATCATGGGCAACAAGATGATACCGGGGTATTTGCAATTTCTCAACCAATCCATGGACAATTTTGGCTACCGTTGAGGTGTCATAACCATCGCCAGGTTTGTCGGAATCGCCTTGTCCTGGTAGGTCAATGGCGACGACAAAGAACGACTCTGCAAGTATGGGCATCAGTTTGCGCCACGCATACCAGCTTTCTGGAAACCCAGCAAGTAAGATAATTGGGGGTTGTCCATTACCTTTAGTTCCGGCTGTGACGTAGTGAATGCGGATCCCTTCGACGGTTTTGAATTTATGGTTCAATTGGCGAAAACTCATTGTCGTGCGTTGTAAAGGAGTGACTGGTGTTGCTGCAATAATGATTAATTCGTGTGGACGATAACTGATGGGGTGTGCACCCTCTTATACTGCCCAGCAAACGTACGGGTTGTTCATGATTTGGTCTACGCCCGTTGACGATGACTCGCTCATCAATTCAAATGCGGTTTTAGACGGGACGGGATTAGGCGGACGAGCTCAGTTAAGAGTTACAAGAATTAGTAATGGTCAAAGTACAGCTTGTATGGCCAAGAGTCATTGTAGAGGATAGAATCTGATTATCATCCGCATTGAGACTCTGTCTGTAGTCTTGTTGCACGAGTCTTGTTGCACGATCAACGTGTCATACCATTGGCGATGTTTTCCATTGTGATGGAGTTCTATTTAAATGGGGGCTAGGGCTAGCTCTCCCTAGTCTCTCAATTGTGCAGAGCTTGGTGTGGTAGGGTGAATACAGTATGCCCTTCTATACACACCTTTGGAATCGCTTCACCATCGATGGAGGTGAAAAGATTTCACGTAGATCGAGTTGGCATGACAGTAAAACAGACAATTAGTATGGATGCCATAGAAACGGGAGGTGTCACCCGTTACTCATCGAGCTGAGAACGGGGACCTCAAGTTGTTCATGGTTTTCTAGTTTCCATATAGTCTGCTACAGTGAGGAATTCACCTGCGTCGGTATCCTGCGGTTTTTAAGCGAGCGGAGTGTCGGGAAAAAAAGGCCGCTCGCTGTCAAAGTTGTCGTTTTCCAACAGGCAAGATGAGGCTTGATGGGACATCTTTTCGCCCTGCGTGTGTACTTTGCTGAACAAGTTGCGCAGGGATCTTGTCAAATAACACACTCTGAGTCGTTATCTGAGTCGTTATCTGAGTCGTTATCTGAGTCGTTATCTATATCGTAATCTAAGGTCTTATCTGAACATTTCTTTTTTTCCTCGAGACCGAAAGGTTGTTTTTGTGACGCGTGTTCGTAAAGGGCCTGAATATCCTAATTAGGCATTAAGTATACAATTCGGGTAATATGCTAGTCCGATCTCTTATCGTGCCTGCAACAAAGACGCGAGGAATTCCGTAACAATGGAATGATGATCATCATCGCAAGCTTCTTTATCGCATAGAATGCATGCAGGCACAGCATAGTAACGGAATTATCTTCTTCCAGCATTCGAAGGACGAAAAACGGTATCCTTCAGTTGGGAGGGTCTGACCTTGACGGGCCTGTCCTAGATACAAAATTTGAGGATAAAAGCTTCACAAATACTGATCAGTTGGTGGTGAAAATTGTTCCAAGGGTTCTCCTCATCAAGCGTCAAATGAAATTAGATTCCCTTCTGTTAGTGGCTTGTGCGTCTTCTTTGACTGCGGCATCGCCAATTTCTGCTCTTTGGAGAAGATTCACCGAGGACTCTCCATCAGAAGTGCAGGCTGTCAATGCTACAACCTTCACGTACCCACAAACTGAAACCGCTGAGCTGTTTCCTATGGAAACATGCCAGGGTATCACTCTAGAAGGTGCCACAATCGACCAACTCCAGGACTACCTAGGGAAGGGCGTTTTGACTTCGCAAGACATTGTTCGCTGCTATTTCAACCGCTACCTGCAGGTCGACGGTTATGTCAACAGTATCATGCAGGTAAACCCAGACGTGCTGGCCATTGCAGCGGAGAGGGACGAAGAGAGGGCACAGGGACTCGTGAGAGGACCTCTGCACGGTATTCCATTTTTGGTGAAAGATAACTATGCCACCAAGGACAAAATGGACACAACTTGTGGGTCCTGGGCGTTGTTGGGCTCCATTGTTCCTAGAGATGCCCACGTTGTTGCAAGACTGAGAGACGCAGGCGCTGTCTTGTTTGGACACGCCACGCTAAGTGAATGGGCTGATATGCGCTCGTCTGGGTATTCGGAAGGCTACTCAGCGCGCGGTGGACAATCGCGCTCTCCTTTCAACTTGACAGTCAACCCTGGTGGAAGCTCTTCTGGAAGTGCAGCTGCAGTTGCAGCAAACATGATCATGTTTAGTCTTGGGACTGAAACAGACGGAAGCATCATTGATCCAGCCATGAGAAATGGTATTGTGGGCTTCAAACCTACCGTCGGACTGACTTCCCGAGCTGGTGTTATTCCAGAATCAGAACACCAAGACTCCACCGGCACAATGGCCAGGACTATGAGAGATGCCGTGTATGCCTTTCAATCTATGTGGGGTGTCGATGCCAGGGATGTGTACACTTTGAACCAGACAGGAAACGTTCCCGAAGATGGCGATTATGTGAAGTTCCTCTCCGACAAGAGTGCTTTGAAAGGTGCAAAGTTCGGACTTCCATGGAACAAACTTTGGAGTTTAGCTAAACCAAATCAAATTCAAAGACTCATGGAAGTTGTGAAGGAAATCGAAGACGCTGGCGCAACTGTTTACAACAACACCGACTTTGGAAACCTTGACGTAATTTCAAGTAAGGGATGGAATTGGGATTTTGGACGCACAAATGAAAGTGAGTTCACTGTTGTAAAGGTCGATTTCTACAATAACATCAAAGCGTACCTCAGTGAGCTACAGAACACAGAGATGAAATCGTTGGAAGACATTGTGGAGTACAACATCAAGTACACAGGAACAGAGGGCGGTATCAACGGCACAGTTCCAGCCTTCAAATCTGGTCAGGATTCCTTCATGGACTCTCTCGCATGGGGCGGAGTGAAGAACGAAACCTACTGGCAAGCCGTTGAATTTGTTCAAAGAACCTCAAGAGAAGAGGGTATCGATTACGCGCTAAATTACACTGATTCGAGCACCGGTGAGAATTTCAAATTAGACGGTCTACTTGTTCCAAGTGGACTTTCTATCACATACCAGCAGGCTGCAAAAGCAGGATACCCTATGGTCACACTACCAGTGGGCGTTGATCCAACAAATGGCAGACCTTTTGGTCTTGGAATCATGCAGAGCGCTTGGGAAGAGTCAAAGCTTATCACTTATGGTTCTGCGATTGAAGATCTCTTGAACTACGAATGCAAGCCTCAATTTTATGAATATCTTGCCAAAAACATTCCTGTCGTCTAAGCAATTGAGGACCCTTGGTTTCACCGCACGCATAAACAGAGTTTTAAAACTTTTCGTTCGTTGTACCATAATAGATTTGAAGCCATTAGTAATGCTAAATACCTGTTTGCCGACTTTTTACTGTCAATTCCATATCCATTCGTGATCTCGGCTCATTAACAGCCTAATTCACGGTTCTTTCGGCCACTTTTGTATAGCTTTCCTTTGCAAAGATGCTAAATCCTAGGCTGTTATGAAGTTGCAGGCAATGAAAATTCGAGCTGATGTAGCATGTACAAGAAAGGCTCTGAATGTAAAGGAAAAAACTTTCCAATGTCCTATTGCATAAAATTAAAATCTAGGGTTATTAAATTCCTTAAGCTTCCTCGCTTTTCTTTTCCGCGATTTCCTCGACGACTGATCCTTTTCCACTTGTAGTGACACCGTCGGCCTCTTGCCCATACAAGACCACGTCAGTTTCAATCTTGTGTTCCTTTCCAACAACTCTCCGGTAGAAATGGTATAAAGCGGAACGGCTCTCATAGATGGGGTAGAATGTAATGTAAAAGAAAGCCACGAAAAGCCAGATGATGCTTACGACGATCCAGCCCCTGAAGAAAGGTTTGGACATAATGTATTTCTGACCATACATTGGGAAGGGAAGTACAAATGTGAATGAGATCCAAATGCAGAAAACACCAACAGCAGCCCACTTGAAAACTTTGTCTAGCTTTTCCTTTGTTACTTTATCCAACCGCATCAGATTCTTCTCCTGGGCGGTTGCATCATCTGCGACCTCGAATTTGTCTTGGAGCTCTTCCAGCGAATTGCCGGCAGGGAAAAAGAAGCTTATGATAACACAGTAAAGAACAGTAGCACCAAAGGTTGAAAAGTTGGCAATAATGGTTGAGTTCACCAGGCCAAGATTGTCCTTGTTAATAGCTCCGTAAAAGTGCTTACACGCTCCAAGCCAACAACCAAGACCGGTGAATGAGCCCAGTGGTAGAGCATAATAGAAACAGTAAGTGCTCATTCTTGGCCAAAACAATGTCAGTGTGATACCAACGGGAGCGGCACCCAAAATAATACCAATGAACGTCAAAATCCATGAAATGGTAATCCCAATATAGTTGAACATAACCGTCAACCCTGCAATGAACAACGCAAAGGCCACAACGGAAACATGGGAGACGGTAACTAGCTGCCTTCCAGTAGCATCTGGCTTGATATAAGCTCTGTAAACATCATAAGTCATGACCGAAGAAAAAGAAACCAATTCCGCTGAGAGGGAAGAAGTACAAGACAAGAAAAGAACCAAAATACCAGCAGCGGCTCCCGACTTGCCCATTATCGCGTAAAGACCATAAAGAAGTGGCATTCCCATATTAACTTCCAAAGGAGGAATTAGGTTTGGGTAAGTTGCCGAAACCGGATTGTTCGTGAGCGCTAAAGCTGCCAAAGCTGTGCCAAGACCGAAACTCCAAGGAATGATAAACCAGCACAGCGATCCAATGACATAGCCAGAAATTGTTGACATCGGCTTTGCAGCAATTGCTTTTTGGCCATAAGAGGGATCAGCAAACACTGTCGCCCATCCACTCATGATCTGACTCCAAGCCAACATCACGAGAGCCTTGTTAGAGAAGGTCAAATAACTCCCCTCATGTCCTGCTGATGGATGAGTTTTCGAAACAGTTTGCAAGAGATCCCACATTCTATCAGTTGACCCAATGAGATTAGAGGTGCCATAACAAATGAGGAGGGAGGATATGATAACCAAATAAATTACAACCGTGTGAATCCAATCGCTCAGGAATGTGCTTTTGAGGCCACCCAACATTGTGTAAGCCGCAACGCTGACGGGGAAAAGGAAGGCGCAAGCCACGATGTGGATATCAGCAACGTGGGCAAAAGCCTGTGAACAACCTAACAAAAGCATACTTGCTATGATAGTATTAGTGCCACAGGAGTAGAACAGATACACGCAATGTGCTGCCTTGCCATAACGGGCTTTCACGATTTCCACGATTGTATGCGCACCAGTGGCCTTTCTCTTCATTTGCAGGGCAATTAGCGTGAACAGCATCGAGTGACTGATCCCGCTAATTCCGTACCAGTAGCCACCGGCAACACCATACTTGTAAGTGTAGACACAAGACGAGAGAAGGGTACCGGGCCAACACCATGATGATACAACGGCTGAAGATATCAGACCAGATTTAATTGATCTAGAAGCAGTTGAGAAATGTTCAGAATCCTGAACCTCTCCCATATACTTCGTCAGTACCCTAGTAACGAGTATCATAATTAGTGCGAAAGCTGCACCTAGACCCACGACAAAGCCATAGCCGTACCCGGCGTCTAAGATTTGAACCATTGTCCTGTGATGATTTTAAGAAAGGGGAGCAAGCAACTTTGGATTTTCTCCTTCAGACCTCAGCTGAGAACAAAACCCGTTCAATTTATGGGTTTCAGTTTGCGATGCTAAAGCTATCTTACTTCAAGTTCTTTGAGTTGTGAGTTGCCCAGTATAGTTACTTGTCATATCGCTTATCTCTTCCGCCAAGTTTCTCACAAAGCTTGGCCTTCTTCTGTTTGTAAGCTCCTCGAAGTAAGCGTACCAGTCATTGCAAGGTCACCAATGTGGCCTTGGCAGATGCCCCCTGGCCATTTCGCTAGATTCAGGCAGTAACTATCGCCTACAAACCGAGCAGCGTTCTAGATCTTTATCACAAGATTCTTATCTTTATTAACAATCATTAAATTGAGTGAACAATGGGAACCACTTATCATGAAATCCATTATCGGAAATGACTGACATGGTATCTTCTCGGACCGAACTGGCCGAAGTTCCGAATCTCTTAAGGTTGTCGCTGTTCACCATCTTGAAATGTTATATGTGAGAAAGATCCAGTACCCGTAGATCTCTCCATTTGGCTGATAAAATTGAATTAAGCTTTACTCAGTCACTACTAATCTGTGTGTTCGAGTAACACTTAACATGTCAATTGTTTCTTTGAAAGTTTCTGAGAATAATCCAGTCACAGAGAAAACCGTGAAAACACAGCTGGACAACCTTGGAGTGTCACTTCTACCAGGCGAAGATGAAGATTTCCAGAAATTTTTAGCGGGTGCGCACGAAACTGCTCTAATTGTGGACGCCATGAGCGACTACAAGCCTAAAACGGACCTAGAGCGGTTTCCCAGAAAAAATGTGCAACCTGTGTTGGCCAAAGATGAGCTGGGCGCGTGGGTTTACAAGTTTGACCTGCAAGATGCGCTTGAAAACAAGGGCCCACTAGCAGGGGTTTCCATCTGCATAAAAGACTGTGTCGGTATTGCGAATATTCCTCAAGTTATGGGAACCGATTGCTGGGAACCTTGGGTTCCATCGGCTGATGCAACAGTGGTGACCCGTCTGTTAGAAGCGGGTGCTAAAATCGCCGGGACTTCCAATTGCGAGCAGCTTTGTGCCTTCACAGGAAGTCATACGTCGTGTCTTGGAAATGTACACAATCCTTATTTGCACGGCCATTCGGCTGGTGGAAGTAGTTCTGGCTCTGCTGCGCTGGTTGCCGCAGGTCAAACAGATATGGCTTTGGGTGCAGATCAAGGAGGCAGTATCCGAATTCCGGCTGCAATGTGCGGCTTGGTGGGACTCAAACCGACGTTTGGTCTGGTTCCATACACTGGGATCACCAGCAATGAGTACACGCTCGACCATGTGGGACCTATGACAAAAACAGTTCAAGAAAATGTCAACCTCTTGCAAGTACTAGCTGGCGCTGATTATCTGGATGATCGCCAGTCTTCAGTTCCTTGCGTACTGAACTTTGAATTTAAGACGCCTCGAAAACTAACCGTAGGTGTTTTGACGGAAGCTTTTGACGCACCCTTCTTGGATGAAACCATGAAGACAAAAGTACTGTCTGCCATCGAAAAGTTCAAGGAAGTGGGGTATGATGTTGTGGAGATTGGTGTTCCAATGCACACGCAAGCTCCGCAGATTTGGTCTGTTATCGAAAGAGTTTCCGGACTCAACTCTCGGTTGGGACATCCAAGTGGAAGACGGCTGTATTCGGACCCCGAGTTCTTCAAGCACACGCATGGTCTGGGTGAAAGGTTTTTCTCGAAAGCACCTGTGAACGTGCGGAATAGTATCATCAGTGGACTATACTTGAACGAGAATTTCCCTGGTATTCATGCTAAAGCTACCAACTTAGTATTAAAGCTGCAATCTGAGTACAATAAGGCGCTATCCAAAGTCGATCTTCTAGTAGCGCCAACAACCCCATTTTGTGCGCCCCCTCACGGCCCTCGGGAAGGCTCACCTTTCGAAAGAGTTAGTAGTACTTTCGGTATCAACAGCAACACATGTCCGTTCAACATATCCGGACACCCTGCTCTCAGTTTGCCAATCGGATTTATGACATGCAAGGAATCGCCGTCAAGCAAGCTTCCCGTGGGTATGCAAATTATTGGCAAACATTTTGATGAATCAACAATTTACACTGCCGCTTATGCATGGGAGCAGCATCTCGATTGGCGTTCGAACTAAAATCTCCAAGTCGCCTCGTGAATATGTTGTTCAATTGAGAGGAGAGGGATTTGATTTAACAGTATGGTCAGATCGTTGCCTGTGTTTACAAATGTAGTTTTATTGCAGGAATTGTCTCGACAAAAGTCTTCCATCGGGAATGGATGATGGGCATGGCATACCCATCAGACCGCGGCCAAGCCAAAATTATGATCCAGATCAAGTGATTAATTTGACAAAATTGAGCGGAGGAGAGACAAACGGTTAGTGCATTTCTTCCACAACTGTCGAGGAGTTTTCTCATTTAATACTTTCCGCCCATTCCATCTCATCGCACTTATCAAGAACTTCGCTGCACCAAGGTTGTACTTTAATAAGATTGAATGCCAATTAAGTCGACTTAAACAAGAATTTAATATGAATCACACTCAAGGTTTACGTCTCAAACTGTCAGCCAAATCAACAACCTCTATTTACCTTACACTTTTGTTAACCCTCTTATCATGATTGAAAGTGAGTAGTTTTCATGTGAATCTTGTTGAGCATGTAAATGATATTCATCATATTTGATTGTCTTAATCTCTGAGCTGCGTGTTAAGAATTCATGAATACAGAATGATGGAATATGTACAGGTTACTTTCCTCTCACTTCGAGCACCGTCACGAGATGGCGATCACTTCGGTATGTATATGACGCTCTGCCGAAGATGCGAGTCTGACTTACAGCTATAATCTTCTTATGATTCGAGCCCTCTCCGCCCGATAATAATGGACAGCTTCCAAGATGGCTGTCTCTTGTAAACCAAAAATACTCCATTTCTCCATGAGTTACATATAAGAGCTAAAAAAAGATGCTATCAAAGCACATATCTGAACTCCAAATTCTCTTTGTCAGTCAGGTCAGCAAACTCAGAATTCTCCTCGTGGTCTAGCAGTCCTTCCTGAACCAACTTATCCCTTCTTTTGTTTTCGCGGCTGTTCACAAAATAGAGGGCTGGCAGCGTTATCAAAGTAAGACAGTAAAACGCGACCATGACTATTTTTGCTGGACGGTAACCTGGCGCATCTTGATCCTGGAAGGTTTGGGGCCCAATGAGATTGCCCACGCAATATCCAATCAAATATATGGCACCAACTGTCGTCTTCTTAGTGTGCCCAGAAACATTTGACGAAACAATCGAAAACATGACGATCATCGCTCCTGGCGAGACCATCAGTAGGTAGTAGCCGGCTAATTGTGCTTTTGGTGGTCCAGCAAAAGACATCAAGCAAGAACCCACTAATGCAATGACAGTCGTTATAGACGCAAGAACCATTCTGTTTTTCACAAACGGAGAAATTAGACCGAACGCTATCAAACCCACAAACTCGCATGCACCAGCAGGCAAACCCATCAATAAGGTCATGGATTCGTTGTAACCCATAGTTCCCTTGATAAGAATAGAGGAAAACGTTCCGATTCCCCCGTTAGGGATATTCAGTGCGACAGAAGAGATAAACATGATCCATGTGCGCACATCGGTAAGTGCCTCGATGAACTGGTAACTTTTGAACTTGTGATTTCCCACACCTTGTTGATTTTGACGTAATCTAAGAACGATCAATTCCTTTTCGGCGTCATTGAGGAATCTCGACTTGAACGGATTGTCAGGTATAACAATTAGGAAGAGAATCCCAAGAAAAATTGTAATAACGCCGCAAATGATAAAGACCAGTTTCCAACCAGCTATGGGTAGAGATTCCTCTCTTTCAGACAGACCGTATGCCATCGCACCACCAATAATCTGTCCTAACCCGTTGAAAGCAACCCAAAAGGAAGTTCTAGAACCCTGTTGTTCACGATGATAGTACTGCGCTGTTAAGAGCATAAATCCAATTGAAGTACTGGATTCCATCATTCCAAGAATCGTTCTGATAGCAATGAATCCAGCATAATTTGCCACGGAAGTCAATGTCAAGATAACGCCCCAAACAATTAGAAACGCGGCCAGAGTTTTCGCCAGTGGAAATCTCTGCAGCATCCAAGCAGCCGGATACTCGAAAACAAGATAGCCCAGGTAAAAACTGGTTCCCGACCAGCTGTACATGTTTCCCACCATATTCAAATCTGTTCTCAGTCCCATAACTGCAGCGTAAGACATGGACGTTTTGTCGAGAAATTGGGCTGCATATACTAGAGCCATGACAGGAAATACAATCAAGTCGATTTTTCTTGTCAACTTTCGATCGGCATCCGCATCGATTTGCTTGTCATAGGACAGCTGAAGGGCAAAATCCAGGGCCTCATCAGCATCTGTACGTTGAAGAGTTCCTGGTAGTCCTGAGCTAATATCTATGGCTTCCAGGGATCCCTGCTGCAAGTCTTTAACATTTTCCTCGTAAGTTTCCTTCTTATCCCCAGACATCTTCACTTCTTAACTCGATCTAATGAGTGTGCGAAGTGTTGGTATCTACATATCATACATAAGGTTGTCCAAGCAGCACATTTCTGTCCATCGGACTGGTTCTTTATAGTTGAACAGCCGAAGTGCGAATTTGGAAGTTAATCTAGATAACAGACCAATTTGCAACTGGTTGACGCATGATAGGGAAGATACCCGAAAAAAAGGGGCCATCAAATTACTTTTGTCGCATCCCCTAATTCTCCGATAAGCCAAAAGAGGAATTACTGATAAGAACTTGTATCTCGGGAGAGCACCCTATCCATCAGCTCGAAGCTAACGATAATCAGCACAGTAATGACAGGTTCAATCACGGCAGCATTGAGCAGCATTAATATTCGGGAGAGTACCCTATCTAGTAGCCTGACGCTAAGAGGTGGGCAATGTGCATTGAAATGCAATGATATTCATGGAGATTACCACTCCAATTGTCTTCGGAACTATAAAAAAACCCTCTCCATCTCAACAGTCTCCTAGATTCCTGCCCCAAATTCAACTGAAAACAGCACGACGAACGAGATCCTGCGAACTCAGCGAAAGCAACGTTAATTCAATCATGTACGAATCTCCTGTCATTGATGATTCAAAGCTAACCACGACGGAAGTAGATGGCTTAGGAAAATTAACAGCATTGACCATCTGCGATCAAAAATCGCGGGAAAAGTGCCATCGCTACACTGGGATAAGATATGCAGAGCCGCCTGTTGGCCCGCTCAGATGGAGAAGACCACAACGCTTACCAGAAGATTTTGACTATTCTGGAGACTATTCCTCGTTCAAAACAATTTGCCCACAACCGTTCTACAATAACAGGGGAGGAAAACCCAATCCTGAATTTAAGTACGACGAAGACTGCCTTTTTTTGAATATCTGGGTTCCAGCTGGTGAGCCACCAGCCGGAGGATGGCCAGTATTGTATTTCATTCATGGCGGGTGGTTGCAAGTTGGAAATCCGATACACTATCGCCAATGTGACCCTCAAGATTTGATGGCTGAGGAAAGTCTGGACAAATTCATTTTCGTGTCGCCAGGATACAGACTAAACATTTTTGGATTTTTGTCCTGCCAAGACCTTTTGGATGAGGACAGTGAAAATTCCAACTTTGGCTTCTGGGATCAGCGCTTAGGCCTTGAGTGGGTCTACAAGCACATAGCTAAGCTTGGGGGGAACAAGGAAAATATTACTGTTGGTGGGGTAAGTGCTGGTTCATACTCTACCATCTTTCAGGTAACGTATGAACTATATCATCCCGAAGTCACCCAGATTATTAAAAAGGCACTACTCCTGTCCAACGGCTTGGCAATTCAACCGAAAACGATCCCAGAGTGCAGTGAACAGTATGAGGAGGTACTGAGCGTATTCAATGTTGACCCAAATCTTCCAAGTGCTGAAAGACTGAAGTCATTGCGTGAAATTCCTTTCCAAACCATTGCCAACAAGATTCTTGATTTCAATCTTCACACTTTCAGGGGTGTTACCGAAAATGACATGGTTCCTCCCCAAATGTTCAGCGATATTTTGGATGGTACTTTTGGAGTCAAAGCTAAAGCCTCAGGAATATCTTTCATTATTGGGGAGGTGATCAATGAACATGCAGTGTATGCGAATACCAACCCACCAAGGAGCACCGAGGACTTATTCAATCAAATCAATAATTACTACCCCAAACCTGTCACTGAGGCTCTTCTACAGCTTTATCCCGATCCTCCCAGCTCTAAAACCGAAGAGGAGCAGCTTGCAAATATCAAGTTTCTTTACGGCCGGATCATCAGTGACTTGCAGGTATACGCTTCAAGTCGTGTTTTGGTTAATAGTTTGATCAAAGGAGGCGTCCCGTCCGAAAAAATCAATCGTTACCAGATCGCGTTTAGAGGAGCATTCTTTGACAAATATGAACCACCGGAGATGCTCGTGCCTCATGCTGGAGATATGGGCATTTGGTTTTATAACGTGGTTGACGGTATTCTGGAGCAGGAAAAGCCGCTATACCTTTCCTGGCTGAAGCCTTATTGCGGGTGGCTCAGTAGCGGAATCATGGACTGGGGTCACACAGATCCCAAACAAATGCGAGTATTCAGTCCTGACGGATCAATCACCATCGAAACTGACTCAAACTGGGAATGGGGGATGACCGTCGGGAATACAGTTGGAAACGCACTAGGCCATAAATCTATTCTCCCCCTCGCTTAGAGAGCCTGACGACTTACAAGCGTCTAGGGTACCGGATAGGAGCAAAAATTATTGATCCGCGCTGAAATCTATGCTTCGGCTAATGGATGCTGATTAGCAGATAGTTTTTGTACAAAATACGTTTGCGTGTGTTTTCTAGAGTCATATTTCACCTTGATAGCATTCAAACCCTCTTTTTGAGAATCTATACGTGTTTGAATCCTTAATGTTTATACTGGTTGTGGGACTCACAGAGAGTCTCTCGAGAGTTTTCACACGATAATCATTCTGATACCCCTGTCATTGTCCTTCATTGAGAGTGAGTCATCATTGGTTAGCAAATGTAGCCGATAAGTGAATCTTTCAGTACTGTGGCGAGTGCAGAGAGAATGGTCGCGTGGGTTAGTTGGATTATGCCCTTCTACACATTTCTGCGCATCATTGCACCATCGACAAATCAAAGTTGGTATTCAGATTGAGATATAAGAGCGGTCAACAGACTATTCGTGCTCTGGTTACCCTAGTGCTCATGGGGGATGATGTAAACAAGAATGACTATTCGACTATCCTGTCGCAGTAGTCGTTCCCGTAATCATGATCACTTTGTAGTGAGCCTGACGCCAGATAAAAAAACGGGATCTGACACTTGCATCCGTCCAGGCCTGACGTAACGGAAAATACGGTGAATAACGAGCCTTTGGACAGATCTTGATACGGGGTCTTACCCAACGTTCGATTGTCAGTCATCCTGAAACAAATATGCGAGAGAATAATCACGATTTAAGGGCATACCTTCGCAAAATACCGAAAGAAACCAATGCTCATCCGTAAGTGCGTCCAGAGAGGCATCAATTTTGCCCCAAGTATCATATTCAGGTTCGCTATTGTCACTGGGAGGCATGGTGTCCATAAAATTATCCTGACCTATTCCATCAGCAATTCCAAGCACTGCTCCATCAATCCAGCGTTGATGCTTTTGTCTTTGTTCAACGGCGTCTTTCAGGTCCAAAATAACGCCTGTACTTTTCTGAGTATACTTACTATTCTTGGACAGCTGCTTTAGTATACTAACGCTTTCATTGAGTCTTCGCAATGCCTCTGTGGACGGACAAAGAGCCAAGTTAACGACCAAAACAAAAGAAGCATTGTGACAAGCATTATAGTCATTAAATGAGTAGCGAGACAATAGATTATTGGATTTCAATGTTGAAAGGACATCAACAATTTGGCTTGCTGCATCATATGAATAAGATACCATCTGAGACGCAAAATGGTCCAAGCCCTCCTCGAGATCTGTAGAGACATTCGATTCTCTTAATTTGAGTAAAAGAAAGGGCCTCCCGAGTGTTATTCTGGCTATGTTATAAGCAAAGTGTACGTGAGCCGCTCCCCTATACGATCTTTCTTCAATGGACATTGACTTCACCTCAAGTTGAGGTGGGATTTGTCGACGCCATCGCCCTATACTGTGGTAAAGGTCCATGATTGTAGCAAATTTGAATTCATGTTTACCTCTTCTGAACCACAGATCATGAATTTTGATTGTAAGAAGAGACACTGTGAAGATGAGAGTCATACAAGTGACATCAGCGTTTTCGGAGTTTTTGTCCAAGGACTCACAATACGTTGGAAGGTCTAGATCTATTTCAGAGACCGGCAGCGTTTCTGGACGCCCTAAAGCTATTGCAGAGCGTCTCTCAATTGTGTAGACGCTCCAAAACAGTCTTCGTCGAGACTCGGCCTTTTTTTCGTCGCAATCAGGCCCGGAAGGAAACCTCTTGTGTATCCCGTTTGCCACAGCTGCTCTCATTGCCACACCTAGGTATGTATAAGCCATTTCGAGCTCTTGTCCAGCCAAGACATACATTGAAGCCAAAAAAAAGGTCTGCACCGTTTCTATAGAACTGTCGTTAATCACAGCAGGGAAAAGCAGCTGAGCGTGTTCATAATAGATAGATCCTGGAAATGAACCAGGTACCTTCTTCGCTAATAGGTCGCTGCTTTTCCAAACATAAGCAAAGATGGAGCCCATGCAAAATCCCATGTAAATAAGACAAACGCTGTTCAAGTCTTTCAGCCCAATTTCCGACCTCCTATGGTAAACTCTGTGGAAGATGCTCCGATACCAAGCGAAATCAAAATAGAAGAAAGTGTTATTGCCGGCAACAGATATGAAAGTGTCAATGAGCCCTGTGGCATCCTCTAATGAGGGGAGATTAGAGAGGGCCCTATCAAGCAAACTTGACTGAACAGTCGAAGCTTCCCCCGGTATATTCCCTGAACTGTGCCCAAAGGATAAATTAGGAGTTTGCTGATTCAAGGGCTCCGTAAACGGAGCTTCATGCGAGAATATTTCGCGTGCACGCATTACGAAACTGGATGTTGAACCCGCGTCCTCGTAAAAGGTGTGACTTTCGTTGTTATCCACTTGCTGGACGTTATGTAGATCAATGTGTTTGATCAATTCCCTGGCCTTTATATCTCCATTCAGCTCAGCCAGTTTCGACTTGAGCTGATCTAAATTAGTGCCGATTCCGGGAAACGTAGCCTTGATGATAGCATCCATATATGAAAGCCGTTCCTCCTTCTCAAGCAGCGCTTCTTCACTTACGCGGACATAAGGTGTACTTTTGCAAGTGATGTTTTTCGAAGTACATCTGTCACACGGGAATCCACCAAGACACTTCGACTTCTGTCTCTGACACTCCGTGCAAGCGATGGCTTTCCGAAGACGTTCATTTTCAGGCACTTTACTCCTCCTCCTGGTCTTCTTTATGATAGAATTTTGTCCTGGATCAGACATACTCGCAAACAGCCGGGCGACAAGGTAACCATAGCTGGTATTCAAAGAATTGATACAGCTAAGTTAAAGGATTCTTTCAATCTTGAGATCATCATGTAGATCCCATCCGTCCTGTAGCCTTGTACGAACTCATTGGCTCTATCGTTAGATAAGGTTCGTTATCTTAATGAAAGGATCGTGGGATTCAGATTAAACTCTAAAATCACTAATAGTCAAATAAAGTATAGACCCAAGATCTTGACTCAAAGCTTCGGATGAGCTGAGCCAGAGATCAAGCATCAACTTCCTGTAGGTTGTGGCGATCAGCATTTAGCTATTTTACACAATGCTGATTGTTATGGTAGTGTACCTGCTTATGTCTTTGTATAAATCATAGAAGTTATATAGAAATAGTGGTGTTCCTAGCTCAAGTGGGCTTCACTACATATCATTCGCGTTCAAAATAAGCGAGGCGTAAAACTCAATAGAGGGGAAATGATCGCTGGCATAAAGGTGCTCGTTGACGGTGTGCCCTGCGTTATTACCATAGTCAATTCGGGTTGGCCGGAACCGAAAGATGTTATCGGTCAAATTCCAAAAGTGGCGGGTGTCAGTGTTCCCAGCCATCAAGATGGGTACAGCTTGTAGGGATTCTAGATCCAATGATTTCTTGTAGTACGAGCCCAGTGTTGATTGGACAGTACCAAATACAATAGAGTAGGCTTTGGTACCTTCTGGAGACATCTTCACTGGCTCCAATGCTTTTCCTATCTGTGATACCCGCAAAAATCTCTCTGAAGAGCTTTCTTCTTGGCCATCCTCGAAAAAAGAGCTGCTGAGGCCGTGTTTTTCGGCTAGGGGCTTCAGAATGCTGGAAATGCGTTGTTTGACATCAGCTAAGGTCAGATCAGGGGTTACACGATAATTGATTCCAACTGAAACCCTCTCCGGTAAAGCGTTTATCTTTTGCCCACCAGAAATCAGATCGACTGCTTGAGACGTCCGCGAAAGAAAAGCGATACTCGTATTCGCAAATAACTCCCCAAGAGCATATTCGGCATCTATATCACCAGCTCGGACCCTATCAACGAGTGGCAGAACCTCTGGAAGCCCAAAGTCGTTGCAAGATAGGTAACCCAAGACAGGATTATTTTTGGAAATTCTGGCTTGAAAGGCAATCGAGCTCTCCAACGAGAAGATCATTTCAGAAACGATACCTATTAAGGAATGTTTGCCAGCCAACGACGAATGTCCGCCTGGAGATACAGCTTCGATTGAAACGTCTAAATAGCCTTTCTCACTGGTTGCAATTGTAGCGTAGGCAGTCTTTTCCCCGGGCGAAACCGTAGCGGTTATGCCGGGTCCTTCATCTAAAATGAGCTCCACACCACCCTTTCCGTATCTCTTCTGTAGAAACTTGGATATTTCCAGACCGCCTCTGCGGCCACTAATCTCTTCGTCAAATCCAAATGCCAAAACAATCGCGCGTTTGGGCTCGAAGCCTGATTGCAACAGAAGCTCAACGGATTCAATAATCGATATCAGAGAATTTTTATCGTCATGAACACCACGTCCGTACATCATACCGTCCTCATCTATGTGACCTTCGAAAGGGTCAAATTTCCAGTCGCTCAGGCTTTTGGGTGAGACTGGAACCGTGTCTTGATGTGCCATTAAAACTATAGGTTTGCTCCCAGTTTCTACATCGAAATCTTGAGCAGCAGGATTCCATGAATACAGTAGCCCATGGCTATTGATTTTCTCCAAGGTGAGCTTTTCATGTACCCGTGGGAACTCTTTCTTGAGAAATGCTGAAAAGTTGTAAAACTTGTACCAGCGCTCGTCATCATCAACATCACCGAAATTGTCGTCAACTTGCGTGTCAATATGCACAGCACTCTGAAATCTTGCAATACTCTCGGCTTGATAGCTGACGTTTGATAATTTTGATTTGATGTTTTCAAGAATACGATGGCTAGAATCAGATATTTCTGGTATATCTGGGGTCCAGCACTCTTTACTAGCTTCTAAAGATTCAAAATCAGCCAAAAAAGCCAATTGTCCAGTGTCATCTCTCGTGCTCCTTGCACAAGCCGCTAGCAGTGTCGAAATGATAAGTATCTTGAATACCATCACTGACTTACGATTGAAATATTGTCGTGTTAAGCTTTGTTCAAACTCGAAAAATCTTTAAAAGCTTACACAAGCCAGAAAAACGTTCAAATCTCTTGCTTATATAGGAATTTAGCCTCTCACATATCATTCAGAATCCAAGATAAAGAAACTGTCGCCTTTTTTATTCGTTGATCTATACCTGACTTACGCTACAATATCTAGTTTTCGCTGTACTTACAATTTAACCTTCTTTGAAGAGATCCGCGTATGCGTTCAAAGCGGGAGCACCTCCCAAATGGACGTATAGAACTTTTGAACCTTTGGGAATTTTTTGTTCCTTGATGAGACCAATGAGGCCCGCCATGGACTTTCCTTCGTACACCGGATCAATAAGCACACCTTCAGACCGCCCACAAAGCCTTATCGCAGCCATTGTGCCTTCATTGGGTACACCATAAGAGGGACCGCCAAACCTTTCATCGAGGATGATATCATCTTCAGTAATTTCAAATGGAAGATCCACAAGCTTTGCCGTGTTTTTTGCAATCCTGAAAATCTGCTCCTTTGTCTGCTCTGGCTTAGCCGACGCATCAATTCCGATCACTTTCCTTTGGCGACCATGAAAGCCAAATCCCACAGTCATTCCTGCCATGGTACTGCCTGTGACTGCACAAACCACAATGTAGTCAAATTCGAATCCAAAAGCCTTCTCCTGTTCAACAACTTCGTTGGCAAAGTTCACAAATCCCAAGCCTCCGTAAGGATGCTCAGAGCAACCAGCAGGGATGGGGAACGGTTTTCCACCTTTAGCTTTGACTTCTTCCATAGCTTCCTTCCAACTTTTTCTGATTCCGATGTCGAATCCCGCTGGGTTGAGTCTCACATCTGCTCCCATAATGCGCGATAGCTCGATATTTCCCACTTTGTCGTAAATTTCTGCCTTGTAGTCAACCCAATTCTCCTGCACGAGCATACATTTCATCCCCAAATGGGCAGCTACAGCAGCAACTTGTCTGGTTTGATTGGATTGGATACCACCTATAGAAACAAGAGTGTCGTACCCGCCTTCGATAGCCTCCGGAACAAGATATTCTAGCTTGCGGATCTTGTTGCCCCCGAAAGCTAGACCACTGTTACAATCTTCTCGTTTGGCATAGATCTCAACGTCGCCTCCCAGTTCCTTGGAAAGGTTTTTCATGTGAGTGATTGGTGAGGGACCAAATGTAAGAGGAACACGCGTATACTTTTCTAAAAACATGTTGTAATGTTTTCCGTTAAATTATTTAGCGCTAGATGTGTCGGTGCTTTGATCCTCTGTATCAATAGCCATGTCACAATTCCATACCCAAAAGTAGCGCTAACTTAAATGTTTGACGGGCAGTTGTGCTGTCTTCCTGGTTCGGGTGCGCACCCGACGATTCAATCGTGTTTATGCTTATCACGATAGGATAAATTAATGAGATTTCGATTTTTTTTTAAAGGAAATAATAGATTAGAGCCAAAGAGATAACGATGAACGTACACAGTTATTGATCTCGGGTAACTAGCCGCCAATTTATCAATAAGCCAAATTTCTTTACCATTAAGTGGATAGCATTTACCTTAGGTCGGCAAGAGATGATAAAGTGTACACTTGATAGATGCTTCCCTTCCATTTCGCGACTCAACTTTTGGCAACTAAACTAGTCTCTACGAGAGCTTTACTCATTCGAGCCTTGTCTCAGGATGCAAAAATGTGTAATTCACGAGGAAACATCGCTGTTACAGGAAACTAAACAAGCCAAATATGTCATAAGAGTAAACAGCAGGTCTGAGAAAATCTATCTTCTGGGCTCACTTTATATTGGTGTTTTGTTGGCCGCTCTGGACGGAACTGTCGTTGCGTCCCTTCTTTCTCACATAGCATCCGAACTCGGGAACCTTTCGTTTGCGCCTTGGATTGCAAGCTCATATATGATGATGAGTTCCGCTTTTCAACCACTTTTTGGCAAATTGAGCGACATATTTGGAAGAAAGCGCTGTCTACTTACATGCCATTTTCTATTTGCGCTTGGAAGCTTACTTTCTGGCCTCTCAAGTGGTGTTAGTCTCCTGATAGTGGGTAGATGTGTACAGGGAATTGGCGGTGGAGGCTTGATTGCGTTGAGCAGCATTGTCGTCAGCGATATGACGCCTTTGCGAGATCGTGGATTGTATCAAGGAATCGCTAATATTTCTTTCGGAATTGGAGCATCTATGGGAGGAAGCTTTGGTGGCATCATAAGCGCAAAGTTTGGATGGAGATACGCATTTTTGGGCCAAATAGCGATTTCACTTTCGGCTGTTACTCTGGTTTACTTGAATCTGAATGAGTCGAGTTCGGGAATGAAAGATAGCGTTTGGTCTGAGCTTGGACACGTCGATTTTCTGGGCAGTTTCTTCCTGTTAAGCTCATTCACATGTTTCTTTTTGGTACTGAATTTAGGCGGAGCGTATGTTCCTTGGAGAAGCTCCCAGATAGGACTTCTGATCATGCTCTTCTTAATTCTTTCCGTGTGCTTCCTAAAAGCAGAGCAGAGAAGCCCCGACAAGGCTGTTATCCCGTTCAGGATATTTCAAGGCGTTACAGAATGTCTGTGTTTCATCCTGAGTTTTCTGTCCTCTATGGCAGCATTCACATACATTTTCCTTCTTCCAATCTTCATAGAGATTGTTCTAGGGAAAAGCGCTTCATCTTCGGGCTCGATCCTCGCTGTAAATTTCATGGGCGTCATGATCGGATCTCTTGGATCTGGACTGATAGTAAAAGCTACCTGCAGATACAAGATACTACTGCTTGCATGCGGATTGATATACATCTTAAGCTGTTGTAGTCTCTGCTCCTTTGGTTTAGCGACAAGTACAGCAGTGCAGGTGATCACTGTCTGTGGCCTTGGTCTCGCTTATTCTAGTTTGGTGACGATTTCCTTAATTGCATTGATGGCATCTGTGCCTAAAGATCTGCAGGCGGTTGGTAGCTCTGTGTTTTACGCTTCTCGTGGGTTTGGATCTACTGTGGGCGTCGCAGTTTCATCGTCCATATTTGCAAACTCATTGCGACACTATCTCAACAGTTACATTGTGGGACCAGAACGAGAAACAGTGATAGAAATGGTTTTAGCTTCCTCGGATGCAATAAAAGGTCTTTCGCCTTCGTACCAGGCACAAACAGTCCAGAGCTACGTATCTTCTTTGAGAATTGCCTTTGCTTGCACAGTTTTCCTTTCGGCTCTTATCTGGCTGGTATCGATCCCGCTAAAAGAGCGTCATCTGGAACCTGAGACCAAAGACCAAGCGGCGGCGTAAGCTTTCATTTCGGAGGCCATTTTGGAAATTTTTCGATTAGTAGTAGCCAGTTTCAACATCGAGGCATTACCACGGTAGGCTAGATTGAGCGTCATAAGTCTAACGTTTTGGTGGCAGATCAGGACAAGCAGGATTTAACAAAGGAATTTAACAACTGTTAGATTTTGCTCAATTAAAAACATCTCTACAGTCCTTAACTCTGAAAATGTTGCGAATATTGTCACTATACTATTGATTTCATACCTTTTGGATTCTTAAGGGGCTTGGGGTGCCGAAGCGAGGCGCTCTTTTCTTTGCTTGGCGAGCGGCCGGGGCAATCTGAGATCTACCAGAAACCTCAGGCAAAATGTTTGAGCAACGCATTCAAGTTTAGAGTCTCGACCCGGAAATTCAAATCGACAAGAGTAAATCCATTTGCCTTTCGAAAAGTGTTTTATTTGTTAGATATGTCATAATATTTGTAACGTCATTATCGCATCTTATTGAGAAATGTAAATTCTTCCTTCCCATGGTGTCAAGAGTCTTGACTGAGGATCAACGTCATTTTCGGAGATATTTCCGAACACCAGTTTGTAAGATCCGTCATCTTTGGGGATATCAAACTCAGCTTGCGTTGAGCTGAAATTCAAAGCGGCAAAAAGTACTTTTTCTCCGTATCTTTTGGTGAAGCTAAAGATCTGGTCATTTTCTAAGTCAACGAACTGGAAATCGTAACCATACACAGCAATGTCCTTGTGAGCTTTCCTAAATTTAAGAGCCTTCCTCCAGAAATGGAGAACTGAGTCTTTATCTTCAAGTTCGTCCTCTACGTTTATACCATCACTGTATGATTCATTCAAGTCGAACCATGGCTTAGCCTCGGAGCCTGTGAACCCTGCATTTGGTGCTTCCTTGCTCCATTGCATTGGAGTTCTTGCATGATCTCTGGAGATCAGGGCAATGCCCTCCAAGAACTTTTTCATCTGCGTGGAGTTTTCACCATGTTCATCCTTAATGACTTGATAGTTGTTTCTGATCTCCACGTCTTCGAATTTCTGTACTGGCCAGTTTTTGAAGTTGATCTGGCCCAGTTCTTGACCCTGGTATACATACAGAGTGCCGCTCAATGACGTCAGCAAAACGCTCAATAATTTTCCAGATATGACACGGTTCTTTGGCGAGTCGTCTGCAAATCTGGTAATCGAACGTGGTTGGTCATGGTTTTCAAGATAAATGGTTGACCAGCAGTCCGTTCCATTAACAAATCTAAATAGCTCCGCCAAAGCCAGCTTCCAGTCTTTGAGTTTGAATGGGACCAAGTCATAGCGGAACAAGGGCGAAGTTCCAACGTCAGTATGCGAGAAATTGAAGAGTTCGCTAAGTTCATGCCGGGAGGCACTGGTGTATAGCTCTTTAACCTCGTCCGAGGCATGTTGCACTTCGCCAACATTCAGAAGTTCTCTTCCGTCTTTAATTCTATCTCTCATAAACTTGTTCATTTCTTGATGGAACTCGTGGATACGTGGGCCGTTTAATGTCATTGGATCACTTGATTGCCAGGGGGAGTTTTTATCAGTTACTGGGGCATCTGGGAGACCTACGACTTTGGAGTACAGACTTCCGACGTCTATTCTGAAGCCATCGACGCCGTGGTCAAGCCAAAACCCAACCGAACTCTCGTAGATAGCTTTTCTGCACGCCTCACTTTCCCAATTCAAATCTGGCTGAGTTGAGGCAAATAGCCGCAAATAGAACTCCCCTGTGGTGTCATCGAACGTCCACGCAGATCCCCCAAAATAGGATTTCCAATTGTTGGGAGGAATGGGTTTCCCATCCTTATCGTAACCCTTGGGAGGTTTCCAGAAGAACCAGTCACGTTTTGGATTGGTCTTGGACGATCTACTTTCCTTGAACCACTCATGTTCGGAAGAACAATGGTTGATGACAAGGTCCGTGATGAACTTCATGCCCAACTCGTGGGTCTTCTTTATCACTTTGAAGCATTCTTCATTAGTTCCGTACGTTGGCCACACCTTTTCGTAGTTGGCAATATCGTAGCCCATGTCATCTTGAGGCGAATCGTAAAATGGAGAAATCCAAATCGCGTCCACGCCAAGGTCTTTGATGTACTCTAGCTTGGAATAAATTCCTTCCATGTCTCCCCATCCGTCATCGTTCGAATCCTTAAAACTAGCAGGATAGATTTGGTACACAGTGGCTTCTTTCCACCATTTGGGATTAGTTTCAGGGTGAGAGGTAAACACCGTCATTTTGAAAATTCAGTCACTGCTTGATATTGATATAGCTACTCCTTTCTGAGGACATACACACATCCGCCATTGCCAATGCTACCCCATATTTATATACTTTAAATCTAAAAAGTAACTCGACCCCAGGATTCGGAAGCTCTACGGATGCCGTCGTGAAGAACAAGGGAACAACATTACTATTGTTTGGCCTCTGGTGACTCAAACGGTTGCCAATATGTACTGTACTTAGAAAGCTTATGAGAAACTTCGCCGTGTGCCCGAAACCGATGAGACTGTGTTGAACTACTTATCTAGCTTCCTGAAAGGTGTGTATTTTCCACTTTCATGTAGTGATTTAATGCGCTGCGTGCATGTCTACGCTCGAGCCAGGTTGCTTGTCCTCGAGGGCTTACCCCAGAAAGAACGTCATTCTGGGGAAAGCAGGTGAGGGCAGTATACGAGTAAAGGGCCCTGCTTTAGCGTTGCTGATTCGATTTGGTCGTGGGGAGGAGACTTTAGAGGCCTTGGTCAGAATGACAGAGATTCTACGAAAGTTTTGTTTCAAAAAAAGACTTAGATTTGGAACCGAGAGGTTCATAGACCTGGTTGCATATTAAGGCCCTCTTCTTGTTACAGAGGTTGTAGAGTTCGTCATTTGATATGGATAAAGCTTCTTGTTTATCGTTTCACGTGCTTTGAATAGGGGAATATAATGTTGTTGACTTCGTTAGAGGCAAGTGGGCGGGCATTGCGTCATGCAATATTTGAGAGTCTGTTCAACAGTGGCAGTGGAGATGGTGCTTTTATCGATGGGTTGAGTGTGGGTTGCCAGAAGCCAATGGAGTCTCTGCATCGGAATCAGATCTAGCTTGAGTAGGAAAAGAATCCTAGCTTGGAAAATCGATCGTTCATAGTGAGGATTAACTAGATTAAACAAGCGCTTTCATACAACCCTGAAAATCGTTTTCGCCATGGACTGGTATGAATGAGCCAAGACTTTAGTAAAAATCAACATAGTACAGCTGCCCTAAAATGAGTGCATTTGTCCTCAGGTGATATAGTCAATTATTGAATCGCTGTCACCTCCAGTCACGTGGTTGATATCACTTTGTAGTGATTCTGACGCCAATCTCATCAAGAGGATATGCCAGTATTATACGGTGTCACAGCACTGGACAGGACAGCATCACCAAGAACTTGGACGGTTTATCGCGCGGGGAGGCAGTGGAGAGGGGATATCTTCATGATGATTAATCTCAAGTGCCAAAGCAATAAGCGATTTTTTGCAGTCAAGTACGACTACCCAGCTGTTAAACCTTTTACTTTCGCCAAGACATAACATCTTCAACTGAGACTAATCAAGCACTAAAAGTAATGTTTTTCTGATCTAATTATTGCTGCTCAGCACTTTATGATCAGCATTGTCTCTCTGATTTATTGTTTTACACAAGTCGCAAGGCTGCATTCTATGTCCTGGCATCTTGAAAGATTGCAATGTGCCACTTGCACACGATCTAGCTTGCAATATTTTCCACCGGTGGAACTTCTCGCAGATTTGAACTGGGACAATCATCGGAAAATGTATGAAAGTCAACCCTTTCCTAGTGAAAGACTTACACTGCAAGAATCCGTTTTCATGATTATTAGCAACGTAGTCCCACAAATACTATAGTCCATTCAATATGTTGCTAATCGAAAATAAATAACGTTTATCCAAAGCCAGGACCATGTGCCACCATTTGCGGAAGAAAGTTGTCAACTTCCAAACATTGAAGATCCATTAAGCACCTTCGGCAAGTTACCCCGGCCTCCGAAACCATCTCAACCTCCCAGACCTCCAGGAAGGCCGAGAGAACCAAGGGAACCAAGGGTTCCAAGGGAGCCAAGAGATCTTTGACTACCTAGGAGATCAAAAGTATCCAATAATTTTTATCAAATTCTTGCAAATTCTAAGATGCTTTGTTTCGACGATTCCAAGGCAAACAGTGCCAAGTTGAGCAGCCTATCTTAATGCTTATGTCCTAGTTTTCTACATACATACTTTTTTATGTCAATATGCATGTTTTTGAATATATCTGCCGTCGGTGCATGAGTATGCAGCTAAAATGGCTAGTGCAGTACGATACTGACAAAGATAAAAAGGCATACAGCGCTGTTAACAGCAGGAAACAGGAGAAATATGAACTCCTCTCATCTTCTTCTCTTAGCGAATAGCTTAGGCTCTTCCATAGTTGATGATCTTAATTTATTTAGATGGCTTTTTGCCGACCCAAGTGTCATTCATTCAAACACTTCACGGTAGATTGAGAAACCAAGAGTTCATGAAAAGTCAATCTCTTGTCTATCCTTCCATCAAAAAAAAGGTAGCTTTATGTGGGCAAACGAAAAACCTCCAAACAAGAATTGAATTATTCGATGAATGCTAGACAGACGAGACGAGTTTCTGAAGTAGCATCTATGCCCCAGTAATCCTTCTTTCACAGTTGACCAGCAACAGTGAAGGCTACAGAAAGGAAAATCATGCCTGGTTGCCTCTCTCTGTATGCTTTAGACCCCATCCTTATTCAATCTTCAACCAAAGAGGGTATGGGCCAAATTTTGTAGGCGACTGAGCGCAGTTCTTGATTTAGAATCGACAACTTCCTCTTTATCCCCATCCAGATCGGCACGCTGTCCTACCTGCAGATTGATAGTCTTCAAATCAACAGGTCTCAAAGTACGCGATTTCATTAGTGCAATGCCAAGAAAAAGTATACCTGCTGCTGGAAGTAGCACATAGGCATCCACGAAGTCACCAGCAGAAAAAGGTGAGAGCGAGGTCCACCCCTGGATCAAAGCAAGAAAGATGTTGATTGCGATGCTGAAGATTGGAGTAACAGGATAAAACAGAGACTTGTAAGGTAGCTCGGAAGTAGACCTTCCTTGAGCAGCCCACGCTTGTCTGAATCTAATGTGAGTGTAAGAAATGACACCCCACACAATGAAGACACCAACACCAGACAAATTGACAATGTACCCATAGGCGTTCGAAGCACCAACACTCACATTCATCAACGATATCAGGCCCAATAAATTGAACGTTACCAGGGCTACGACGGGCACGCCTCGTCTGTTTGTCCATCCAAAAAACCTTGGTGCCAGACCGTCGTGTGCCAAATGGCTAATGGTTCTGCTACCAATGTACAGCGAACTGTTAATAGCTGACACACATGTTACAAGGATGAACGCGTTCACCAAATGCACACCACCGCTCCAGCCAGCTCTCACAATGGCAATACCAACAGGGGACTTTAGTGTCTTCGAGCTCGATCCCAGGTTCACGTCGTTATATGGTACTGTGATACCGTAGAAAATGGCAATACCCATGTAAACCACCAAGATCCTCCATAGCGTTTGTCTTACAGCCAGCGGAATGGCCCTTCTTGGATTTCTGCTCTCAGTGGCAGCGAGAGCAACAGACTCAGTTCCCGAGTAAAAAGTTGAGCAGAAAACGAAAACGACTGCGATACCTTTGAAACCATGGGACAAAGCGCCTGGGTTATGCCAATATTGGAACCCAAACGCAGGCCTGCCACGAACCCCACCGCTCATATATATGATGGAGAAAATGTAGTATGCAACAAGACCAAGGATCTTAAACCATGCCAACCAGTACTCACATTCTCCGAATGCACCTACGCCCAGCATTTGGAAGGCCATGAAAAATGCCCAAAACATTAAGATATACCCGTAAGTGGGCACCTGCGGACCCCAGAACTGCATAATCGACGACAGTGTGTTGTATTCGTTGGCCAGCACCGCGAAAAATACCACCACGTATGCGTAGCCGCAAATAGCTGAAAGAGCTTCGCTGTGAAATCTTCGAGCGAGACTTGTGAACCCACCACCTGATGGGTACAGTGTTATGAGCTCGCCGATAGACTCCATCACCGCGAAACAAACTAGTCCCACAATACCAAAACCCAAAATCAACGCCAGAGGCCCCCCTTTGCTCAATGCGTTTCCCGCACCTATCAGACATCCTGGGCCAATAACACCACCTAGAGCCAGTAGCGAAATATGTCTATCTTTAAGAGCTCTTTTCACACCACTTTGTGGATCAAATTCCAAGCATTCACCCACCGATGTGGGAGACTCGAGCTCTGACTCAGCGTACCGGGTTGTATCCTTTTCATCAACCAATGTCATCTCGAAATATTGGGCCTTTTACTAAGAAAATAGATCTTACTGCTCTGATTCGCCTAAATTCTGCCGGTTTTGCTTCGTTTTTAAATGCTTTAGAACTCCCAAATTCCTTAACGAGTGCACACTTCAGGACCTGCAAAAGTGTGCGTTCATCCTGAGCTTTGCTTTACCGCGTCCACTGTGTCCTTGGTGCCACTAGTAGCGAGCGTTTTTCTTATAGACCTGAATTATTAGTGCCGTAGCCAAAAACTGAGAGTGTTGCAGGGTCAATGCATGAGCTTTGACTTCTATAGCGACACTAGAACTGAATTATTCTGCTACTGAGGACAATCTAGCTCGATTGGTTTGGTGGTGGTTACCTTCACTCTCATTACACTGTCGCTATCTTTCATCAGCGTTGCGGATTACTTATTTTTCAATAATGTGGCTTCCTCATCGCTTCCGTGATATAAGGGCAAGACTGACAGATAAATCTCGCTGCATCTACAGTGTTGAGCTTCTATCGAAGCTTCCTCGCTAGCAGGTGTACAAATCGGCTCAGAAGTGTGTCACGGAAGGCACAAATCAGGGTCTCGCGTCCGGCGTTCGGTTTTCTAGGGTCTGAAGGTGTGGCACATGGTTTTGGCACTTGTCAAGATGCTTACAGGTGATGAATCTGGCGTACTGGAGTTATGGGTTGTGTTTCATGAGATCTACATAAACAAGTTCTAAGAAGGTGAAATCTGAGGATTTGTAGTATTGGTTTAAACCTAACTTTGGTCCAATAAACTCGTATATTTGATTATTGGGTTGTGAATAGATTTAGCTTGATATTCTCAGATTCGCTCAGAACAAGCATTAGTCAGCGTTAGAGGAGTTCGTTCACCAGCATTCGAGTATCGGTGTCTAACTTCTCAATTCAGGCGCCTCAAAACACAAGAAACAGTCCAAAATGCCACTTTATTGTCTACTACTACTTTACGGGCCCGTAATTTCTTCTATGGTCAGTGACACCTTCGAGATCGGATCAAGGTCGTTTTTACAAACGTCCCCGAGCTACAGTTGTGCTCGAAAACTTTTACTTTGCTGACTCTCGATCCTCAGGACCACGTCTTGACAGCTACCATTTTTACTGCTCTCAATGATGCAATACCCAGTGATATATACACCTCTTTCGACCCGATTTGAAAATTAACATTTTCGTCGCTCTGGGAAAACGGCTAAAATGATGAAAAGGCCTCTTCGCACCAACTTAGATCTCCATTTTGAGAAATACAGAAAAGTGAGGCTGCGGCTCCTAATGCAACGCAAGTATTGAGCAGCTTTTCTGCGGCGCTATTTCACCTCGAGTTAAAAAAAAACCTGACCTTGGCCGTAAAGGACCTTCTTTGAACGTGCATTTCCTTCGCATTGTGCTACCGTCTCTTCCAGCAACAAACACCTTTTGCGGGGCCATTTGTAAGATAGATGTAAACTCGGCTAACGTCAAAACAAAGCCATACGTCGTTCGCACTTCATATTGCTACGTCTATTTCTGTAAGTCTTTGTTATTGAACAATGTGGCATTGTAAGGCATCCAAGTGATTGATGACGCTATAAATTAAAGAAACTGCACCCACCAATATCAAAACTAGAACTGCACCCAAACCATTCATGACAATGGAGAATAAGATAAAGTATATAGCGTACGTCTGTGTAGTGATGTGCTAGTCGTCTTAGTTGTAGTGTCACTGGATAGTGACAATCGAGCTCGAGAAGACTTGAAAAATGGGCAACGAAAAACCCGTGGACAGCGAGTCCAAGCACTCATCCCAGCAGTACCATGAAAGTGATGTTGGGGCTGCCCCTCAGGAACTGGGTGTCCCGGACAAGTTGCAATCGACAAGATATTTGGTAATACGTAAAACTGAAATTTTGGCTGACCAGTACAACGCGTGGTACTATAGAGTCATTCTGTTGTTCTGCGCTTTCGTGTGTGGTTACGGCTACGGGCTCGATGGCCAGCTGAGATACGTGTACACGAGTTATGCCGCCGGTGACTTCAACGAACACTCCCTTATTTCCACCATTGGCGTAATCAACTCCATCATCGGCGCCGCTGGCCAACTATTGTACGCGCGTCTGTCGGACACTTTCGGTAGACTAACGCTGTTTCTTACAGCTGTCGTGTTCTATGTCGTGGGCACAATCATCCAATCGCAAGCGTACGATATCCAAAGATACGCTGCAGGAGCTGTATTTTACAATTTGGGCTACGTCGGAATCATCTTGGTTCTTCTGCTGATATTGTCTGATTTCTCATCTTTGAAATGGAGACTGCTGTTCCAGCTAGTGCCTACTTGGCCCTTCATCATCAACACATGGATTTCAGGAAACATCACTGAAGCCGCCAACCCAGAGATAAATTGGTCCTGGGATATCGGAATGTGGGCGTTCATTTTTCCTTTGTCTTGCGTGCCTCTCGTGTTGTGTATGCTGCATATGAGATATAAGGCCAGTAAAACGCCAGAGTGGGTCGCTTTGAAAGACAAACAAACATTTTTTCAGAGCCACGGATTTTTCAACCTTTTGGTCGAACTTTTCTGGAAGCTCGACGTCGTTGGTATATTCCTGCTTGTGGTGATGCTCGGCTGCATCCTGGCACCTTTGACACTGGCAGGAGGTTACAAGAGTCAGTGGAACAACTCTCATATTATAGGTCCGTTTGTCTTAGGTTGGGTTTTAGTTCCAATCCTACTTTACTGGGAAAAGGCTTGGGCTAGAGACCCTTTGGTGCCATACAATTTAGTCAAGGATCGCGGTGTTTGGGCCGCTATGAGCATTTCATTTCTGAACTATTTCATTTTTTCTTTGGCGGCAGGATATCTGTACCCGATTATGGTGGTAGCCGTCAACGAATCCACTAAATCTGCGACCAGAATCTCATCACTTTCATCTTTTGTTTCTGTTGTGTGGTCACCCATCTTTGCACTCTTCATCACGAGGCGTAGAAAACTCAAGCCTTACATTATTCTTGGGTGCTCTCTGTGGATGCTGGGCATGGGTCTGCTATATCACTATAGAGGCGGTTCATTTGCCCATGGCGGAATAATTGGGGCCCTGGTTGTGTGGGGTATCGGTTCAACGATGTGGACATACCCAGTTAATGTTTCTGTGCAGTCAGCAACATCCCATGAAAACATGGCCACAGTCACCGGATTGACCTACACGACTTACAGAATCGGTGGTGCCGTGGGTTCAGCTGTTTCTGGTGCTATATGGACTCAAATTCTGTACAAAAAACTACTGAAACTCTTGGGCGATGTGGAGGTTGCCACTGAGGCGTATGCCTCTCCCTACACTTTCATCCTAGAGTACGCATGGGGAACGCCCCAGAGAGAAGCTGTTGTCGAAGCTTACAGATACGTTCAGAGATATGAGACGCTTGTTGCATTGGTTTTCACGGCTCCATTGGTGATATTTGGCTTCTGTCTGAGAGACCCAGATTTGACTGACAAGGTTGCTCATGAAGATTTGGAAGGTGACGCTCAAATTGCTAAGAACGATTCTGACCTAATAGTTGACTGGCTCAAATCGAAGATGGGACGCTCGCAGTCAAAGGAGTAAATTGAAAAGCTACTGATGTCATAATAAGCTGAAGAAGTTAATAGCCAAGTAAGAAACGTAGCTGATCTATTGTGGTCGCAATACATTTAGAAAGGAGATAATGCTGCTCGAGATTCCTCTTAGGCATGGCGCCAGATCCCTGATGAAGCTATAAATTGGAGGTTTCACGTGACGTAAAGTCGGTGAACAGTTATCACCCACTTGTATGCGTGCCGAGAAGGATCCACCATTATCAGCTTAGTTCGACGTGAGACGACTAGGCCGCCACAATGGTGTTGTCTCTGAGAAGACCTTCGACTTTCGAACTTATATGAAAGTTACCTGAAGACCAGAGCTACCGCGAGGAGATAAATTCAGCTGTCCGGTAGACTGGTTCTTAATCGGTCGAGCCCCCACAGAAAACATATCGAAGTGTGTGTAACATTCCCTTGCTTCGCCTGTCTGTTTTCCTTGATACTCGTAAATCATTTTTCGATGAAAACTTGGTTGAAGGCCCGAATGCGATTTTTCATATCGTAATGGAAACGGAAAACAAAGACCCAAGCACGATCAACGAAAATTTCTCAAGTATCGTACCGTAATGTTGAACACCCTACAACATCTCGAAAAGCCTAGTCTGGAGTCCTAATGAACTCGTAGAGGTCACTTACAACGCACATTGTCGCTGATATTTCACCTATCCGAGATCCAGCAACTGTTAACTTCCAAAGTTAAACAAACATCGTTTTGAAGGACGCCTGGTGCCCTGGAGCTACACTGTCACCGGCTCTTTCTTCTGTGGATGCCAGAGTCTTTAGCATATCCGTAGAAAGTGATCACTACATCAATTTATTCAAGCTGTGCATTGATAGATACATACTCAATCTAATCGTACCCTTCGAACCTGTCTCTCATTCAGCTATCCAGGATGTGTGGCAAGATTGACTACTCTTACTTGAAGCGTGTGAGGAAGATCATATGTATCGGCAGAAACTATGCTGCTCACATTGAAGAACTCAACAATCCCACTCCTAAACAGCCATTTTTCTTTTTGAAGCCCAACTCCAGCGTTGTAACTCAACCACAAGCTGGAAAATCGGCTCAAAATACTGGCCCTGGTGATTCCACATACAGAGGGCTGCAAGAAGATGGTTCAAATCCCGGAAAAATTTTCATTCCCCGCGGTGTCAAAGTGCACCACGAAGTTGAGCTAGCGCTCGTTATGGGCCAGAATGTATCGAACGCATCGAAGGGCACATTTGGGCCCAAAGAGTTGTATGACTCAATTTCTGGGATAACACTCTCCTTGGACCTCACCGCACGTAACGTGCAGGATGAGGCCAAGAGAAAGGGATTGCCTTGGTCTATCGGAAAAGGCTTTGATACCTTTTTACCCATTTCTGAGTTTATCTCTAAAACCTTACTCGGTGATCCAGCACGCTTGCAAGACTCTTTCAGACTCAAATGTGAGGTAAACGGAAAAACTAGACACGATGGCACTTCTGACTTGATGCTGACTCCGCTGCATGAGATCGTGCAGCACATTTCGACTGTGATGTCTCTTGAAGCAGGTGACTTGGTACTAACGGGAACACCTGCGGGAGTGGGTGAACTTCACCCTAATGATGTTGTTACCTCAGAACTTTATCAGGATGGAAAGCTCTTGACAAAAATGACCTTTGAATGTGCTGAAAAACCTGGTCCTTACGAGTACAGAGAAACTTGAGATTTGAGGGGTCCTGGATTTTTAAAGAACTACATATAATATTGTGATGTGAAGGAAATTACAGACGAGGGTGTATCTGAGATTCTACACTTGAAACCCCGGGGCACTTCGCGAGGGAATCGAAAAGCTTGGCCGTTTGAAAGCCTTGTTGGAATTCAAATAACGTATTGGGGCAATCTAATCTTGTGGAAATCTGTACCAGAACTCTGAAGCAGATTTTCAAGTGCGTTTACGTGCAGTAACACGAATCCCAGATATTCTCAAGTTTTCAGGACTGCTCCCTTCCGTTCAAAAACGAAATGTCACTAATGCAAACGTTGGCGCTTCTAAACTCTCAAGTTTATTCAGTACAAGACTATTAAAAATCGATGAGAGTGGTATACTGCATTGGGCTATTCGTGGTGCAGCGCTCAATACCGTAATATTATTGACCCTTGCATAAGCAGTCACCTGATAGATGACAGATGCCAAGTTAGGATAAAGTGACAAGAAATCTGAACTTCGATTCGAGGAGGATGTCCTCGAACAATGTGCACATCATGCATGCAGCCAGCCCAACGGTAGCTTTCCGCACATGAAAATCAAGCTCTTGGAATAAATAAATGCACCGAACGTCTTTAGATGCCTGAGAATAAAAAATTACAAAATACAAACCATTTTTACATGCAATGCATGGTTCACAACCGGGAACGTCGGGATATTAAGCAGCGGCAGCCCAGAATTTGCCCCACAGTGTGGTAGGAGTGTCATCCTCCCATTCCACCGCGTCGATATCACGACGGTCGGAGTCGATGTCCACATTTTCCACACGGTGGATAAAACGACACCGGAAAATGCATTGGAAGATGGCCCACACTGCAAAGAACAAGATCACACTAATGTAGGCGGCGAAAAAGTCCGAGACGTTGAAGCTTGGCGCAAATGCTGTGAAACCCTGAATGATGATGATGAGCCCGACAAAGAAGGCTGCGTAGTACGCGCCATATGGCATGAACTTGGCCTTAAACGGCAGGTCGTCCCGAGAGATACCCTGCAGCTTGAGTGCCTGCATGAAACGGATATGACACAGAGAGATGAACAGCCATGCGAAGAAACCGGCGATGGCCGTGATGTTAAGTAGCCAGTTGAAAGCGGTCTCTGCCCCACTAGATACACTGAGGTAGCCCAAAAATCCGAAACATGCAATGATGCCGACACAGATGTCCGGAACTCCGAAACGGTTGACACGGGTTAGAAATTGCGGAGCTAGACGCTCTTTGGCCAGACCCAGCAAGACACGCGATCCAACGTACACGTTGGAGTTGGCTGCGGAGATGATGGTCACCAAAACAACGGCGTTGAAAATGTCGGGCAGGACCTTGGTTCCGGAGTTTTGAATGGCGATGATAAAGGGCGAGCTGGCCACATACGACGCCGTGGACGACAGTTTGGGGTCGTTGTAAGGCACCAGCAGGCCGATGAAGAACAGGGATCCGATGTAGAATAGCACGATACGCAAAAACACCTTGTTGATGGCCTTTGGCACCGTTTTCCGCGGGTTCTTGGATTCACCGGCACTCACACCGACCAGCTCTGTACCCTGGTATGTGAAAGCGGCGTTCACCAGCGACGAAACCCAGCCGAGGAAACGGCCTTCGGAGCGGCTACGGGACACAATCCCGTCTCCCCAGGGGCCCGGGTGGCGCCAGTACCGAAACCCGACGGGCCCAGTCACGCCTGCACCGCACACCATGCACAAACAGTAGATCAGGAACCCCACAATCGCCAACACCTTGACGAGCGAGATCCAGAACTGGAACTCTCCGTAGTATTCTACGGGAACCAAGTTAGACAACGTTAGCGGGACCCAGAAGATGATGATCCACGCGGAGTTGGGAACCGCGGTGGTCCAGTACTCGATAATCTGGCCCACAACGGAAAGTTCCAGCGCAAATGTCATACACCATGAGAAACAGTACATGTAACCATTGGCGGCTCCGAACGCGGGCGAGATAAACCGACGTGTGAACACGGTGAACGACGACGTGACCGGAATGAAAGTGGCCATTTCCCCAAGCGACTGCGTCACGCTGTAGGCCAGTGTACCCATGAAAATGTACGCGATGAGAGCGCCGACGGGGCCGGCGTTCTGCAGCGGAGTTGCGATACCGATGAAAAGCCCGGTTCCGATGGTACCGCCCAGCGCAATCATCGACACATGGCGCGGTTGTAGAGACCGCTGAACGCCACGGGGCGCACCTCCGGCCCCGCCACCGGCGACGTTAGATTTTTCCACCTCCGTTTCTGTGTCATCGGAACGCCGAGTGGGGTAGTTGGTGAGGTCTCTAACCGAACCCGAAAGCTCAAAGCTCTCGACACGAGCTAGCGTGGGAGCCTTTTTGAGCGTATCCTTCATAAAGACAGGTTGATATAGTAGTGAGTAAGTGAGTGAGTGGTTTCGCTACTGAAGAGACTACAATAAATCTTCTCAAACCCCGGCGATGAGGTCTCTATTTAAGTATTATGTACAAGGTCTTATATATATGGATATGACTCTCACATTGATTCACCGAGAGAGCAGAGCGGTCAGTGTTCGTCAAGATAAGCCAGGTAAGGAGTGATTGCATAGGCGTTTGCCAGCTAGTTTTTGTGAGTAAGTCTTGGTAAGTGAGCAGCGCCGCATATCTGGTGAAGGGCGTTAGTTATCGAATTGTGCGTTTTCTTTTAGCGTGTCACAGTATAGCTATGGGCAAGCCATAGCGAATGCGGCCCCGCAGAGAAGCCAGAAAAAGAAATAACAGCGCCGTGTTGGGCGTCGCTTCGACGCACGTGGGATCGGGGGGGAAGGAAAGAAAGGGCCCTGGATGGGGTGTATGGGTTTTGGGGAAACTTTCACAAGCGCCTTACATGGCTTCTGCATGTTTTCCTTGGGTAAGGCACAGCGGGCACGGCGGGCTTAGCTGGTGGAAGACTGTGGGAAAAAGGTAGGTGAGTGTGGCTTATCGGAGAAAAACAATTGGGCTGGTTAAAGCTTGCAGAACTTTGTCACTTTTTTCCTACGCGTCGTGGATGTGTCACGTGACTGCCGACAGCGACAGGATTATACAATAGTGATAATGAGAGAATCTAAAAGATAAGTCCGTGCAAACAAACTGAAAGACAATGTGCTTTGTGTTAAGAGTGCTTTGTGTTAAAAGTGCTTTGTGTTGAGAGTGCTTTGTGTTAAGAGTGCTTTAACTAGAGTTGTTCTAGAATCTGCTTTTTTTTGGATCATGACAGCCCGGTTTTGAATTTCCCTGATGAGAAAACTCAAAGACATGTAAATTTTCTAATATCAATATCCATGTCAAAAATATTTAACGACAGCACTATCAATGCCATGTTAAACCCCACTCCCCAAGCACGCAAATATCCCCATTAATTCAGTTCCTTATTCTAGTATACATATATGCAATTATTTAACCCCCCAGTATTCTCAAACCTTCTCCACAACTTCAACCACACCCTTTCCAGAGTCCGAACAAATATCGCTGTGTGTGGCAGAACCTGCGGAAGGCACAAACTTCTTGGAGTGACGGGCACTTGGACAGCTTTCGAACAACTCATCAATCTGCTCGAGAGTGAGGCCCTTCGTTTCGTAGATGAAAAAGTAGACAAAAACGAAACACAAGAATGTGCAACCTCCCCAGATGAAAAACACCTTGGACTGTAAGTTCGCATGTTCGCTGTCAACAAGGTATGGGGTAGCGTAGGCAATGGCAAAATTGAACAGCCAGTTCGAAGCTGCACATACGGCCACCGACTTGGCTCTAACGGTCAATGGGAAAATCTCACCCACGACCACCCAGGCCAAGGGACCCCACGTAGATGCAAAAGAGGCAATGAACGTACAGGAGAATGCAATCAAAGTCTTGTTAGCTGAAAAGCTGTCTGGTAGCGCGGTACCAACGGAAGCGACAATGAGCTCACTGACACACATACCAACGGCACCCCATAAAAGCAAGTTTCTTCTACCCGCAAGCTCCACCAATGCAATACCTGGGATGGTCATCACAACATTGACCACGTTCATAATAAGCTGAATGATGAATGGGTCCTTGATACCGGAATTTTGGAAAAACTGGGTACCGTAGTAGAAAATGAAATTGATACCAGTTAGTTGTTGTAGACCCTGAATGGCAATACCGATAAGAATACGTTTCAGTTGGTGGTTTGTGGGTTTGAAACAGTCGAAGATCGAGGATGAGCTTACGGAGCTTTCGTAATTGTAGTTAACGATGATCTCTTCAAGTTCCGCTTCAACGCATTCGTGTTCTTGTGGTAGGCCCCTAAGTTTAGCAAGGGCCTTGCTTGCCTCAGGCACTTTTCCCTTCATCACGTAGAAGCGTGGGGATTCAGGTAGAATGAGCATACCGACAAATAGGATCAAAGCCCACAACAACTGAATGGCAATTGGAATCCTGTAAGAGCCAGAGTCGTTTCTGGCGTGAGTGCCCTGATTCACACATGCGGCAAGTAGCAAGCCAATGGTGATGGCCCATTGGTAGCACGATGTTACTGCACCTCTAATCCATTTGGGGGATGCTTCTGCTTGGTATAATGGAACGATGGCGGAAAGAATACCGACACCAGCGCCAGCAATGACTCTGCCAGCAATCAATAAGTCTTGTCCCGAAGAGATGATTTGCAAGACAACACCAACAGAAAAGATGATGCTTGAGATAATGAGACCAAGTCTGCGACCTAGGGTGTCCGATGCAAGAGGTGCCAAAATAGCTCCACAGAATGTACCAGCAGACAAAATAGCAGTGATCAACGACGTTTCGTTTGCCGTAAAGTGACCACGAGAAGTGAAATGCTCTTTCACGTAGTCCATCGCTAGAACACCAGAAATAGTACCGGTGTCGTATCCGAAAAGAATACCGCCAAAGGCTACAAAAAGCCCGACGAAAACGGCTCTGAATTTGGAGCCTTGGATGTCTTCCTCAGCGTGGAAGAGTGTTTGAAGTATTCCCATTGTAAGGAAGAAAAGTTTGTGTGTATATTGTAAGTTCGATTGTTGCACAACCCTGTAAGAATTGTAAGTGTTTGATGATGCCTTGAGCATGAGTCGAATCTACCTTCAATGGAGGTCGCTTGTGGTCTTTTTATACTTGACCAGAGCTTTCCATTATGGTGCTCGAGGTCGGCCGATCCCGCAGTGAGATCTTGGCTTCTGCGCATATCTCCATGGCAACAGGCACTTTTAGGGTCTCGAAGTTTTTCCGAATTCCGCTGCGCCCGCATTGTCTACAATTAAGGTTTTTCCGGCTTATGGGGCCTCCCGCTCCACCGGAAAAACCTTTATTACCCCGGAGAGATCGTTGTTGACGATCAAAAAATGACAGAGCTTTTGGGGCCTGATGCTACCACATCTAACCTCATCGGTTGTGCTAGCAGAATCCCGGTTAATTCTTACAGTAATGACCCACACAAGGCAACCGGCATGGAGTCTGACCTTAAGATTTCGGCTCATAACCACACTTTGGCTGAATTGCGTTGATCTTTCACGTAGACTGAATAAGGCTTTCGAATACGCTGCTAGCTTTATTCATCTATACACTTAATCATAAATCTGTTCATATTTCGTAGTCTTAGCTTTTCATGGCTGCTCGATAGTAACGTTAGCGCCATTTTTGGCAGAAGATTCCAAAAGTGCGGCTACGATGGCCAAATGATGGAAAGCCACTCTTGGACTGCCTTTAGCGATCCGTTTTTCCTTCTTGACGACAGCCTCGTGGAAATTCAAGAATTCTTCCTGGATTCCAAACGATGGATGTTCATCGACTAAAAACGTCTGCGTCTCGGCGTTGGCCTCAGCAGAGTCACCAACGGTTTTAGTGATGATTGGCTTCTTCTTTTCAGAAAGGTCGAGCGTGACTGCTCCGTTAAGCCCGTAAATCTTGAAGTAGACCGATTTTTCGCAAGAGCCAAAAGCTGAGCCGTAAGTGAAGGTACCAATCAGGCCCTGTTCCTTCAGCTTCACGGTGGAAAACGCCACGTCGTCAGTCCCAGACTCTTTACGAACTTGCTTTGTGAAGGCACTCAAAGACTCCACCTCGCCCAAAACATCAGTCAAAAGCGCCAATTGATGAACACCGCCATCGGACAAAAACCCACCAATGTGCTCAGGCTTTTGTCTCCACGTTGTGGCCAGGTATTTGTTGTTTTTGATGAAGGGGCCAGTGGAGTTGTAGGTAAATGCCACGAGGGGACCAATATCGGCCAGATGCTCTTTGAGGGCCTCGCCAGACTTTAGAAAAAGCCAGTTTTCGGCAATTGCAATGGGCAAACTGGTCGATTCCGCTAGATGAACTAGTTTTTTGGCTTCAGCTATGGTGGCCGCAATTGGTTTTTCCAAAATAACCGGTTTTCTCGCAGCTATGCATTTTTCCACCGTTTGTGCATTGAACTGCGCTGGAAGAAGGGCATCGATCATCGAAACTGAATCGTCTGCCAGAATCTCGTCTAAACTGTCGAAAACCTTGTCCTTGGCAATTCCAGCATCTTCAGCAAAAGCCTCAGCCTTGCTTTTCGTCCTGTTGAAAGCCGCTACAACTTCAAAACTGCCAGGCAATGCCTGGTAAGCTGGAAGATGCGATTCCTTGGCGAAGATTCCAGTGCCAACAATACCAACGTTGAGTACACCCATAACTAGAGGATTTATATATGTATATACACTATCCCAATTAAAGTGTTGACAGTGAGGAAACGAAATCAAAACAATTACAACACCTAACTACCACGGGATACTTACAGGAACTTGAACACTTCCTAGTATTTATACGTTTTCTGGATCCGCGAACCCTTATTGAGTTGCTCGTCAAGGCCTCTTGGAAGTACTCGGTACTTTCCTTTTTCGTAATAAACGTCACATGAGCCGGAACATACTAGTTCCTCCCGGTCTCGAAGGCATGGGACGACTCAAGTGTCTTGATGACATCATAGGTGGTGGCACGTCCACCGTTTTACGAAAGCATCAAGTTCATCTCCCAATCTTTGTAGACATCGAACCAATTATCGGACGTCTCGCCGTTCACACGGCGTCTCCAAACCTCGAACATAATCTGTCTTGCTCCCCAGTAAGCACCCATTCCTGATTCTGCATGCTTGGCAGCCCACTCTTTGAATCGTAATTGTAAATCGGTGCTCACTGCGGCACAACCAGCAATAAAACCTTGCCATATGAGTGGGACAATGCTCACACCTTTATTTTGAATCAGACCGGTGAGCTTGTCCAAATGGTGCAGCACTTGAACCACGTTGGATTGAATCTCGCTGTTCGGGCAGTTTTGAACCCGTGTGCGGTAGTATATGATCAGACTCTGGTAAAAACTTATGGTATGGTGGTAAACACCCTCAACGGTGTCGTTCACAAACTCCTCGGAGTTCGGCTTGTAAAAGTCCCATTCAGACGTCCAGTTGAATAGTTTTTCTTGGAAATTGGTGCACAATGCGTCGAAGCTTTTGGGCACTTCTTGAGAGTGGCTGCGATAGTACTCGAGATGACGTGCAAGTCTGACACAATCGGAGAACAGTAAAATAATCGAGTTTGGGAGCCCATAAAGCGCGTCGGTACTCAGAATAGAGTTGCTCTTCGTAGTGGCATGCGGGTAGTAATAGTTTTGGCTTGCGATGTCCGTGAAAATTGGCGTGCTCCCGTTAGAATTTGAAAAACGAACGTATTCGATGCGAATGCGGCCACTCACATCCAATGCTTCTTTGAATTCACCACCGCCATTGGAACTTCCGACCTCTCGTTGATCTTCTTCCACTTCATCCAAATTGGTGTTCTTTACCACTATTTCTTTCTCGGTGACTTTATCCAAAGCCGTGCTGTCTTGTATAAGCTTGAGAAACGAGAAAATGCGGTGTAAGGACCTAGCTTTTTCCGAAATCTTTGGCCGGCTTTTCATTCGTTCTTCAACTAGTTTTTCGCATAGACCAAGATGGTAGTGACAGTCGGCCATGGTACCCCAAACGACGTCTATTGAGCTCATAGACAAAATGGCAGTAACGATGTCCTTGTATCTTTCTTCCTTCACCGTAAAGTTTAAGCATGTCTTGAGAAACTCCGAGGCTTGCCCTCTAAGTTCAATTCCGAGATGTAAAAAGTACTTCATCTCCGGAGAGTTTTTTGGGAATTTACTCTGCAAATTAAAGCACGAAACTGCCAAAATGGCATTTAGAAGTGAGTTCCGAGAATTTGACGTGTAACCTATGCCTGCAAGATCTCCCAGGGCTTGCAACGCGCGCGGGAAGTACATTGTCCGCCATGGATTGGTTGGCAGTGCTACGACGGTCATAAGATCCACCACGTTCTGAAGGTAGTAGTTGAGAAGAAACCGCGTAAGTCCTTTGGCTTTTAGCCCTGTTGTTGGAATTTGAAGAAGCGGGTTGCTGCTACTCGGTAGATTGAAAATACTGGGATCAGGGACATCGGTTGGGACGACCTCTAAAACCTCTCTTGGCATGTAACCTTCAGAACCAGCTGAGTCTATCAATATCATGTTGTTGAGAGGAACAACGCTTGACTGTTGCTTTGCATCCTCGCCATTAGTCAGATGCGTCGAGACTTTCTGCGAGCGCGACCTGTCCTCGTTCCTGTGGAATAAAATTTTATAGACATGCGAAAGATCTTCTTTTTCCACGGTTCCCAATTGCGGAGACTGATCATCAAGATAGTCCCGAGTTGACCTGCGTGAGGTGGTAGCTAGTGGTGCTTGTTGAGAATCTTCGTGATGCAATTGGGTGCCGCTATCGCCAGCAAAACCTTGTCCAGCAAAACCTTGCATCGCATACGCTGAAAGTAAGGCGTCATCTCGAAGCTCATCGGAAATCCATTCGTGACCCTTGAAGTTAACCGACGAAAAATCAAAGCTGAAAAGATCAGCAGCGCCTGAAGATTTTTGGTTTGAAGGATCCGCTATATTTGTGACAGCGCCACTTTCCGCATCGAGCTTGTCTACAAAGTCTGAATGCGAGAGTGTGCTAGCGACAGAACCGTCTTCAGGGCCCAATAGTTGTATGGTGCTGTCCTCCACACGATTTGTAGACTTGGTAAAGCCGTTTTTGGACTCCAAACGGTCGAAAACCCGGCGTCTTTGGCGCCGTGGAACGTGTTTTATTTTCACTTTGTCGGTTCCTCTGAAAACTGCAAATTTCTTGATAACCCACGTTTGGTTATCGGCGATGCGATTCAGCGGCGGTGAATGTAGCATCGAGAGTTCCTCGTCCATGTCCTCGTAGTACTCGTATTCCTCTTTGTATCTCACGAAAGCTATATCTCGTCGTTGAGACGAAGGTTCGTCTGATCCCGTTGACGAACCCGCTGGGTTGCTGTTCTGAACGACTTGTCCGTACGCATTAAATTGTATGGGCTGCGACCACTGCAGCTTTATATCGTACCCGCCGCAGCGGAATGCGGATTTCTCGCATCTGGCACATCCTGGTCTCCGTAAATCACATTTAATTTTTCGGGCTCTGCAAGTCCAGCAACCAGTGAACGTTTTAGCTCGACGGGTGTCTTTGGGTGTCCCGTCTCTCCTATTGGTTCCTGGTTTCATGCGTTAAACTGACCCACCAGTCTTGAATACCCGAACCGTCCCTTAGGCCTCTTAAAATTGACTTTTTCACACGGCGATGAGTTTCGATGAAATGATGTTTTTCAATTTAAGCTCATCGCTATATCCAATTTAGATGTTGAAATAGCCAAAATTTAAAGATCGACACCATCAACTTTGACAAACTCTTGAATGTGAATAAAAGCCCAGTAAAAGTATGTCCAGAAGGCTTAAGAAGACACATCTCTTTAGTAAAGATGTATCTGCTCTAATGTATGCATATGGGGACGTCCCCCAACCGCTTCCAGAGTCTGTTCATTGTTTGGATGAATTGGTATCTAGTTATCTGGTAGATATATGTATGTCAGCTTATAGAACAGCCCAAACGGTACATAGGAACAAGATTAAGGTAGAAGACTTCAAGTTTGCGCTGCGAAATGATGAAGTGAAGTTAGGAAGAGCGGAAGAACTGATCAAATTGAGTAAGATTATCACGGATGCTAACAAATTGTTCAAATCGTCAGAGGGGAAAATGGCGAAAAGAGCCAAAGGTATGGGCGAGTTCAACGACGACGATGGCGAGGACGATGCAGACGATGACCAGGATAACGAAAGAGGGGACTCGAAAAGTGAAAAGAAGGAACCGGTAAAAAAAAGAAGAAAGACAAAGAAAAAGGGTCAGGACGAGACCCAATGAGAGGAGGAGAAAGCATCACATTGAATATCTAGAAGGGTGACAGAACCTTTCAGTGAACATTTTTCATTCATTTCCAGCGATCTTTGAGCTCCCAAAAAAAGGGTGAGGGACCATTCATTGAACCTTTCCATACAATCCCAGCAGTTTGTGAGCTTCAAATCGACGTCAAAGCTCTCATTGGTACATCGCTGGAAATCAGCGTGCAGAAAATACTAATTGGCTAATTCTTTGGGACTTTTTGAATTACGACTTTGGTTTCAGATATTGACATTTTGACTCCGGCGTTCAGGACTGAGTTTAACAGCAACGAATGTTCCTCAGGAGACTTCAACAATCCTGGGGTGGGTGAGGGGGAGAAGATCTGTCCATTTTTGGCAGAACATCCACGACATGCAAATCATCCAGCTACCAGTGCTTGTGAATAACAGCATGAACGTTTGCAGTTATGTCGTAATATCAAGCTCGCAGGACAGCGGTGCATTAATTCAATTCGCAAAGTTAGCGAAACTCACCAGTGTACTAAGACACCAGCGTGTAAGCTCCGAAAGAATCATACGGAAAGCAGGATTTTCCTCAGGATGCAAAGCTCACAAGAGACTAGATTTCTGGCATTCACGGGAATACAGGTTTCATCATTTCTTGATAAATGATCGAGAGAACTCACACACGTTGGATCTAGACTTGTAGCCAGAATTTTGAGTTGGTCCGTCCTCATGATGTTGAAGCCGAGATATGAGACGAAAGCTCAGTCTTAGCTCTTCAAAACTATACTCAGCTGTGAAGAGGGCTAAGACGAACAAACCCCAGTGCATTGGTTAGTATCTCTGATCAAGTTCATCAACATTGAGTCCGATGAAGAACTCTGCGGTATCTCGTCTTTGAAGGTTTCACCATGTTTAAACATTTTGCCGGCACATTGCAGTGGTGTTGAGTGCGTGCAAGAGGGAGTTATTCTACGACGTTAGCAAGCCGTTGCAAATTAGTAATTCCATGAACTGTACATGAATACTCAATGAACGTCATTGCGGGAACGCCTCTTCAATCAATCGATTCATATTCGCATTGTCACATTCTCACGTCTAGCTGATGAACGTTTTGCTTCATAGCGCAGCAGTGCGACAAGTTCGGGACTGCTGTATAGACAAAGCTTTTGCGGCCTTTCAATACCACCAAAGCTGTTTTCAAGCTGTAAGCCTACATTATCAGGGCAGTTGTGACACTAGATCATTCTCAGCGAGTCTTCTAGTAATATGTTTTGTCTGCTCTGTAATAAAAGCTTAACTACACTTTGTTAAATATATATGTATCTTGATGCAACAGGAACAATGGCACGCCTGAAGAGAGGAAATGTGCCTAGTCTTTTAACAGAGCAGTCATTAATAACACGCCAGACGTATGAATTTCGGTTTACGCTACATAATGAGAAATCGAACTGACGTCCACAAAACGTCCCCGGTGCGCAAAGGAAGCTTTTCGTTTAAAGTGGTTGCCAGTATACACTTAAAGTGCGTTCATGCATATTTACTGAATGCTTAGCTTATAAGCAGGTTCCTGCGGATCAACGTCATTCACGTAACTAGGAACTCCGACAAAAGAGTTCCACAAGTTGTTCAACTTGTAGAGAGCCATTTTGGCTATGTTTCTAGGTAGGTCGACGTAACTGGTAAAGATGAACCGTAGCGCCTCCTTTACGTTTCCTATCTCAGTCGTCCAAGCATTACTCCAGCTGTTTCCAGTCACTTCTTCTTGATTTTTCACAACTGTTTTCTTTGGTGGCATGATCACATCTTCGAATCTTTCGGATGCGCCCTTCTTTTCCAAAACCTCAGTGATATTGGTTTCGTTCACTTCATCCTCCGATTCTCCGTCACGAACAAGGCTTTCTTCTGTAACGTTTTCATGCTCGATAAAATCTGAGTTTGAAATGTTGACGCCACCAATGTCAGTAACTTCGGAAACGGTATTTCCCAGCGCTGTCTTGATCTCGTCCGTGACATTTCCGATGGATTCGACGTCAAGCTTCTTCGAATCAATTATTTTTGAGCTTAGTTTCTCAGTTTGATTTTCTAACGTCAGCGATTCATTTGACCTGTCCTTCAATGAGGAACTCAAACTTTTTCCCGCATTACTGAGAAGTTTGAAAAAGTTGTTTCCCTTGAAAAGCGCTAATATTCTATCGCTGGCGGTCAACAAACTGTCGTTGTACATTTTTTCGAAGTTGTTGATAGATTCGATACTCTTTGACAATCTGTCGAAGGTGTTGAAAAGAGCGATTAGCTCGTATTTCGTCAACTTGTCAACAATGGTTTGCTTAACGTCTTCGTCATCAGAATCGATTTCAAACAAAATTTTCAAACTCGTTGCATAACCTGTCGTCTGCACTTTACCCCAGAGCCTACATCTGTCACAGTGCACACAGTCCATGATCTTGGTTACATTCTTAAATCTCGATCTGAAATCGTCCTTCAGCTTAGAGCTGATGTCGTCATGGAAGAGAAGATCTTCATTGAAAATCTTGGAGTCGAGGTTCGAGACAACACTGGTGATCATGGACTTCACATCTTCATGATATGCGTTACAGAACCCGAGATGCGAAAGATATGGTTGGATTTTCCAAAGAGCTTTAGCTACCACAGCATAGTTGAAATAAATGTTTGCCACCCTGTCAGGAAAGTTGCCTACACGAAGCATGAACAGCTCAAGATTAGGCCCCCATTTTCCGGTCTCGGTGTTTAAATGGTCATTAGAAAGATGAGTTCCGATCGAGGCGTGCAGTCCAGATACCAATCTATAAAATGCGTCTTTCGCCAAAGATTGGCCCGTCTCATTCATTGAAAAGCAGTTTTCGCGGTACACGCTGGACCAAATCTGTGACGATTGCTCGCCACCGTAACCGGTGAACCGCTCGGGATTCGCTGTGAGATCCACCAGGACCGATTCGTCGTGATCGAAATCTTCCACATCGCAGTATTCGATATCTGGGCCCTTTTGGCCTTTTTGGGCGAACGACTTATCGCACAGCTGGTCCAAAAAAGCGCATTCATCATCGCGTGCCTTATCGGCACTAACACTTTCATTCGCAAATCCACCCAGGATTTCTGGCTGCCAATATTCGGGCAATTGATCCCAATCCTCAATAACATCTACCGCACATGCCCGATTTACACAGTAACCGTTACTGTCACTCCAAAAGGGACACTGCTTGTATAGGTTGAGTTTAAAGTATTTGAAAAAATCGCTGTGCACCAGTGACAGCAAATCATGCCGTATTTTGTGGTTGATGTCGTTGATTTCCGTAAAAGTAACGTCGCAGCTCGAGCCCACCAGTGAATCTTTGTCCATTTTACAGAAGTTTGTGGTTTCTTGCAACGAAGGCTGCTCTAGATCAGCCTGCGCTAGCAGCGGGCCCACAGCCAGTAAACTAGCTGTCCAAGATGCTAATTTCATGATAGTGACGACCTACGGATAACTTTTGAAGCCAAGAGCAAAAATGGAGACAAGGAGGAGGTACGGGAGTGCTTTAATCGGCTCCTTTTATACTTCCAACTCGTTTAGTTTTTAAGCTCTTTTGACTGAACAGCCTGTCTTAATCTCTTGGAAATTTCGATGAGCTTCGTAAGCACTGGCAAAATCGAAAGTGTCGGTGAAAAATAGATGATTAAGCGACACGAAATAGCCAAAGTGACGAGTACGATCTTGAGGGAAGTACTCAAGGTTAGGACGACAAGGTCAGTAGGACGTCAACGCACACACCGATTCGGTACTTCTTGGCTTCACACACATCCTGAATTAGATCTTGATCCATATCCGGGAACATTAGGTGCAGTTCGTCCAACACACGCTGATTTTCCTGTCGTTGTAGTTCCTGTACGAGGACGGCAGGGTCCGGCTCTTGGCTCTGTTCGCCTGACAGCCGTGCCGACGGAGATCGCTCCTGCTGGTTATCGGTAGTTTCAGCTGGGGGCGAGGAAATGAATAGCTCAGAAACTTTGGAAAGAATTGCAGATGTCGCTTCGTCTAGAGGTCGACGGATATACTCTGAAGGCGCAGGAGTGTGACTGGCAGTAGAAACCACTGTATCTTTGAGAGGGCCAGTGTCGGGTTCCGTGGCTGATTCTTTTGCGGATTTTTTTCTCTGTTCAAGTACATATTCCTGATGTTTGGTGTACTGCTCTTCAAAAGCGAGTTCATCAGGTATGTGGAGCGACTGGTGTCCCAAATGCGTTACAAAATCTGCTGCTCCTTGAACGCTGCTCAAATAGTACGCACTTTCGCCACGCAGAAACTCTGAAAACCGGAACCGCTCTGTGTAGTTTAGATTCGAAAACAATGCGTGCACGTCGCTTTTCAGCAGCGTGTACACCAGGACTGGGACAAAAGCATCGGCCCCGCCATTTTCAAGCCCTGAATGCTTCAGAAACCCGAACAAAACACGACATGCGTTCAACACACATACCATTTTGTCACGGGGCGCCTTATACTCGTTGATGCGGGCCAGTTCTCTCCCGGAAAGTCGTGTGAACTTGGACAGACGCTGTGTTAGAGACTCGGGGATTTCCAGCATTTCAGGCTCTATGAAACTGTACTCATCTCTTTTCAGTCTCAATTGCTCATCGCGTTCCAGGTCTTCACGATGGCTTTTATCGGTTTTTTCGTTAAACCGGTTTTCCACACAGGGCGAAAAGCACCGGGCGTAAAGCTTCCCCATGATCAGTTTTTCAATCCCCTCTTTAGCGTTGAGAAGCTTCCCACTGTCCAAAGATTTAAAAGGCTCATACAACGCCAGTTTCCCATATACGAAAAGTTTGAAGTCATCTATCAGTTTCTGTTGTTCCTCACAAGTCCAGAGATCCTTCTTTGTAGTGAAATTATGCAAAAATGATCGCGTGTATCGCAGAACAGGGTCTGCTTGTGGGTCCTTCAACTGGGCGATAAATGCCTGAAAGTCGTAGACAAGCTCTTCTTCATCGTTTTGAGCAGGTAAACCGCCTTTGAAACCCGCTGGATTTTCAGTGTTTGCTGCTGGTATTTGTAGAGAGCTCGATTCGCCTGATGGGGGTCCTTCCATGGTTTCTAATGGTCCTCCAAAAGGGTTTTGATGAGCCTTTAAATATCGAGTGAAATTGTCAATATATATAGGATTGACAGCTCATCGCCGTCTTATAAAGACAACTACAAGAAACTCGAACCAGACAAGAGGGAATGTGTGGGATCCTGACACATTACTATGGCAGCAATGCTCATGTGGAAAGTTTCTTTACGGAACTCAGCGAAGAATGGCTTTCAAGGAAGGAACTCCGGAGTTGTAGAACTGAGCTAGAGAGTTTAAACAATATAATACCATTGGTGATGGAAAGAGGACCCAATTATGCATCGATGAGGATATCAAACGAAGACAAGATGCTTTGGTTCTCTTCGGTCTTGTCATTGCGAGAACCATTGACCAAACAAAGTATAATTGTTGAAGATAGATTTGTCCTTCAATATAACGGTGAATGCTATAACTCTTCAATTCTGCAAAATGATACCCAATGGATCGTTGACCAACTTCGCGAGCATTTGGACGTTTTACATGTCATCAAATCCCTCGAGGGTGAATTCGCGTATACAATTTATGATAGACTTACGCAAGAAGTGTTTTTTGGTAGAGACCCCATAGGCAAGAGAAGCTTGAGTTTCCGTCTGGGCACAGATAATCAAGAACTCACCGTTTGCAGCGTCACTGGGAAAATCGATAATTTCCAGAATTGCCAGGCCGGTGTGGTCTACGTTTATGATATATCGAAAAGCAAACTCAGTGCCGATATGAAGATTAGACCCGAAAACTTCGTAGTAACGGACGCGGAGGACTCTGAGCTTGTTGACTTGGCTACTAACATCGAAAAGCTGTATTTCAACCTCAATAATGCCGTGAAATGCAGGCTGGAGACCATTCACCCACTTCATGTAGAAAATAGCCCCATCGCCATATTGTTTTCCGGCGGACTGGACTGTTCTGTCATCGCTGCATTAGTGTGTCACCAGATCAAAAACTTGGGCATGAACACGGCAGTTGAGCTTTTGAATGTTGGTTTTGAAAATCAAAGGACACACATGTTGCCAAGTGACGTGCCAGACCGCATTCTCGGGCGACAGTCCTTCAAGGCATTGCAAAAACTGTTCCCCGATATAGAATTGCGATTTGTCGAGGTGGATGTCACTTATAAGGAGTACTTGGAATACAGACCCAAAATATTGGACCTCATTTACCCCAAACAAACGGAAATGGACTTGTCAATCGCAGCAGCCTTTTATTTTGCCGCAAAGGGCAGCGGATTTTTATCAAAAGAACAATTTGGGTCTCGAGTTTCATATGATAGACACGGAATTGTGCTTTTTAGCGGCCTAGGCGCCGATGAGTTGTATGGCGGATATCATAAACTGGCAAATAAGTCGAAAACTGAGCTTGTTGAAGAGCTCGAACGGCAGATCAATAATATCCACGACCGGAATTTGAGCCGCGATGATAAAGTGTTGGCATCGAATGGCGTGGAAGTGAGATACCCCTTTCTTGATGAAAGCGTAATCGAGTTTTCCACGAAATTGCCTCTTAACTACAAGATAAACAAAATGATCTTGAGAAAACTCGCAGAGGAGAAATTGCAGCTGGGAGACATTTCCGCAGAGCCCAAACGTGCCATTCAATTCGGTGCCAAAAGTGCCAAAATGACAAAAAATGGTAATAAGCACGGAACGGATTTGGTCCAGGACAGCTGATTAACTTTAAGTGCCACTAAATAGCCGTCATCTTGTGTCTTTTTTTGAGTCATTTGTTCATGAAGACAATATATTTCGCAGCTTGCTCGAAGTTGAAGGCGAGCAAAAGAGCAAATCCGTTGAACATGCACGCTTTATTGAGATCCTTGAGTATGTTTTCGGAACTTTCGACGTCGACTACACAAATCAACACATTGTTCTTGAGCTTGACCAGTGGTTGAATCTTTTTTGAAATATACTCAGGATGCAGTTTGTGGTACTTCAGGGATAGAAATACTATATTGCGACCCTGTACGCAATAATCGTAATATATTTTGTTTCCCCCCGATGGTGACACATAGCGCCAGCTCGTATTGGTCAGACTACTCAGAAGCGGATTTCCGCGTTGTGATACACTGACAAGCACATTTTTTTCCTTGCCAGAAGCTCCAGATGTGGGGTTTGGTGATACTTTTGACCATTTGCGTTTACGCTCTTCGACCTGAGAAACTTGGTGTGCAGCTTCTTCTTCATTCTTGCGCTGGTTGAACGCATTGACAACCGGCGTATCCCGGTTTGCAACTGGCACGGGTCTTGAAGGAGACTTAACTGGTCTGGGTTCGATGGGAGCCTTAGAAGTAGCAGGATTGGCGGAATTTCCATCGTTGGTATCATGGGCATTACGAAGTTTTTGGACACCCGCGAGAATGCTTTTGAAAGAAGCTGAATTAGTGTTCATACCGAGTTAGAGCGGCTTACAAGTCCGCATCAAGAGATCGCAATGGATTGATGTGTGTGCGTGTGCGGTAAGGTATCGATGAGATCTACTTGTCTGTATTGTTGTTATATTGATGACACACACGTATAAAGCGATGCTAATTGAACCTTTTGAAGAAGTGAATTCTGTGCGTCGCGGGGACTTTAACCAGCTTGAAGAGCGGTGTTTATCGATACCAAATGGTATTGGAAAGTGGTGCGAGGATTTTTCATCTTTTCTTCTCATCCTCACAATGAGTAAATATTTGAAGAAAAATAAGCAGGGAAAAATCGATTAGGCAGCAGAGATCGAGAAACTAGCATAAAAATCGAGTCCTTTTTGAACACTGATATTTTTCAAACTGGTCTGGATCCTAGCCGTCTACCCAAGATTCATCAAAATATTAAAAATGGCAGTTTTCGAAAACAAAGAAAACATCGTGAAGACACTAGCTTCCCAGTAACCAGAAAACGCCCAATTTAACAAGCTTTGCTAGTACTTCAAGGTCCTAGTCCCTGCTTACTTTGATTAAAACGTTGTGACTATTTGTTCCAAGCACGTGATCCTCTTTGCTCATTTACTATAAATTAAACAAACATATATGTAGTTCAATAGATTCTCAAGCTTGAGACGTTTAAACCATCAAAAACTAACACAATTCTACCGCTATGTCTGCTCAAAAAAGTATGAATTGAATTCACAGATAATTCTCCCAACTTCGCTCATCTTTACTAACCAATTTTCAAAGTTGATCTCACCAAATTGAACCCGGAACAGTTGACCATGGTCAAACAGCAGTTTGATCAGGAATTGCAGCATTTTTCGCAGTCCCTTCAAGCGCTTAACGTGGCGAGAACCAAATTCAGAGAGTGCAAAGACGACATTGAGTCTACTCAGAAACTGGAAAACGGCAAACAAGAGCTTTTGGTCCCACTATCTGGTTCCTTGTATGTCAAGGGCTACGTCAAAGATTCACAAAAGTTTACAGTTGACGTCGGGACCGGGTACTACGTCGAGAAGACAGCTTCGGAAGCTTTTGAATTTTACGATAAGAAGATTGCCAAGCTCAACCAGGAGTCGGTCCAGATCCAAAACATCATCAAAGAGAAAAGTCAGTCATCTATGGCTATTGAAGGCCACATCCGCCAGGCAGCGATCGCGCTACACGAACAGCAAAAAACCGCTTCTTCTTCGTGAATTTGAAAAGAAGGGACCAGAATAGGTGAAGATGTTGAAATGTGTGAGCAGAGGAGGATCGATAGGCATTCTAATGTGCAATTATTGGCGTGGAATCATATCACTTTCTTTATCGTTTCGATTTCTCTCGCATGTGACACGTGATCGCTCGCAATTGAAAATTTTAGTCTAATTAGCACACAGGCGATGAGATGAGATGAGCTGCTGAAGCCGATGAGTTGAAAGATTTGAAGAAACCACATTTGAAGCTTAAAGCTTGTATCTCCAGTACCATGGCTCGCAAATCGAAGTCCAAAAGCTCAGGAAAAAGGGCACAGAATGCTTTAGAGATAGCTCAGCGTGAGTTGGATGGCTTCAGTGACCAGGAAACTGGAATTTCCCATAACCTACGTCGGAACGGGACTGTGGTAAACCCCCACAGAAAAGGCTCTGATGAAGATGACGATAGTGAAGACCAAAAGTTCGAGGACGAGGAAATCGATTCGGAAGAAGCTTTGGGCTCAGAGGACGAATTTGATGTTATGAACTCAAAATTCTCTCAGACCCTCAGGGACCGCAACAAAAGTGGTGAGAAAAACGCTTTGCAATCGGACGACGATGAGGATGAGGGTGGCTACACTTCAATAGATGAAGGAGAATTGTTGCCTTTGTCCGAAGTTTGGGACATGGACAACAAAACAGGCTCAGTCCCAGACTCTCTCGTACTAGATGAAGAAGAAGAGGAAGATGAAAAGGAAGACCAGTCCAGTGATGAAGAAAACAGCAGTAGTGGTGATGACGAAGATGAGGAAGAGTCTGAAGACCCGTTTGATGAGATATCTGAAGACGAAGGCGATGTGGAATTGTCCACAATCACAGCTCAACTGCGCAAAGATACCGAGAAGAACCAGTACCGTCGATTGGATAATGCAGCGATTGGTGAAGAAAACGAATTCGCTTTGCCATCGCTATCTAAAGATCACAGAAAGCTGAATCTAGCAGATCTGGTCGGTGCTGTGGACGACAAAGAGGCGGTGGAGCATGCAGGCCTACTAAAAGGTAAAGCTGAAGCTCTCAATGTACCACTTCCGCAACGTATTCAGCAGAGACACGATCGTAAAGCCGCTTACGAAATCTCCAAAGATGAGGTAAACAAGTGGAGAGACGTCGTGCAGCAAAACAGACAAGCAGAACATCTGTCGTTCCCACTGAATCCCGAAACACAGCACAATACTGTAACGCTATTTCAACCTTCAGAAGGAGGTGCTGCAGGTACAGAACTCGAGCAGAAAGTAGGCATATTATTGGAAGACAGTCAACTTGCTGATCCGTTGAAGGAGTCTACCTTTGAAGAGATTGCCACTGCTAAAATGTCGCCAGAAGAAATGCAAAAGAGAACTGCTGAGGTCAGACTAATGCGAGAGCTCATGTTTCGCGAAGAAAGAAAGGCGAAGAGAATCAAAAAGATCAAGTCCAAGGCTTATCGTAGGATCAAAAAGAAGGAGCTTTTGAAGAACAAGGAGTTAATTGAAGAGTCAGAAGAGGAAAGCGAAACGGAGCGAGATGCTGCAAGAGCTCGTGAAAGAATGTCCTTGAAACACAAGACTTCTTCTAAGTGGGCTAAGGACATGGTAAAACATGGCATGACGAAGGATAAGGAGACCAGGGCAGAGATGGAGGAAATGCTCAGACAGGGTGAGCGTCTACGTGCCAAAGTGGTTGGCCACGAGTCCGGCAGTGAGAGTGATAATGGGGTTAGTGATATTGAAAACTCAGAAGACGACAGAAACTCATCAAAGAACTCAGAGCTTCGCCAAAACCTCGGTAAGACAGGTGTCATGAACATGGCTTTTATGAAAAATGCGGAAGCCAGACGTGCGGAAGCCAACAGAGAATCAATTGCTGAACTGAGAGAAATGGAAGCAGGCCTGGATGAAACGTATTTACAGCGCGGCAATCACAATGGAGTAAAGGCAACTATAAATGCGGGACGTAGGGTTTACGCACCGGGGACCGAAGAATCCGCATTGGAAGCTGAAGAGGCCGATAAGGCGGCCAAGCAAGAATTCGATAATGACAACTCTCGATCCCTCGTGAATCAAATGAAGAAAGGTTCGGACAAAGAGAAGAACAAGAAGCTCAACAAATCTTCCAAACCGGTACCGAAGGAAAGTAAAGAGCCTAAAGAGGTCAACCCTTGGTTAGACGGTGATAATGACAATGCCTCAGGGAAAAAATCCAATAAGATCAATGTGATAGACGAAAACAGCTCAAAACTCGCCAAGAGTGCTAATAAAATCGCGAAGAAACAGGCCAAACGGGATAATCAGGTCTCTGGGAAAAGCTCACGAAATGAAGAGCAACTTCTAGATGTCGATAGTACCAACAAAATGAATCTAGTTGACCCGTATGACCAAGGGGAGGAGGACATTGATGGCTTCATGTTCAAGCAGCAAGATGTCATTGCTGAAGCATTTGCTGGGGACGATGTCGTGGACAAGTTTCAGCAAGAGAAGAAAAGAGTCGCTATTGATGAAGATGACAAGGTTGAGGATGTCACCCTACCTGGTTGGGGAGATTGGGCAGGTGCGGGAGCCGCTCCTTCAAAGAAACGCAAGTACAAGACGACGAAGGGGACTGTGGAAAAAGATAAGCGTAAGGACAAAAATCTAAAGGATGTGATAATCAACGAGAAAGTGAACAAGAAAAATATGAAATATCAATCTTCGGCTGTTCCATTTCCATTTGAGAGTCGGGAACAATATGAGAGATCGTTACGAATGCCCTTGGGTCAAGAATGGACTTCGCGGACTTCTCACCAACGCATGATCAAGCCTAGAATCATGACTAAACGCGGTACGGTAATTGATCCATTGAAGGCGCCATTCAAATGATTCAGATTCAAGAAACTTGTGTTTAAAGACCTCATCTTTAGTTGCATGTGTAAAAAAAAAAGATACTTGTTACTCACTATCTAAATGTGTTTTGCCTTCATTTTATGTTGCTGAAGCTTACTGCTATAGAGCCTCTAACCTATCATTGATTTCTTGTGCTGACAGCTTGCGGAATCGTGGACCCTTTACGGACTCGTCACCTGTGAAGCCTAGCAAATGCTGATTCTCCTCTCCCACGACTGCGATCTCGATGGAATCACCATTGAATTCACCTTCTACGGATTCTTTGAGGGTTAAAAGTGCTATATGGATTGCATCTTCAAGCTCTAGTTCGTCATTCCATCTTTTTTCCAAAAACGTCTTTGCAGCGGTAGAGCCTTTACCGATCGCTGTGGCTTTCCAAGGAAAATAAGACCCTGAGGGATCTACCTGATATAGCGTGTATCCGTTATGTTCGTCGTGGCCTGCAACCAGGAGCGATACACCGAACGGTCTAACACCCCCAGACTGGGTGGCCTCCTGCATGATCTTGGCCACTTCTGCCACCAAAATTTTAGTTGGGGGATACTCGTTGTAAATACGGTGATAATGAGTATGTGCTACTTTTCTTGACTTGTCAATGAGTACTCTGAAATCTGGGCCCATACCGGAATACGCAGCTCCAATATCGGGTGTGATGTCTGCTATTTTAGATAAAGAATCTGACAATGCAAGTGAAGAGGTTGCCTTTTTTTCCGTTGCAATGATCACACCGTTTGTGGCCCTTATTCCTAGAGAAGTAACACCTTGCTTTACTGCTGTTAAAGCATAGTCTATTTGACCAAGTTTGCCGCTAAAAACATCACAAAAGTCAGTAAACGAGAGAACAGGAGGGGAAATAGATCACTGCAGTATACAGAACGCTCGTGAAGAGTCAGAAATCATCGAATAAGCCCTGTACACTGGCTTCAAATACCGTGCCATCTAACTTGACTCAAATATAAACATACCTTGGCGAAAAAGTGGTTAGCGAAAAGGAGTATCTGTCAGCCATTGTTCAACTAATGTTTGCGAGCGTGTCAAGCAACAATTCGAGTCAATTGAGATCGCTTCTTGCCTAGCTGAGTAGTCGGAAAGTGTTGAAAGGGTTCGCCACCGAGTTAAGATTTGGAGATATTGAAAAAGTGGTTATTCGTCTGTGGTGATCAGAGTTCGAAGCTACAAACTCGAACTGAGCGCTGGTTGAAATGGTTAAAAGTTGATCTACTGATCAGCTGGATGGGATGTGGAGTGAACTGCGAGTATGGTAGAGTTTTTTGCGTTCTTTTGAAAGTTTTTTGGTGGAATTTGGACTTATTTTGAGATAGTTACGCTCAAAATTGAAAATTGTGAGAAATCATGGGATCTATCCACATTGAATGGTGAGATGGACTTCAAAACACTACTGGCAGTATCTTTCAAGATTATATTTGCCTCTATTATTTTCCTTTTGAACTTCTTTCACGCCACTGGGCACGCTCGAGGTCCGTCAAAATTCGCGGACTCGGACGCTGGACGTGCATGAAATTGCATTCATCGCCTCTTTCACACGACTGCATGTCGTGCTTTCGACAAACGGCTTCGCGGAAGTCGGTGACATGTGAATACTCGCAGTACAATGGCCGCTCGTTGTACCATCGTGTGTTGAAACTATCCTTCGCCGCTTGTGCGTCCTTCGGCAGCGCAAACTTCAAGTATACGTTCCCGTTCAAATGATCGTTCTTATTCTCGCAAACCACCATGGCTTGCAACTCACCAAACCGTGCTGCCTCCATGTACACGTCTTCGAAAAAGGCGTCGAAATCGGTTTGCAGCGTTTGCGAATCGTCCGAGCTCGGTTTCCAATACATATTCGGTACCAAAAGAGTTGGAGAGATTGATGGACGGATATGTTTCTTGGAGCATCGATCACCATGTCTGCAGGCTCCGATCTTATAGTAGAAATGACTGGTGCAAGAAAGTTAGTAAAAGCGGACCGAAAATACATAAGAAAACGCTCGGATTTCAATGCGAATTACATACCATTTATCCCTGTCTTCGTAGTTTGACATGATGCACAGAGTTTTAGGCCTTAAGTCGAGGCTTTTGACTGTTTTCGAAAGGTTTCGGTTCAGTATTTCTGCTAGCTCATCGCATCGATTAATTAATCTCTGTCTCTGCTCTACCTTCAAATGTTAATTTCGACGGCTAAAACACCGACAAAACGAAAGATGGGAGTATGTGGCTGAATAGCAGGCTCTGTGGCTATAACTGTTGAAAATAAATATTAACAACCTGTTTAGAACGATGGCAGCTCCATTTCGAGGGTAAAAACGCTACTAACGGCCACCAAACGGCGTAGTAGCGATTCTCAAAACTCGGAATCTCGAAATTTTGATTCTGTATCTAGATGGTCAGTATGTAGGCTAAGTAATACACCGTTGCGAGTCCCGGTGGTCAGCGATTACCGAGGTAATCTTTTCAATAAGGAATCGGTTCTAGAATGGCTGCTGACACCACATAAGGAGGACTACTCAGATGATCAAGTCCGCTTGTTTGGTCACATAAAGACCTTGAAAGACGTAATAGAGCTGCACAACATTGTGGAGGTTAAAGTGCAAGACGGAGGATCTGTGTTGAAGTGCGATGTGGGAGACGAAATATGGGGCAGAAGTTCTGGCAACTTTTCATATTTGGCCAGATGCGGTCACGTATTGCCTCGACGAACACTTCGTGGAGATTTATGTCCTGTTTGCAGCATTCAATACAAACAGAAAGACGTTATAACGCTTAATCCCAGTTCAGGTGAGTTGGTAGACCTTGAAGCTCGGATGGCTCAACTTAAGAGCGAAGGTCTCACACACAGCGGAAAAGCTGCTAAAACGAAGAAACGGAAGGCCAAGCCAACTGATGCCGCTGTTAAAGCTCCCAAGCGCCAAAGGTGTTGAAGCGAGAGTCATGGAAACTTCTAACAGCACCATTCATTTCCAAATTTCGTTATTTTGAAATATCATATATATAGATACACACGATGACTGGTACTAAGACCCACTATATACAAAACCAAAAAGGGAGCACAGATCATGTCTTTCCATTTCTTGCAGAGCTCAACAGCAACATCCTCCATTCACTGTGCATTTTCTGCCTCTTTTTCAGCAGCTTTCTGCGTAACTTGTTGTTCATACTTGGTACCCGTCGTGTACATGGTATAAACTAGTCCCCCAGCCATGTAAAGGGTACCCCCAACAAGCGACAAAACCGTCAAACGGTGTGCTGCATCTGTGACTTTGGTGTACCAGGCGTATTTTGACATAACTCCTTGTATAGAAGATGCTTTGATGCGTTTTGTAGTTGACGTTTTTCAAAACGATGAGTTTAAGATACTAGAATAATTTGTTATATTTAATTTCTCGATGAGTAGTAGGTAGGGTGTTTTGAACAGTGTACCAATAATATGAAATACGCCTTTGCACTGGGATGAGTAGCAACCATTTAAACTACATTCAAATACATGAGAGCTATATAAACCACACTTTGGTTTGTTTCATCACGACAAATCGCTATCATCCCGACTTGATCACTAGTTTTCGTAAATGCATTCAGTTCATAAAATATGGGATGAGTAGTGTGTCAGCACTGAGCGCTGAAAACACTATTCCCCAGTGGCAAAGGCTACAGAGTCGTCGAGGAAGCCTAATAAACCGAGGATTCTCGTTTCACCATCGGCACCCCTCAGTGATGGAAAACATACTGGTAGCTGTTGGCAAATACATTACTGATCTTCTTTGGAACTCTTTTGTACAGAGGATCCTGGTAGTATCCGAAGAACCAACGGGTATTTTCTTGCACTAGATCAACCAGTTTCTCTCTTGGGGTAGTGGGCGCAGTTTTGATTCCAAACGACTTCGCGTAGTTTCTCAAGTCGTCAGTAGTCCAAGAGGCAAATAAGGTAGTCCACTCGTCAACTTTTTCGCTGGCAACTTCGTGAGCATCACTGCCCTTTTGCTGAGCGGCCTGAGCAGCGTCTGCAGTCTTTTGTTGCGCATAGTCCAAAGCATCGGATCCTTTGTCTTTGAGGTACTCGGCGGCGTCGTCACCTTTGACCTTGGCGTAATCCGTTGCGCTAGAAGCCTTTTCCTTGGCATACGAAGCGGCTTCAGAAGCCTTCTCTTTCGCATATGAGTTAGCATATGAACCCGCATCCGCAGCCTTGTCCTTGGCGTAGGACGATGCATCAGCGCCCTTGTCTTTGGCATAAGTTGCAGCTTCGGTTCCAGCTTCTGCTGCGTAGTCGGTAGCAGCACGGGCAGCTTCTGCCCCTTTAGCTTGAGCGTAATCAGAGGCAGCGGTACCCTTCTTCTGGGCATACAACCAAGCGTTTTCACCTTGATTCTGACCCTGCACTAGTAAATCGTTGACTTTGCCACTGGCAGCTTTGTAAATACCACTGGAAGTTATGTCGTCGTTTCTGTCTTTGACCCATTCCTTAAGGTTCTCGTAAGACCAGCCATCAAAGTACTCCGCTACCGCGGGGGAGGTGGTCAAATTTTTCAGAGGACTATTGCGGTACTCCTTGACTAAATCCAAAAGTTCGGAACGGGTACTAAACCACGAGTAAGATACTCCACGCGCATCCAAAAACGCCCGCAACCGTTTCTTGGGCCAGGATTCTACCCCTAACAAAAATGTATGGTTCACAATGTTGTCACTATGAGAGAAGTAGTTCTTGAAGTCTTGCCATTTGTTTGCGGTTTGACTCCAGACTGAGGCCACGGCCTCTTCCGATTTAGCATAGAATGGAGAAGCCTTGTTTTTGGCCGCTTCTAAATACCAACTGGCATCATCCTGCAAGTACTTTTTGTTCTTCTGGGCGACGTTCAACAAATACTGGCGATCATTCTCGGCATTTTCCTCGATCTTGATCTTGTGGCTTTGCAACCAGTCCTGAATTTCGCGCGTGGACCATGTGTTGAAGACCTGATCCTTCACTTTGCCGGCCTTGTCTACAACTTGCTGGTTAGCGAGATCGAGTTGTTCCAAAAGACTGAGACGTTCGTCGTTGGCGTAGCGGGACGCCGAGTGAATGTTCTCACGCACCTTGGCCAAAAGATCGTCCTTCTTGGCCTTGGCCTTATCGTAGGGCACGTGATACTCGTCTAGCCAAGACTTGAGATCGTAGTCGTCCCAGTTGGTAAAATACTGTTGCGAGGGATACAAACCGGACAACTCATACTTGGAATTGATTTGTTCAAAGTTTTCTTTGGCCTTACTCACCAATGCGTCGCGAGACAGATCGGAGTTGTACTTGATCTTGTTCTTGGACAGTAACTTACGCAAGTCCTTGGCGGACCACGTGTCGAAAAACCATTCTGAGATCGGGTCCTTATTTTGCGCGAAATCGGCAACGCGTGTGCGTGACGACCAAAAGTTCCACCATGGGGTAGGTTTAGATTGCTTTTGGTAGAGCGCCTCTGCGTGTTTACGCAGCACATCTGCGTTTTCCTTGCCGGCTTTTTGAAGCGTCTGTTTCTGGTCTTGCAAATATCCTTGGAGATCATTGCTGGTCCACTGGTCGTACAGTCCAGCAAGATCAGCCACGGCCACTGAAACCAGCAATAATGCGGCTGATGTGGTGGGCACACTTACTATTCTCATTTTGTGTGGTGTATGGGTGTACAAATGCTAATCACGTTGTTTGAAAATGTCTGGGTTTTTTGAAAAGTCACGTGATCTCTAGTATTATAATTCAGCACAAAAGGTTTTTGAACACTTGGTCTTGATTTCAGTCCTTATACTCTGTGATGCTAATAACGCCGGTTGCGAAATAGATATACTCCCACTTATGTTGAAACTCCCTCAAGTTTTGTTCTGACACTTTCATCCAACACCACCCTTTGTCTCAAATCCTCTCCACCGACCCTTTTATACCCCAAAAAAATTTAAGGAACTTCTAGCCCCTTTTTGCTACTCCGCACGCCCCTTATTTCCGATCTCTCATTACCGCCACAATAAGCGGTGTGATCTGAAACAGGTACCTGAGAGAGACATAAACCCTTTTGAAGTCTTGCTATGGGGTGGTAAGAAGAAGTCCAAGTGAGTAGCGGTTAATGGCAATTTTTTGAAAGATCGGGTGTGAGTACTGGATGAGTACGAGTACGAGTACATGTGTAGATGAGAATGTTGCTTGAAGGTCGGTCACGTGATGTGGATGGTTTTGGAAGCATAGCATTTGAACAAGCCTCTGTATTTCTAGTGTTATGAGCAGACATCGTTCCGAAACTGTATGGCTACCGATTCCCATCACTGCTTTGATGAGTTAAATGCTTAATATCCATAAATGTGTCATTCTCTCTTTTGGTCACGTGATGCATGAAATTCTCTACTATACAAGCTGTTTTGCACATCCATACCAACAGGTAAATGACCCTAGGATATTGTAGACTCGCACCATTGTTTGACTTTCCGGTATGAAGAAGATCGTTGTTTTCTGATTGAATGTAAATCTAGCGAACGTCACATTCGCGCACGTGCCGTCAGTATGAATTGGCAAATATGTCAATTACGACTTGACCACAGACTCCAGCGGCATCGAGGTATAGCGGTCCCAGGTCTCTTATTTTTTGTCAGCAATCATTATTAAATATTTGAGTGCGCAGTTGAATAATCAACAATTCTCAATTGTGAAAAACGGTAACGAAAAGTAGAGCTGAGAAATGGAGCACTAATGATCTAGAGATGGGTTTCCACGTTGTTGAAAAGTTCAGCGCTACTCTCCGGCGCTTTCAGCTCGCTTTGATCATCGTTGACAAGTTTGTCGTGCAAAAGCACCACAAACACCGGATCCCAATTAGGGATATGAAAATACGTTTCTCCAGTCAAACGGTCATGAAAGCTATGCCGTCCTTTTTGCTATTCCCATAGCCTTTTTTAGCTGCAACAACAGCATTTCGAGATTCTAAAATAATGTTTATTTCGTGACGCTGTTATTGGGTCACGTGATCCATGGACTCTAGTACCTGCAAATGTACATTTATAAACAGATAGATATTACGGACACTCCAACATCACCCAGTTCCCTTCTGAAGGTATACCTAATGAGAACAACGCAAACCCCACTTGCCTGTATATTCGTAGGTGCTTTTTTTGTAATGACAGGTCAAGAATCTCAAAAAAGCAAGTGGTCACGTGCACCAGACCAATTTTGTTCCTAACACGATGAGATACCTTTCAAGACTCCTGTCGTTATAACCCCCTAAGTTCGATAACAGCTTCAGCTCATTCAAAGCCAATCTTTTCCCCTCGCCTCTGTGCTAAATCCCGTTCTCACCTTCAGTCCTGGTCTCGAGCCAGAGAAACCCTTATTTATCACTTTTTCCCAGTCCGTCACAGGCACAACTCGGACTACAAGTCCATCGTGCATACGCCATCGCTTCGACAGCTTCGATAACACACACGCTCATATTGAGTCATTAAGATGCGTATATGTCACCAATCGTCCCAGGTATGAGCCAAATGCTTCATGTTTACGAAGCCCTGTAACGCCTCAGTCAAGACTCGTTTCTTCAGTAAATCAACCAGCTAGTATCATTTGAAAAAACTGTAGCTTGTAAATCGCTTTGGACATTTTAGAGGTTAACGCAAAACACGCTCACACATCCAATTGCCACTGGTATCCTGCTCTACAATTCATGATTAATCGTAAACTTTTGTGCCAACATTCTGGCATTCGATGACTAGCAGGTGTTCATTATAAGACGAGGGCTTCAGCTTGACTAAGTTAAACTTGAGCAACATGCAGAAGTCGAAAACCAAATTTACCGGACGATTGGATTCAATTGGAAAACCAATATCACACAACACTGCATACCACTATGGGTCAGCGGAAGGTGGTCCATGAGCTATATCACTTTGTACTAATGTGTCACTAAGATAATGGTTGAATTCAAGTTCACGCCGCTCGAGCGATGAAGTCAGACGATGTCATCATACGGTAGAAATATCTTATTTAGCACAGTAACGTACTGTACTCGTTGAATTGGCCTCCGCATCTTTTTCTTGGCAAATGATACCTGAATTATTAAGTAGTTGATATTTTAGCTCTAAGTTTCAAAAACCTCACTAGAGATGGCCCTAATGGCACAGATTAATTCAATCACCAAGCCTAAGCTTTCAAGGCAGTTCGTCGTAGCGTGAATGTTGCCATAGATTGAAGATAGTTAATCAGGTATTTGATGAGTACACTTGTGAGTACTTAGTCACTACTCACGCAAATGTTGATATTAATGCCCATCTACAATACTCAGTGATGATGTCAAAGAACACCAACAACAATTCTCTATTTTAGCCGAGCTCGAGCTCTCAATCCTGCTTCCATGACTGATCGAACATTTAAGCAGAATTCTCCATCTTTCACGTTACGCAGCGAGTCCCCTATGGCCCGGGACTCGTTGGATTTGGGACAAACCGGTAACGCTTTAACTTCAGTTGTTCCGGAACCGATCTACGTATCACGAGAACAGTCCAGCGGGATACCGACAAAAACTGGATTCAGTGCATTGCAATACACGCTGACAAGTCTGAATGTATTTCAGCAACTTCCCAGAAACTCTGCTCATGGTGTAGATGATTTAACACGTATGAAAATGGCTTTGATGAGTGGGATTCCGAGTGAGGTCAACTGGGCGTTGAGGAAATACCTTTCATACAGCAATAAAGCTCCATACATGATCAGTTTGAAGTCAAATAGATACCTGCTTCCTCTTTTCACGAAAATTTTGGTGAGAACAAGACCGTTACTCAAAAAACTAGATATGCCTTTAAATCCAGAAACCGACGTTCCTGTTTTCCAGCAATGCCTCAATTCCGTCCTCATTCTTAGAAATCTTGCTCAAGATGCTGAGTCTACGCAGGTTTTGGCACTGGATTCTGTTGTGAAAGATTTCATCCTAGCCGTTTTACAAATGGCTAACGCGATAAAGGAAAATGATTTTTTGGTGTACGCGCATAATTCACAGTTCTTCAACGAACTTACCCATTACGTGATTGATCTCATGGAAGCAATATCCTCTTATATTGCCCCCGCCAGAAAAGACGATCCATTTTTTCAAAACATGGTTTCCACTTTAACCGATACGAAGGACCGCTACATGGTCATCTCGATCCTACGGTCTGTATCGAGGCTTTTAGTCAGGTCCAAAGCTGATGAGGAAAGTGCGGCTGATAATCTTCACGATAATATTCTCGACCAGATCGTTTCGTACCTCGTGGTGGCCAACGACAGTGAACTGGTCATGGCGTCACTGGATTTCTTATACCAATACGTGCTTCCAGGAAACGAAAGAATTACAACTCTGCTACAAAGTGAACACAGATTTGCTATCCTATCGGCTGTATTACCAAAGCTGCTAACATATGGGGTGCCGCTACCAGATTATGCACAGTATAATAAGATTGAAGTGAGGCTAAAGCCACGGGTAAGGCCTCCAGCTCCGACCGAGCCTCCCAAACTAGAAAAAAGATTGTTTTATGAAATTCTCGAGCTTAATGAACCTATGAGGTCAACAGCATGGTTGAGATGTTGTTTCGAGCCAGTCCAGGAGTCGGAGGTGACTCAAATTAGCTTATGGAGGGGCTATGAATCAGAATTCTCGCAAGCGGTAAGAGATTCGGGAAGGAAGCTTTTACCAGCTGTCGAGTTCATCAAGAATGTGTCGAACACCTTCGAACACGCATCTGCAATGGTTATTACAGATGAGACTACAGGAAAAAAGAGATTTGTGATCAAGGGTATTCAACCGAGGCCATTCGCCGTATCTATCGCTGCTGGCGATGCTGCTGCCAACTCATCAGGCAACCGCATAGCTTTGCCGATAAGAGACGAAAATGGAATAATAAGAGAAGCATCTCAGACCGCTTTGCCGATCGTGAAATTTCCTTCTAATCTATCAGACGTTGCAAAGGCAAGCACGACTTTTCTTTGCTTGATTTCCAACGACAATAAGGGTGTCGGCTTCTCTTTCTGTAAAACAGTTAAGCCCATTATAATGCATCTATTGGCGGATGTGCCACCGCTCAACTCGGTTTTGGCGGAGTACATGGACAATATTCCTACTGTTTAAGTTTCGTTACATCGATCGGGCTCAGTAAATAAGGCTGCCTCGCCAACGCAGATGCAATCAGATCATTAACTCATAAATTAGAGATAAATGCTTGGTATGTAGTAAAAGGATGTATCATTATTGTGGGTTACCCACACTTGTAAAGTCGTCAGTGAACACATGCAGAGAAATCGAGGGCGAGAGTTCGGATCTAGACACCGTCTCGGAGCGTTCGGGCGCCATTGAAGACCGGTTTATTCGTTCAAACAATAAAGTTTCCTCAGAACGGCTTGAAAACTATGTGTTCTCTCAGCATCCTCTTGATTGGACTCTTTGATGTAGAAGGTTTCGATATCTTTGATGAGCCTAGATAGTTGTTCTGGCTTAAAGTGAAATTTCATGTCGTTCGCCAGGTACAAGCACCTAGTATTGGGATTGAGGTAGATGGTCTCAACAATGTTGTTGAAAAGGGCATCGATACTGGGACGATGTACTCTAGAATAGAAGCGAATAAGTTTAGAAATGTCGTCCTCGGAAATTTCAGGGAGCTTTAGAAATGTCCTGAACCTGAAAAAATTGGTGAGCTTCTGCATGGCGATTTTCCTGTAGCAGTCTTCCTCCAAATTAATAAACTGAATTGAGTCATGTAGATTGTTGAGCATCTGTTCACTGATTTCTAGGTTTACTGCCTGTTGCGTTGTCATATCCATGATTCTATTCTGGTCACACATCAGCTCCTGATAGAGAGCTACCATTCCTGAGAAACTTTTTTGCGTCGAAAGCACGTTGGCTAATTGCAAAGTATTTTCGACTCTGTCTAGATGAACCACAGGCGTTGTGAAACTCTTGAGGAAAAGTGCAAAAGAAAGCAGATCGTTTGACTTGTGGTCACTTTTAGCGCCCTTAGACCTGAGCGTTTTGATAGCTTCATCCACTTTTTTGTCGTTTAGCAAAAACTCTGCTTGTATATCAAACTTTTCAGACCCAAGACGACTTTGAAGTTTATTCCAAAGCCTACCGTATTGCGAGAAGTCACCCGAACGTATGCACGACTTTAACAACAACCCAATGTTCAAAACAGGACATGTTTCATTGAGCCTTGTGATGTCATGATACCGCTTGTTCCTGAACAGCTCCTCGTAAACGTATCCTATAGTACTTCTGTGTTCCGCCTGTTCTGCAATCCCCTGAAAATCTTCAGGGAAGTTTACAGTGTTAATGAACGTTTGAATATCACTCACGTTTCTTGCAAGACGGAGGTAAGAGTCATCCTTTAGGTATGGCAAAATTTTGCTTTTGAACAAAGGATGTGCTAAGACCTTATTTTCGAGCTCTCTGCCCATAGTCTTCACCACCAAAGAATTGGCAATGTAGCCCATTTCCTTTTCGTCCGGGCAAAGGTCCAAACATGTGGTGATAGTATCCGCATCGTTAACATTACGAATTACCAGTTGTTTGTAAGTGTCATAGTCAAAGCTAAATCCCTCTGTGCGCAATCGTTCGTAAGCTTTCCGCCCTGTCGCAAGAGAATTTCTTATCATTGAACCTAAGCATAGCGGATACGACTTGTCCCAGTCACCTGGATGAGCAAAGTAGTTCACTACCTCGTCTGGCATGCTAATCATTTTCGCGGCCTGTATCGATGTGCCCATTATATCGTTGGGGTCCAGAGAAAGTCGCTGATAGTTAAGCATCAGTTTTTCAAATCTGGTCGTCAAGCGGTCTTTGAACTGAAGCATGAATTCATTTTCCATTACGGCGTAATACCCCTCAGGATCGTACAACTTGCATATCATGATTCCATGTAGTTTGATGTTATAGCTGTACTTTTCGATCGTTTGAGGGGCTCCCCACATGCTTTGAAAGCATGCAATCAAGCCACTATAGTTAGTTTGACTGTCCGATACATTAAATCTTTCACAGCAGTCCAAAAAGAATCTCGAATCCGCAACTTTACTCAAAATAACCTGAGACTGGTACGCATCGATCAACCCATTCAAAAAGTTGAATTTGTCTTTGCTCTTATTCAAAAGTTCACCGTGACAGTTGATAAATCTAATCAAGTAATCCTCAGGACACCGGATATCTTTGAAAAATTGAAATATGAAGGGGTATACCTCAGAATCAAACGTATATTCTTTGACAACGGATTCTTCAAGTATCTTCATCACAACCTCTGTATCCTTCAGTTGTAGAGCATAATCTAAAAAGGAACTCAAAGTCGTCTCAGCGCCAGATAAACTCAAAAGATGATCAGTGAAAGAGTGTGTTTTAACTGATTTGTCACGAACCATGGGAAAAGAGTAATCATAAATCTTCTTCGCAAGCTCCCAATCTCCCATGCTATTCGACAACAATGTCAGGTAAAAGCTGTGGGAGAACTCTGGCACCCAGCGAAGTTTCTTAAACTCATACCACAGAGTGTAAGCCTTTCTACAATCCAACTTACTGACTGATATCAAAAAGTGAGAGAGTATCAACGTCACGTTGGATGCAAGTCCAACCCTTTCTTTTGCGTCTGTTAAAACATTGTCGAGCAATTTGATCGCGAGAGGCATGTCGCCAGTCTCAACCAATGCTGTCAAAACAGCACTGTACACTTCATACTGATGCCGCTGTAGATGTGAAGCAGAAGCACACATGCTTCTGAAGTCCTCATATAGCGTCTTCACGGCGGCATTATCATTGATTCTCTTTGCGTAACCTAGAAGGGCCACGTAGTAGAAGGAATCCTTGTAATATGATTGAGAGTTTTGCAAAATATCTTTGACGTAGTCAAGTTTGACGTATCCGGGAAAGAGATTCATTGCCAAAAGAGAGCAGTCTAAAACCTCTTTGGAAAACTGATGCGAAATGTGAGTGGTCGAAGCCTGTAAAAGATCGACCGCGATCTTATAAAAATCCGGACCGTTCACATTACCCATTTCATATGCGGCGATAGAGCCTTTCAGCAGACTACCTATGACTTCATTGTAAATTTCCTCTGTAGGTTTCATTTTATTGTCAATGAGGCTTTGGTAGCAGTTCAACAGCTGAAACATACGATTGTCCACGTTGTCATTATCTAGATCTCTGTTGCAGACCGATTTTATCACCAAAGCATACAATTCCAATGGTGGAATGATGTTATTTCGTATAAGGGATTGAAAAGACGCATTTATGCTGTTATAATCCCGTTTCTCGTAAGATGTCTTGATATAATTGGTCTGGGTTTCTAGAAAAGTTTCTGGATTTAGAGACTCTTCGTTATCTGGCTCCCATGTTGGAATCGGCGTACCCTTGTGTTTATCAGTATTGTGTGATGCCTCGACTTGAAAGCTCTCGGCTGGTTCTTGTGGTGTGTCTGGGATTTTGGAATCTGACGGCACGGGAGTGGGTTCCGCAGCATCCTTCGGTATCGAGGCTAGAGTATCTGAAATTGTGCGACCTGGACGTTCCACAGAGCTGGTGGAAAAATAACTCTTAGAGAGTCTCTCGTTGATTTCTAGCTGTGTATTTCTCGTGTAGCGCGCGTAATTTTCGCTGTGCTGTCTTGAACGAAATCTGTCTAAAGACTGAGCAATGGGAACGGTAGCGGAAACGGCTGTCGATCCCAAACTTCTTCTGCGCGACCCACTGCTGTGTCCTGGTCGGGGCTCGGATATTCCCTCATCTGAACATCTGTGTGATTTCAAACAAGTTCCTTCACAGGCCTCGGAATCCAGTGCCAGCTCCACGTTGTTGTAGTTAACGTTGGCCACGACCACCGGGTTGGGAGTCACCACCACATTGTCTGAAGATGGAATGCAGCTGTCCTGGCTAACAAGTCCCTGATTTCGGCGCAAATACTGATATGAGCTTTCAAAAAAGGCCGTTGACTGCTTCTGCGCCGAAGAGTGATAGCTCTTGGAGTAGAACTTGCACTTGAATGACTTGAATACCATGCTTTTTTGTTTCTAAACCGTGACGCTTCTTCTAGCCATTCAAATCGGGATCAATCGACGGTCAAACGTCAGAAATGAAACCTTGGAAAAAACCTTACTCACACCGTATTCCTCAGAGGAATTTGATCAATAAGCGGCGAGTCGAAAGGGTAGAAAACCTGGCAATTTCGATACGTTTCTTGCAATGTTAGGGCAATGAGTTTAATTTGAAGATTCAATGAGTGATTCATCTTATCCGATTTTTCAATTTTCGAATTGGTCGCTATATACGAGATTCTTATTAAATAATGTATTTAGCATTTTATACGATATAGATGTTTCTGATCTTACTCGTTGCAGATCACGTGGACTCGTTTATAAGAGTTATGTAGGTAACAAGAATTCACCGTCATCAGTTTTCATAGGAGTTCCAGTGAACCAGTTTCGATTCCACTGATTTCCATTTGTGCGACATTCTATTTTCCTTTCATAGCTTCTTTTTCCGTGCAACGCAAAAACATCGATCACTAGCATGAAGCGAATTTAGAAGATACTTTTACTAGGTTCTTAGCGTCATTTAGCGAAGCTAATCTTGTGTGAGGTCCAATAGCACAAACTCGAAAATCTGAGCCCCTCTATGGGGTCACGGCATATTCTCTTCTGAATCTGTCGTCGACTTTGGTCAAATAGTAGACGCCAGATTGCAAATGATCGATAGAGCCCTTGGGTTCGAAATCCTTTTGTAGATGAGCTCCCTCTCTTAGGTGAATGGCCTCCTCGTAGCCCTCTGGAGTCTCGGTGATTCTTGAATTCAATTTCTTGTCGAGATTCAGGACATCGGTGATGTATTTGATGTCACCAACGACACGGCACGAGAAGATCGAGGAAGCTAGACCAGAACCGTACGAATAGAGACCAATACGTTTGTTTTGCAAAGCGTCAGAGCCAACGTAGAAAAGCAACGATCCGAGGGCCGCGTACACGGAGCCGGTGTACATGTTTCCGGTGTTGGTAGGTACGATCAAGGAAGGCGCAACCTTTTCCTTTTGCAGAGCCTTAGCGAGGCCCACAAACGTTTTTTCAACATTTTTGTCGGTCAAACTTGCAGTGTAATCTAGAGTAGCGAGAGAAGCATCCACCTCCGGGTAGAGCGAAGGGTTGGCTCTGAAGTCATTGTAGAGCAATCTGGCGTATGATTTGGCAACCAATTTGCACGTAGGAACGTGGAAAACGTTGTAGTCGAAGAAGCTTGCGGCACCCACGGCTTCTTGCCCCGCAGGTTGCTCGACGAGACCCCTGGCAATAGCTTTTTGCGAGTAAAACTTGTAACTTTTGTCAAGTGCACTGACGTAACATCTCAGAGAGAAATGGCCGTCAACGTAAGGGTATTCGCTGGTGAAGTCTGGCTTGTAAAAATCGTAAGCGTGCTCCATGTGAGTGCCTCTAGCAGAATCGAACACAATTGGAGCGTCTGGCCCAATCAGTAGGGCCACGGTACCGGCTCCACCAGTTGGTCTAGCGGCACCTTTGTCGTAGATGGCGATGTCACCGCACACAACAATCGCGTCACGGCCGTCCCAAGCGGATGATTCGATCCACGACAAACTGTTGAAAAGCGCGTTGGTACCACCGTAGCATGCATTGACCGTGTCGATACCTTCCAAGTCGGTATTTTCGCCGAAAAGCTGCATCAGCACGGACTTGACGGATTTGGACTTGTCGAGCAAAGTCTCGGTACCGACTTCAAGTCTGCCGATGGAATTGGTGTCCACGTTGTAGTTTTTCAACAGTTTTGACAGCACTGTCAAGCTCATGGAGTAAATATCTTCTCTGTCGTTTACGAACGACATGTTGGTCTGGCCCAGTCCAATCGTGTATTTACCCTGGGAGACACCGTCAAACTTCTCCAGGTCGTCTTGGTTTACACATTTCGAGGGAATGTACAGCTCGATACCCTTGATACCGATATTTTGAGGCCTTGGTGGCTGCTCCGTGGTCTTTTGCTTCTTTAGCTGGTTCTGCTCTGTCATTTTTCGAGTATTAGATTTCGTTTTTTCGCTCAATCGCCTTGAATTCAACAATTAGTGCCTGAGACAGTTCTTATAGCTTCTGAATAGTCTTGAGTTGACGATTTCTAGCGCGTTTCAAACAGAGTTCTCTTGGAAAATCTGTGTAAGATTCCTTGAAATTATATGCTTTTTCAGTAGCGCCATAAAACGTGTCACGTTGAACGACACCGTATAACGTCTAAACGACGGACGACACAAGCAGTTTGGGGAACGAAAATTCCAAGATATGTTTAGACACGGCAATATCGGCATTGTTCCATTGAATACAGAGAACGGTATTGGTTGGAACAATGCTATCCGCCGAACTTGGTATGCTTATAGTTTTGTTGAGATTATGGGAGATGAGAAGAGTTAGAAGACGTCGATCAGAAGAAACCTGGCACACATACGGATACACACTCAAAGATGTACCCAAGAACATTTGGTAACACCTCTTGTCGTCTCCCGTGTCTCTTGGAAACCTTGTTACGAAAGAACTAAAATGTCAAAATCAGATGTCTCTTTTTACGACTGTGACGCCAGGGCTTATGAACCGTTTATAAGTTTTCTTATACGGATTGTTCGCAACGGCCGATACAGCTCTTACCAGAAGAGTTTTTTGAATGTTCATGAACGAGCTGATGTTTTTTTGTCTGTCATCGTACAGGACGTGGTTGTCGTCACTGAGTGTCAAAAAGGTTTTAGGCGGACATGTCTATAGATTATTATTGTGCACTTATCCAAACAAAACATTAATTTTGGGAGCGAGCTGTGAATGTTTTTAAACAGTGCAAAATTCTAGCTGTAACCTGTATATATCTGCCTCAACGTTCAGGGTGGCTAGGCCATATACAACATGAACCAAAAACGTTTTGCGAAAGAGCACGCTGCTGTAAATCCTCTATATGTAGGTTTTATTCTTTTTCCTTCTCATAAATTGGTCTCTTGGCCCAGTTGGTTAAGGCACCGTGCTAATAACGCGGGGATCAGCGGTTCGATCCCGCTAGAGACCAAGTTAATCTTTTTTGGCGCAAGCTCAGGAAGTGTCTTTTCGTTGTTTAAGCCGTCGACATGCTCATTATTCAAAATATCTGTCGAACCAGGATGTAACCCTTCGTTGTTTGAGCCGTTAACGCTATCGTTATTCAAAATATCTGTTAAATTACCAAACTATGCATACAAAACGCATCGCACGTAGCCTTGCGTGATTTTTAAAAAATGTCCGGTAAATGCTCAAACTTCTTGTCCTTCCTCACCTGCCAATAGTCGCCATTGAACTGCCAGAAGTTCTTCTTAGTGATAGGGTGCTGGACCTGTTTGAACCAGTTGGGGACATGTTCTTTGTTTGCCTTCTCTAGTCTCTTTCTCGCTGCCCTTTGCTTCTGCTCGACACGATCTTTTTCCTTCGCAGCGTCGTCGTATCTTCCTTCTTCCATCGCTCTTTGATCAGGTCTCAAACGGGTATCTGTGGGAGGAATCCAGTTCAAAAGCTTAGGTTGTGGCGCATTCAAAGATGCTGCGTACTGTGTCAAGTTGAAAGGGAAATCAGGTCTGTCATGTACATGCCAGATCAAAAATTTATTACCGTCACGGTTTGGATCATTCTTGGAGCCCTTCGACCCCTTAGGCTTGTCCAGAGGCATCTCTTCTGAAGAGTTGGGTTTCAAAACTTTCTTGGCGTAAAGCGATTCGTTCCAATGGCCGCCGAAAACCCATTCCTTGCCACCATCTTTGTTGTATACTTCACCTTTCACCTCATATGCATTTGACGATCTCCAGCCACGGGCTTTGAAATGGATCGTACAGCGGTCTCCCGTTTTATGATTAACAATTTCCACATCACCGTGATTGTCCACTTGTGGGTTTCCAACCAGAATGCCCACTACTGTGTTGTTGGGTTTCTTCCAAGTGTAGAGCTCCTCCTCGGACTCTGAGTCTGGTCTCATTCTGAGGTACCACAAACCCAAATGTTCCACCTCAAATGATCTCCCGTTGAAATTGGAATCGACCCGGGATTCACCCCAGAAATCCCACTTGGCAGACTCAGACCAAGTCGCTGAAATTGGTGGATGATGGGACACTTGCTCAGTGAAAAACCTGAAATGTTCGTCTGGCCTTGAGTATTCAAAAGTCTCCCCTAGAATTGGATTGAACGGTTTCGCTACTCTTTTGGTGGTCGAGGAATATGACGAAATGGAGAAAGCAGCAACATAAAGTAGTCTCAAAGTGGAATCTTCATAGCTGGCACCTTCCGTCAAAAGATTAGAGTATTCCAAATCTTCGGCCACTCTCTGCAGCAAAGACGTGGGCTCATTGAAAGTGACTGGAAGGGACATGCGCGTCATATCCTTGCCAATCATTGATTTCAGAACCGACCATAAACTGATCTTAGGACGATCATCTTTACTCAACGCCAACTTTGTTCTCAAACCATCTTCATATCCCAGATACGACCCCTCTTGATTGAGTAGATCCTCCTTCTTTTCTTGAGGGGGAGTATACGTGCTGTGTAGAGGTTTCTTCTGGCCGTGTGCTGAAAGAGGTTTCGTGCTCGCTTCGGGTTGTTTCGCAACTTCTTCGTACGCTTGTGTAGCGGCAGCAGTGTTCGGAACTGATTGATCCGTAAGTCCAGAGTGCACAACATTCTGTTCAAAGTCAGAAGGTACTCTGTTGATGTTCCCCGACTCCTCGGTACCACCAGATTCACCACTTATTCTTTCACCTCCCGAAGCACGACTTCCCTCAGTCACTTTCGCTGGTTGAGGTGCCCTCTCCTTTCGAGCAGCGGCAGTGTCATCGTGATTTTTCTCCGCAGTAGGCTTTTGTGCTTCATTGTCTTCGGCATCGAAAAACTCATCAATGTCGGAGTCTTCGTCAGCTTCCTTATTCGAATTTATGAACTCAGCGATTTCTTCCAGCGGTTTACTATTTTCATTGTCACCAACGCTTTCGCCGTCAACAACCTGCCTATCATTTGCCGTGTCATTGGCGCTTGTACTAGCGTCAGATAATTCCAGTAATTTCTTCTGGAGAAGTTTTTTGAGGTTCTTTCTCTCAGTGTCGAGTGAAGATAAACGTTCGGATTTCTCGATTAGCTCAAGTTCAAGCTCTTTAACAGACTTGATCCAAAGCTGGTTGACGTCATGTTGTTTTTGTAAAAGTTTCAAAAGCTTCCGATCTCTAACGGATGACAAAGTACTGTATGACTCAAAGTTTTTGGACAGAGAACCTAATGATTTTCTTATCATGTTGATCTCATCTGCATCTGGCGTTTTATTTTCGAGAAGTTCTGTCAACGAACTCAATTCAATGGTGATTGATCTTTGGATCATGGAGACCTCTTGGTATTGAGGCCCGTACTCAATTTTCACATCTTCATCTTCAAAGTCTTCAGTAACTTCGTCTCTGAAATACTCTTGATCGCTTTCAACATCATCCTTACCGTCCGCTAAATCCCGGATTGGCTTCGAAATTGCGGATTTATTGTCTTCATCATTGGCATAAGCATCCAAGGACGGTCTCCCAGATTTTACTTTTGTGACATACTCCCTACCTCTGTTTGTGAGATTTTCGTTTAATTCCGCCTCGCCAGATGACATAGAGGAGATCGAATTAATTGAGCGCTGAGACTGATGAGCGCGTTGCCGACGGTTTGTGGAGGAATGCAAACTATTGGCGCTAGGAGTTCGCAAATGGTGAGAGGTTTCCTTCATTTTGGGTTCAGGCCGTGCGGCACCGTGAGGCTCGTTACTCCCGTTGTTTCTGATTGTCCGTTCACGGTCTTTAGCAAAACGAATCGCACCCTGAACTGCCCAAACCCACCTGTTGGTCTCCACAGGATGGTTTCCTTTCAAATGCCACCTTACTGTACCGTTGAATCCGCCAATGATCTCGAATTTGAGCTTTTCCGAAGAATCCAGATGCAAATAGCAGGTCGACATGTTAAGTGATCCGCGGCATGCATTTTTGGTGTCGTCTTGGTCTTTGTAGTACGATAGTGTTCCATCTGGGCTAAGAACAAACCACCGTAAGCGATAGCCTTGAGCAAAATTGGTCCATTTGCGAAGATAACCCTTATAAGTAGGTGGTTCGTTTAAGCTGTTGGCAACTTCAATTACGCTCTGCTCACGGGCCGCTTTTTCTAGCATTCGTTTAAGCTGTTGCTCGGAAGACAATTTGACATTGGGAGAGTCGTTGACAGGTGGAACTTTTCCCAGTAGATCAAGAGGAAGTTGTCCTCTACGGTCTCTTTTGAAGGGGTCTCCACCATGGTTCAAGATCCACTGACACATGACCAAATCTCTTTTCTTCACAAATTCGTGAAGCACTGTGTCACCCGTTTGTGGATCAGTTCCATTGATGTCTAAGAGCTCGGAGTTGCGAGGTTTTGCCAGAATGGCGTCCAGATGTTCGCGATCCCGGTTCACGAACGCTCTCCTAAATTCCTGGGCCACTTCACCCAAATATTCTGACCGCTTAAACTGCATCATCTGAGCAATATTCAGGTTTTTACACATCTCGATAGGCTGCAAATTTGCATTATTCAGAATACAGTCGTTGATGTCAGGTTGGTCCAGTAATAGGGAAACGACATCGCCCCGCGATTGAAACGCAGCCAAGTGCAATGCAGTATTTCCATCCGGGTCCTCCTGGTTGATGTCCAGCTTAATTTCCTCGTCTGTGAGCCAATGAGCCAAAATGTCCTTTATCAATTGTAAAGGGGCAACCTGAACGGCATAGTGCAAAATCAATTGAGCAACTTCTCTGACACTTACATCATCTCTTGGATGGAAATATTTTTTGACCAAGCTGTCCAGAGATGCGAAATCTCCTTCACGCAACGATTCCAGAAGCTTGAGTTTCAACAACGGTTTGCTAACCGGATGATCTGCCATGCTGGAATCTTAATTGAGCGAGTAGACTCAATATTGGCTTTTCTAGACTTTCTCAGAAGCAAATTGAGCGCTGAAAACTAGCAACAAGAGCGATACTTAGTGGTGTCTGCAAACGGACACAAAAAGTGAGCGTATTCTTGAATAATGCTTCGTATTTACACGGCCTTTTTTGGAGAGGACCTGGACGCTCGAGTTATACCTTTACTCCCCAAATTTTAGATATTTGATTGCTGTTGGGAGATCGTTTCAGACGCTTATACTACAAAAAGTCGAAAGAATAATAAATCACGTGATACAAATACAGCAACACGATCACGTGCTAAAAGTATTCAGCATATGTGGTGTGTGGGTGTGTGGGTTAGACTGGAAGATAACTTTTGTTTTACTCCAAGATGGCAAGACACCGCCGAACGACCCCATTCTTACCAGAGTTGTGTTCCATTTTCTTAGATTCCATTGCCTTTGTGTTTCTTTGTATTTCGCTTAGCTTTGCTAACTACCTGTAGACTTGCTGAATGTCACTTAAAAATCGTCCAAGCAGCCCTACGAGTCTTGTGGTTTGTCGGTGTTTGGAAGACACCACGATGGTGATACTTTTATCTCTGACGATATAGCCAATACCAAACCCATTAGCACATACAGGTCCAAAGCCAAAGGCTTGTAGACTTGGGTTGCCGCAATTAGACGTACTGATGACACTCGTGTTGAGCAAGGCCCACCCTTCGTCTAGGAAAATCGCGAGCTTGGACATAGATTCTTGAAAGCGTTCTTTCCAGATGCAAAACAATGCATATAAGTGCCGGTCTTGGCCCATACCAGCAGCACATTCTTGGGTAACACGAGAGTGTTTTTTGCAGGCATCCTGAAAATATTCCTTCAAGCGCGGTGCAGAAACGCTGCGGTGGTTGAATGCCTCTACAAATTGCTTGGATTCCTCAGAAACACTTCTGATCGCTTCTGTTCGTCCGTTCTGAAATTTCTTAGTCATCGCTGGTTCATAGGTGACCTCGAATTTGCCATAAAGTGCGTGAAACGCAGCCTGTAAAGCCATTTGCACAAAGGCATCAGGTGAAACCTTAAATGTAGACTTTATTTTCCCAGAACCATAATCGCAGAAATCAAGTCTCGCAAACTCGAACTGTGATATGAGATCAGACAAGCGCGTCTCTGCAAAATGAAGCGCTGATAGAAGGTACGAATCGACCTCCCACTCTAGTTTGCGGGGATTTGTGACACCGAGTTCGCTTTTGTTACTGCTCAAAGATGCAGCAGAGACATTTGATTTTCGTCTTGTAATACTATGCGCAAACAACAGAATGGAATCAGTAAAAATATGTGTTGCCAGTCGCAACACGGTATGTCCGTCGACTCCGGTGTGTTCGAAATTGATACCAGCCTTCCCATTCCGTGTGACAATTAGCTGCAATTTGTCATACCATCTGTTGAGACATGTACCTTGCTGTATTCCTGTGGCAGACCTGAACGCGAGTTTGTCAGAGGCTTCTTCCAACTTAACATCTGACGTGCCGCACAGCATTTCTTGAACCAGATCCCCGGGTTCTTCGACTGTTACGTTGTCAAGACACAAGGCGAACAAGGCACTATCAATGATCTGAAGATTTTTCGTATTGGGAGAAAATGGAGACTTCATCATATAGTTTCTGACATTAGACCACACAGAACGGTTCTCTGTTGTGAAAACCCCCCATGGATAGTTGCGTTCAGAGTCTCCAATACATGGCTTCTCTGCATCCTTAACAATGGCATACAACGCACGCTCCAATTCTTGCGTGGTGAAAAGAGGGTTATGCTGTTCATCAAGTACATCGAACCAGTAAAATTGGTAGCCACAGATCGCAACTATATGTTTGGAATCCACACTGGTTTGTAGTCGACAGGAACGGCCTGCACTCTCCGGTGGAATACGCGCGGAACCAAATAGAACATCGTATTGATCCATAGACAGCGGGGTTCCCCGCACAGTATCCGGCTTCAGTGTCCTGCACCGAATTTCTTTGACAAATGAGATTGTTGACAGCACTAGCCTTGCAGATCTGCGAATAAGTCGTGACAGATCTCCATACGGGCCGGTTTTGCCCAATTGACGTAGCGTGGGGTCATCTTGGAGCTCAAAATACGGGTTCACGTTGAGCACCACGGACTCATCAAACTGCAGATATGCGTCGTACCAGAATTTTTCGATATACGAAGAATTTGGATTTTCAAGTTCAAGTTCTTGGTCGTACCGTAGTAATTCGTCGTTCAATTGTGCAAGAAGACGAATGTTACTGTCATTTAGTACCGCGTCTTTCGTTTTGGAGTGCTGTTCGGGTGTTTGTAGCGGAGACAAGCGGTTCAAGTATCGTTCCAGGCTATTCGGAAGAAATGGTATTGGTAATCTAGGAAGTGTTGCAATTTTGCCAGAGTCCGTCATTTGGGTAATAGAAATGGTGGGCATTTTGGTCGGGTTGCAGATACAATAAAATGTAGTTAGGATCACCAACTTTTGATCGAGAGACGAGAAATGATCAGAGTCTTTGAACTTATTCTTAGCATGACTTTTATACAGCGCGGAGACCACTGTCGCGGTTGATATTCATGGTGATGTCCCATTGAGCCCTTATTCAGGTCATCGGTAACTAATGCATAAATTTACCATTCTGCAAATAAGGGACCCGAGTACTAGGGTATTTGGGTACTCGAGTATGTTGAAGATGCCGAATAATTGACTTGATAGTTCCAGCGATCAGTAGAGACAAGAATGAATGAGTAGCTGGATGGCCTGATGAGTTTCTACCACGGTTGTTGATGAATTTGTCTTTGCTAGAAAGTTTAGTCAAGTGACTAATCGAATCTGAACCGCAGAGCCTTCTAGAGCTCATAAAAACGCTTACACTGCCGAGTGAAACAATCGAATTATAAACTGCTATTTTCGATTATCGTCTTTGAGCAGTTCGGACATTTTTTCATCAACATTGTGGAGTGTGGCAACACTTAGAAACCCGGGTGATCCAATAGAAGCAAAGCCCCAGAGTATTCTCACAATTCCCAATCTTTTGTCTCATTTCTTCATAGATATTAAATCGATTATATTAATAAAACAATCACCCACCGCCCATCCCGTCGATTGAAGAAAGCAGAAACAATACCCCAAACCACACATAGCATACACAGCACTCTTCAACTGCAAGAGTGAACACGACGACCTTCCTCAAATAAACTTATGGCCTTTGAACATAGATTCTTGTTTGCATTCCCACTTCGTTCAAAACGATGATGTAGATATCCCATCTCTTCATTTTTTAGCCGCTAGTCAAATTACAAGACAATCAACAAAACAATGAAATGAGAGAACAAACCATAGGAAACAAAGGAAAGCAATAGAAGTAAGGGGAGATGTGATAGGGAACGAACAGACGCTGTTTAAGAAACTCCTTTTGAGTTTGTGAGATTTGAAGCGAATACGAGATATTTCGTAAGATTTGAAGAACACCACCGTACACAATGACACCACTGATTTCATTACCTTAAAATCTCAAAACACATCAATAGTCACAAGAATGAACTAGTTGTCTGGTCAAACACAAGACTGGCCCCCAGTTGAACGTGTTATTTAGTGGGCGAGATTATGGCCACCAGGGTGAATCTCACGCCAGCTCAGAAACATTCGTCGTCTTCCGGAAACAACCATCATTATGCCTTGAAGCAGGTCATAGGAAAGGGAGCATATGGAATTGTGTACAGAGCAGTCAACAGACAAACTGCCAAACAGGTGGCTATCAAAGTGATCGAGTACGACGAAGAAGAAGAGCTCAACGAACACATGCTAGAAATCGATCTGCTGAAAAATTTGAAGCATGAAAACATCGTCAAGTACCACGGATTTATCCAAAAATCACATCAATTGTTCATTTTGCTCGAATACTGCAGCCAGGGGTCTCTACGAGACCTGATCAAAAGAGGACCCGTCGACGAAAACGACTGCAGAGCGTATATCAAACAAACGCTACGCGGACTGCGATATTTGCATGACCAAGGCGTCATCCACAGAGACATAAAAGCAGCAAATCTGCTGCTGGACGATCACAATGTAGTCAAACTTGCCGATTTTGGCGTTTCAACGAGGGTCAACACCCTTGCAATGACTTATGCGGGATCTCCGAACTGGATGGCACCAGAGGTCATGATGGGCCAAGGTGCAACCACGGTCAGTGACATTTGGTCCCTGGGGTCTACCGTCGTTGAGATTTTAACGGGAAACCCACCCTTTCACAACCTTGTCAACGAGGCGGCATGCTACGCTATAGTTCATGATGTTTACCTGCCGCCGAAATCCCTGTCTTCGATCTGTCGTAAGTTTATTCGCGCTTGTTTCCAAAAAAATGTTTTTCAAAGGCCTACAGCGCAAGACCTATTAAACCATCAATGGATGAACGAGCCTCATATGCCCTCCTTGGAAAAATTCAGAGAAGGCGAGGAATCCTCGGAAGACTGGCGCCACGACTTTATTGAGGTTGAAGTTTCTCCCTTCAAAGAGAATGACGTTGCCGACCCTCAGCAAAACCTAAATCGCTTACGACAACCAGGAGGGCACTTCAATCCATATTTGATATTCAATGAGTGTGACATTTACAGCATTGCATCGTGTCTGATAGAACTGTGCCGACGTGGAGAGCTTAAAAACGTAGAAGAAATGTTCTCGTATGATGCGCAGTATAGAGGCGGTGAATGTAAAAATATGTTCAACACACTTGGGGGCATACCGGCGCTCTTGCAAAATATAGGACCGGCGGAAACAGTATTGGGTCGCTTTTTTATAACGGACGTGAAAGAGCTCATTAAGTGCGGCATACTACCGCATTGTGGACTTATCAAGCATGTGCATTTAATGCTAGCTATAATATCGACCTATGGTGCGATCGTTGATTTTGAAACCTGGAGTAAATGGTGTCGTAGCTTACCTAACATTGAAGATACTATCATAAAAGGACTTGAGGCAAACGATAAATTGGCACACGATACATTACTAAGTTTGTCTACTTCTCCATTCTTTAATACGTGTGAGAATCTGATACTGAGACTAATAGCATTGCCTTTGAAAACAGACTACCGATTAACCTACACAATTTTCAAAAGTCTAAACAGCTTTCTCGAGAGAAAAGGCACCGAAAGCATTGCGACAGATTATACGGATACCGGATCCTCAGCAGAGGATTTCCAAATGCTACCTTTGAATTCACAATTCGCAAATGTAGCCATTTACTCCGAGAGGCAAACTTTGCCAGAAGGGTTTATCGACTGGCTTCTCAAATACACGCCAACCGCGCTAGATGATCAACATGTTGTGAAAAATTTCATTGAACTTTGCTTTAACGCGGGGCACCTAGACCGTGTTGCGCTTGGTGAAATCGTGGAGCATGGTGGCTTCTTACAATTAACTCATAAACTTCTCCAGGAATTTTCCGGAGAGTCTCGCACGCGTTATACCAAGTCCATGCTTTCAATAGCTCTCAACCTCTGTGTGGAATTAGCACAGGAGGTGAATCTGAGTAAGTTAGCGGTTACCGTTGATGTCGCTTTAGGGTATCTCAATATTCCCGAATTTATCACAGGTGGCACTGAAATTTTGATGCATTGTTTTCTGTTTGCAATACACGAGAATTGTGCAATAACTGAAGACACTATGAATGTGCTTATTCAATACCAGGAGAAAACGATCAGAGTGCCACGCGTCGCTCTTTTACGGACTTTCTACTCAGAAGAGCCTAAATTTGGAAACTACATCACGAAATTCACAAGATTGTGCTCTTTGCCTCCGTGCAGGTCTCTAGCATTTGACATTGTTTCGAACCCGCATTTTATGAAAAAGACAAAAGCGCTTTTCGACGTTTATCGCAGCAGTCTCATCATTCAAATTGATTTCTTGAAATTCTTGAAGCTTATACTCACGCGCTACACCGAGTTTGCACCTAGGTCAGTGAGGAAGGACATACCGACAGACGTTTTAATGTCCACTGCAATAAAGCAACCCATCCAGCTCACTGGTTCTCAAGTGCTGTCCGATGTGATCCAATTCCTGTCGTCAAATTGGAGACCCGATAAATTGCGGCCAAATCAAGTTGGCGCGGATTCAGTGCTGATAAAACAACTTTGCCACGATATCGAACTGCTAGAGAATACCAAGCCACTGGCCACCATCAGAAGACTTGACAAGAACGGGTTTGCCATTCCTGCACCAGTGTCGAGCTAAACCGATAATGACATTGAATTTCCTGGTCACATGACTCAAAATGATTTGGGTGCGTGCCTAATACGGCTAAGTCTAAACACTGATCCACATCAACTCATCGGACTGAATTACAAGATGTTCAAGTAGTGATACGCCGTCTTTTGGCTCCAATTCATCCCTGTGGAGGCGAAATACATTGGCTCGACTTTAAATGTACTATAGGAAACCCGATACTCGCGAGCCCAACAGTTCGAAAGTCGGTGACTATCAAGTGCTCGAAGAGATTGGACGAGGTTCTTTTGGCTTTGTGAGGAAAGTCATCCATATACCGACGAATAAGGTTCTAGTTCGGAAAGAAATTCAGTATGGGCATATGAACTCGAAAGAACGGCAGCAATTGATATCCGAATGTGCCATTTTAAGTCAGCTAAAACATGAAAACATAGTTGAATTCTATGAGTGGGATTCAGACAAAGATGTGCTCTACTTCTATATGGAGTACTGCAGCAATGGTGATCTGTCTCAAATGATAAGCAATTTCAAAAAGGAACGCAAATACATTCCAGAGAAACTGGTATGGAGAATTATGGCGCAAATCCTCTCCGCTTTATACCGCTGTCATTATGGCACTGACCTAGTTCCACTAGAATCAATATATGATAGGGCCAAGTCCCCTGTGAAAGGTTCGAACGTGGTCATTCATAGAGATCTGAAGCCAGGAAACATTTTCCTGAGTACAGAAAAAGTACCCGATCCTTCCACGGCTTCTCAGACCTTAGACTACAACACCGCCTCAGTGAAGCTCGGGGACTTTGGTCTTGCCAAATCCCTCGGTTCAAGCGTGGAATTTGCGACAACTTATGTTGGTACACCTTACTATATGTCCCCAGAGGTCTTGATGGATCAACCCTACTCGCCGCTGAGCGATATTTGGTCTTTAGGGTGTGTGGTATATGAGATGTGTACATTACACCCGCCTTTCCAAGCGAAAACGTACACAGATTTGCAAAGAAGAATTCGTGCTGGCAAGTTTGAACGGATTCCAGAATACTATTCTCAAGAACTTCAACTCGTAATTGAGTCGTGCATCAACCCAGACTTACAAACGAGGGCATCCGCATACTCCCTTCTACAAAATATTCAGCTTCGCATTGCGCGCAAGTCGCTGCAACTTGAAAGGTTTGAGGACACATTATTAGACTACGAAAAGGAACTCATGAACGTCGGCGACATTTTAGAGCGACAAGCCGCTGAATATGAGACAGAAATGGCTGTTATTAGAAGCCAGTATCGGAAAGAGTTTGATCTCACTGTGGAGCAGCGAGTCAGGGAAATTTTGCATGGAAAAAAGGTAAGTGGCATGCCAGATATAATGCAAGGCAAAAACCATCTCAATAGACCAGATTACCACTGGCGGGTGAAGGGTAGGTAAGATGAGTGATGCTCACAATTTAATAGTGGGAGGGCAACCTAGCTCTTCCAAATCCGTCAGATTTAATCTAATCAAAATGAACATTTATAAAAGTAAAGGCCTAAAATTCGCAACCCGTTAGCGTCTCATAGGCTTCCACATATTTTGCTCTTGTGCTCATAACAATGTCCTCGGGCATTTTGACGCCATCCACACCGTTCAACTTGTTACTGGTTAACCAGTTTCTCAAAAACTGCTTGTCGTACGAGTCTTGCTCCTTGCCTAGTACGTAGTTCTTACCGCTCCAGAAACGAGATGAGTCTGGAGTGAGAACTTCATCCACCAAGATGATTTCGTTAGTGGACTCATCGATGCCGAATTCGAACTTCGTGTCAGCTATTATTATACCCTTCGTCTTTGCATAGTCTTTGGATATAGCATATAGCCTAATTGCGAGTTTGGCTACTCTGGAGCACAACTCTGGGCCCACCAATTCCGCTGCCTGAGCCTCGGATATGTTTTCATCGTGTTCGCCTTGTTCGGCCTTGGTTGATGGTGTGAAGATCGGGGTGGGGAACTCTTGGCACTGTTTCAAGCCTTCTGGAGCTTTTTGGCCATGCACGGTTCCTGATTTTTGATATTCTTTCCATGCAGACCCGGTGATAAAACCACGCACAATTACTTCCAACGGAATGAGCTTGAATTTGTGAATGAGCATGGATCTGCCCTCCAATTGGGTCTTGTACTTTGGTTCTTGAAGTTCAGATGGAAGGAAATCAAAAATTGTCTTGCCTTGTGGGATTTCAACCAAATGGTTGCGGACATCAGATCTGAGATGTGAAAACCAAAACTCTGATAATTTGGTCAAAAGAATGCCTTTTTCCGGAATAGTGTTTCCCATGATAACATCGTACGCGGAAATACGGTCTGTTGCTACAAAAAGAAGTGTCTTTGAGTCAACTTCGTAAATATCTCTGACTTTACCTCTGGCTACCAATGGTAGAATGCCATCCAAATTGGTTTCACGCAGCGCCATTGTTCGTGAGAGTATTGTGAAAGGTATAGGTTCTAGATAGAAATGTCAAGAAATATATAACACGTAAATGCAGGTCTAGATAGGTGGACAAGATTCAAACATCGAGCTGCATTTATACAATGCGATGCGATGATATTCGGTTAAATGACCTTTAATATATATAAAGTATATTGGAATAGTTATTGATAAACAGAGTCAGTGTGAAAGACGGGCGTTCGAAAACCGAAGGACACTCGAATTTCAAGAAAAGTGGATAAATCTACAATCTGTTAAGAAGCGCTAGAGTTATGAAATGTGTGATTTAACAAAGCGAAAAAATACAGGTGATGTTCGGTCAAGATTTGGGGACACTAAAAAAAACGACACATTTTTTCGAATGAGAAAATGTGTCCTGGTGAGCTGCTTATAGTTTGAAAAAAATAGGAAGCGTTTAGATAGATTTTTTTGACTCAATATTGGCAAACAGGTTCTCATTTTTCAAAAGGATTTGGTAGTTTCTTCTCTTTGAGTATCTTTTGAGACCGTGGAGTAGGGAAACTCGTGGTTGGAAAAATCTTCAAGATACAATCAACAGGCCGCCCACCCATAATATTGAATACGAGTCGTAAATCAACTCCTTTATCGCCTACTTCTTTGCTCGTCGTTATCTTGTCAATTTCCACTCGTTTTGTCGTTCATATAAAGTCACGTGACACTAACCCAAGCTCTACATCTTTGACCATCGAGCCGTCGTTAACTAAACGTCACAATTACCACTCCTGTGATACATCTTCACTCAATCAAGCCCCAGGTGAGTCTCTATGGTTTCGTTCATGGGCCTCTCTCTTCCCGATCCTCGCCTCTTAAACATCTTCCGTACTCGAGTACTTCAAATATATTGAAAATTCCTACTACCTGATACTACCACCAAACATCACTTACACTCGCTCCAGGATAACTTTGAAACGGCGCCAGTGCCAAATCAACAGCGTACATCGTATCCACAACGTCCTGGCTGCACCTTCAATAGATGCAGAACATCTTGGATAAGGCTTACGACAAGTATGCCCTAACTAGTTCTGCACCAACAAACACGCACACGGATTTACTATGCGATCCAGACCTGGTTGAGGACTACAAAGATATAATGAGAACGATGCCCAAAAGACTAGGACACGATGAAGAGAATAACAGTGTGAATGGCAGCGTAGTGATCAACGCTGCAAGCAACTCTAACTCTCCAGAAAAGGACACCAAGACTGACAAGAAACCGGTACTTTTCACTTCATCCTCATTAACTATTGATGAAACCCGTACAGAGCATAAAACAACAGAAGTGTCGAAATTCGACACAGACTATGAATACAGCGATTCTGAGTTCGAAGAGGACATGGAGAATAGACTTCAGGACCTTCGCTCAACCGCTAAGCAAGAATCAAATGTGGCACTTTTCGCTGACGAGAACAACGGAGATCAACAGAACGCAGCATCTTCCACAACAACCAGCTCATCATCCAAATTGTCATCATCGTCATCGTCATCGTCAGAAGAAGAAGAAGAGGATGATTTGACCACGGCAGTAACAAGCATCGAGCCTTATAGAGACCCCCGAGATGAAGGACATGATGATGAAGACGACGATGACGACGAAATGGACCAGGACTTTCAACCGCTCGCTCCTCCGGAAGAAATTGACCCCGGTAAACTTTACGCATTGTACCCCTTTCAAGGCCCTGATCCTTCGCACTGCCAGCTTTATCAGGACCAAGCATGTGTGCTACTAAACGATCAAGACTCGTACTGGTGGCTCGTGAAACGCTGTGACGACGGCAAAATTGGGTTCGCTCCAGCCGAAATTCTCGAAACGTTTCCTGAGCGTCTTGCCAGGCTCAATTGCTGGAAAAATGAAAATATGTCCAGCCAATCAGTCGACAGTAGCAATTTAAAAGTTTTCAAGGTTGCAGAAAACGCTAGCGGTGATGAGGCCAGCCCCACTCCTCTACTACCGTATTCGAAAAATAGCAAATCCGTGAGCTTCAATGACGTTGTTAGCTATGCTGAGAGACTGTCACGCGAAAGTGGGTCAGATTGCAGCTCTTCTGAGCTGGACGGGCTGGACGACACTGACAAAGAGGGTTCCGACCGTAATAAAAGTGTCGATACTGTAGGTGAGATATACGAAGCAGCTTTGCATGCGCATGACGACGACGAAGAGGACGACGATGCAAGCGTGGCGGTAAGCGACGTTTCGTTCAATACAGGCAGTGCTCTACCTCTCAATGTTAAAAAAGTGAGGAAACCAAGCCCAGAGCTCGAAAGTGGGGAAGTCAAGACCCTGAAGCTTCAAGCCACAGACACACAAGAGCTGGATACTCATCTGTCTCCGCTTGCATCGGGAAGTAAAGCAGCAGCACCTCCCGCTGCCTTAGACGACGGCCTACAACAGACCTTCAAAGCACCAATCATACCTTTTGCAGGTCATAAGGAGATGCCGAACTCAAACTCGAATTACTCCATATCTACGATAGGGGATTATTCACCATCGTCTTCGGAATGGACAAATGATTCTCCCCAAGTCAATAATGGCACTTTTGATACGGGTGCGATCGCTGTTGAGAGTATACCTTCCTCCAGAGCCATAAAGGACATTTCTAAGCTTGTCAATCTTGATAAACCTGACAGTAATTTCATGGATCCTACCAAGGGCTTTGAGAGAATGGAAGAGTCATCCCAGCAAAAACCAGAGGATAAAGCTACAGACCCGCTACCGCAAAACGAAGCTGCTCCACATCATGACGGACAATCCAAGTCAGGCTCTTTTACCATCCCGGGTACAAGTGGGGACTACTCACTCACATCACGAACCACCCATCGTGAAAGCACTTCTGCATCTTCCGATGATTCTTGCATAGACGAAGGACGAGGAACTTCGACAACCACCATCAACAGCACTTTTTCGCTCAGCGAAGCAAAATACCAATATGGCCACCACCCGATCGTGCACGAGCTCTACAACCCGCTGTTTGGCAAAATAGACGACCTGCTTGATAAACTAAACAGCGTCATGCATGAATAGCAAGAGCTTATTTGCCCATTGTTTTTTCTTCCATTACACCATCTGCATTCAATGTCAATAAAGACCTCATGTAAACTAGATAGTTCTGTCGAACAGAATCAATTATCCTCTTAAGGAGCCCATCTTATCATCCTTGTAATGCCAGTCTGGCGTCTGGAGCCGGTGCTCAGACTAACAAAGAAACATATCACTTCCTCCAAAACTGTCGCTATTTCAATATTATTGTCAAAATTTAGTACATGTTAGAAAACCTCTGGCTAACAGCTACAGCTCTGCTCATCTCAATCTCGAACCGTATTTTAGAACCACTGTTGACTCCAGGCAAGTGATATAGATTACACATCGTCAACATGTCAAATTGGATACGTGATGACACTTCGTTACTGCAAATCGTTGCGGTAATTGCAGACTCATTATCGCCAATGCAAGAGCAGAGAAGCCATGCTTCGGGATTGCTTGAATCATTCAAGATGCAAACAGAATTCTTAAATTATTTATGCTACTTATTGACAGAGGCGGATACAGATACGTTGCTAAATTCTCAGTACCCGTTTCTGGATGTACAGAACTATCGGGCTGCAGCGGGAATGATTCTGAAAAACTGCCTCTTGGGGGATTCCAGAAGCTATGACTTGGACTACGTTAAAAAAAATATAGCGAAAGGCTTGCTAACGGACGTACCATTGATATCAAATATAACAGGAATTGTTATCACAACGCTGTTTTCGACATACTATCGAAAAAATCGAGAGGATCCGACCGGTGTAGAATTACTATCCCAGTTGTTAGCACTGATGGCCAACGGACAATTGGCAAGCGCGAAGGCGTTGTCAAAAATCATGGAAGACAATGCTCAGCTTTTTCTTCTGGAATGGTCAGGTTTAGTCAAACCCATGGATACATTGGTGGCCAGTTTTTTAAGTTTTTCCATTTCAGACTCGAGCCCGGATGTGAGAGCAGAGGCAATCAAATGCTTGAACCAGGTCATCCCATTACAAACACAAAGCTTCATCGTGAGAATTGACGAATTCTTATCCAACATCTTCCAGTTGGCGCAGAATGATCAGAGCGATATAGTAGTACTCCAAATTTGCATTTCCTTGATTGAGCTTCTCGAGTTTAGACCAGATAAATTGATAAATCACTTGAGCGGGATTATTGGCTTTGCCATGCATGTAATTAGTTCGTCTTCCAGCCAGGAAACCGCGTTGAAGGCTGCCGAGTTTCTCCTCGCGTTTGCATCTAATTCCTATATTCCGGAAAGCAATGTCAAACCATTCATAAATGATGTGGTACCCGTCCTTCTTTCAAAAATGGCGTACGACGAAGACGAGATTATTGTGTTCGAGGCTTCGAACGATGACGATGCCGAACTAGAAGATAGAGATGAGGATATCAAGCCAGCAACCGCCAAAAAAAGCAGAAAACGAGACAATTCCGGAGTAGATGATGAGTATGCAGATGATGAAGATGATGATGTCGGTGAATTTGATACGCAATGGAATTTGCGGAAATGCTGCGCAGCCACACTGGATGTTTTGACCAGCATACTACCAAGAGACGTTTTGTTTATTGGCTTCCCAATTTTGAGAGAGCGGCTTTCATCAGAGCATTGGTATGTTCGGGAAGCTGCAATCTTGGCGTTTGGCGCAATGGCTGACGGTGGAATGAGATACTTCGCCGATCAGTTGCCCGCACTGATACCCTTTCTCCTCGAGAAACTTAATGATAAATGGGCACCTGTCCGTACCATAACGTGCTGGACCTTAAGCAGGTTTTCCACGTGGATCTTGGCCGACAACACACAATTCTTAATGCCAGTATTGGAATCTCTCATGAATTCTCTCTTAGACAAAAAGAAAATGGTTCAAGAAGCTAGCATAAGTAGCGTGGCCGTGTTCATCGAAAACTGTGATGCTGAGATAGTAGAAACGCTACTTTACAATGACTTGCTGATCAAATTCGATGAATGTTTTCAGCTGTATCAAAAGAAAAATCTCATCATTCTATATGACGCAGTTGGTAGACTTGCGGAGAAATGTGAGTTCGACGAGGCTGCGATGAATTCCATTCTGCCGCATCTTATCAAAAATTGGGGATCTTTGTCGGACGCAGACAAAGAACTCTGGCCTCTGCTGGAATGTTTATCTTATGTTGCTGCATCTTTGGGTGAGAAATTCGCACCTATGGCTCCCGAAGTCTACCATCGCGCGTGGAGGATTCTGGTGCATTGCGTGGAGCTTGAGACTCAATCTCAAAGCGACCCATCAATGAATGTTCCTGAAAAAGACTTCACAGTGACGTCGTTGGATCTGATCGGCGGGCTAATCCAAGGGTTGGGTCCCAGCAGTCAAGAGCTGCTATTTCCCGGAGGCGATCGCTCTGCGCTTCAAGTACTTGCACAGTGTTTGCAGGACCCTGTGCACGAGGTAAGACAGAGCGGTTTTGCTCTTCTGGGAGACATTGCATATTCATATGAGCCCATTTTGCTGAGCCAGCATTTGGTGCAGTTTCTGAACTGCATCAGCACGGAAATCATGCACAATGACGACACGGAGGCTACACCGTCTATAAACAACGCAGTGTGGGCTCTTGGGCTGATCAGTGAGCGCATAGACCTGGCCGAATACATCATAGACCTGTCACGCGTTGTTCTGGACAGTTTCTGTGATACCACGCGGGTTCTTCACAGCTCTGTGGTGGACAACTTGGCGGCAACCATAGGACGCATGGCCAAATTTCACCCAGAGGTCTTTGCCGCTGGCGTATTTGCTCAAGATGCCAGTTGGGCTCGCTGGTGCGAACACGCTTCTGGTTTATCAGACGTGGAGGAAAAAACCGCTGCTTATTACGGGTTCGTCAAAATTATGAACTGTACTGACACCGGAAGGGCAATGTCGTCGTCTACGCTGCACAAATTTCTAAAAGGTGTGTCACACGATGTGGATATTCAAGAGTTTGTTGAAGACCTATACGGGTTTTTGATGACGCATTCGTCCACATTACAGATGCTGAAGCTGTCTCAGGAGGAGATGAGTTTTCTGGGCCAATTGGAGCAAGGTTGAGAATACCGGAAGCCAAAGAAGACTGTTTAAAACCTAGGAGGTGCCAATACGACAGGACAAAATACAGTTCTGTATTTTTTGTTTCCTTAAGAATGTGTTTTGAGTATCAACGTGTTTTCTACAGGACAAACAAAAACAAAGAAGAGGGGACTACAAGAGAGACACTGAGAAACACATCTACGAAAAAAGGCCAGGCTTTGCTATTTTCACCGGTTTTCGCTCATCCAGGGCTCTATAAAGTCAGAAAAATCGATAGTGAAAAGCATAATGCTTCAAGCAGCTGTCAGGGTTCCTATTTAACGACCTACCCTGTCATTTTTAAATGCCGTTGCATTGTCCCACTGATCGCTTGCCGTCAAGTCCTTCAGTTCTTTCCGATGGCAGAGTTATCGGGCTAATCCGATCGTTGCAGATAAGCCTTCAGCTTATCTAACGATAGCCTTGAATGAATCTTATCGCTCACGTGACATGTGGCTCTTTTGTTTCCGGGCTCGAGCCAAAATTTCGTATAACTGGCTGAACAAACCGGGATTATCTTTCGATTTCTGGATAACACATTTCTTCAAAATTGTAACACCGTGATTGTGGGGTCTTTTTTTGTTCCGGGGTTTGAATTCTTCACTTTTCCGTTCACTGTTCACGGATTGCCGTTCTCCAGGCTTTTATCAGTGACGAAAGAAACGACAACAGAGATATTCGCAGAAAACCACCGAAACTATCATAAGTACGCCGGCCAACATGCTTAAAGCCATCGCTTCTACCAGAGTCGTCATCAATGGCCAAATCATACCAGCAACAATAGTGTACTCTACAGATAGTGGGAAGATAGTCACTATCTACGAGAACGAAGTACTGGAGACGGTACCTTCATACGAAGGAGAATCCGTACAGAACTATATCATAGTCTCTCCCCACGTGATCATGCCAGGACTGGTGGACGCTCATGTCCATTTGAATGAACCAGGTAGAACCGAATGGGAAGGGTTTGCGACCGGGACTCGTTCTGCTGTGGGAGGTGGTGTCACTACTGTGATTGACATGCCTTTGAATGCGATTCCTCCGACCACAACGGTGGAAAACTTGAACATCAAACTAGCTGCAGCGAATGGTCAAATGTGGTGCGATGTAGGCTTCTGGGGAGGTCTGATACCATCCAATCTCGAAGAACTAGTACCGCTAGTGCGCTCTGGGGTCTGTGGGTTCAAAGGTTTCATGATGGATTCCGGTGTTGAAGAGTTTCCTGCAATCGACAAAAATTACATCACTAAAGCGTTACAAACTCTTGAAAATGAACATACGATGCTTCTTTTCCATGCAGAACAGGCTCCCTCAGAAGGAAATCTCGGATTGGTTGACCCTCTTTGTGATATTAATGATACCAACAAAAATAAAGACGATGTTTTCCTCGACCATGTGCACGCAGCTCCAGGTGGCCAAGATTTGACTGAAACCCAGATCCATGCGCTGGCAGAATCTAAAGTTCTTGAATCCGTAGAACCCACAGTGGGGCAACCGGCACATGAGGTTTACGCATCCCATTCGTCACAGAATCCATTGGACTCACTTGACAGACACGACCATCTTTTCGATCACATCGATCCTACAACTTACGCTCCGTTTTTGGCTTCCAGACCAGATGTTTTCGAGACCAACGCCATCAGCACCATAATTTCCTGCATGACTGAGTTTGCCAAGCGGTCTAAAAGAATTCCAAAAGTGCATGTGGTACATTTAGCCACACAAGAAGCTGTTCCTATGCTGCGTCATGCGCGGCAGGTGTTGAAGCTGCCAATCTCTGTAGAAACATGTTTCCATTATCTGAAATTTGCTGCAGAAAAGATTCCGGCCAAGGCAACCCATTACAAATGCTGTCCTCCAATCCGCTCTGAAGATAATAGACTTGCCCTGTGGGAAGCGTTACGTGAAAATGTCATTACCACAGTTGTCAGCGATCATTCACCATGTACTCCAGAGCTGAAGAACATGGAAAAAGGTGATTTTTTTGCGGCCTGGGGTGGTATATCTTCTGTTGGACTTGGTCTATCAATTATGATGACCGAAGGAGCAAAGATGTCACCACAGGTTACTATTCCTGAAATAGTCAAATGGTGTTGCGAAAATACTTCCGAGCAGGTTGGACTTCAACACCGCAAAGGATTTTTGCGCCCCGGTTATGACGCCGATTTCGTGGTGGTAGACCAGTACCGCAAAAGGGTTGTGTCTGGGGACAACACATACTTCAAGAACAAACTGACAGCATACAATGGCCAAGAGCTGAGAGGCCAAGTGCTGACGACTTATGTCGGAGGCAAAATTGCATACGATTTGGAGACAGGTCACTGCACCGTTCCATTCGGACAGCCACTTTTGGAGCCCAGAACCGTCTGAGCATTTGAGATCATTTGAGTATCGGCCCATCTATGACATGTCTTCAACAGGCATTGGCATTCACAATTTTTTTAACACAATTGGCATGAATTCAAGCTAGCAAATTGCTGGAGTTAGAGAGGCTAAATACATTAAGCAACAATATCATTTTCTATTACTGAGTAGACTCTTTATTCGTCTTTTTAGCAGTTTAGTTTGACAGTAGACGATACACACAATGAACAAGCTTCCGCAGATAGCCAACAGTTTGGCCCGTGATGCAATTGATACAACTGTAGTCCCGTTGCGTATCGTCCGTATTTTGTAGCGCTGCATGTTTGTCTCGAGCACTTTGAGCTGTCGTTCAATGAGGTCCAGCGAACGTGCCCATGTATCTTGCAACGGATCCACAAAATGGCCTGGCAGTGACGGGACATGTTCATTTGGTATTCCACCAAGATTTCCAGACTTGACCAAAATCTGCACATCCAAGATGCAAGATGACACGGGAGCCCGGAAACAAAACCGATATTCGCCTGCTGTGTGCGCTCTAAAAGACCACTCGCCCTGGCTTTCGCGCAAACTGGCAAACATGGGATTTGTATCGTCTCCGGGACCAAAAATTTCATGGTCAACATCCGATTTTCCGCTCCAACTGTGCTGTACTGCGAAGTAGTACGATATAACACTGTTGTCGGACGCTTCTACGTACAAACACTCTTGCTCGCCCGTTAGTAGCTCAAAAGTTACCGGAGAAGAAGCTACTGAAGCTCCAAATATACAAGCATAAATACACAGTGCTGCTGATGACTTCTTGACCATTTTAGAAGCTTTATACCGCCTTTTATCTGAAGTGTCAGTTTACTCTTCAATGTCAGTAATAGTTCAAATGATAATAGATTGGTATAATTTTGAGCTTAAAGTTGAACTCATCGATCGATCACATCGATTCGTGCTCAAGGGCAGTCTTGCCGAGCGTTTAAGAGACCAAAACTGATTAGCACAAATGGGAGAAGTTCCTCCGGATGTTGTGGAAGAAATGCGTGAACTTTCAGACAGTGTGCCCGGTTTGAAAACGCGATACAAACTGCTGGACAAGATCGGCGAAGGAACGTTTTCTTCAGTGTACAAGGCCGAAGACTTGACGGGGAAAGTGGTCAAGAGGTTTTCGCGCCATTTCTGGGATATTTCTAGCCGGCAGGATAAACGATATGTGGCCTTAAAATGGATTTACGTTACCTCATCGCCCACTCGAATTTACAACGAACTGAACCTTTTGTACATGTTGTGTGGATCTACACGGGTAGCTCCGCTGTGCGATGCACTGCGACACCAGGACCAAGTTGTAGCTATTTTGCCATGGTATCGACACGAAGAATTTCGGAATTTCTATCGCGACTTACCGATAAAAGGCATAAAGAAATACATGTCAGAACTGTTACAAGCCTTAAGTTTCGTGCATTCCAAGGGAATCATTCATCGTGACATTAAGCCTACAAATTTCCTGTACAATCCGCAAATAGGTTGTGGCGTCCTCGTGGATTTTGGTCTGGCTGAGATGGAAAACAACACCATACGCGATACGCGAAATTCCAAAGATTCACGCTCATTGGAAAATTACTGTCCCTGCGACGTAAGTGAAACTCATGGTACCGCCGGGTCGCAGCCTGCATTCCCAAAGAGTAAACATCCAGTTGTCACACCTACCACTACCCCCACGTTAGTGGATTTGACCAAAGGGTACCCCAAGTACGAAACACGTCGCAATAAACGCGCCAATCGAGCTGGTACTCGAGGCTTTCGTGCTCCAGAAGTGCTGATGAAGTGCCCTAATCAATCTACCAAGATAGATATATGGTCAGTGGGTGTTATACTACTAAGCTTCCTCGGAAGACGTTTCCCCATGTTCCAGAGTCTCGACGACACAGATTCTTTGCTAGAGTTGTGCTGTATATTTGGAACCAGCAAGATGAAGAAATGTGCCGCGTTGCATGGGCTAGGATTCAGTGTTAGTGGACTCGAAGGCATAAGTGAAGAGGGTTACAAAGGAGGTTTAGCGGATTTTATTCAAGAACTTCTACACGCGGAAGTCGAAGCAGGAACTTTTCCCAGCTATTCTGTTGCATTTGAAACGTACGAGTATTTGGTGAGCAGGTCATCGGGGGAAAATATCGCTCCTTCGCTCCGACGTCAAAGTCCAGATTTAATGGCCGACCACGAGCTCAAAAAATACCATGACGAAGTCTGGAGTGATCATTACTGGTGTTTAGAAGTTTTGGATCAGTGTTTGACACTTGATCCTCATAAGAGAAGTACTGCTGACGAGCTGCTTTCATCTACTTTCTTCAGCGAGCTTGTGGATTCAGACGTCACGGAAGAGAATGAAGATGAAGACGATGTTCTAATAATCGACAAGTAATTGAAGAATAAAAAACTCATTCTGTAGCATAGCTAAATAATCAGAATATTGCATTTGCATCGTTACGACAGGCGTTAAAAAACGAAAGGAATCAAAAAGGCTCTGTTTGTACCGTACTTCTTGTTTTTTTTAGCAGCCCACAAGTACAATTGAGCGGTCGAAACAAACAAGAATATAACAGCGAATATGTTGAGCTTGAAAAGTAGAGTGAACGCTGTCCAGGCCAAGACTTCAAACGTATAGTTTGGAGCAACGAAAATTTTGAAAAGGCCATTTTCCAATGGTACACGCTGAGTGATACCCTGTGCCTTTTGAGCGTCACCCCAAAGACGGAGTTTGAGGTGTGTCCAGAAGTTCCAAAATTCTGACGCGATGAACAGGGCAAGAATGAGACTAAAATTGTCCAATTTGAAAGCTGAGTAGATCCTGAAAACTGTTATGTCCTTTAACAAGAATCCGTACCCAAAGTAACCCAAAGAAATAGCTCCATTTAGTACCCAATAATGGAAAGAATTTTTAAATAAGTTGAAGAAGGGCATCGTGGACTGTGCAAACTTGTGCAGAAATAAAGATTCCAATTCTCTCTTGACGTAGTGTGCGACAACCAGAATGTAAGCCACTTTGGTGATGAACGGGTTGTAAGGACGAGATTTGCAGTGAAATTTGGCCAACTCAGGTCTTGTGGACAAGTAATAAACAAGAGAGTGGATAATGATGGGTCCCAAATATTCCAAACAAAACACTAGTCTCCACCCGATTTGGGGGCCAATGTCTTTTGCAAAAAGTTTGGCGCCGCTTAAGTCTTCAAATGCATGATCTGAAGTGATTGGAATTTGCTTATTTTCCTTGAGAATAGTTAATCTGATACGGTTCGTTTTAATGTTCTTGTTTTTGCTCGAAATTTCCTTCAATGCAGCTGCTAGAGAGCTGGTTTCTTGAGGGAGTTCCACATCCTTCAAAGATTTAGATCTAGAGGTAACTTTGACACTCATTTTGGGAACAAATGAGCTTGATTGATGGATTTTAAGGCTGTTGGTGGATGATGATGTACCTATCCATCAAGGTTGTAGCTATATAGTGTAATTTATGGCTGAAAGATGCTCGTGAAACATGATGATAAGATCGTATAGTAAATCTGAGTTTTTGAGAGGCGAAGAGAGTTAGCGGATGTCGTAGATGTGTGTGAAATTCTGAAGCAGCTGATTCCTACTTTCAAGGGCCTTTTTGGAGTTTTTTTTGGTATATTTCAGATAAAAAATAAAGACATTTTTTTTTGAGACTCTCATGGTCGTCCTAGTACGAAAGCCTGTGGACGAAATGAAGGGAAGGCTTGAAAATACTAAAATTTATGGTAGTCTCGGTGAACTCTCATCTTCATCGGTTGGAAGTTCGAGAAATGACATTTCTTCGCTTATTTTGTAAAAAACTGTTACTATTACCTCGTTGACTAGTCGATTACTCAAAACGACATCATATAGCTACAGTCCTGTAAGTGGATGCCTTATATATGCATCGTCTCCCAACTCGGTGAACACGTAATGCTATGAGTTTCCATCCAATCCTTTGACTGACACTGGGCTTATCACTTTTATCCACCCTGCCACAATAATTACGTAATCATCCGCGTGGCTCCAGTCAAAGCCTGAATCCCAGCAATCCTGAACCTTCAATCAACATCACATGCCTCTTGAATTGACATCGGATGGATTTCAAGCATTTAATCCTGACTCGCGATACTCCGCTAAGTTCATGATTTTATGTTGACAATTTAGTTGCCGGCGAGATGACCTTAGAATCGTGAAATTTATGGATTCGGAATCACAGCCGTCGCAAATCGGAGCGTCTATTTCCGCATCTCTTTATAGAATACGGTTCTACTGTAGGTGTCAGAACCAAGTCTTTTTCCGTCGCAGTGAAATAATTCATCATGGGTGACGAGTTGACAAGAGTGGAGCACCGAAGTAAAAGGAGACAGAACGAAGTGAGATTTGAAGGCTCTTTGCAATTTCAGTCTCGTAAAATCGTAGGGGTCAGAAATGTAGGTTTCCCGAAATTTACGGATAGGCAAAACTGGCCAGAACTCGTACAAAGAAATGGGTCTTTTTAGTATTTGACGCAAACCAGTATTGGGGACGCAATACCTTGGACTGACAAAAAACCAAAAGCTTTCGACCATGAAAACCGTCATCAGATTACAAGACCTTTCCCTCAAAAATTCCAAAACCAGAAACAAACACATCATGTTATACGTATATGTAGCTTTGGATCTGTAGGACCGATAGTAGCAGTAAAGAAGAGCCCCAGAAGCTGCCCTCCACCCCTTCACTGTTGAAATTCCTCAAAATTTCCACAGTTACGACATTTACTCGACGTCACTTTCCTGTTCGGAGGTATGTTCTGGTAAGCTGCCACCTTCGAGCACTATGTACGAATAGGTCGTGGACTAGATTCGTGATTTGTCCCCCAGTTCTCGCAAAAATAAATGCAATGAGCACCTAAGTATGCTGAAACATGTGTGTCGGGCTACAGAAACAAATCTTACCGTGGTAACCTTCCTCAACATTTGCACACACTAGAAGTGTGCACGATCACGTGATTCGATCGAGCAACCATACCTCACGTCAACATTCATTGCAACACTTCCCAGTATAACTACAGTATCATCTCACGCCAGTAACACTCCAATCTCACACCACTTTGTCCTCCTGCCCCACTCGCCCAATCCCATCACTCCTCTCTTTCGTGTCGCTCCTTCCCCATTCTTCACATCACTTTTACCCTTCGTGTCGCTTTTTCCTTTTCGAGCTACCTCTCTCAATAGTGAAAAATTTTTAGAGATGCTCATCTCATATAACTTGGCCATCGCCCAGTACAACTTGACTTCTCAACTGTAACGATCTGAATAGAACACAGAGTCTCTAGTTTTACTGCTACGAGTGGGATTGATTCTTTAAAAGCATCATTTGTTAGATATAAACACAATGGTTTTTCAAGCTGGAAGCAGAGGCGGTCGTGGTGGTATGTGAATTGATTTTTAGCGTCGAATTCGAACGAACGAAAATCGACAAGTTTTCGACCAATTTCGAAGGAGTTTTGTTACGGGAATATGAAAGCTGGATACAGTGGAGCTGCGGGATTATGGGAGTACTACTTGGTACCGGAGAATCGCATTTTTCAGTTTTTTCCAATTTTTCAAGCTCATCGGGTTGGTGAAAAATCGAATCAAAATCAAGACTCAGCATGTTTACTAACAATTAAACGCTTTAACAGGCTCTAGAGGTGGCCCAAGAGGCGGTGCCAGAGGTGGATTTGGTGGAGGCCGTGGTGGAGCCAGAGGTGGCTCCAGAGGCGGTTTCGGCGGTGGCCGTGGCGGTGGCAGAGGCGGTTTTGGCGGTGGAGCCGGCCGTGGAGGTCCTAGAGGCGGTGGCCGTGGTGGCCCAAGAGGTGGTGCTAGAGGCGGTGCCAGAGGTGGTGCTAGAGGCGGTGCCAAGGTGGTGATCGAACCCCACAAACACGCCGGTGTGTTTATCGCCAGAGGCAAAGAAGATCTGTTGGTCACCAAGAACATCGCTCCAGGCGAGACCGTTTACGGTGAGAAGAGAGTCTCCGTTGAAGAACCTTCTAAAGAAGAAGGTGTGCCTCCAACCAAGGTAGAATACCGTGTGTGGAACCCTTTCAGATCCAAGTTGGCTGCCGGTATCATGGGTGGTCTAGATGAGCTTTTCATCGCCCCAGGCAAAAAAGTGCTGTACTTGGGTGCCGCTTCCGGTACCTCTGTCTCGCACGTTGCTGACGTGGTTGGTCCTGAAGGTCTAGTCTACGCCGTCGAATTTTCTCACAGACCCGGTAGAGAACTGATTTCCATGGCCAAGAAGAGACCCAATGTGATCCCCATCATCGAGGACGCCAGACATCCTCAAAAATACAGAATGCTCATCGGTATGGTCGACGCTGTGTTCGCTGATGTTGCCCAACCGGATCAGGCCCGTATCATTGCTTTGAACTCCCATATGTTCCTAAAGGACCAAGGTGGTGTTGTGATCTCCATCAAGGCCAACTGTATCGACTCTACTGTCGATGCCGAGACCGTTTTTGCCAGAGAAGTGCAGAAATTGCGTGAAGAACGCATCAAGCCTTTGGAACAATTGACCTTGGAACCTTACGAAAGAGACCACTGTATTGTCATTGGCAGATACATGAGAAGCGGATTGTAAAAACCCAAAGAGCATACCAACTCCCGCATTCTTTCTCCAGCCATGCTTGTATATTAGTGAATTCAGATATATCTAAAAAGAGCCCGTCCAAGTACCGGACGACCTCACACAACACGCACAAACACATATACTTATACGTAAATACATTAAGAGGATATCTAGAGGTCTGTGTACTAGTTTTGAGTAACTCTAAAGGACTTGAACGGCTTGAACAGAGTTCTTAACGCTTGGTATTTGTTTTCGAGTCGACAAGTCCATGTTGAGTACAGGTTTATTAGGTTTAAGGCATCGAACTTTTGGAATTGCAACTCATCAAACTCACAAAAAGATCTCAAAACTAGCCTTTGAAGGTCTGTAGCACCGCAGTGAAGGCGTATTTGACAAGTGTAAGGTCTTTTATCGACCGCATACTTTTTCAGGGCCTCAAAACGACCAAAATATGAGTTCTGAAGAGACTGTTGGAAATGATCCACAACACCAGGACGCTGCTGATATAATAGAGATTGAAAGCTGTGCTGAAGACGAAGTAGAGATTCAAAGGGCTACGGAACTACGGCAAAACGCTGTTGGACCAAGACGGGATTGGGCTGGTAGATTTACACCTGGTCAAGCCAATTGGTCCAGTAATGATGATGCAAATGATGAACACAGCAATGATGATCTAGAGGTCGTGCACGAAATGGTGATTGATGATGGCGGGCCTATCGACCCTGACGCAGAATATGTTGATCTCGATAACGAAAGACCTTTTACCGTGGCGCAAATAAGACCTCGACAACCTTCCACTGGAAGTGGCCAAGAGGACGATGATGATGTGGTATTTGTGGGGCAAAACACCACAAATGCAAATTTTGTATTAAATCTTCCCGGTGGCGAGCGGGTTCTCATTTCTGGTAGCCCTCTGGAGCTACCCGTTAGAAGATCCTTCCAGCACCAGGTACCGCGAGCTCTCCCGTCCCGTTTGGATTCGCGAAGGAGACGGGCCCAACGTGTTGCACTTGGTGCTCAACACGCATTCAATACTCCTATGGCTGGAGCAAATGAGCCACCCCCGAGTTTCAACGAGCAACGCCGGAGAAATGAGCTACGACTCAGACGAAGCACTCGCCATCTCGCGCAACAAAACGCAAGAGGACACACACCATTTTTGAGTCCCAGCAACTTCATGGGTCATTCAAATGCTGCAAGCTTTCAGTCACAACTTTCCATGCTTCCCGGTAGTGTTCGGGCCGCTTTTGACGAAGCCCTGTCGATCGATGAGTTTCAATCTGTACTGGAGGCTACAGACAGAGAAAGCTACGAACAGCGTTTAGATGAGCTCACAACATTGTATGCACAATACCGCGAGATCGTGGAAAACTCAAGGGACCAAAATGTAAGTAACGAGCCAACGCCCGGTCGCGGCATGATTCATTGGGCTCAGGCGGTGGGAACGTATGCGAACCACAGTGGCACAAGGCAACACGGGCTTACAAGAGCATGGGTGCCTCCTCACTACAACGGAATGCACACCAGAGATACGGATGAGTCGCGAGAAATACAGGGAATAATGGAATTAATCGAGGCTCGCAATGAGGCGGAAGTTGACAACAAAAAACGCAAACTTATGGAAAGCACCAAGGGCAAACGAAGCAGCTTTCTAGAAGATGCCAAAACATTGCCCGAGGGCTACAGCTCGTCCTTTGACATCACACCAAAACTCGAAATGCCAATACGCCGTAACAAACAGACGGAAATTATAACTGTGGAAGACGACGAAGCGACGGAGATCGAAATACCAGCTTGCACGCTTTGCGGTGTAGAGCTGGGAGTGGGTATTCCAGATGACTACGAGGGGAGAAGTAAATCCGACGAAAACAAAACCTTCAACGAACTGGTTGACAAATATCATTTTCACTGTCCGTACCAGTCGTTGCGAAGATTTACAGTTGCAGACAGGGACCTTTCGCGGGAAACATACGTGGCCAGTTGTGGGCATATGTTCTGCGGACGCTGCCTGGCAAGAATACGCAGCGCTAGGAAAGTAAACGAGAAGAGTGCTAAGAAGTTCAGAAATGTGATGGGACCTTCGCATCCAGATAATTACGGCCCTCGACAATGTCCAGCCGAGAACTGCAGGAACAAACTACGACAAAACTCCACAATGCAAGAGATCTTCTTTTGAGGATTCCCAACCGCTCAAGATGATCAGTCCATAGCTGTTACCCTACCACTTAGAGACCGATGATTACGGTTTCGTTTAATAACCCTGAACGTTCTTGAACTTGATTGAAGTCAACTATCTTCCTTGATCTCACCTTTGGTCAAATTCAACAGTCCAGTCAAGAACTAAAAAGATCATGGTACTGGATAGGTTCTATATTCTTTTCCTGTGCGTTGGACTAATAGTCAGTGGAGGACTCAATTCATTGCTCACCAAGTTTCAAGATAACCAATGCGTGCGAAACTGCGATGGAACTTCACCAACCTTATTCAACCAGCCAATTTTTCAGACTTTGCAAATGTTTGTTGGTGAAATGGCGGTGCTGGCGGTTTTTTTTAACCGTAAAAGCGCAGCTGAATCTGTCGATGCAGGCATCAACAGTAAGCCAGTGGTGAAAGGGAAGCAAAACTTCATTTTAGCAATCCCTGCAGCGTGTGATATTATTGCGTCAACACTGCTGAATCTGGCATTGGTCATGATCCCAGTTTCGATTTACCAAATGACCAGAGGTGCTATTGTTTTCTTCGTGGCCCTCTTCAGTGTTGTATTTTTGGGCCGTAAAGTCACACGTATGGAATGGACGTCGCTGGCTGTAATTGTTTTGGGAGTTGCGGTTGTCGGATACAGTGGCCAAAACAGCGGACTTCAGACGGACGAAACACCCTCAAAGCAAACCACAGAGTCCTTGTTGCTGGGCGTATCTTTGATTGTATTGGGTCTAGTCTTCATGGCGTTCCAATTTATAACCGAAGAACACATTTTGACGCGGTGGCAAGTTGAACCCTTGGGCCTTGTGGGCTTCGAGGGTCTTTTCGGTTCGCTCATTACGTTTAGCAGTCTGCTATTCGGCCATATCGTTTACGGCCACAAAAGCATCGATTCGATTTTCAACTTGAACCAGGCGTTCAAGGACACGGTCTCAAATGGAAATGTGCTTTTCTCATCGCTGCTCATTATGATCTCAATCGCGTGTTTCAATTGTTTTGGAACTTCGATTACAAAGCATGTGAGTGCTACTTCAAGAAGTACCGTGGACACTTGCAGGACTCTGCTTGTGTGGATTGCGTCATTGGCGCTAGGCTGGGAACCATTCAAACTTTTGCAACTTCTCGGCTTCACTCTGTTGGTTTTCGGAACCCTAGTCTTTAATGGCGCCATTGAGATTCCAGAAAAGTATCTACCACAGTACCTTCTACAAGACAAAAACGCTGAATACAAAAGACTAATCGATACAGTGGATGAGGAAGTGGAAAGGTTTTAACGAGCTCGAAAGAGAAAAAAAAGACAGTATGGATTAGGCTTATAAAATGATGAGACGGCTCTTGCCCCTAACTGGTGCCCTACGTAGGATTTAATATTTTCGTTTCGGTAAAGTTACATCGAGGGTCTTTGCTGCATTGCGAGAGTAATCTTGCATATTTTCTTAAAATAGAAGATCTAATGTGCAGCATAGACACATACCAGCGAGACACGCCGTTAGGCAGTCTGCATTATTGTTGGTGGGAGGCTTTTGCTGCACGTAAACAGGTTGCTGTTGGTTGTAATAACCCGGCTGCTGTTGTTGCTGAGGGTAGTAATGCTGCTGCTGATTGTAGTTCGGAGGAGGGTTTGCATAGTATTGTTGTTGTTGGTGACCATAATACGCCTGTTGTGGCTGCTGTTGCTGATTCGAGTTAAAAAAACCTCTATTGTCAACTTGATGGCCCGGTGGAGGGCCCCCGGGGCTCGAATACTGTGAGTAAAAAAAGGTTAGTAATTATAAGGGCGATGATCTCGACTTGGAACGCTGGAATCAAACCGTCCGGCAGGACCTACTTTCCATGGTACCAAACCAACATCTGAAGTTTTTTCACATACATGAGGTTGCGAGTTATGAGTTCCCTTGTAGTATTCAGCAGCGGACATGTTCTTTGAGAAGTAAGTGGTCTAAAAAGTCGAGTAAATCTCCGATTGAAGCTCAAAAAAATTCACAAGAAAGCCTGAAAAAATTACGGATCACTTTAATCACTGCTGTAAACAATTCTTTGCTTTAGAACGTACCAGACCGTCAGTCTTGGATCATCGAGGCTGCGCATCTCAAGTTAACTTCGCCTCTACCTAGATCAATTATAGCTGAAAAATGATACGATGTATCGCTTTACACGGGTCAATTTAAAAAATTAAAGGTTTCCATCAATTATCAATTAAAAGGACCCTGAACAGATAGCACCGACTCTTAAAACTGAGAAAAGCACCATTGCAAAAACTAAGGCTTCTATTTAGCAGTTTAGGTGTGTTAGTTCGATTCCTGAGATTATGTTTATGTAGTGCAGTTTTTCCAGCGGGCGAAAAACTTGACGTGGAGTAGTATATATGGTAGTTTTGTAAGTAAGGCGCTGTCGTTCGAGGGCGAACAAAATAGGCTATCTTGGCCTTGTTTTCAGGCCTGATAAGAAATTTCCAGGAGCTTAAGTGCATTACGGCAGCTGCGGGGCTATTTTCTAATAGATGTGTCGTCCTAGCTGAACGTCATCAGTCGGTTCCACATCAGGAAATGCATAAACAAAAGGTAGTCCGGGAAAATGTGTAAAATTCTGGAACGGAAGCTCTGATCTACCCGGGTAGCTCGATAGAGACTCTCTTCCCTTGAAGAAGCAGAACTACAAGTAAGGGATTCCTGTGTCGGGTTTTGCCAATAGTTGATTTCAAGCTCTCTCTCGTGGACCACCAATGGATCTCGACGGGAAATCGTCACTTTCGTCACTTTCCGTTGTCTCACACGATTCAAGCCACCATCATCCTTCAGCATTTTTTCTCAGCAAAAGCCATGCGGATGATTCTTTCCGCCCTTTAGCTGGGGATACCCCTGTGAAATGGCAAGCTTCCCATAGAGAATTCCAATTTAATAGCAACAGCACACCTTCTAAAACCAGCAACACCGATGCATTTGAGGATCCTGCCCGGAAACTTATGCGTAAGCGACGTGTGGCAAGAAGTAATCTCAGTGGTGCAAAACCAAGACTGCTTTCCAACTTAAAGGCATCCACCACGAAACTTGATCTTCTGGACGATCAAAAATTTACAAGCTTACCCATCCCTCACCCGATTGAGGGGCCCTCTCAAAACAAAGCGCCTCGAAACTTGACTCACGAGGCTCAAATTCGTGTACATGCGGAGAACAGACGGTTCAGTGTCGATCCAAGGCTAGCAAAGCAGGGCGATAGCACTGATGAGGAGGAATGCCATCCACCGATAGTTTTGGTTGAAGACTACATTCCCGATGATTCCCGACGACTCAAGTTCGCGCGAAGCAAGGTTTCCATATCGGATTTGAAGAGTAAAGTAAGCAAAAGTAACTCTTCTATCTTGCCGATAAAACACAGAACGAAACGCACAATATCGACCACATCGTCGCTTACTTTGACACCACACATCAAGGACGGTAATTCTATCGTCAACATCGGTATGATCGATGAGGATCCTTTCTCACAGATGGCCGATCAGCACTCTGCCACATCCGACAAAACTGCTGTAACAAACATCGAGAAGTTTTTGGGCACAGTAATAAAGCACAATGATGACAAGGATATGTATCTTCAGAGCTTGAATTTCAAAAACAAAGTTAAGGGCTGTGTTATATGTGAAAAGCCCTTGTATGAAATAAGTTCGCTGATCGAAGGTCGTTCTTTTCAAGAGATAGTATGTTCTTCTTGTACGCTGAAGTATGAAGAGACGGCAAAGCTACTGGAAGATTACGAGTTTGACACATCGACGGACTCAGCAAACAATTCACGAGACTTTAGCATGGAGAGTGAGGGATGGACTGGTGAAGCCGGTGAGGCGCTGCTCTTAGATACCAAAAGACACAAGACAGGACAATTTTCGTCACATCTCATCGGCAGACTTCAAACGCAGCTGAAACAGAGGAGCGATCCCGGCCACAACGACAATGTTGTAGATTCCAAGACAATGATTTGGTTCATAGAGGCAAAGCGGAAGCTTCGATGGAGGTGGGGGGTAAGTGGCTTGTTTCCACAGTTTCTTGCTGGTAAAAGAAATGTGTGATCATATGTATGATAGGTTGGGTAAATAACAAAAGGTTTGACTACTTCAGAGCAATCGACCAGATCAGTCCAAGTCTAACTCAGAAGGTTCCAATGACTTGACAAATTCTGCGATAGCAGTGAGAGCGAAAGAATGGTCCTCTTCTTGCTTCAAACCGCTGACTGTCAAAATTCCAACCAAAGAATCGACTCCATCGACATAAAGTGGGACTGAACCACCATGGACTGCGTATTCTTTGGAATCGATGTAAAAAGCGTCTTCCATTTTATCTAGCTTTTTGGCCCGTAACTTTTGACCCATCACAAAACTCGAGCATCCAAACCTTGTAACGGTTTTTTTCTTTCTCGATACCCATATATCATTATCGAGAGAGGTGTCGTTGTTAGTCGTAGTGTGGAAAAGACATTGTCCAGAGGGTAAAGAAATATCCAGTACCATCGATTTTGATGGGAACGATTCAATTGCCCATTCTCTCAACTTCAATCCAAGTTCAAAAGCGATCTTGTAATCGAATCGGGGCAAACGTCTCTGATTTTCCAGAAATTTCAGTTCGTCAACATTTTTTTTGGTGATTTGCTTTAAAAGATCAGAATAAGAACTCAGCATGATAAACAATTAAAGCCTGGTCAGAATCCCAGTTCAAGATGCCTTCCCTGTGCTCTGGTTCTTTAACTTCTCGACAGGAATCAGGCTCTTATTTTATATAAAGGGCAGCGGATATTACCCAAAGAAATTCTCTGCTCATTCCTCGACCCGAAGCTGTACTTGCGACAAAAAGTCTGAGTGTATGACGCGCTGATGACCGAAGTAGAATTAGTAGCAGAACGGAGGGCGGGTCGTCACGGTCGCTGCTTATGACCAGCACAAGCTGCGTTGAATCACCCAGTTTGCGAGGCAGCTGCATAGAGAATTCAAGCATCCTGTTGCAAAAACGCCCCTCTCACACCAACGTACTTATTTCACATTGCTCGATGTGCCCGTTTACCACCTTATCCATTCGAGCTTGGCCTTTAGGATCAAGAACGCAATCAATCGGTATGCAAACCAAACACATATGATAATTCCTAGATAGTGACCCGTGTCGTGCTGTAAGTCGAAACTCTCGAGCACTTGTGGACCTGATGAAAAAAGGCACGAGCCGTCCGCGTTTCGGCCCCCGTCCGAGCATGTTAGCTTGAGATTGTTCGGAAACGCGTAATTGATCAAAACTATTGATGTGTAGTTCAACGGACTCAAATAGTTGAAACCTCGTAGCACTTGCGACATTTGCAATGACATCAGACCGGACATCACACAACCTATCGTAAGAACAATCGACACAACGGTGACTACAAAACCCGGGGTGGTGAAAAGAGTGTTGGTGATAATTCCCAAAGCCTCGCCGCAAGTTGATATGACCATGCTGCAGTACATCGTGACAAAAAAATTGTCCGCAGACCGATTCAGACCACATACCAGCACCATAAATATCGCGAACAAAGCGGAAGCAAACGCAGCCATAGGGATCTCCAGCGTCATGTAACCGAGGAAAAAAGGTGTGATTCCATAAACGTTATCATCGAACTCCCGATAGAAATAGTTTCGTTCACTAGGATAGCACGCAAGGTTCGTCAGCATACCAGTGAAATACAAAGCTGTAGACTGTTGAACCAGGCCGAGCCTATTGGAGATACTGGCATAGTCGTGTTTGATTGGTGCAAAAAAAAGAGCAAGTATAATGCCAACGCCTGGAATTTGCGCTAACCTGGCACTCAAAGATTCCATATTACGCCTGATTGTCTTGGCTTGACGTCTCACACAAACTTTGTAGGCCACAAGAAAGGGTGCTTTTTTCCGACCGCGGCCTTCCACTACAAACCCTTCGTGCTTCAATTTGCTACCGCAGGTAGCCAGTTCGTTTGCTTCCAAATCCCAGTTCGAAAGCAGCAATTCGACCCTGTCCCGAGAATTTGACTCGTTGATATCATTCTGGGTATTTACAGATACCATGTCCAGAAAATAATCCGCTACGTTGGTCAGAGGGGGGCATTCAAATCCAAGGCGTCGAAAATAGTCAATCATGTCAAGTGGCCCTCCATTGTACACCACGCGGCCACCTTTGGCCAGCAACAATATGTTCCCCAGCTGTTGGAATACCTCTGCGCGCGGCTGATGGATGCTAATGATGACTGTTTTGCCCGGCTTTTTGCTGATATTGCTCAGGACCTCTAAAATCTTGAAAGAAGTAAAACTGTCTAGCCCAGAAGTAGGTTCGTCGAGCAATAATATTGACGGGTCTGTTAGAAGGTGAATTCCCATAGACACTCTTCTTTTCTCACCACCACTTATCCCCTTTAAAAGCTCGCTTCCAACTAGTGTGTCTTCACAATGTTTCAAGCCTAGCTCTGAGATTATTTCGTTCACTCTTGAGATGCGCTCCTCTGATCGGAGAGCTGACAATCTCAAATCCGCCGCCAAAGATAATGTCTCCTTGACGGTGAGTTGTGCCAACAAGTGGTCGTCATCTTGCGGAACAAAGGAACATAAACCTTTCAGCATTTGTTCAGACACTTGGGTTCCGTTCAGGTGAATAGTCCCTGTTGTGTCCACCGATGTCCAAAACTTTGACCGAACTTTCCCTGATAATATATTGAGTAGTGTGGACTTTCCTGAGCCGGAGGGACCCATTATTGCGTTAATGGTGTTGGGCTTGAAAACAGCATTGATGTTGTTCAAAATGGCGATATTATCTGGAGAATTCTGGGCTGCTTTGATGGTCGTCCAGGTTCGTCTTATCCGGATTTTCATGTTGAGAGATCGAATTTCAACTTGCAGGGCTTCTTGAAGCGAAGAACTCGAGCCAAGAGTATTTGATTCCAAATCTGGCGTGTTGTCCCTGGTAGTTTTTGAAGCAGTCTTACTGCTTTCGACCTGTTTAGCGAGACTTACGTCGACTGTTTTTAGCTGGAATATCAATACTGCAACAGCATAGAATCCAATCGACCAGCAAAAAATTATTATAATTGGGACTGTCCTCCAGGCTCGTGGGATCCCAAGGCTATTCAGCACCATATTGCCGACGCATGCCTCCCTCTGCTCAGACTCACAAGTGAGGTCGGCAAACCCATTGGACATCATGGCCCCGAATGCACACCATAGATAGGCGATGTATTTCGTCCATCTGACATAAACAGGCATTTGTTTAGCGTTAACGAAAAATCCACATGCCATTGATTGTAAAGTGTAATTGAGATTACCCACCAGTGAAGCTTTAGAAAAGTCTCGAGAAATTGCAACTGCAACAAGGGCAAAGGACGTAGAGCACTGATGAACTAGTAGCACTACCGAAAAAAAGGTGAAGAATGATTTTGCTTCGGCATGCATCCCGTACATGAAAAATGTAACAAGCGAGAATAGTAAAGGTATTGCCAAATCTTCGGTTAGAAAATTTGCTAGTCTTCGGGCGATAACAAAAGACCAAGGTGTTACACAGCCTTCGGCCCTTTCGCGATCGTAAACTTTAATGTCTTGTTCGCAAAGTCGATAAATCTCAAATAGTAGAAAAAGATAACCCTGCAATGCCGCCGCGGAATATAGTGCTGATGTAAAAGTCCTTATTCCCTTGGCTGAGGTGGGATCAGGTTTATAGAAAATCCATCCAGTGATTACACCAACCAACACAGGTTCGAGTAAGAGTGCTGCGGTGGTCATCGGATCTCTCCAATTGACCTTGAACGCTCGCCTCGTGAGCACTCTAACTTGTGTTGAAAATGAAACATGGGGCATCACAGAAAGTGAATAAGCCATATTCAATTCAATGAACTTGATCTCATTTTGCGGCTCTTGCCAGCTTTCTATGAGCTTCTTGAGTCTATCCGAGGTTTGTTGCTTAAGTTCCTCAGATCTCGTATCAACGCTGCATATATCAACAAAATAATCTGCAGGATTAACATGCTCTGGGACCTTGAATCCCAGCTGTCTGAAATACGGCACCATTTTCACAACGTCATCACAATAGACATTGTAGCCCTTCGATAGAATACAAACCTGATCCAAAAGGAAGAGGATATCCGCTCGTGGTTGATGAACGCTCATGACGAAGGTTCTCCCTCCTTCATGTGCCAACTTTCGAAGCGTTTTGACCAGCAAATAAGCGGAGTAAGCGTCCAAGCCCGTTGTAGGCTCATCTAAAAACAGAAGTGATGGATTTGAAATCATCTGTACTCCGATGCTGAGTCTGCGCTTCTCCCCACCTGAAAGCCCCGGGTGACGAGGATCTCCCACAAGTGTTTCGGCACAATCACGTAATCCCAACTCAGCGATCAATTCATTGACCAAAACTTGGCGCTCCTTCTTGCTGACGCCGAGCTTGAGATCAGCAGCGTACTGCAAAGTTTCAAGGCAGGTTAATCTTGGGGAAAGCACATCTTGCTGTGTTAAGTAAGCAGTTGTACAACGAGAATTATGTACCGGAGATGATTCTACTGAAATGACATTTTGCTGCGCTGCATCAGGGACGTAGTTAAAGGAACCGGTATATTTCAAATTTCTGGGAATTTTAGAAGCCAGTACATTCAAAAGCGTAGTTTTTCCAGATCCCGAGCCTCCTATGATTGCCATGATAGAACCACTAGGAATTTTCATCGAGATGTCTTGCACAATGGCCACATTTTTGGGGCCGATAACCGATAGCTTGCGAACATCTACTGAGACCCGGGGGGCTGTGGCAAACGATAGCTCATTCTCAACAAGCTCAATATCCATGGACGCCAAGGGTAGACGGCCAGGATGTGTGGACAGAGAGTCCAGATAAGTTGGAAAATAACCTGTACTTATGGTAGAGTAGTTCAAGTAATATGTCAAAAAAGGTAGGCAGTGATATCAGGTTGAACGAGTATCTCTGGCGAGAGTCAACAGTAAGCCAACCTTGCCATCGACTTAGAACGTTGACTCCGGTGAGCTTTCCGATGAGTAACGGAAAGCAGCTCCCTTCTTGAATCCGCTGCTCGCCATTTTCGGGACTGCCGTGTGCAGGCCTTAGTGGTAGTGAGAGTGTCAGCGAGTTAGTAGCGCAAATTTTGGTGGGGAAACTGGAAAGAAAAGATAGTTTGAGGAGAAATACAGGTAGTCCGGCACATTTTTTTTGGCGAGGACCTTTGATCTTGTCTTTTTAGTTATCCTTAGCTCTTACAGTAATCTTTAACAAACTAAAACCCCATGCAAAAAGACCTTCGACGGTCTGAACGAAAATTGGAAGTAGTTTCAACGGGGAAACTATCCGAAAGCTCTCATACCTTTTTATGTGTGATTGAGCAGAGCTGTTCACGTAAGGTTCGTTTATGCGACTTTTAGTGACGTTGAAATGTTAAGTAGTTTTGTCGAATAACGAGTTTGAGAGGGGTTAAGAGACGACCGATTTCGACTGAGAAACTAGTGTAAACATCGATCCTGGCATGAGCAAGAAGATCAAGCAGGAATGGGCATCAAACTTTCGCCAATTTGCGTTTTTTGGATGACAGCTTTTTGACAGCTCTACTTTATCAATCATCATACGAATATATAGAACTTCATTAGAAAAGAGACTGCTACCCATCAAGACAGACTATTCTACAGATAAAACAAAGTAAGAGAGAGTTTCTATGAGTTTACTGATTGATCCAAAGACTAACAGGTTGGATGAATCTAGAAATCTTCATCAAATTTTCATTTCTCTTGACCCCTTCGTGATAAAAGCGATGACAGTGTTATAAAACTGAGTCCAAATCTGAGATCAACTTTCCTAGACAAATCTCTGATCCGGAGCGATTGATATCAGAGACGTACCCCACTTTCTGGTCTCCGAGGGCCACCTCGGCAATCGCCTTTTGCATTATCGTTTCGACCAGCGAATATTATCATCTTTTCCGAATGTGACAGTGGGCACATGACTCTATGTTTTCCAGCATATACTAAGCTATATAGGATCATCTTTCCATGTAGAAAGCTCATCCATCGACTATCGTTCCAACTCTATCTCACCCGAAGCTACCAACGATGGATGCCCTACTCAAATCTACCAAATCTAACGCTCGTGGAATCCCAGAGGCCCCGTTTGTGGAAAAAGTAGAGGATTTCATAAAAGATCCTAACGACTTCGACCTATGTTTTAACAAGTTCCAGGAAAGACTCTCGAAGTACAAATACATGCAGGAATCGAAACTGCTGACGGTCAAACAATTGAAGCAAAAGATTCCAGAAATTGAAAATACGCTAAATATGTGCCATGCCCTGAAGAAACAGCAAGAACGTGGTCGCAATTTGGAAACCAACTACCAGCTCAATGAAACGCTTTATACTACAGCAGAAATAGACACATCACAAGAATTGAAAGTAGGTCTTTGGCTGGGTGCAGACGTAATGCTGGAATACCCTATAGATGAAGCCATTTCTCTGCTGAATGAGAAATTGGCAGATGGTAAGAAAAACTTAGAAGTCAACCAGGAGGACGTGGAGTACCTAAGAGAGAATATCACGACCATGGAGGTCAATTGTGCTAGACTCTACAACTGGGACGTAGAAAAGCGTCAGCAGTTAAAGCTGGCTCAGCAAAAAGCCTGAGTCGGTACCGCACTCGCTGTCATGGTTTGCACATCATAACAAAAGTATTTACCTACATCCTAAACGTGTTTAGAAATTGAACCCCAAGGGGACGTGCAGGCTCGTCACTGGGCTCATCGCCAGGCTCTACTTCCTGGCCATTCTCGCCTTGTGCGGCATGCAAACTTCCTGATTCAGACGGGCTCGGCTCTGGTCCGGCAGCTACCACACCCCTTGATGGTCCTGGTTGAGCACTCTTCTTGAATAGCGGGAGCCTGAACACTTCAGATCCCGGGAAAAGTCCTCGTTCGATGAAAACGCCGCACATCCAGCTCAAGAACGCGGTAACCACCCCCACGAGGCCCTGGTTCAACATTAAGATGGCAACCAAAGCGTTTATTACAAACTGGTCATTGAAACTCCATTTGATTTGTTTGGACCGGGACCCCAACGGTTTGATTATTTTTACGTCAAATCGATACATTCGCGGCGTGTGCTCCTTGTAAAAATGGAAAAGACTCATCACAATGGGAAGAGCACCAGTGGTGAACCGATTCCACTTCAAGAATGGATTCAAATTAAATATCCAAGCTGTCACAAGGACAACAACGCTGGTGTACATCCATGTCAATGCTATCAGACTCAAGTATTTTCGACTGCCCAGCAGTCTTTCCAGATGCCTGTAGTAGTACCATATAAGTGTTATTAGTATTACATCCGTCTCATTCACCGCCGAAATCTGGAATGTCATCAACCTGTAGTACTGTTTGTAAGTTGAGATAAATGGATCGGTGTAAAGCAGAAACCAATATTTGACACCGGCTACTGAGGCAAAAACTGGTATTCCTAAACTCAAAAGTGTGCATAGCTTCGTCACCGGAAAGCTTGAGAGGCCCTGAGGCGTCTCGGTGGCCATCATCTTGGTTTAGTTGTGATATATTTCTTCTCTCTCTCTGAGATGAGATGGATTTGAGCTAACTTATTCAATTAATTAAGGTCTTAAACTAAGCACTAGACTCTCTGAGTATTTCATGACCACGAAACAAATCGAGAAAGATGTCCTCTGGTGGTCAAACTCCTGAACTGGAATCAGCAGTAGATCACCTTGTCACTATTCTGCACCAGCCCATTTTTACAGGCGAAATACATGACATTTTGAGCAATTTAGTTTACTATATACCTCGACTGCGTAGAAAGAGGAAACTGGAACAGCTTGTCTCTGGATTCCTGGAATCACAACTGTGGTCTATGTTACTTGGTGAAGATCGGAGTGTTTTACAGGAAACCGCTGAAGCTATCTTTTCTTGGAAACTTTCAATTTCTGAACCTGTCATTAGCGTCGCTGAGTTTTACGCAGTCTGGGATCGAGCGATCAAGAACTGTAAAGCATGGAATATCAGCAAATTGACCGTTTTGACTGGTATATTGGGTACCCGCGCCAAGCTTGACACTCTTCAAACGCAGTTTTTCCTTGACGATTCAAACTCTGTGTCGGGAAAATATAGGAATTGGAAATACGAGCTCTTCATGCCAGTCTGGCGACAATTGTTTAGAGAAACTATGAAACACTCGCCAAGAGAAGCAGAGTACTTAGCGGTGTTGTTATCGTGCATTTATGAGAACCGCGACGTGAATGAAGTGATGGGTGAACAATTGGCGCCCGTGTTACTGCAGTTGTCACTGACAGTCATCAATGACTATAAAAAAAGCCCATCGTTCGTTTCCAAAAATTTGGGGAGCATCGCAAAAACCTTGGAAAGTACGCTTTCTAAGACCAACATTGTTGTCGTTACGAATGCGCTTCGTGCAGTTACCGCCACGACTTTCGACATTTCCTTGCGCGAAATGCACGCTCCCAGAGCCAATTATTCAACTCAAATATACTCGAATCAGCTGCTCACCGTTATTTCTATTCTTCGAGGCTGTTTATCTCGGCCAGCAATTCCCAAAGAATGGTACAGCCAAGTCATCATGTCGCTATTTTATGTTGATTTTATTGCCCAAGATTTTGGCAAAAAAGGGTTTCAGTCCTACGAATATATCTACAAGATCAGCGTGGCAGGATGTACCGTTGACGTGGCACAATATTATAACTGTCTTGACACCATGCGTGGCAACATCTATCAATCCAGCGGTAACAACGTTGTTAATAACAGTCGAATCCTGTACCTGCTTAATTTTCTTGAGTTTTCACTAGGAATAGTGCCCGTCACTCCCGACTTCCTCAGCGAATTTTTCGTTCCTGTTGTAACCTTCTATGCTGCCTCTTCGGATGCTAATATTTGTGAGGCTGCACAAGCGACGCAACTTTGTCTCTACAACAACAAGTCGGCAGGCGAATTCCTTCAAGTTTGGAAAACCACGCACTATCTCGAATTTCTAGAACAGTCCACACAACGGTTTTTGGCTGGTGTTCTCAAATCGAGCCAACTGATCCACATTTTCGCTGCAATTGCCCAAGAAATTCCTGCCCTTAAACCGACCAATCCTGATATTTCACGCGAAGTTTTACACTACACCTATTTGCTCGTTTTGAACCACCAAAAGGAATCTTCCGAAGTCGTCTCCACGCTGATACAGTGTCTAGCTCAGCAACTCCCTCATATCAAAACCAAGTACATTACAGGTTGGCTGGAAAATATCATAGAATTGATACAATTTTGTCCAGCTCAGAAGGAAAAAATCTTTGATTGTCTCTGGAAACAAATAAATTCGGGGCTCTTACCAGACGACCGTGCTCTGAGTTGGTTCTTAAGTTCACAATCCAAGCTTTGACACTTCTACAAACTAACGAAAACTTGGCATCAAAATTCAGAAAAATACCAGATCGACCAGATTCCAATCCAAAATCATCTCAGGAAGTTGAATAAACTATTCTTCTTTCTAAATTCCTACTAAATTCATCAAGTGTCAGGGTCTGTTCTTATTTCGATGTCATTTTTCAAGGCGATGAGCATCGCTATAATTAAGAAAATTTTTCAGACCTTAAGCATCCTTTTAAACTCATCACTACTGGAAGGAGCCTTTAGAGTACCAGGAAAACACCTCTGACTGCCCTCAACTGCCTTTGAAAGTACTGGCAGCATGAGTAAGACTGATGTCAATGATTCGGCAACGCTGAAGAAAGATCTCAATGAATATGAACAACATTACTTCAGTTCTTATGATCACCATGGTATTCATGAAGAAATGCTTCAAGATTCGGTGAGAACGCTTTCGTACCGTAATGCGATTGTTCAAAACAAAGATTTGTTTAAGGACAAGATTGTGCTAGACGTTGGTTGCGGTACAGGTATTCTCTCGATGTTTGCAGCGAAAAATGGTGCCAAACACGTTATTGGCGTTGATATGTCAAGCATCATCGAAATGGCTCGCGAAATCGTCGATCTCAATGGATTCTCTGATAAGATCACTCTTCTGCGTGGTAAATTGGAAGACGTGGAACTACCATACCCAAAAGTTGACATTATTATATCTGAATGGATGGGTTACTTTCTGTTGTATGAGTCTATGATGGACACCGTTCTATTAGCCCGTGATCGTTATCTCGTTGAAGGAGGTTTGATTCTTCCAGACAAATGCTCAATCCACATAGCTGGTATTGAGGACGCCCAGTACAAGGACGAGAAACTCAATTACTGGCAAGATGTTTACGGCTTCGATTACTCGCCATTCATCCCGCTAGTGAAAAGGGAGCCTCTCGTAGATACTGTTAACCATAGTGCCGTTAACACCACGAGAGCCAAATTGGTGGAGTTTGACTTGAACACCATTACCGTCGCTGACTTGGCTTTCAAGTCAAAATTCAAGCTTGAAGCAAAAAATCAAGATTTCATCAACGGACTCATCAGCTGGTTCGACATTGAATTCCCTGCGCCAAAAGGTAAGAAACCTGTAACGTTCTCAACAGGTGCTCATGCTCCTTATACGCATTGGAAACAAACCGTTTTCTATCTTGAAGATGACCTTGAAAGTGAGAAGGGTGATGTTTTGGAAGGAGAATTATCCTGCACACCAAACAAGACCAACAACAGAGATCTGGACGTGAAGATCGCGTACGACTTCAAAGCTAAAGGTACGGAATCTGCTCAGAGATCCAAGAAAAACACAAACTCGTATGTGATGCATTGAAGAACATGTAAGATAGGTTAATATTGTACATTAGAACATAATCAGTAAAGCACAACTACTAGAAAAAAAGGCACAAACATATATTTGTTTATTCCGCGCGCGAACATGAGAAATTATCTGTAGTAAACAGGAATCAAACTTTAAACCTATAACTAATGTTACTTGATCTACATATTTGAATCCTTGAAACGTCTAAAAAATAGAAGTTTGATTAACTCGAAGCATTAAAACACTTACTCGTGCTTCAAAGTCTCGGCGAAAACCTTGGAGACAGAGCCCTTCTTGTGCTCGGCCTTCTTGGAACCCAACTTCTCGGCAGCAAAGACCTTGGCGTATGGGTTCAATCTCAACAAGACTTGCTTGTTCTTCAATGGGTTCTTCTTCAAAACGTGAGTACGCTTTTGGCTTGGCTGGCCAGCTGGTCTAACAACAGATTGGATTTCAGAAGAGTTGATGATTCTGGTAACATCGGTGTTGGAGATGATGTTGGATGGCAAAGTGTAGTTGGACTTGACGGAAGAAGCAACGGTCTCGGAACCCCAGACCTGGTCCAATTGAGCGAAAGCAGCTTCGGTCCAGATGACGAATCTACCCAAGTGGGCACCTGGGGCCAACTGCAATAGGTTCAAAGAGGCAACGTTGGCGGTTTGAACACCTGGCAAGTTTCTGAAAGCCTTGACAAGACCGTTGTCGTTGGCGTACACAACCAAAGGACCTAGTCTCTGGGTGAATCTTCTGTTTCTGTACTTACCCTTACCGGCTCTCAACTTCTTGGACTTGAGCACCTTGACCACGTCAGAGTGGGCACCGACGGCCTTTAGGGCGGCGACGGCTTCCTTGGTCTTGGTGATGGATTCTAGGTCAGAAGAGATAACGAGAGGGATCTCTGGGATCTTCTCGACACGGTGACCTCTAGCCAAAACCAAAGAGGCCACAGCAGAGGCGGCGATCGCAGACGCGGTAGCGTATCTCTTTTCGTTGTGGTTGACCTTAACGTTCCACTTTCTCCAGGTCTTGGTAGGAGCGAACATACGACCACCACGACACATGTTACCGAAAGCAGCCTGACCGGATCTGTGGGTACCACCACCACCGACACGAGGAATACGGGCAACAGCACGACCGGTACCCCAAGATTCGGCAGAGGTTTGGTGACCGGCCTTCTCGGAGACGGCGTAAGCCTGTCTCTTGTTCTTGTTCACGCTGGTGAAAACGCTGTGGACAAGGTCTGGACGGATTGGAGCCGAGAAAACGGCTGGCAAAGCCAAAGAGTTGCCGGAAGCTTCACCGGAGAGCTTTTGCACGGAGACTTGAGGACGAGAGGACATGGTTCTTAAAACTAACAAAGAGTGCGATGGGGTGTTTCGGAAAAGAACAGTGGGAAGGAAAAGTCGATGAGATCGTCGGCCTTTTTATAGTCCTGAAAAAAAAAATTTTTTTCCAAAAAATTTGAGAGTGGTCGCTGAGTACAAAATCGAGTAGATGTTTGGATCGAGGGATAGATAGAGGAGTGGGTAGATGTTTGGATAGAGAGCTGCATAGAGGAATGGGTGAATAATTGGGTAGAAGACCAACGGTATCTTGAGATCTGTTAACAAAGAAACTAACCCAACTACACACACACACACAACGATGATCTATATTTGAGGTTAATTTTATTACTCTAGTGTTTTCCACATGCACTAAGGGTGTCCTACATTATTTAGAAAGTCTCAGTACTAGCTATGATACATGCGGCGCCACTAATACTGCGCCTTTTCAACACCAGAACTTCCATGTACGGTAGTAGAAGGGCTTGGATTTCAAAACAGCTTTTTCTTCGGCCACTTCTTGTCTCAAAGTGTCGATATCCACCACTCTTCTACCGGTGTCAATGTCGATGTCCTTGGCTCTAATAAATAGCTTCCAGTTACGTTTCCATAGCTTGTGGCCAACGTAAAAGGCCAAAAGAACTGGGAAGGACAAGTAGGCTTCGAAAAAGGCCTCAGCACTAGGGGCATCTCCAGGAGGCCACACGGCAACCCAGAATTGGGCAATAAGCACCAGTAGAATTAGACCAGCACCGTAACCAGACCCCCACACGCCCACGGTAGACGCGAAGGCCAGCTCATCGGTGGAGCGACCTTGCGCAGCAAGAGCTCTTCTAAAGCGGAGATGGCACAGACAGATACCAAACCAGGTGAACAGAGACGACAAACCCGATAGCGCCAGCAACCAGTTGAAAACATCGCCTTCTTTGTCGGATTGCGCAATGAAACATAGCAGACCAAAAGTACAGGTCACAGCAATACCCACAAGTGGTCTACCCTTTCTGTCGACGTATGCGAAAACTTTAGGAAGCGAGCCCTGCTCGGCCAAAGCGGTGATGGATCTGGAGCAAGCGAAAACGGCAGAGTTACCTACCGATAGCACGGAAATCAAGATGACCACGTTGATAACACTTGGAAGACCACTGATTCCGTGGTTCTTGATAGCGATCACAAATGGGGAAGCAGCAGCGTCCACGGACGATGCACCAATTAGTCTTGCGTCGTTGTAAGGAACGAGCAAACCGATCAAACACAGCGAGATGATGTAGAATAGCGAGACTCTCCAGAAAACCTGTTTGGAGGCACTAGGCAGCGCCTTTCTTGGGTTTTCCGTTTCGGCAGATGCCAAACCGACAAGTTCTGAACCGGCGAAAGAGAAAGCAGCGGTCACAAACACTGTACATACACCCTTGAACCGTTGGCCTGCACTGTCACCGACCAACGCACCGGGAGTGTGCCAGGTGGTACCTCCGATGTAATGACCGTGAGGGCCACCACCACAAACCAAAATGACACCCAGAATGATGAACCCGATCACGGTGACCACCTTGATGAACGAAAAGATAAATTCGGCCTCACCGTAACCTTTGACACCAAACATATTGATGAGCACAATGACGACGTAAAACAACGCAACGAAACCGTCGCGATACTTGGGTGGAGTTCCCCAAAAGTTGACCGTGATCGACGCGGCCACAATTTCTAATGGCAGCACCACCAGCCACTGAAGCATATAGTTGTAGTTGACAGCGAAACCGAAAGACTCGTCCACGAAACGTGTAGCAAACGTCGTGAAACCACCAGACACCGGGTATGCCACGGCCATCTCACCGGCGGACATCACCATACAGTAGATCATAGTACCTGTGAGACCCCAGCCGATCAAGATACCGGCAGGACCGGCAGTTCTAAGGGCCGTTCCGGACCCCACGAACAACCCGGTACCGATGGCACCACCAATGGCAATCATTTGCAAGTGTCTGTTCTTAAGATGACGTTGCAATGGAGATCTAGCCGTTGCGATGGCTGTTCTTTCAGCTGGCGTGAGGTTTGGGTCGAGTTCTTCGACCGGCACCTGTTTGAAGCTGTCTTTGAAGTCCTGCCAGGCGGAACCCGACTTGGACGACGTTCCATTCTGGGCACCGGCCTTGTTGGACTCGGCGGAGGTATCGTACGAGTGCGTACCATCGCCCTGGTAGCCTTCTTCCTGCGCGTATACAAAGTTTTTCTTGTCTTCCGACATAGAGATGGCAGGCTTGTTGGGATATGAAGAGAACAACTATATGAAGAACAAACTGAGTACACTTTCCGGTTCTTCTGTCACCAACGTTGTTGCAGGTCTTTTATACGCAGCGAAGCTATTGCCAAGGATCGAGCGATGGGCCGAGTATAATCGTTGATTGTGCGGTCCCGGGCTTATCTTGAACGGTGGGGCCTCCTTGCGTCCTTGAGTTCGAGATATGGAGATGACAGTGGTGAGGAAGATGATAATCTCGATTATCGCTAAACCATGCGGCACTAACTTTGTCCAAACCACAGTTGCTTATCACTGGTTACCGTATAGTTTAGTGTTGTTAAAAGGGAACAACGTGGATTTCTCGTGAGAGTGACCCGGTTCTTGGGAGAAACGTAAGGCTCTGTTTCACTGATAAGCTTGGTATTTAGGCCACTGACAAACCCAGGATGTTAAAGATTAGATAGTAGTAGGGGTATGGTACAGGAGGTAAGTTCTTCAATCCGAAGATGCGTACGTAGCTCATGGGAGGAGATTCGTCGTTCATTGGATAGAAAGGTACTTTCGTTATTCGTAAGACAGCGAAAGTGAGTGAGAGATACGTACGTTCGTAGCTGGTTGGTATACAGAGATAAGAACTACGTTGGTTTGAAGGGAAACCGGTGAGAGTGGAGTGAAGGTAGTAGTGAGTGGAGTGAAAGGTAGTGGAATGATTAGTGATGATCATGACGAGGAGTTTGGGTTTTGCCAAGGAAGTTTTTCATGGTGTTGTCGTAGACGTTACAGGCGGGAGAACGATAATGTGGGTGAGGCGGGAGTTATTGCGAGAACTAAAGTGAGCTTTTTCATAAGTGTGGGAGTCAAGTTATCAAAAGTGTGTATCTACAACAGTAAATAGAAGAAAACTTAGAAGGGGAATACACACACACAGTTTGATTAGAGAAGAGAGAACAGCGGGGAAGATTAGGTGAGAGAAGAGGTGGAAGAACAGGTGAGGGAACAGGTAAGACTGGGTGGAAGAAACCTTAAGTGAATAGCGAGGTGGAACCTTTGATGAAAGAACAGTTGATGGGGTTATTCAATAGATGGAATCCGTAGCTAATTTTATGGATGCCAGGTCTTGGAATTGAGTTTGGTTAGCGGTGTAGTGTATTCAGTTCAAGTGGCTACCACGATGAGACCATGGTTTCAAAGTGAAAGGGTATGATGATTTTAGATTTACTTGAAAATAGTAGATGTCATATCCAGATGTCATACTCAGATGTCATATTCAGATGTCTTGACTCGATACGTTGAACTAGGTTGTCACCAAAATTGAGAGAGCCTCTCAACTTGAGGCAGCATGGAAGAGTACTCACCTTTAAAAAGCACGATCTCAACTTGAGAGGGCTTCCAAAAGTAGATACGATTTTCAGATCGTTGTTTAAAGCAAACCCATAAAGTCAAACTTGTCGTGCGTTGCGTGGAAGTTCACCAAAGACTAGAAATACAAGCAATTTCAGCAAACGGAACTACAGGGCAATCACATCGAAAGATGGTCAGTACGATAGTTAGAAGGCAGAATTTAACAAGTGAGAGCGACGTTTTCTTTAGCATTTGATTGCTGGGTGCTAATGTGTTAAAGAAGGCAGTTTACATGCAGCAAGTGATTACCTGACGGTTTCAATCGTGGGTACCTATTGATACAAGCGTGGCTCAACAGCTGAAAGCCACTTACTACTAATTGCTTTGAGAATGGCAAGGCATCGAACAGCAATTGATTGTATGACAGTCTCAATTGTGGGTGAACACCGCTACAAGCATAGGTCTGAGATACTAATTGTTTGACGCACTGGACTTTAGACAGAGAGCAGCGTGTGCAGCAGTTGACTGCATGGCAGTCTCATCTCGGGTAAAGAAGGCTACAAGCGTAGCCAAGCCATTGATTGTTGGACGCCCTCAAATGCGGTAAAAACGGATACAAGATTAGCGAAAAACTCGGCTGTCTAACGCATCCCATTGTGAATAAGAAAGCAGGGCGGGCCTACCGCTCTAAACTGTGGATAAAGTGTAATATTCTTGTAGCTCAACCCCCTGACGCTCCCCACTGTGAATAACAGCAAGACATTGTGCAATTGAGAAACCTTCCTCAGAAACCCACCAATCAAAATTTGCATACTTAAGTTGAAAGTCCGTCTTTCTCAACGTACAAGTAGAAGAAGCAACGTTCTTCCCCAAATTTAAGTACTTAAGTTGATAGTTACTCTCGACAAGAACGCAAACCACCGTTCACAATCACCCTACGCCATCAAGATCTTACAACCCTACCAATTTCAAGAAAGCGTATACCTCTTCAACTCCCGCTAAAATCGCATTTTCTGGGCATCGACCTTCCTCTCTGTTTTTTAAAAAACTATTACTCAACAAACTTCCTATAGAAACCTCTTCTTTGCTCATTGCACCATTAAAGTTCACAACTTTCAGTGCTTCACACCCTTCACTTCAGTCTCACTGATCACTTCTTCTGTCTCTGACGTACCGAACTCTCTCTAATAAGCTCTTGTCAAATGTTCAACTTCATCACCAAAATCTTAAAAACCTAAACTCACTCAACCTTGATTTCATCTCTGCTACTATCAGTCATTCTCACTTCACAAGCATGGTCAACCTCAATAAGGTCCCACCACGGCACAGGAAACAATACTATTTAGCTCTTGGTCTGGAAGGTTCAGCCAATAAGCTTGGTGTTGGCATCATTAAACATCCTTTGCTGCCTCAACATGCAGACAGCGATCTTTCACACCATTGTGAGCTGCAAATCTTGGCCAACATACGAGATACGTACGTCACTCCACCAGGCGAAGGCTTTTTACCCAGGGACACCGCCAGACACCATCGTAACTGGGCAGTTAGACTGGTGAAAAAAGCGTTGCAAGAAGCTGGCATCAAAGATCCAACCGATCTAGACACCATCTGTTTCACCCAGGGACCAGGAATGGGAGCACCGTTGCATTCGGTCGTCGTGATGGCCAGGACTCTTTCGCTTTTGTGGGATGTGCCGCTTGTAGGCGTGAACCATTGCGTAGGCCATATCGAGATGGGCAGAGAAATAACAAAGGCAGAAAATCCGGTGGTTCTGTACGTTAGCGGTGGAAACACCCAAGTTATTGCATATTCCGAAAACCGGTACCGGATCTTTGGCGAAACGCTCGATATCGCCATCGGAAACTGTCTGGACAGGTTTGCCAGAACGCTGAAAATTCCGAACGAACCATCGCCCGGTTACAATATTGAACAGCTTGCGCTCAAGTGCACCAATAAGGACCAACTGGTAGAGCTGCCTTACACGGTCAAGGGAATGGACTTGTCGATGAGCGGAATCTTGGGCTACGTTGACTCACTGGCTAAAGACCTGTTCAACAAAAACACCAAGAACAAGCTTTTATTTGATCCCCAAACGGGCCAGCAACTTGTCACCGTTGCCGATTTGTGCTACTCACTCCAGGAAAACTTGTTTGCCATGCTCGTGGAAATAACAGAACGGGCCATGGCCCACGTCAACTCCAACCAGGTCCTCATTGTTGGCGGTGTTGGGTGCAATGTGAGATTACAAGAAATGATGGCCTCCATGTGTCGCGACAGGTCAAATGGCCAGGTGCATGCTACAGACGAGCGGTTTTGCATTGACAACGGTGTCATGATTGCGCAAGCCGGTCTTTTACAGTACAGAATGGGTGATGCAGTCCAAGATATCGCAGACACTGTGGTAACCCAGAAATTCCGGACCGACGAGGTGTACGTCGCCTGGAGAGAGTGATAGATTTACTAGATACAGAGCATTAAATAGGACTGTCGAAAGATGTGGCCTTCAGCCAAAAACCTCAAGATCAAGGTTGCCATTTCTTTGGTATTCTTACAGTGGCACAGCCTATACCGATATTAATTAGCTTGAGTGACGGATCTCGTTATAAATACTGAATAAAGATACCAAGTTTCGACAGATCTGAGCGTTTGAAGGATGTCTGGAAGCCTCAATGACTGTCTGGAACAGCTCAAAGTATCTAGTAATTCGATTCAAACATTGTATTTTAAACCTCCGGGCATTTTCCACAATGCTATCGTCCCAGACCCATCTGTTTCTTACGCAGACATAATCACCAATATAATACGCGATGGGGACGCTCAGGAAGAAGCTCCTTTGTACAAGATCGATCAGAACAAGCTTCCAAGACGCAAGGACGACAAAGTTGGAGTGTTTGACTTTTTGACGGAACACGAAGCGAATTTGAAGCGAAATCGCCGTTTGGGAGGTGCCGATGAACCACCCATCATTCACGTACCCAAGAGTTTTTACCTGAAACAGCACGAACAGGACGCTGCCCGTAGTGAACAACAACGTGGATTTCTGCTAGAGGAACTTAAGACTGAAGGTATTTTTAAAGCGCTGCTCAAAAAATTCGAGGGCGATGAGCAGGTTCGAAACTTGCTCCACGCATTGCAAAACGGGACCGTGATCACGGAAGATAGCGACTCTGGAATCAGCGGTCGCAGAAAGACCCTTTTTGTGGAGGACTTCCCGGTAGAATTGATCTTCAAAGTGCACAGCGAGATCGTGACGAACTGGCCGATATCTGAATATCAGAAAAAGTATTCTCATCTGTTGCAGCGGTATAAGGAGATCGATGCCGAAATTCGTCAGCTTCGCAGCGAAATCTCTCAGCAGGAAGAACAATTGCAAGCTAAGGCAATGAGTTCTGGAATTACGAAATTGATCAGGAAAGAGCAAGAGGAAATTTCAGAGCTACGAAACCGGCTAGAGGCATTACAGAGACCATGAGTGGTGTGAGCAGAGGTACTATAGCAGTAATATGGTAAGGGAGCTGAGAAAATGTCATAAAATCGGCAAATTCAGAAAAGTGCTCAAAAAAGTTTTGAAAACTCGCGCCCAGGAGTCCTAAAAAAACATGGACTCTTCGGTCAACTGCATTAATCTCAACGAATCATCAACTGTCCTTCATCATGCTTCCTTACTTTTCCTAATCCTCCTTTGTCCTCTGTCGTCTCTCAACCCTCGTGCAATGAGAGAGAGCTCTTGAATTATTACTGGATTCGAAGAAAACCGCAAGGCAAAAGCGCAACCTGTCAACAAAACCACCATTAAAGCTCACCCACAAGACTTGCTAGGACTTAGTTTAGAGGCATGGGGTCAAGTTCTAGCAATTCTGATCAATTTTCTCAAATCAGCAGAGCGGTCTCAACTACTGCTTCTGCAATCTTTGGATCGCAAACCATGGAAGATACAATCTTGTCATACAGCAGTCCTTACAAGAAACTACTGCATCAAACGATCACACACTCAGGGTCGAGCAATGCACTCACGAAATTGCGTACATCAGCCAATCCGTTTAGAAAGGAAGACAACAAGGCATTTCAAGATATTTATTCTGCGGCCAATGGAAGATCGTTTTTCGAAAACCAGTTTAGTAACACAAAGACCAGTTTTAGGTTACTAAGTTACCTCAGTGAAGAGCTTCTGTACGACATACCAAGTAGTGGTCAATCCCATCGCGGACAAAGGAAAAATTCCGGCAAGTTTTTAAAGGAAAATGGTGAACATGTAGAGAAACAGGAAAATACCAGAGCGCTGGAAGAACCGTCACTATTCCAAGGTTTTGAATCGTCGCTGCCGACCATTGATGAAATGATTACCTCGGGCCCTCGTCAGAAAACCACAGCTATAGAAAATGGGGAAAACAACGCAAATGATAATAATGCCGGTTTTTCTCTGCCATCAGAGGTCGATTGGGACGAAGTAAATACCTCCAATTCTTTGAGCGTGCTAAAAGCGGCATCTCAAACGCTTTTAGATGGCTTGGATCTTTTGGAAATACAGAAAAACCTTGCTGCAAGCGAAATAAAAGAGATTGACGCAAAGCTCGAAAGGCTTAAAGCAGTGCGTGAGCTGATCTTCAAGAGGGTGGCCAGGGTTGACCAGAACGAGATCTTTTACGAAAAACATTTGGCGTTTGTAAGACAGAGACTTGATGTCGTGGAAGCTAATGAACTAGATAGTCACGGTTCCGATTCTGATGTGCCCTCAGAAAGGGAAGAGTCCAACACTGACATTGGAAAAGAAGCGCAAGCGAGTACAGCTGTTAAAAGAAGCTACGTCACAGGAAATGAAAGCGATGATGACGAAGAAACGTCTGCTCTAATGAGCAAGTCTATTTACCAAAAAGTACGGAGCCGGCATGAGCGCCGGGGTTCTAAATCTACAGCAAAGAGCTCTCATCATTTTCATGAGCCTTCAAGAACCAAATTTCACAGCTCTAACAGACGACGGAAGACTTATCCCACTTTACAGCAGTTTTACGAACCCGGTAGTAAAATTATGGCTTTACCACAAGCTCACGACGATGGCATCACTTGTCTAGACTTTGACATGCCATTTGGAACCATGAGCACAGCTGGTAAACTTGATCATTGCGTAAAAATATGGAATTTGAGTAAAGGAACCCAAATTGGTAGTCTTTCGGGTCATCTGGCGTCTGTGAGCTGTATGCGGATGGACGAATCCTACACTTTGGTCACCGGTGGACGTGATGCATTGCTCAAGGTCTGGGATATCGAAAAGGCCGAAGAAATATTCCAAGACGAAAATGCACAGGAAGAAGACCAAGAAGAATTGTGTTTGCACACATTCGACGCGCATGTGGACGAAATCACTGCGCTGCATTTTGAAGGCACCACGTTAGTGTCTGGTTCGCAAGATCGGACGATTCGTCAATGGGATCTCCACACTGGCAGATGTTTGCAAACCATTGACATAGATTTTACAAACCGGGGCACATCCACGGGATTATCTTCTATCAGTTCACAGAACCCAAGCAGTAATGTGCTTCTCACGCACAACGAGCCCCCGGTCATCGGCGCATTACAATTTTACGATGCCGCCATGGCTACCGGTACCAAAGACGGTGTGGTACGCTTGTGGGATCTCAGATCCGGCCAGGTCGTTCGCGCGCTCGAGGGGCACACTGATGCCATCACGGGCCTGCAGTTCGACTCTGTAAATCTGGTGACGGGCTCACTTGACCGCAGTATTAGAATATGGGATCTCCGTACCGGACTCTTGGCCGATGTGTTTGCATACGATCGTCCCATCAGCAGCTTGGAGTTCGATTTCAACAAAATCGTCGCTGCAGACAACGAAAGTTGTGTAAGGGTTTACGACCGCAAGGATGGTCGTAAATGGAAATGTGGCGACGAAGCCGAAGATGACAAAGAAGCCACTAGTATCGTGGAGTTTGTCCGTTACAAGAATGGCTATTTGATCGAAGGTCGCACCGATGGTACCGTCAATACCTGGGCTGTTTGAATTTTAACGTAGACTGGGGACAACTCAAAAATCTCAACGAAATAGTTTGTAAATAGTACATCTAGCAGAAGCAAATATTCACTCTCTTATGAAAACATCTATTCAAGCTTAGTCCAGTGCACGGCTGATCAACAATGTCGTTCGTCTAGGAACTGTTATTTTTTAGTTGTTATTATTCTGAATTATTGTATCAACTCAAGATGCTCAGAAATTTACCAAAGCTAGTTCATTCGAAAGCCTCAAATCAGCTCTTTTCAAGGCATTTATTACAAACAGTTCTAGACTCGCATATGTGTTCCTGTTTTGCGCTTTAAGTTACAAAACTCTAAACATCATGAACATTCCATACTTTCTGTCATCTGATCCATAAATGATCTTGAAAAAACTGCAGAGTGGCGATCGAACTTGGTTCTTCACAACGAAAAACAACAAGTTTTGACCATAAAACGCTTTGTTTTGAGTGTTTAGAACATTGATCAGAACCGTCTCAAACTCACAATGAACTTTGGAAGCCAAACTCCAACAATTGTGGTTCTTAAAGAGGGCACCGATGCGTCCCAAGGCCGTGGACAAATCATTTCCAATATCAATGCATGTTTGGCGATTCAGGACTCTTTGAGGCCCACACTAGGTCCATTGGGTTCAGATATTTTGATTGTGTCTTCCAACGGAAAAACAACGATCTCCAACGACGGCGCGACGATTTTGAAGCTTTTGGACGTGGTCCATCCTGCTGCTAAAACTTTGGTAGACATTTCAAGAGCTCAAGACGCAGAAGTGGGCGATGGTACAACCAGCGTGACCATCTTAGCTGGGGAGCTCATGAAGGAGGCAAAACCGTTTTTAGAAGAGGGTATTTCGTCGCATGTCATCGTCAAAGGCTACAGAAACGCTGCTAACATGGCCATCAAGAAAATCAAGGAACTTGCGTCATCGGTTTCCAGCGATAATGGAGCCAACAGAGAGCTGTTAGAACGCTGTGCCAGAACCGCGATGTCCTCGAAACTCATCAGCAGCAATTCCGATTTTTTCGTCAAGATGTGTGTCGACGCTGTGTTGTCTCTTGATCAGGAAGAACTGGACGATAAACTGATTGGGATCAAAAAAATCCCGGGCGGTGCTATGGAGGACTCTATTTTCGTGAATGGTGTTGCTTTCCAGAAAACATTTTCCTACGCAGGTTTTGAACAACAACCCAAAGTGTTCGAGAACCCTAAGATTCTCAGCTTGAACGTGGAGCTGGAATTGAAGGCCGAAAAGGACAATGCCGAAGTACGAGTTGAACACGTCGAAGATTACAATGCTGTCGTGGACGCAGAATGGAAAATTATTACCGACAAACTTGAACAAATCGAACAATCCGGTGCCAATATCGTGCTTTCCAAATTACCTATTGGTGACTTGGCTACCCAGTTTTTCGCTGACAGGAACATCTTTTGTGCCGGAAGAGTTGCTGCTGAAGACATGAACCGTGTGATTTTGGCTGTTGGGGGTGCTATTCAATCGACAACTTCAGATATAAAACCGGAACATCTAGGAACATGCGAGCTGTTTGAGGAAACCCAGGTGGGTTCCGAACGTTACAACATTTTCAAAGGCTGTCCGCAAGCCAAGACCTGCACATTGCTACTGCGTGGTGGTGCTGAACAAGTCATCGCAGAAGTGGAAAGATCTCTACACGATGCCATAATGGTTGTCAAACGAGCCATCAAAAGTAAACTTGTCGTTGCCGGAGGCGGTGCTATAGAAATGGAGATTTCGAAATACCTAAGAGATGAATCTAAAAAAATTGCTGGCAAACAACAACTGATAATCAATGCTTTTGCCAAAGCTCTTGAAGTCATTCCTAGACAGCTATGTGAAAATGCTGGACTTGACGCAACAGATATATTAAATCGTTTACGAATGGCGCACAGTAAAGGTGAACAGTGGTTTGGCGTAGACTTCGACGCAGAAAGTATCGGTGACAATTTTGCCAAGTTTGTTTGGGAGCCTGCCCTTGTTAAGATAAATGCCTTGAGCAGTGCCACTGAGGCCACCAATTTGATTTTATCTGTGGACGAAACAATCAAAAATAAGGAAAGTCAACCTGCTAATGCCGGTATGATGCCTCCACAGGGTGGTGCCAGAGGTAGAGGGATGCCAATGCGTTAAGTTTTGTAACACCATGTAGATATAAACAGTGTGCGCCAAAATACCGAGGCAACTTCTTGAAAGAAGTAGAGAAGATGAGCCCCGCTTGACCAACTTTGTGGTACGTTCTTCTCGGTTTTTGATGCCTTATCCGCGTAATGCTTTCAATCTCTGCGCCAATTTCTGCTCCTTCTCGTCGGATACTGTGTCTGTTTTTGTTGGGACTTCTGTCACATCCTGCAACGCGGCCGACTGTTTCAACTCCAGACCATTTTCATCGGCAACTTTATTCATGAGCTCGTCAACCCTATCGTTGTCCACCACTACTGCATCAGAATTGGCTCCCATATCTTCGTAAACGTTAACACTCGTGTCTAAATCTTCAAACTGTTGCTCGAATTTGTCCATGATCATTGTTATTTGCTGCAAATTCATACTCTGAAGCGCTTTGTCCATGCCACGACACACTTGTGCCATGCTTCCAGAGACTTGGCGCATGGTAACGGCAGTTTGGACCCTGGACGCCACAGAGTCGACTCTGGAAGCCAATTTCAATAGCTGGAGGCGTTCGTTACGCTTGCGGACCGAATTAGAGGCATAAAGACGAGCTATTTCTTCGCTTTCGTTGAGTGCTTTTTTCAATTTGTTCGCCTCCTGTTTCTCCTCTTTGGCCGCTTTTTGAGCCTGTTTCGCCAGTTGTTTCGACGTGAACTTCAATTGAAACAGCGTGTTTTCGAGCCCGGCAGCAGGATTACGCGACATGTTGTTTAAAGGTGCTTTAATCGTGAGTTTATAGTATGGTTGTTGTCCGGGAGTAGCTGAAGTGTTCGCTCAAGATCTACTAGAGGTTGGATATATTATTGAGAGCTACAGTCACGTGATAGAAAATTCCGAGAGACTAAAGGATCGGCTGGAGAGTCGCATATATAATCGACTCGATGATCAACTAGAGGTTTGGATCTGAAGATTGAAATGAAATATAACTGGCATAAACAGTTCGATGCCGATATACATTCATAAAGAAGAGATGCTTGTTCTCTCTGATTTGAAAGGACTATTCGGATAATAAGAAAAAAGGAATTGGCTCGCCAATGATAAGCATTGATAGTCCTTGGCTTCAGTACCTATTTATTAGGATGGCACTTCTTGAAACCAAGACATACATTCTTTTTCAATAATTAATTCTCACCACAGTTTGAAAATGGCATATAGAACAGTAGAAGTTGATTTCAAACAAACAGTTTTGAAAAAATATTCAACTAAATCTGCAGAATACCATCTCTCGCGGTATCCCGAAGAGTTCGTCTTATCGATTCCTTTTTGTATCACCTCTCACGTCTCCGTCATCACTAGAGAATATCATTTTATACATGTCCGTCGTCTGGCCCTGACGTACACCTTCCGCCAGATCCAAGTCTCGTACTGCCCCGAAACACTGTTTAAAGCTAGCCTACCAACGACAAACGTTTTCTAAGGTGTGTTTATAGATACTGGCATGCCCAAAAAGCAGAGACTGGCCATTTTCTGTTTGTTTTTTTTTTTTGACTTGCTTACAACCATACGTGGTTCTTGCTAATCCATTTTGAGTTGTCCTTTGTGCCGTTTCTCAATCCCTCCTGAAGTTTTCTAGTTGTTCCTCGAGGCCTCGACACTTAGCATCGAGCTCAAGTATATGTCTTTTGTATAGATCTGTGACCAATTCAAGTTCACTGATTCGTGTCTTGAGCTTTATTACTCCTTCCTGACCTTGCAGGAGACTGATTAAAGAAGCGCTTGGCAGATTCGCTGCCTCATCAGGACTATGTCGGCTTCCTCGTGACCTGCTGATATTCGTATCAGTGTTCATGCTATGACCGCCACCATCGCGCTGTTGTAATTTCTCTGCATAATCGCGGTGTTCGTTGGCGTGAGCAATTTCCTGTTCCAGACGCCTGTGTCGTTGCGATTTTTCGGCTTCTTCGCGGTGTTGGTTAACACGAGTAATTTCGTGTTCCAGACGTCCGCGTTGTTGTTCAACATCATGTACACTGGATGCCTCAACTTTGAGGGTAGCATTACCGTTAACGACGGGGGAAGTACCAGTGGCGGCACTTGTTTGAGAGTCGATAGGTGGAGGAGAGTTAGAAGTCTGAGAGCCCGAACGAAAATGAGAAGTATGTCTCCCTTCTGAGTTATTTTGACGCACAATCTGCGGTATAGGTCCATGGGATGAACCATTATGAGCGCCCGGTGATTGAGCTCTTGATACACTACTGCTGCCTGGTCCTCTAGCCTCACCCATTGCGTTGTGGTATGTACTACCCAGCGACTCGTAAGTGGACTTTTGGTTATTCAGAATTTCGTTGATCGAAGCCATGTGCATCTGTGGAACTTGACCGGCCCCGTTTGCTATTTGGCCCGAGTTGACTCGTTGACCTGAAATATTTTGGTAGCTGCCGTCTAGCGCTTGTCGATCGTGCTCATCAAATTGGCTGTCTAAAGCTGTTGGTGGAAGGACCCGACCCGAGTCCGAAGGCCTGTTAGAAACCGGCGGCTTACCGCCGTAACCGGAATTTTGTGGCGAAGCTAACCCTTGCGGCTGATGTCGTTGTTGCGGCAATGGCGGTGTAGTCTCTGAAGACTGACCCGGTTGCTCCTGATATTGATGTTTTAGAATTTCCGGATCTAGGGAGGAAGTCGAAATTACCTGAATGTCCGGCGTCTGTGATTGGGCCGCGCCATCAGTACCTTTCACGGACTCTAACAGATTTGATAAATGTGGCAAACGCCCGTTATTGGGAAATGGGCCTGTAGCTTTCCGTTGAGAAGCAGCAGCTCCTAGTGTTGCAGGTGGATTTGTTTGGTTTGCCGGTATTATTCTACGCCAAACGTGCATGTGTCCCGCTGCTGCAGCTGCGTGATTCGGTGTGCTATCGCCTGATTGGGATTCAGGTAGTCTGGGAATCTGGCGGGAACCCTTCTCAAACTGCAGAATTGTCTCAAGCGTTTCCGCAGCGCTTATTTCGCGAGGGTCCTGGATCCTACGCTTTTTGTGATCTTTTTTACGCATATCAACTGCTGATTCATGCAGAGTGATTGGGGCCGAATTCGCAGCTGCACTGGCAGCAGGATTGACAGCTGAATGGGTCGTAGGAATGGCGGTCGGATTAGCAGCAGGATTAGCAGCCGGATTGGTTACCGGATTGGCCGCCGGATTAGTGGCCGGATTGGTTGCCGGATTAGTGGCCGGATTGGTTGCCGGATTGGTCCCCGAATGTGCACTTTTACGGTTTCTCGACTTTATAACGTCTGTTTTGAGGCTAATGGGTCGAGGACGACCGTGCAATTTGAGAAATAGCCCGCAAGCATTACAAAGAACCGCGCCATGCTCACTCCTACGCCAGAGCGGCGTTGTCAGTGTGTGACAGTTCCTGCAAACAGGACCTCCACTAGGTTTTGGAGCCGGATTGGCCATGCTTTCGGTGGTGTGCGGTGGCATCATTGCGATACTCGTTTTTGTCATGGCACGCTTGTTTTATTGACTGTGTGATGGGTGAAAAAGGAGGGCTGTTATTTCAACGTCCAAAATAGGTGTTCACAAGCAAATTTGGGATACTCGAAAAGCCCACAAATCGAACTCAAGTTTATTTTCCACGGTAGTGATCTGTAATCCAAAGCTTTTCTCCGTCAAATAATAACCAAAAGGCGAAAAAACCTACGAGCACTTTTTGATATAAAGCCCTCAAACTCTCTGGATCTTGCTTGAGATGCACCAAACGCTCCAAAACTATGCAAAAACTTTGGCAGTCGTCGAAATTTCGTTTTGAGTTAACACCGCTCAAAATCTACCAAAAAAGCGTCTCAGATTACCAAAACAGTACCGTTCAGACCGACTCAACCACTGGTTTTGTACTGGACCTTCCTAAGCTGCGCCAAACCCCTTGTAATGAACACTTGTGTAGGTTTTTGTCTGGATGTTTTTGGATTTTAGCAATTCAAATTGGAAATCATCAACATTTATTATTGATCAATATTACCCATTATTTTTCACCATAGTATAATGAGCTTATCTTATCTGGTTAACACGACGGGCAACGCGATGGACAACTCAAACGGTATCTGGCAAGTCACATTGACTTAGCTAGGACGGGCCACATGATCGCAGAAGGGTAGTTTCCCGCGATCGCCGGGTTTTATCGTATTTCGCTGCCTTTTCAGGTGCTGTAGATAGAAAATCCTGATAACAGAGTCATCGCCGATACCTCTTGGGTCATTTTGAGCCATCTTAAGCCATCTTGGGCCAATTTGAGCCAATCAATTGCTGCTTAGGTGTTGGGTGTAGAGCGGCGTTTGTGGATGGGTGCCAAGGCATTGGGTGGGGCATGCCTGATGCAGGATATATTGCGATATAGGATGTTAAACTCCATGATAAGAGGGTGCGTGATATGTTAAGTGTGTGAGGCTGGCTGGGGGACGTATTTCAGTAAAATGGTGCCGAATGGTTTTCACTGGAGATTTGTTATCGATACACAGTGATTTGCCGGTTGTCAGAACGGACGTCGTTGATAAGAAAGGAAGCCAAACTAGCGGACGGCAACAAATGTGGGAAACGTGGGGGGGCAGGTACAGTCAGTGTGCGCATGCGGAGTTGCGATAAAAGCGAAAATCGTGTCTGAAGAAGCTCGTATGTGGAGAAGCTCGTATCTGTGGTCTTGTAGTCACTCCAAAAATAGACTTACAGCTGGAAAACTGGATGATGATTATGGAGGTCCGATGTAGGGAAACCACGCATGGTTGACAAGCGGGGAGGTTGCTGATCACAATTCTGGCTATTACCAGAGAACAAGTACGGGTTTTATCGTTCGGTGCGGACATGAGATGTCACTGAGTGTTTAATAACATTGGTAGCATTCGCTTGAACTCTGGGATGAGCTCTTTGCATTGAAACCCCACATCGCCTGCTTCGAAGGGTTTTGGATAATACAGTAGAGTAAGTAGTCTGTGCAACGGGATCTCAGCTTCCTTTATAGCACGAACCTAAGCTAAGTGAGCTTGAAAATGGCCATCATCATGTTTTGATGAGAAACTGTGATAGTTGCATGTTGGGGTGATCCAAATGTTCGGAAATACGTGCAGAGCATATGTTATCAGCGATGTTGTAGAGATGAGCTGTTACGAAGGCGAACAAAAGTACCACTAAATAGCGTATTGACTTTGAAAACTTGCCGATCCAAGCGGCACTATTCGGCGTACTCAATCTGAAAAATCGGACATTCAAGCACCACAATTTAGCTAACCTCTCGCATTCTTAACCCGGTGTTTTCTATCGGGCTCAAACCCTGAGACAGATAATCCCACGACAACTAGCCCTTTTTCCACCCGTTCACCGTCGTAGGTCATTGTCCTGTTTCACTCCTCAATCCCGCGTAAAGCCTCACTCAAGATGAGTTGTGCCTTTGCGAGTTGTCAGTGACAGTATACATGACTTCAACAGACATTAATATAATGACTGTGCTGTCTTTCATAAAGCTATGATCGTACTCTCTTTCTGCTGACATTTACTGCCTTTAAGCTAGGCAATTGAATATGTTAATGAACTTTAACGGGAACGAAAGACGCCGTAGTTGTGGTATAAGATGCCGAATCTTGGTTAAAGGTATAAAATGTCTCTAGATACTGACGCTAATAACAATTGAAAGAGACAATAGCGTAAATGTGTTTCACGAACCATTGAAAAACGGTACAATATCAACCCTAAATTGTACTTCTTAGGTGAGGTAACGCCTGCTCTTTGAAGCCAGCGGCGAATCATCAGCGCAACGATGACTCTTGTGCAAGTTTCAAGTAAGAGAAATACACCAAGTAAGCCACAGAAGAACTAACCTTGTGCATGCGTATACCGGTAAAGCATTTAATCTTGCGGTAAATATTTTGTTTTTTCACCGGATTATCGACGTATGACAGCCAGAAGTTCCAGATTGCAAGATCTACAAAAGATGTCATTTACACCGCTCACTGACCAGCTCTAGAAGAGCTTGAAACTTATATAAAAGCGCTTCAAAGAGACAATTGCTATTGAACCATCCAACAGTCCTTCTTAATTCTATTTCCAGGACCATCAAGACCTTTTTACTCTTAAAATCGCTATCTGGATGAACTGTCGTATTTACATGGCATTTGTTCACTTAAATTATTAGCTTTTGCGTATAACTTGGAAGAATCGCTCGAGAAAGTTCTCAAAGGACTATCAGGAGACCAGTTTGTAGCAATTCTACCATGGGAGGCCAGCACTACGATGACGTACGGGAACGTTCTAAACCCAATGGTCAGGGAGCACTCATTCCTGGTGTATCAGACGCTAGAGAACTAAATGGCGGTGATGAACAGCACGATGCAGAAACAGAGTCGGAGCATGAACCTCAGCAGAACGATGGGTATCCTGATGAAGCTGATCATGACGCTGAGGCACATTTGAAGAATTTGAAATTCCAAGGAGTGCCCAATTCCGCTGTGAGACAGGATCCACAGGAACCAGAAAATGAAGGAATGAATGGCCAAACATCCAACAACTGGGTCAAAAAGATTAATCGTCAGGAACAGTTCTCTGAATGGCGCAAAGAGATGGGTCAGGCCTTTCGAAGGTTTTCCAAGCTAGCTGGTAGGCGAAGTTCACGGCCAGAATTGGCCAAAAACATAAGACCGTCGCATTCGCAAAATCAAAGTCCTGAAGATGAGTATACACAAAGTTTGGCCTCCGATCTGATAGATACGCTGATTGCTGGGTGTCCTGCAGCGCTTTTTGCTAGCTGTCTTTTTCTTCGCGACGAACACGGCGTGAGAAGGGCCCCTATGCTTCTAGCAATGTTAGGGGTAAAAGTGACACCATCAAGCGGGTCTGGCAAATCAGAAACCATTGTAAAAGAGCATAATCGTTCAGACCATAACAATCCAGATGCCCAGACTAGCAACCTTAGGTTTAAACTGGAACTTGAGTACGGAGTCGGCCACAATCGCATGAAATGGTCGGTTGTCAAATCCTATAAGGATCTGGTTTCGCTTCACGCCAAGCTGAAGTTAATGTCCTTTCAACAGAGCGCAATCAACAAATTTCACATTGATAACCATAATTTCAAGTACATGCACTTGCCCCATTTCCCTCGTTTCGATGATGCCGCCAAGGAGGCTAGCGGCTCAGTGGTCAGCTTCTCATCTCACGAAAGTTCGGCAAGCAGTTCAAATGAAGATCCTGTGAACAGGCTACCAAGTTCACAACGCAGCCATGAGTTTGAAATACGCAGGTTTCGCATGAGGCACCTGCAAGATCTTCTTGCTCAACAGGACGATACCTCGCATCCAATGCACGTAAGACTTGAGCGGTATTTGAAGCTATTGAATCTAGCACTCTGTCTGAGACCTCAATCCAACCGCCTCTTCCAGTTTTACGAACTATCACCCATCGGCAATTTACTCAGTTATGAGAACGGTTACCAGGGGAAACAAGGATATATGGTGGTGCGTTCTACGGCAAGTACACAAGGATGGAGAGTGTCTCATTTGAAGTTCCAAGATTTGCAGGCCATGATTGAAAGACATACCAACAAGTGGTTTCTTGTGAGGCACTCCTACATTCTCTACGTTTCCGATCTCCATTCGACCACGCCATTGGAGGTCTTTTTGGTAGACTCGAGCTTTCAGATTCGTGCGTCAGGAGAGGCTGGTATAGTGCCAGATGACTACAAGGACTTTGATCCCTTGGGGGAAGATACCAAAAAGCTGTCTACTAAACTGATGATAACTTTGGAAAATAGTGAACGGAAAATACAGATGCTGGTGAAATCTGAATTCCAACTCAAGTTGTGGGTGGCCTCCATTTCAAAAATGGCGCAATCTACAGTCTGGTCTCAGAAGAAAAGATTTGACAGTTTTGCACCTGTCAGAAAGAACTGCTTCTGCAAATATTTGGTAGACGGGCGAGACTATTTTTGGGCCTTGAGCGAAGCTCTCACTATGGCTCAGGATGTCATCTTCATACATGACTGGTGGCTCTCACCAGAACTCTATATGCGCAGGCCGATTGAAAATAATCAGGCGTTCCGTATCGATAGAATTCTAAAGGAAAGAGCAGAAAAAGGCGTCAAAATTTTTATTGTTGTTTACAGAAATGTTGGCAGCACTGTTGGAACTGATTCTTCCTGGACCAAGCACTCGATGTTGAACTTACATCCTAACATTCATTTGATCAGATCTCCCAATCAGTGGCTACAGAACACCTATTTTTGGGCTCATCACGAAAAATTCACAGTGATTGATCACAGCATTGCTTTTATGGGAGGGATAGATCTCTGCTATGGAAGATTCGATACACCAGAGCACGTCTTAAGAGACGATAACGCTGATTTCAAGCAACAAATTTTTCCTGGAAAGGATTATTCAAATGCTCGAGTTTGCGACTTCTATGATCTTGATAAACCCTTTGAGTCGATGTATGACAGAAATGCAATCCCTCGAATGCCCTGGCACGATGTGCATATGACGACCATTGGTCCTGTTGCTCGCGATATGTCTCGTCATTTTGTTCAGAGATGGAATTACCTCTTACGTCAAAAACGTCCCAGTAGACCAACGCCTTTACTGACACCACCGAGCGATTTTACAGAAGCTGAGATGGAAAATTCACCATTGTTTCAAAGTATAAAAGATCGATCGACCTGTGAAGTTCAAGTTTTGAGAAGTGCCGGTAAATGGTCTTTGGGCTTGAAAAAGACAGAGCACTCTATTCAGAATGCTTACTTGAAATTGATAGAGACATCCAAACATTTCATTTACATGGAAAACCAGTTCTTTGTCACAAGTTCTAGTTGGGATGGTGTAGTAGTCGAAAACAAAATCGGAGATGCTCTCGTGGATAGAATAATAAAAGCCAACAGCGAAGGTAGGGCTTGGAAAGCTTTTATCGTTATCCCGTTGATGCCTGGTTTTGATTCACCTGTCGATAAGCCTGAAGGATCAAGCGTGCGGGTTATCATGCAATGCCAATATCAATCTATCTCTCGAGGAGAATCTTCTATTTTCGCCAGGCTCAAAAAGCTTGATATTGATCCGTTGCAACATATTCAGTTTTTTTCTCTGAGGAAATGGTCTGCTTTAGGAAAGAACGATCGCCTCGTCACCGAGCAGCTTTATGTCCACGGCAAAGTTATGATTGTTGACGATAGGTCCTGCATTATAGGAAGTGCCAATGTCAACGAAAGGTCGATGCTAGGAAATAGAGATAGCGAAGTTGCCGCTCTGGTCAGAGACACTGACTTGGTAGAAACTAAAATGGGCGATGAGCCGTACTTGGCTGGAAGGTTTGCCTGGGAGCTAAGACAAAGGCTGATGCGAGAGCATTTAGGTTGCGACGTTGATCTTGTTGAGGTTGTAGAGAGAAAGTTTGGTAAGCTTGAACAGCTTGCAAGACTGAACTACAAAACACTGCACTTGCTGCAGGGCGGAGAACACAGCAAAGCGGCTAAGATCGAGTCCGCACTTATCGAATTAGGCTACAGAGAGGTTATGCTGACCGATGCGAGTGAATCGTGGAGACAGAAATACGGCTCGAAAGATAGGCAATTTGGACTCGATAGTCAAAACTATGAGGAAATTAACGATACTCCAAGCTTCGAACAAGCGGAGGAGGTCGAGAAAAAATCAGGGCTACCATGTGCGAAGCACGAACTTGACGGAATCCCGTCTTCTTTGAGTCACTATCACTCTTTCAACAATAGAGCTGGGGAGGCTAATTCGGGCATACGAGACAGAAAACCCATAAGCACGGACTCGCGGCTAGTAAACAATACAGTCCATGAAGCAGATGTCGACGGTCTTGGGCTTGATGAATGGAAAAAGGCCACACATAAGCTCAAACAGAACGTCACCGATAAATTACGTTCTTGGGCTGAAAAAGTGCTCTCCACGCAATTCGGTAGCACCAAAAGAAACAAAGGTACGGACTCATTTTTGCCCGATCGTGAAGATGTGGAAGACTACTTGAGTGACCCCAATGTCACCGTTTCTGAGAAATGGGATATGCTCAAACGTATATGCTACCTGCAGTATCTATCGCACAAGAGTGAACGGAGAAAACACGTAAAACAATCCGATCAGTCTGGAAGCTCCGCAGGTTCTGAGATCTCTGATTCTCCTGAGGTGAGCTCCGTTGGATCTCCAGAGAGCCATATAAGCGCCGTGCAAGATCACGAATTAGACGACGAGATCATCAACGACATGCTAGCCCAGCTTTTACCTCCTATCGGGAACCACGGGCCGCGCAAACAAAGTTTTTTGAGACTTAAGTTCATCGACCCCTACACGTTTGAGGATCCGCTGTGTGATGCATTCTACGAGGACATGTGGTTCGCAGTAGCCCTGCGTAACACGATGCTGTTTCGCCTGGTATTTCATTGCCAGCCTGACAACTCAGTACAGACGTGGCGCGACTACAAAGACTTTAATCGTCTGCACGAAGAGTTTGACCGCGGTCAGGACGCAGTCATCAATCTCGAGAGAGGCGAACCGCCTCACAACCAATCGCATGGAAACGATGAGGGATCTTCATCTACAAGAACTGCCGAAAATGACACGAGGGGCCCAGCACCTCCCGTTAATTCTCATCAGGCTTCTAACAGTAATTACAAGGTTCGTTCGCGTGCGTTGAAAATGAAGTTGTCGAGCAGTGTGCTGTATGGAGCCAACCAGCGTATTTTTGACAAATACACGGCTCAGCGGATTCTGGAAAGAATCCACGGCCATCTAGTCATTTTTCCCACCGACTGGCTTGCTCGGGAAGTCGAGTCGAAGAATTGGTTCTACAGCACAGACAGGCTACCGCCAATTGACATCTACGATTAAACAATGACATGGTAAAAATATTTTCAGGACGAACTTGAGAAAAAAACACAATCTTCGCAAAAGTAGGACTTGAGTGTACGGAGTCCACTGCAATATCCTAAAAATCTAACTCAGTGCCCAAAGAAATTACTAAATCGGTGCATCGCAAGCTGTTTTGTGTTGCTCAAGAGCTGCAAAGAGCTTAATACTTGCTCTAATCAACTAAAGAGCCGTGCAAACAACACAAATCTGGTGTCTTATAAGTTAAGGCTCGTTTGATACGCATTAGACCAACGCATTCGTAGCGATGTGTCAAGTCATTTGTTACTAAGCCGTTTTCTCTGATATGGTGATGAACTGTTGACCATAATTCTCTAATCTGATATGATAAGATAAGGTCAAATTAGACTGAAATTGATCGAAGTTGATCAATAAAATCAAAGTTGCTTGGAAAATAAGTCAAGGGTGGCCCGTTTAAAAGTGGTAAAGGGTCGTTTCAAGAGTTCAGAGAGCGGGCAACTCTCTGGAATCTTAAACGGATTCCTGACCAGAAAATTGATGGAAATATTCGCAATTGAATTTGTGTCAGCTAAACTGATTGTTAGGAGCCGTTAAGCTGCATTGTCAGGGGATTTGAAAAGGTCCAAAGGCATCATGAGAGGTCGTTCGTCATACCGGGGCTCTAACCACACTTCTGACGGCAATGGTGGCGATTCAAGTGAGCTTTCAGCAATGTTCAGTGGAGATAATCATCACAAGCAAAGACGAGTACCTCTACAACGTACTACCTCACTCAAACTCCCAAACAAACAGCTTTACACTGTAAAGGAGAATAGTCATGAGGAGCCAGCTATTCCTAGCACAAATGTTTCTTATCACGCGTCAAAGTTGATGGCTAATCGTCAGCGTAGCTCGGCAGCCAGCTTGCTCTACACAAATGTGAAAAACAAGCGCAACAGCAGCAACTTCTCTTTGAAGGATATGAGGAACAACTCTGCTGCGTCTAGTAGCCACGGCTCGGATTCTAGCAGCTCACGCCCAGCGTTAAACGTTGTTATACAAGATTCAAAAAATAACACCACAGATGCACTACCACCGTCAACCACCACCAACCATAACCCCCTCAATCATTATCGATTTGTTCGCAACATGGCTACCAGACCTAAAAGCACCGGCACGGCCTATTTGCCGGCGGACGATACGGAATCTATTACTTCTCTGAACGTAGAACTTCGACCACGGTTCGACAAAAATAATGCAAATGCGCTAGCATCGCAGGGTTCAGCACAGTTGCTTAATCTCGTACAGACTAAATCAAGTGATCATCTCTCGCAGGTCGGGAAAGACGCCACGCTGGAAGATGCCGAAACAATTGGCGACTTCAATGGTACGTCGTTTGATAAAGAGGTAACGGGCGAGAATGCTTTCTTAGAGACACAAATTGAGAATGCAATGAGCGAAGAACTTTTCTCAAAAGACTATGTTTTCGATAATTGCTTTGATGATATTATACAAGAAGCAACGGCAGCTGGAAACGATAAACTCCGCAGCGTAGCGAGCTCTAACCAATCACCCCTTACGCGAGTACCGGCTAGAAAACTTTCCAAGACGGATTCTGCGACACTAAAGAACTTTCAGAACGATTTGTCAAGTAGATCAAGTGCAGGATCGCAGGATACAGCTTATACATCCCGTTTGCAAATGAAAATGGAAACTATGAAAAATCGATTTGATAGCTTTGCGACGAACAATGAATCTCTGTATACATCTGGCAATTCTACTGCAAATCTACGAACGAATTCCGGATCTCATGAAAGTGAAAAGTCAATCCTTCTAACTGTGCCGAACGTCTCGAAGTCTATGATAGATATTTATCGCGAAAAAAACGATGCAGCGGTCGCAGGCGACCCTACGGTCCAGTTTTCGAGGTTTTGGTTCCATCATGACTTGAGTTCGAAGCTTTTGACAGAAGAACGAAGCAATCAACTGAGGACGATCGAGCGGTTTTCATCCTCTGGGGCAGCGGGCGAAAAAGTGTTGACCTCGAGACTAAAATTTCTATCTCGAGAAGGATATCTCATGGCTGTCAGCGACGATAAAAAAGCACAACTAATTCGTCGGAAAGAGACGAATGCCAAGCCGCCTGTGTTACGAGCTGTTAATGAACCGGAGAACTCTAGGTTTGAACAACTTTTTTTCAGCACTAGAAACAATCTTTCATCCGCAAAAAACGCTGATAGTGGGCTTGATCCCGAAACGGTGTATCTGAGGGAACAAGTTGTGTTTGGAAAAATGATTTTCGATAAAATCTGGCGCGAGGCCGAGCAGAACGAACATAGGCAACTCAGCCATTCCATTTTTAATGCCCAGACGCCAAAAAGTGAAACTTCACCAACAACAAAAGTTTATGAGCAGATGGTACCGTCCCATTCTGATCAAGTTTCCAATGCTCACATGCCTTTGGGAGCACCCCCAGAACTAATTCGACAAGCGAGTCATTGAGACTAGATTTTTCATAGGGGTTACAAAACCACCGGAATTCGAGGAGCCTCACAATGCATAATGATGTTCGTTTCAAGCCTCGATGCTAATACATCCAGTAATAATCTTAATGATAAGTTCGAATGCCAATCATAATGGCTTGTAAAAAAAAAAATCCAAGCTGGTCCGCAGCAGGCAAACAAATCAAAAAGACAAGGCTCCGGCACGATAACTTTCAACCAAAAATATCAAGACGTTTGCACAATGAACTGCCATTCCCTTAATCGACGGCGTTCCTGTGCACTTTTTGTCAGGTTCTCAAAATTGCTTTTTTCGAGGACGGAGAATCGGGGGGCACCCCAAACTGCACACTTCAAAATGTTCCCATTATTGCTACAAATTCATTGAATCGATTGATCATCACATCCCTTCGGTGTCTTGTTTGTCTCAATGACACACATCTTGTCAATTATCAACTCTCTTCTCTAGTTATCACTACATACGGGTTTCGAATTCTCATCTCATCTCAGATCTGTCATCAATAATGACGTCGACTCGACGGACGAAGCACATTCTGCTCGAAAACTCACAAGTAGGACCCTTGCCAAAGGGGTAGTAGATGTTTTAAGCACAAGAACTGAGTAGATTCTTAGTGCCAAACTTCAATTGCATTTAATCCATTCATTTTTTGGACTGGTGCCAGTGATTCAGCTGGCCTGTATGGTGCGAACTGAAAAGTACCGGAAATCTATTACTGCGAGTGTTGAGATAGAGCATGGCCCTTTTGGATTGTCGAACATAAACATCAAATTGGGTAATTCGAGCGTGGTGGGACTTGGCGCCTGTACTTCTCGAGTTAATGGACTTTCGTGGGGTCTGCTGCACTACAACCATGAGTCAGACCTGAGTCCAACAAAATTCAAACTTTACTGTGTTCTGCTTGAAAACTCGAAATTTAGGATCGATTTCGTCGAGCTCGCATTGCATTCGATCGATGAGCAGGTCGTGCCGTGGGAAGGTGCCGAACCGGAAGATTCAGATTACGAGGTCCCCAAATTGGTGTTTGAAGGTTCTCGTCCAGGAAGCGAAGATTGCGAAATCGCACCATTCGTAGGAGCATTGATTTTCGAGTGAGGTGGAAAGTGTTTTCTCGTAATTTTTAGTTTTTTCTGTATGTTTCGTGTTCAAATGCAAGGACGAAGAAACCTTGTCTGGTTCATCTTGAAGTTTATCAATAGGTGCGGAAGCTGAAGAGCCCCGACAAATCTATTCCTATTATGCTCACCAAATACAATCCAGCGAAGAATATCGTAGGAAGCAGAATGAAGTTGACGTTTTTCAGAATTGGCAATTGGCTGTATCCATAGAACGAGAGCACGAAGTACTGGCCGAAAGCGACGCAATACAATGTGTTGCCGATGAAAAGGCCAATCCAGCGATGTAATTTGATAACTGGAAGAAGCACAAACTGCACCAAGTACAGCAAACACCAAACCACCAGAAAAGCGTTGCAATGTACGTCAAAACAGTAAGCCCACTCGACACGCGAGTTTTGTGCGGATCTAAACTTGAAAAAACTCCGGTTCAATATCAACCAGAACAATGTAGCTACCGCAAAACCAAATGCAAAGAAATCCACCAGTATCATGTTGAGCATCATCTTAAGAAACCCTAGGAACGAGTGGCCGTAGACAATTGACCATACCAACGAGCTGGCTAACAAAAGTCCGATTTGCAATATGAAAAAAGAAGGATCATCCCGCGACCACCGATTCCGGGTTTGCCTCTGATAGTAAAACGTTCGATGTGCTTTTCGAGGCCTATACACGAGATTTACCATTTCCCATATTGCAGATTCAAAGTCAAGGTTTTTATGCGATTTAAACAGTCTTTTGAGAACCTTGGGCAGCTCAGGCTTGTTGTAACTATAATGTAGATCTTGCGAAGTAACTGGTAATTCCGACATGTTATAATCGGGATACTTTAGCGACCTTTACTCTGCTTTTTGAGTCGAGAAGAGGTGAATGATCTTCAATCATCAAGTGCATTTTAATATTCTTGCAACGTACGTCTAAATACGAATCATTTCAGCTTGGAAAATAAAGCCAAAGAGGCGAGTAGAAGAACGTTGTGATTTGACTTGGAATGTCCTGTGACAATTACAAGTAGTTAGATATTACTTCTTTAGATCTATTTGAAATTTCGTTTTCTTTTTATTTTGTTTTGTTTTGTTGGGTGCCTTGGATTCATCTCAGTCCAAGTATCTATCAAAAGGTTCGCCTAAGACATTTTCAACAACCTTGACCAATCCGGACCGAACTTCGTATTCTACTTCTTCGTCGTCGTCTTCAAGCAATTCTGCAATTATTGGCACCAGTTGCGGTAAAAACGAGAGCCAGGCCTCTCCAACCTTCGAATAGATAGTTTTGACAGTCTTAACGGCCCACAGCTTCTCGGAACTCGAGCGATTGGACTTCATGTGCGAAATCAACATCACATTCATGGCCTTGTTGTGTTCATCTGCACCTGCATTGTTCATGGCCAGGGAGCTGATGGCCTTGACTAGGTAGCGGCCCACTGGCTGCTCAATATTGACCAATTGAGCTATCAGAGACTCCGAGATCAGCTCAAATCTCGACGTGGACTTCCAATATTCTTCCCTGTCGTATTTAAAGCACGAGGTAAGCGAGTGAAGAACCAAACGACGTAAGCCAGCGTCTGAGATATCGCCCTTACTGAACGACTTTAATAGCCCAACTGTAGGGTCCAAAAGGTATGTGAAATAAGGGGTGATAATGGCTTTCAAGTGCTCCTGTAATCTACCGAAGAACTTGAAGAAAGCCGACAACCGTTGTGTTTGGCTAATCCCACCATTGCTGACGCCCTCTCCATCAAACGCCCATCTTACCATAAGCGCGAAAAGCGGTCTAAAAACCTTATCGTTCAGCTTCAAAACATATGCGTTCGCTATATTGTGAACTGAAGCCTCGATACGGCTGATAGTGTTATGATCAAGCTTGCTAGTCGCTCTAAACTCAAATAAAGCCAAAAGCAGCTTGAAAAATACAGGTGACTCAGATGTGGCGGATTTCTTGTCAATTGTGTCCACAGTAGACTCGAGAGCGGTCAAAAACAGAGAAAGAGCGGTTGCATCGCTGGTTTTGTTTACATCGGAGAACCAAACTTTGCTGAGAGCCCTCATAACTTCTTTTAGTTCGATATGCTCGACAACCAATGCGATAACGGACAAACGAACAGAGTTTTCAACTTCATTCGAGAAAAATACTACTCTCAATACGTCCACCAAGTTCGATAATAGGAATGCAGGGATTCTTTTGACCATCGATGCAAAAATCAGAATAATGGCTAATTGTAATTGCTCCTTAACGTCTGCCTCACTACTTTCCAGCTCTTTAAAAATCTGCAACGCGGGTACAACAATTTTGGGATAAAATGCTATCGCTTTGACGCCTAGCGCCTGAATACCACTTGTCAAGACAGCTAGCGAGGAAACTTCGATTTCCATTTTATGAGATAGAAGTAGCTCACTGGAAATTTTCATACCTCTTATAATGAGCCCAGCGTCTATTCTATCCCCGTATTTACCAACCAAAGACTCGATGGTATTGAGAGATACTTGAACAATGCCATCGTTCTTTGAGTCTTCATCAATGATCGTGCAGAGAGTCTCGATGACCTGGTTAGCGAAAACCACGGACTCACCAGGTTCTAGTCTGAACTTTGATGCTAAGACCAGAATTAGATGATTTCTGATAGTGTCATCAGAGCCATCGGTGGCAAGAAGGGGTAGAGTAGCAGACGTAAAATCTTTGATTGGCAAAAGATCAAGCACATGTCCCAATATTCGGAATAAGAGTTCGCGGATGTTGTCCCGCATTTCAGAAGCCTCGCCTCTGGGCACAAGCTCTTGGTTTTCGAAAGGAACATCTGCAATCGTAGCAGAAGCATTCAGCAAATTCAAAGTTGTTTTCAAAACAGCACCAAAATTAGATTTGACCTCATCCTGAAGATGTTTGTCATTCGAGCTATCCCATAGAGCCCCCATTATCTTCAATTTTAAGTTGTCTGAACTTTGGTAGTCTGCTTCATCTTCAACAATAATATTGTCGACGAATTGAAGACCATTTTTTTTAAGAGCCAAAATTTCTACTTCAGAAGAGTTCAAAATCCCATTGGAGAACAGTGTCTTAGAAAAATGTTGCGATTTTTCTTCCTCGGACCAGTTCTCCGACAATGAGCTTAGCAGGAGTAGCAGCTTGTGAACTCCTGTCAATTGATTCAAAACCGAAAACTTCGTTAAAAAGGTTTTGGTAAATTCCAAAACACTTTTACTCTCAGATATCTTATATTTTTGAACCAGAGAGGAGTACTGCTGGGCGATCAGAAACAAAAATGGTCCAAGAGCGTCGGTCGCACCAAGAGTCTTCACAAAAGTTGTGAAAAGCTTAACACGTCTATGCCTTGGGACATGGCTAAATGCGGTGGCAAAGCTGATGAGTAGAAATTCTATTTCTTCAGCTTTGTTGCTTCCTGACTTCGATTGCAACAGAGCTGGTACCACAAGTTGAATAGTTCTTTCAACAACGTAGCTTGAGTATTCGTCATCCTGTCGGATGGTCTTGGCGCCCATGAATATGAAAATTGGCATCACTGAATGTAGAACTATTTCGGGACTTAGTTTGGCCAGTTCTCCAATTACTAACAAGAGCTTGTTTTGTACTTGAGGAGAAGTAGAGGACGTGATGGCCGATACAACGACGTCAGCCCTTAGGGACCGCAACTGTGATTTTTTATCAAGTGATAAAGAAGAGATGATCGATAGCATACAAGATGACAAGGTTTCTTGTGCGTAAAGTACAGGGAGGCCGCCGTCTTGGCCAAGAGTTTCTAGGTCAGAAAGTGCGTTGAACAAAGCTGACAATAACTGCTCTGATCCGATGGGTTTAATGTGATCCAATGCTTCCAGAGTGACAGTAAGCTTACGCAAATGGAGTTCTGCAATTTGGGAGACCTCTTCTCTCTGTAAAGCAGCCTTACTTGCAGACGATCTCCGTCTTCTCTTCTTCATTATATCGCTCATATCCTCTTCATTTGCGTTTATGCGGTATTGTGAGAATAATGAGACAAATATTTCAGAGTTTAGAGGTAGAGACTGCAAAAACTCAACAGAATCGTAAGATAGCTCCCTCTCGGCTGTCAAGTCTACCACATCTTTGACAAGCTGTTGTTGATGGATTATTTTGAGGTTTGAGAAAATTTCTGTTATGCGGCGAGAAACCAACGTCGCCAGCTGTTCGAATTCACATTTCAAGCAATCTTCAGCAAAGCGGATGATTTTGGTATTCTTCTCCTTTTCAGAAATGATTGAGACGATTGACTTTTCAAAATCCTCAAAATTGGTCTTGTTGTTGCTGCACTTCTTCTCCCACTGACCTCTTTTTTCAAGATAGTTGCCGAGGTTGTTCTCAAACAGTGCTGAATAAGTTGAATTATAAGATTTGTAGCCAGTGATGAATCGGATGAATATCGTCTTGGCATGTGGTAGTGGCATATAATTGGCCTGATTGGCCCAAAAAATGGTGAAAACCTTTTCTAACTTTTTCGGCACGACCAGATTTTTGATATTGTGGTTTTCTATCGTGTAATCCTCTAGGAATTTGATTATCCAAGACTCGGCGTCTTTTGGACTGATCATGGGGATATCAACATCGCCGTACAGCTTATTGGAGAGGAAATATTGCTTAGTGAAAGGTCTTTTAGCAATCTGATGCAATATCCGCTTTACTGCGTTCCTTACGTTTTTGGAAGTATCATGTAAGGCTGCGATGAGAATTGGAACCAAACTAAACAAGTTGGAATCTTGACCAATCTGATGAATAGACTTAGAGAGGTTGGATAGAGACTCTAGTCGAAGAGCTACTGGAGCTGCTGGTGAAATGATGACCCTCAACAGAAAAGTAAGTCTGCCTTCAACAGTGGTGAAGAAAGAAGACAGAAACAGTCCCGCTTTGAAGCCTTTTGAAACTGCTTCTACATAGAGCGAAAGTAGTTTTGAAAATTTCTCATCTTCCTCAATTATGACTGATGTGACTTTTGTTATGATGTAGCTCGAATTTCTACTCAAAAATTCTTTGAAGGGTTCAACAGGTGAAATGGTACCCAGAACTTTGGAAGACTCGAGTTCTTTGAGAGGACCATCCACGCTGCCCTCTTTCAATTTGAATAGGGAAGTTGTTAGTCTCAATTCAAATATTTCTGGATCCAAGTTTAGCGAATGCAAGCATTTAATCACTCGATCTTCATCGAGAGCAACGAAATATTCAAATACGTCTACCAGTAGCCTTTTATCATCAAAAACTTCAGACAAATGTATCAAATCGAGAATTATCAACCTACTCTCAAAAGCTTCTAACTGAACTACTTTGAAAAGAGATATCAGAGAGTTGAGCTTTGGATGGTCGTATCTCAAGACCGATCTGACATAAGAGGTCAAAAACTTGTCTATCATGAGTTTGTCGGCATCAAGGAGGTGTCTAATCAACGATTCAAGGCTGAACTTTGAGTCGAAAAGCTTGTATAAGCTCACTGGCATCTGGTCAACATTTCCATGGCCCTTCAAAGTCTGAAAAAGCTTTCCGATCGAAATAAAAGCGGATCTTTTGGCTTTCTCATCCACCAAATTAGCCAAAATTGTTTCTACTGCTGCGAGAACAATCTCCTTTTTCAAAGGCAATGCAGTGCCAAATACCACCAAGATGGTATTGGCAGCTATCTGGCAATCTGCTAAATCTGAAGCTAAAAGCTTTGCACAAATCTCCAATACTGTGGGTACTAATGCATTCAATGCGTCCAAATCGTTAGACCTGAAGGCAATAAGGTTGATGAAAGAGCAGCTTGTAAATAGTAGCTGGTTGGTGTAAGCCATTTTTTGTTCTATCACTTTACTCAAATACTGTGTGTACACCTTCAAGAAATCTGAGTCGCTGAAAAGCTTGATAATCGTGAGACTCGATGGCGCGCGATCTGTCCTTACAAAATTGCTCAGTGCGTTAAACAGAGGTGGCAATTTGACAATGTTGAGGATACGCTTGAAAACCGGTGTTTGGTAATAGTCCATCGTTGAGAGCAAAAGACACTCTGCGTTGTGAATGTGAATTTGAAAACGACGCACGAGCCACTCCGTGGCATGCAAAGTTGGCGACAGGTGCCATTTAGACGACGCTAATATCAAGTACAAGTTCACGGCGTGATCCAAATCGAGGTTCTGATCTTTAGTTTGCACATTTCTGTCAATGCTGGCAGATGATGTACCAAAAAGAGATCTCTGGAACACGGAAAATCTAGAATCCACCTCAATCAGTTCCTCTAGAGAACTGATGGCATTTTCGTAGATAAAATCAAAGTCCTGTGTAGCTGCAGTGTTTGGATTATATATTAACGAGGCAGAGTGGAGCTTCTGCCTTTTTTTTCGATCAAACGCTACTGTAGCGTTGTTGGCCGCTATCTGGCCTAACTGATCTCTCAAAGACATCTTACGCCAATGCTTTCCTGACTTTGAAGCTGTTCGTGGGAGCGTTGTCTCTAAGAAGCGATGCTCATCGCCAGAAAATTTTTTGAAGTAGATCAATTATTTAACCAAGCGACTAGATAAATGACTAGATGAACCCTCGAGGACAGGATAGAAGACGCACGTCGGATGTTTATAGATATATATCTAGCAATAGCGTGCTAAGCTTAGCTCCATGAATCGTAGCGCCGCGGTTTTCCAAAAGCCTTGGTTAGCTTAAGTTTGCTTTTTATTCCAGGTATTTGATGTTATTCTGTACAGAGCTTGAAAAGCTCTATATCCTTTACCGAGCCAAGCTGTATAAAAACACTCGGCTCATGTATGCTATGCAAAGTGTAGAACGCAATGAGTTTCTTTAGCGCAATTAGGTGTACCTTAGAAGCTTTCTGCGCTCAAAGGGTGAAAAGAGAAGTGGACTTTTTGCCAAATGGGTATACGAAAAGTGTGGAGGCAAATAATCCCACAGAAATACCAATGGAAACCTGAATCATGGTTACACCAAACGACATGGACCCGGAGATGTCGTTTACGGCAGCAGCATTTTCTGCGCTATTAGTGCTGTTAGTGATGGCATTTGCACTCTGAACACCAGCGAGCAACGAACTCTGAGACGCTACGCCGGAGGGCACTTGAACGAAAATACCTGGCAGCATGGCAGAGACAGCCAGTCCTTTCCAGATTCTCGAGTACAGGTTACCTAAAACACCGATGACGAAAGCACTAATCGAAGAATTGAACTCGGTTGAGTTCTTGAAATGTAATCCACAACCCCAGGTAACGGCGTAACCGGCGCACGATATGAATGTCATGACTGGTAGCTGGGACCATCTGGCCTGGTTGATTAGGGCCAGACCAATCGAAAATGCAGGTACAAACAGGATTTTGAATTCCGTTGGCACGTGTGGATTTTGACAAACTGTGTCATTCGTAGCGTCGTGGTAGAGCCATCCGAACAAAGCTGCACCCAGTGTGATACCGAAACCCAAAAACAGGGAGTAGATGATGGCGTAAAACATTCTCACGGATCCAGCGACCAAGTTTCTACTTTGTAATTCCAGCGAACCACTCAAAATGATGAAACCAGGTAAAATTAACGCTAGGGACCCCTGGACGGTAGACCCGAAACAAATGTTTATGTGTTTCGTTTTTGGAATAGATCCCAGTGCTCTTCCACAGAAACTGACGACAATCGAGGCCGTGACTTCGAACACGTTTGAGTATAAGCTCGAGCGTTGGGAGACGATAAACTGCAAGCACCCGACACAGCAACCGATGACGAAAGACGTGGCCATATTAATCCAGTCCCCACCGAATGCGAAGGGCGTAACCATAGATGAGCAAAATCCATACAAGAAGACGCAAGCCCAGGGTGGGTACAAGTTTTTCTCCTTCAGAATCCGGTCGATGGCCATGTTGGCTTCTTCAGCGCTCATTAAATCATGGACAACTTGTTTGTAGATGGCATGGACTTGATGTAGCTTCCACAAGTTCAAACCCTGAGCGCATCTGACAAGCTGGACTTCGGATGTTCTGGTAGTGGCGTCACCAAACGAAACCACCATACACCCTGGGACATACAAAAACTGGCCGTCGATTTCCAACACTCGAGAAGTCATGACCATATATTCTTCCAATCGATGAGTTGGAGCACCGTAAAGCATTAACGCTTTGCACAACCGCAAGATGAATCTTTGTCTTTGGAGTAAAGCAGCGATGTGTACAGTAATCTTAGCTTCAGCATTTTGCTTACGACGCAATTTGTTGGCCTGTTTAGCAACCTGTTTGAAGTTCTTTGCCTTGGGCCTAGTTGCTTTGAAATTTGGCAGTTTACCATTGTTGGGAAGGTTTTCTGAACTTAACAGGTTGGAAGCCTTGCCTTTGATGCCGGAAAAGGAGGGCGTATTGAAAGAGATTTTCTTTCCTTTCTTGTTGGGTTGTCCGGGGTCAACCTCTGTCATTCCTGTGAGCGGGAGAGAATCGTTGTCGTAAAAGTCGACCGACTCAGGAGTGGTGTCAAGCGAGACTTGAGAGCGAGACGCGAACTCGTCTTCGTTCTGATACAATTTAAGTAAAGATCCCAACACACCCCCGCGAACCCGGTCTGGTGGAGCTATGTAGGAGTTGTCTTCCATCAGGGGATTGAATCCGTCGGGGTCGTCATCAAAATCGTCATAATGGCCCACTCGGTTGGCGAAAAAGGAATCTTTCCCTGAGGTTACCATGGTTTCGCCGTCCGATGGGTTGTTCATTGGAACTTCGAGGTTAGCACTCCCATTTCCTTGAGCACCAAGTTTTGGAGCGTTTGGATCCTGTAATGCAGCGGCGCCGTGTTGTTGAAGAATTTGTTGAGCCGCTTCACTCACGTCTACACCATCTACCGGTTCTTCCAAATTTTCCTGACCTGCCACATGCTCATTATCGTGACTAGATCTTTGTGTGCCAGACCTTACAAGCCCTGGTGTCATACCACCGCCTGTATACTGCAAAAACTTGTTTAGAAAACCGCCCTGATCATCGTCCTCATTTTCTTCCTTTAGAGAACGCATGCCGCTGGGTCTCGAATCATGGGAGGAGCGGCGTGTAGAGGACCTACGAGAAGAAGATCTTCTCCTGAAAAACCGTTTGAAGTTGTCGACCTTGTCTTCGTCGGAGGAACCTTTGTCGTCGTCGTTGTTGCCTTTGTCCCCTTCACCGTGCAAAACAGGGTTGTTGAACGGGTTTTGCGATTCTGTGGTGGCGACCTGCGTGGGGGAACTTTTATCTGAGTCCTTGGGGTCTATTTTCTCGTCATCTGAGGACATGTAATGCAGCTGTTGTGGGTTGTAAGAATTCTGCTCATGGTAAGAGTGAGTTTCTGATGGGTTTCTGTCATTCGAGTGGATGTCCTTATTTGCTTCAAATTCTTGTTCCTCGCTTTCCTCGTCGTAATGGTCTGAGTTATTGCCACTGTTAGTCTGAATGGTGTCTATGGCGTCATCTTCGATGTCCTGACGTCTGTTTTGCTGCTGGGAGCTCAAACCACGGGCAAAAGAGGGCAGATTCCGCGATGCAGGACGTTCGTGTGGTGGACGGGTTTGACCACCGTTGCTATTGTTGTTGTCGTCATCTGAATCGGAATCAGAATTCGAGGCCGTGGATTGTCTTGCCGAACGGTTGCGGGACGAAGAGCGGGGTTTCAAAAATTGGAACCGTTCGCTTGAAGATTTTCTCGCTCCTGGTCTTGGACGTTGATCGGACATGACAGCTTAGTGTGGAAATTTATCAAAAACCTGTGTTTTTCGAGAAATAAGTGCTTTAGTTCACCAATCGCAATAGAAAAACTGCTCGAACAAGTTTCGAACGAAGAAAGTGAAATACTAAAGTGGGCTCGAACCCGTTGTCTTCTGTATCGAAAATTCAAGAGTTTCGATTTCCACTTAATTTCTGATGCAATTAAGAGTGATGCCAATCGAAACTGATATCACAGTGTATAAAAAAATGGAAACTCAAAAAAACAGCTTGAACTTTACCAGCTGAGCAGGGAGTAGATTTAGTTTGAGACACAAGTAAAGAGTTGCGTTTGTATTCAGGTAAATGGATCTTTGAAAATTAGCTGGATCAAAACCCTTGAACTTCGTTTTGTAGCTTTTCTTGTAGTATCAAACTTGTGTGTATATCAAGTGGAAGTGTTTATCAAGCCGAAGTGTATAACAAACCAGCCTGTATATCAAACCAACGTGTATATCAAGATGTAACCCACAAGTAAAGACCAACGCTTTTTTCAGACAAATGGATCTTCGACTTTTCAACTGGATCAAACCACTAGCACTGCGTTTTGTAGTATCACACCAGTTTCTATATCAAACCGATGTGTAATTCAAGATATTCTGCACACAAAGTGTAGACCACTGTATGTTTCGACGAGTGTTCTTGCTTATATATAGATCTATGTGTCCTTCTACCAGGATTGCTCACTGCTGCTCAAACGATAATGTAGAGAGCCAATCTCTTTTTAAATATAGCATTCGAAAACGCACATCCGTTACGTATGCAAGTACATGAGTACGCAAGTTTCACAGCTTTTGTTGCAATCCATCTCGAGCAGTATAAGAAAGAGTTTACTACGTCATCAAAACGCGAAAAATCATTGGCATTTGAAACGGTTATCACGACGGGAAACTATGGGCTAGACACGAAGTGATGCAGGCGTTGTGAGCGATGGAGGCGTTGCGAGCGATAAAATGCTGATTGCAGTCTCCGTAGATTTTGTTTCATCTAAATCATGTAGAGATATGGGTGGGAAACTTGTCTTTTTTGGGACGAGTGTAGCCTGTGTCAGTGTGAACAAAGTGATAAAGAGGAAATGGCTGAGGGTTAATTGAGCTCAGATGCGTATGTGGAAGGATGAAAGATTTGTTTGTACGGGTGTGTCGTCGAGTAAGAGACAATGAAGTTTGGAATGGATGTAGATACGTTAGATGACTCTGGTATAGATGAACCCCACTCGGGTATAGTGTCACAGTTACTAATCGAGAGCGTCAGCGGATAGCATTAGTTTTGGTTGTAAATAAGATCTTCTATTCTTGACTTTGAGTATGGCTTTAGAGACCGGAATTTGTGTTTAGTAATTGGAATTCTATTGATTGCGAGAAATTCAGGTACTTGCAAAACTACAGAACGAAACGATTTTTGGCCATGTGTCATGAAATTTGAGACCTGGCTGTCAAGATCTCAAGCGTAACGAATTTGCAAACATGAAGAAGGTCTTTTTCGAAACTCGAAAGTCTCTATGTGCAACCTTTATTGACCTCTGTAAGAAATCTGGTTGACAACTTACCGTCAGTCGGACTAGTGGAGTCCCGATTGTTGCGTGTTTTGATCAGTCTTGGTGGTGGGGCGAGTAAGGACGAATTGAAGTTCTCTCACAAGGTACAGGTGAAAAAAAATCTTAAACTAGTATAAGTAATTCAAAAAATAGCTAAAGATCACCTTGGAAACGATTTCGATACGATTTTGTTGAATATTTGGACATCTGCCCGAGCTTTGACGGTATCGACAAAATATAACCTTTTTTTCGGTTATCGCACTGGACAGGAGGTTCCAGGACGCTATGAAACCCGACTTGTGTCGCGCGCCATAAAGAATTGTCCTTCTTTGTGAGTCCAACCAACCTCGTCAAGCAGTTATAACTCGAGAAATATACTTACAGAAAGTGTCAGCTCAGAAGGGAAGACAACAACGGGCAGTAAGGGAAGAGCACAAATCAAAAAAAGTCTGGTAGTACTAATTGAGTAGAGGCCTCTGTGAAGCCACACATGAAAATCAGTACGCTATGTTAAAATTTCGATAGATGGAAAGGCTTGCAGTCAGCTAAGCATCGAATAATGCCAAGTATTATCATTGTTTGCATAACTCCGAGATTTTCAAACAATTGGTATTTCGTGACGCAGAAATGTCCTGTCCCGACAAAGCGAGAAGAAACCCAAGAAAAAGCTCAAAAACACTCCTAAATTTAGCGAGGCGGGTGTGAGGCAATTACTATAATAGAGAGCCTCCAGATCCAAATCCTTACCAGTGTCTTTCTTGCCATTATTCTTCTATTATACCGAAGTGTCGACAGCTGACGTAAAATAGTGTATGTATGGAAGGGCAATTTTCAATGGAAGGGTAAATTACAATGGAAGGGCAATTTTCAATGGAAGGGCAATTTTCAACATGGAAGGGTGAATTTCGCTATCCAGGACAAACCTAAATCTCAAGCATATCACCTCGATCAAACACTACCACTCGCAACAAGCCTTGATCGGGTGCAACCTAGCGGTTCATTACTGTGCCAAGTGACAAAAACTAACCATCACTATTGACGGCTCGATCTATTTGTAACCTCAAACTGCCTCCCCATGACTGCCAGTCCCCAAGTCACTGATCGGAAGCAATCTATACATACAAACCGTAGGCATATCTGTAACTCTGAGTCTTTTGCACGGTTTGTCCCTTACTTGAATTCTCTTGACATAAGCACGACGCCCACTCCACGACACACCCGTACGTGACTACGAAAAACTCGAGCAGTTCTCTCTCCCTCTCATACCTCATCACACGACTATCACGCGACCCGCTCCCGTTCGTCTCCGGTCTGTTCCCCGGTCTTTTCCGACGGTTCTCCTTTTTTTTTTTTGACCCACCTTTTGAAATTGCTTTTTTCTCAGCGAGTGGAATCGGCTCCTAATTCAATAATTGTTTCTTTTCTTCCATCTTAAATTAAAGTCTGCTGATCGTCCGATGAGCTGGAAATGCTGGAAAACACTCAACAATGTCAGTATAAAACCATCGGGAAAGATAGATAGTCCAAGAGATTGGGACCAACCCAGGGTTCTTCGAGTTTGACTATCATTCTTCATTCAGATTTCAAGCCATCAACTGTTAAACTGCTACGATGATTAACGAAGCAGCCCGGGACAAAGATAATGTTACCTCACTTAAGAGCGTTAAGCCCGAAACAAGAACGGCCGCTGCGACGCTGATCGCTACGCGACCAGCGTCACCGCCGTTCCAAAGCTTGGCCAAAAACCGGCTCTTAGAGACTTGCAAACAGGAAACTGAGTTACATCCATGTTCTTCATTGGAATCACTAGAGTCTCTACGGCATACGCCAGAACCGATAGAGGCGTCGTTCTTGACGGCAAACGGGCCCAGAAAATACATTACTAACGATTTCTCGCCCTATGGCAGCCGATCCCAAACCCAGAGCCCCGTGGCTAGTTCTAGGGTCCGTCATACCTGTACAACGTCATTTTTGAAACCCCGTAAACAGTATTCAGGGTTCCAAATTTCCGGGTATAAGAAAAATCACGTGCACGTCGTCTTACAAACCGTGGATTTGCCTGTACAAGGCTGCGAAAGCTCGTGTATTCCGCATTTGACTGGATTTTTCACCATCAAGGGTCTCACGGAGCACCAGCCTGAGATCACCACTTTTTTCGAAGGGTTTGCGGCCACCTCCAATTGTGGGTTCTTGTCCGCGGATATGCCTTCAGAACTCAAGGATTTGATGGCCAAAGACTCCATAGACATGGAGCACTGGCTCAATTTCCCCAGTTTCAAAGAAATGTGTCGCGACGAAAAAACTCTGTCGTCGATCGCAGACGGCACATATGTGCATTCTGAATATCTCGAAAAAAGATACATTTACATGCGTTGGAAGGAAAGATTTTTGGTCCCGGACGCAGAGCTTGATTCAGTGGAGGGTGCTTCGTACGAGGGATTTTACTATATCGTCCACGATCAGCTGACCGGCGAAGTTCTGGGATTCTACTATCACGAAGATGCAGAACGTTTCCAGAGACTGGAACTAACGCCCGTCAAAGACATGTCAGGAGGTAGCTGTGGGTTTGAATTCAACTAATGGCAGATCATGTAGCGACTCTAGGCAGGTCCTAGAAACGCACACACAAACGGACACGCACACGAACATACAAACATAATAGAAAAGACCACTGATCGGCAGTGGCAGTACCCATTACAACTCGTTTACATACTTAGATATTAATTGTACTTGGTAATAATGATCATAGGAATCTGAATGCATTAAAGCACCGGTGCGGACAGACGCTACAAACTTGGAATCCCGGTTAGAGCCCGAGTACTCGAGTACCAGGATCAAGATTATAGATTTGAAAATTAAAGTACAGCGCTGTCAAAAGAACAAGTAGATATACGGCAACTCACTTCGGCACCAATAGCTTGTCCTACACTTTCCGAATCTCAATTAACCCTCCAAGATGAACAATTGCAAACGCCCTGATCTTATAGTTGAGTATGTGAGAAATAGACTTTCGTTTCTCCCTTGCGAACCCTTCTACTAACGCACGCAGCTACAAACATGTGCCAGCTCCAAAATCGACAGCTTCCAGTGCCAGCCAAGGTGTTCTCGCACAGTCGATGCCTATGGCTGCCATGTTCATGAAAAATAAGTTTCTAGCGTGGTTTGCTATGTTGACCACCGTTCATTACGCTTTAAACGGAGGAGACGAAGCATCTGCTGACCAGGGGCCTTTGCTAAAGATATTGATGTCTGCAGTATCGCTTGGCGTATGTTATATGAATGTCGTTTTCCCTCAACCTGGCCCTGCCGACAAAAAGGCATAATAAACCCCAGTTCCTCAGAAGCTAAGCTTAAAAAACCACGCGCAGACTAATTGTGAAAATGAAAGCCTCTGCTACAACAAAAAAGGTGGTGTGTGTGTACGGTATAAAACAAGACAATTACTTGATTTCAGACCTGGATGCGAGCCACCCTGCTTCTCAGTCAACACTTATCATCGTAAAGAATTTGACAAATAGTGAAGTGAATCACAACTAGCTAAAAGCTAACAGCTGTAGATACCAAGTTTGGCAGACGTATAATTTGCTGTACTTGCTCCTAACATTCCCTCGTCCGTTTGCAAAAGGTGCGTCTTCTAAGTATATCACTTTTACCAATAGCGACGCTACATTCTTATGGATATCATTTTTTCCTATAATGACACAACCCTCCAATCAACCGATAAATAACTTCCAATACCCAATGAACGGACTTATAACAAGATCATCCACCAAATCGGATAACGCAAAAATCGAATCCCTGCCAGAGAATTCACAAAGAATAACATCTTTAAGATACCAGTTCATCATCATAAGGGGGCGCTGATTTCTCCGACACTTTTATTATTTTTTTGACCATATTCTTCGAGTTCTAGGCTGTCCTGGCTCATTTTAGGTGCATTTTGCTCACTGTAAGACAAATCAATGGTTGCCCGCTTGTGTAGGGTTTTACCCGCCAAGAGCTTTCTCAAAAGAAGATATGCTTCTCAAAGTTCCAGTTCTGAATCGTCTCAAGACCCATCTTGGCCCAAGAATAGCCATCCTACACCTTACGAAATTTTTGGTCTTCCACAAGGCCAAGTCGACTCACGTCACTTGAAGAAAAAATACCACGCTTTGGCCAAACTGTATCACCCTGATATTTCTAACGGTATCAACGTAGTGCAAGATGGTGCGGCTCATAGTCATCATAGCTATCAAATCGATGAGTCTGCTGTTATGTCGCCCCAGGACAGACTAAGTCGATTTCAAGTGATGAACGAAGCATACGAACTTTTGAAAGATTCTCGTAAGAAGAGCGCATACGATCGTTTCCGTACAGGTTGGGTATACGCTCCTGCAAACGTCCGAAATGCTGCTTACTCTTCAGCTGCAGCGACAGCACATGGCTACCACAACAATCATAACTACCAATACTGGAATGCAGGCACTTGGGAAGATATCAACAGGATGCATGATACTGATTCAGACAAAAAACTGTCGTTTTGGGTGGTTCTGGCTTGGTTTTGTGGACTTGTGGTGTGCGTTCAGTGTACCGCCTTGTTGACACGAATTGAAGAAACGCTAACGAAGGGTCATCTCACGCATGATGATACCGAAAACGACTTGCTCCAAGCATACGTTAATTACGGACTTGACACAGATAAGTGGTCAAGACTAAGACGGTTTTTGTGGTTCAGAACATACGGAATGTATCGATCCAAAGACGATTTGGACAGAGAAGCTCAGAAAAACGAAAAGATTGTGCAAGAGCTCAAGAGCAAAGAACTGGGTCGATAGTTGAAACAAATTTCAAGCGTAATCCTTCTTTTTGATGAAGGTAGCAGCGTTTGTGTGCGCTTTTGGCATTCTGAGTAGGAATTACAGATTAATGACTTTATGATAACGACCTACAAACAAGTACGGGTTTAAGGGGTTAACATTTTCTGGCTCTTTCAGCTAAAGACGTTTCAGTTTCCAAGTCGCTAACAATGGATTTAAAAACAGCGTGCGAAGGTTAAACCGTAGCTCGGAGATATTAAGTGTGCTGGAAGAAGTCGCCATACTGATCGCATCATCAATGCGCAGTGAACTCTAGTTGTTGAAGGTAGCTATAACGCCTGAAATGCTAGCATAGGCCTCGTTTTCTTAATTAAAGAACGAAACCGAGACTCAACCGTTGAGTTGTGAGCAGACCAAACTAACAGTTGTCAAAAAAGAAGCAAACACTTCGAGCGGAAAAAGTTTCCTGGACCAAAATAAAAAGCTCTACACAGAATGTGTTACAGGTGACATCAAACTGAGTATCGTCACTGCTATTGAAATAGTGGGTGTTAACGAAGGCCTTGTTGATGTAATGTAGAACAGGTGATTTTGTCAGTTCTTCCATTACCAATCACCCAAAATAAAAATATGCAGGAGCGCTAAACAGGGATAGCGATAATACCAGAGAACTCGCGGGGCTAGTTTCTGGTCGAATCTTATTTGATCCCTGTATGGTCTCTCCGATACCTAATTCTTGAGCTCGGGATATCACGTGCTTATCTCTTCGACTGATCAATCTTATCATGGTCACAATATACGTTCTTCCAAACGTGAAAGATTTCACCATAGTTGAAATATCCATGTTCACATTCAGCCCTTTGGCCTTTACAGCGAAGGCATCCATCATCCATTGGCAGACCCTCGTTGCATAGTCACGAAGACCTTTCTTGGCTTTCGCTTAGGATGGATTTCTTGAAACCTGAGACGGTCTTGGACCTGAAAAACATCCGCGATGAGCTGGTGAGAATGGAGGATACGATTATCTTCAAATTCATCGAAAGGTCACATTTTCCAACTTGTCCTGCGGTTTACAAGGAAAGGGACCCTGGTCTCCGCATTCCTGATTTTGATGGTAGTTTTCTGGATTGGGCTTTGATAAAAGCTGAAATGACACAGTCACAAATTAGACGATTTGAGTCCCCCGATGAAACCCCCTTTTTCCCGGATAAAATACTGAAACCAATTTTGCCCAGTATCAATTATCCCAGGGTCTTGGCAACGTACTCGCCAGAAGTTAATTTCAATGGGGAGATCAAGGACGTTTATATCAATCAAATAACGCATCTCATCTCAAAATACGATGGTGAATGTTGGGAAAACCTAGGGTCTGTGGCTACCATTGACATAGAATTACTGCAGAGTCTCAGCAGAAGGATTCATTTTGGCAAGTTTGTCGCAGAAGCCAAATTTCAAGCGGATCGTCCATTGTACTCGAAGATGATTCGCGAAAGGGATATCGAGGGCATCTATGAAAACATTACCAATAGCGCGGTGGAGGAAAAAATATTGGAAAGATTGTGCGTCAAAGCTGAGGTCTATGGAGTCGATCCAACTGATAAAGCCGGACAACGGAAGATTACGCCCGCATATTTGGTCAAAATTTACAGAGAACTTGTAATTCCTCTGACAAAGAAAGTAGAAGTCGACTACCTGCTTCGTAGACTCGAGAGCGAGTAGCCAGAATGCATTACTTGTGATATATGAATAATTTTACAGTGTTTCTAATTCTTTTTTTTTCTGGTTCAGGAACCTTACCTTTGGTAGCCCATTTCTGTCTACCGTTCGAGTTTGAAACCCCTACCCCAGGAGTCGCATGGCCATTTCAAAAGTGGCAAAAGTAGCCGCATTTGCGAATGCTGCCCTTAGCATTGTTGGCCCAAAACCTTTGAAGAATGCTTTCCAGCCGTGCTTGGCATAAACATTTTGTGCCACCCGTACGATATTCTTACCATGCACCTGCTGATCGATCCTGTCTGTTTGCATGATTGATTTAATAACGTCAAGTGGATATACCGATAGCCACAAAGCAATACCTGATAGACCTCCGTAGCAGCACAATTTCCACCCTGGAATCTCTGTCCGCACAACGCCATTTTTCATCTGATTGGCGACTAGCGCCTCGTAAGTTAAAAAATAAGCACCACAACCTTGTGCTTCTCTCATTATGGTTGGTGTGAGTCCCCGCATTAGAGCTTTAGCGCGTACAAGCTTTTTAATGCAGTCCCAAGGACCACTAAATTCGGCCGCTGCACCCGAAGCTGTTTGGGTCTGTAGGCGAATCCTTACATGCTCAATTGGTGCAGCCAAAAACGAATTGGCAACTCCGCCAACAAAACCACATGCGTAATACTGTGGAAGCGTGAGGAGACCGTTTGGATTTGGTTTATCACCTCTGAAAAAACGCTTCATAGCTTCGTTGACCCCAAACTGGCAAGACATACAAGCACCTACGCCTACCAAAGGCGTCAGAGTTCCTTTATAAAAGCCTCTTAGACCCTCTTTCTTAACTAGATTCTTGACCACGTCTACAGCCGAAGTTGGTGTCGATGACGTTTGCAAGCGTACTTTAGTCGTGTCGAAGGGCTGGCCGACCAAGACCTGGGCCATACCACCAGCGGTTCCTGCAGCCAAATCTTTAAAAACCCGGTTGGGACTTTGACCTGTTTGATTCTCATCAATCAGTTGGGTAGGTGCTATTTCGTCCGACATTGAACAGATGACGTTGTGGCTTTTAGGGCAGCTACTGGTATAATTTGTTCAATTGTAAGCTTGCAGCGCACCTTTTTCTGACAGCAGTAGCGGTCGATGTGGTCTTCAAGCTACAGAAACCTCTTACATTTCATTAGTCTGGTGGGTGATTGGTGTTGAAGTTACTTTCCCATCGGCATAGATATGCTATGGATTCTAGGACGACAGATGAATAAATGTCACATGATCACACGAACCATGTTGAAAACGTTTGAAAGGTGCGATCATTGGTGGCGTGCGACGTCAACTGAGCCAAATTGTAAGAGTGAAATGCAGGGTTAAAAGATGATCGTTACTTGGGGCATCTTGATAAAGTAAAAGTAACTTTTTGTCCCCTTTTGAAGTCGTAATTCCAAAAGACACCTTGAACATTCAAATATTAAAAAAATTTGAGAAATACGTTGTAACTTTTATTACTCCACAACGATATCGTACACCTGCTATGAACTTCAGCTCTGTGGAAGAAGCTCCCAAACAAAATCCGTTCTTATTGTAGACATTTGACGTTTTATGTCACTTTGTACTAATGTGTCATCAGCTTAGGGGTGTATCTCAAAATTGCCTGGCATTCCAACTTACGTGTACCTGATGAAGTTGCTCGGTTTTGTCTCACAGCCACACACCAAAATCTCCCTTTCAAAACGCGCTTTGACGGTGTTAAATCTCGAAACAATACCTTTTCGAAAACAAACATCACGTGACCTTATTTAATGTCAATTAATCAATTTCATTAATATATCTATACCGAATTATCTTGAAATTTGATGTCTACTCCCAAAAACACTACACTTGCTTGAAAAGGCTAGAATGTTTTTGAGAAACGTTGCGAAGCAATCCGTTAGAACTATGTCGAAATTGACTCCTGTGGCTACCAAGCTCTCGCCACCTGCTGCGGCCTCTTACTCCCAGGCCATGAAGGTCAACAACTTGATCTTCGTGTCCGGTCAAATCCCTTACACTGCCGAGAACAAGCCCGTTGAAGGGTCCATTGGTGACAAGGCCGAACAGGTGATTCAGAACGTCAGCAACATCCTTAAGGAAGCCAATTCGAGCCTAAATAAGGTGGTCAAGGTCAACGTTTTTTTGGCTGACATCAAGGATTTTGCCGAGTTCAATGTCGTTTACGCCAAGCACTTCAACGAACACAAGCCTGCCAGATCCTGTGTTGCCGTTGCTTCTCTTCCATTGGATGTAGACTTGGAAATGGAGGTCATTGCCGTCGAGCAGGATTGAATATACAGCGCTTCAAGAGACAATTTTGCAACGTAGTGCTGCTATATGAAGTATTCAACGATAAGATAGATTTTCTAGAAAACCTAAAAACAACTCATAATAGCCGTTTATCTGGAATTACAGATCTATATTTTAAATAGTCATTGTTGGGGTTGCCTTGGATTTCTTAAACATTGCCAAAAGCATTTTCCCTTAATGCCCACTGCCTCCGCTATGTCAGTTATCGCGGATCAACGCTTGTAGCATTGACATATACATACACCTTGTTGGAAATGCAATCTGGTTATGTTGTGACTGCTTTCAGGTGTATGGGTTTTATCTTAGTATAACGTAAATCGCGTTCTGAAACTTTTTTAAAAAAAGTTACCAATTGTCTTTCCAGGCAGGCCACAAGAACACTGCCCGCCTGAACAGAGCGGGCCGCACTGAGCGTAAGCGGAACCCATGTAAACCTCTAGCCAGGCCCTCTGCCTATCCCATCTCATTCCTGCCTAGCTCCTGCCTAGCCTCCCACGCAAATATCGTCAACCGACTCAAAGATATGGTCATCTGACCGTTAATTGGCTGTCTGTTAATCGTCACAGACGAGATCATCAGGTGTCTTTCCACGAAAGCACTGTTTCTAGCAGCTGAAAAATTTTGAACAATTACTTTCGCATCTAAGAATACTTTCAGATACATAGTTGGTAGTACATTTCCTTCACCAGCAGCAGGAGAACTCACAAAACCAAAGATGGTCCAACGTGTTACTTACAGAAGAAGAAATCCATGTATGTTTAGAACGAGATAATGTTGAAAAGGCTGGCTGCTGTGTTGAGCGAGCATTAATTCATGCGGAAATGATCATTTTATGGGAGAATTTATTTGAACAAAGATAGTAGTTTTGGTGGGTTTGTAACGAACCTCAGTGAATCAATTCCGAGTGTTTCATGATAGCACTGCAGAGAAGCGCTGCGATAGTCAATGTGGAACAATACCTAAATTTTCCTATTTTGATGGTAGCCCAGACGGCGCGAAGAGACTCAATTTTCCAAAACCGATTCATCAGCGTGAATAACAGCCGACATCATGTTTCAATCGTCAGCAAGCCAGACCCCACTGTGTAAAGACCCCTTACTAACTTTCGCCATTCAGACAACACCCGTTCTAACAAGATCAAGGTCGTCAAGACCCCAGGTGGTGTTTTGCGTGCTCAACACACCAAGAAGTTGGCCACCAGACCCAAGTGTGGTGACACCGGTGTTCCATTGCAGGGTATCTCCACTTTGAGACCAAGACAATACGCCACCATCTCCAAGACCAAGAAGACTGTCTCCAGAGCTTACGGTGGTGTTCTATGCGCCAACGCTGTCAAGGAAAGAATCGTTAGAGCTTTCTTGATCGAGGAACAGAAAATTGTCAAGAAGCTTGTCAAGGAACAAACCGAGTCCGCCAAGCAGACCGGCAACAAGAAGTCCAAGAACAACAAGAAGAACTAATCTGTATAACTTGTACGTGTTAAAGTTTTAAAGTCACTTAGGTTAAGAAGCCGCCGCATGACGCTACCTCTGCGATGCTTCCCGCTCATCGGGTGTCCCAATGGTATATAGGAATGCTGTGTGGTATTGACTCTTACGTCAGAATTGACTCCATCACTGTATACGTAACTGGAGCCTCAAACTCATGATCTGCTCGATAGCAGGTATTGCCAGGCATGGAGATACGTATAGGAGTACCGGACAACATAGTTTACGTGGCGTGTGAACCTCTCTTCTCTCTTTGGATGAGTTTGGACTGCTTAGTTGCCTTTCTCTTGATATCATCGTGCACGTTGTGAACTAAATCATCGAGCATGATTCGTCGCTAATCCTGAGGTTGGAATCCCATCATCGATGAAATGCAGTCGGATCTATAGACGTTGACGCGAAGCCATCGTAACTAACATTTGTGGCCGCATCACTCGATGAGTAGAGCTAGTAAAATTACACTAGGCTTGTCGTGCCTAGCCACTGCTGCTACCGTAGTGGGTGTCCATTACGTGCAAGAATTGGAAAGAGACACTTTACATCAAGGTCCAATCAAGGATGCAAAACGAATAGCCGATAGAAAGGCTGGCGTTTTGGACCCCGAGAAACAGAGAAAATTGATGTTCAATAAATCCGAGCACGAAATGCAGCAAGAACTTCGTAAAAAATACGAATCGATGCAACCGTTGTCTGGCGAAGTATTGACTTCTGGCGGGAAAGAAGTAAAGTAGTGCAAAGAGAGAGGGATTCGTGTTGGTGCTTTCTGCAATTTTTTGGCATACTCCAGACCGAAATTCCGCCATTAAGAGAAACAAGCTGACATCTCAAAAAACAAACTTTCAGGAAACAAAAAGTCCGTGTCGAATGTTACACAAGATCCAATACTCCCAAGACTTCTACCAAGACCCTTACCGGGACTGTGGCATTTGTTTACGATTGTGCCGTGCGATATTTGATTTGCCAAAACTTTCCCACAACTCAAAGAACTAAGACAGATATTCAACAAGCTGAACTGCACCATATATTTTGAACAGCACATTCAACAAACTCTCAACATCTCTCCATTCTACTCTCCCACTATGAGTGATATTCATTGAAATTCCAAGCATTATTCGGGCTCATTTCCAAAGCCGAGATTTGAGCATGAACTGGATCAAAAAATTACTAGGTTCTTTTCTTCCCATACCAAACCATTTTCCAAATGCGTAGCCAACTCCGGGGCCAAGAACGCGAACTCGACTCGTCGAACAGTTCTCTTTTCCTGTCATTACCTAGTTGTAACTTATCATCACTTTGTACTAAGTCTTTGTTATTTTCGATGTAAATTTCAAAGGGACAATGACGAAAACGGCCCAAACTGTCCTTTGAAATGTCACTTATGCTCTTGTTTTGAGTTAAGACAAAACTTCTGAGACTTGTATAGGTACTATCGTTGAATTCAGTCTGCTTCTAAGTCTTATACTTGGTTTTTCAGTACTTCAAATGGCCCGAAGACCGTCGTTTTTGGATCACATTTCGGACAATGACAAAGATGAAAGGCAACGGTCAAGACCAATGCAGATCCCCAGACAGGCCCCTTCAGTACATTCAGAGGGGGGCACTAGTGTAACGGAAGAAACTTTTAGCAGCTCACACTCTTCAGAGTCTTACGTCCCCGCGGAAGATCATCCCCTTTCAAAACAAAGTTCCCAACAGCCAAACAGTCAAAATCCAAGCCAGCAATTTACTGAGCATGAATCATGTTTCCGGGTAGCCTCAAATGTGTCACAGCTCTCTGGTATTGCACATAATTCACCACGTAGTTTCACGCAGCGGAAACGTCCGTCCTTTGGGCGACGAAGGAGCTCGTTTTCTCGAGGTTCATTTGTGGGTCACAACGGCAGCTTTATTTCAACCTCGTTGAAAGAAGACCTCGACCCTACCACTGAGGAATTGAGGCATGGATCTTTCGGAGACGATTCTGAGGAAGAGCTATTCGAACCAGACACTACGGTGGAAAACACTCGAGAAACAAGCTCAGCCACCGCTGAACGAGAAACAACCATTTTCAATACAGAACTAGAAGCGAAGGATAATGAAAAGAGTGAAGCTCCTCACGGAACCAAATTTTTCCAGAACTCGGCCCCAAGCAATGATGATCTTTTGCAGCAATATACTCCCTTTCATAACGTACCGACCTCCACATCAAAGTCATACAGTACCAATAAAAGTATCAGGGGATTGATCGGTTCACGGCAAAAAGAGGAGGTAGAGCCAGAACCCCGACTTTCTGAAGACCCAGAGCTTATCGAGATAGCCAACTTCCCCACAGATCTTCTACTGGACATGTTAACCGCTTTACTCGATAAGATAGTACAGTCCAACGATCTGTTACACCGAGATAAGTCACCTGGCGAGCGGCCACAAGAATCACAAATAGGGTTGCAGACTCCAACATATAGCATGGGTACAGGGATGTTTGCAGAGCTTCTGAGTTTCCGCGGAAAGCATGTACCGGCGATTACACTTCAACAGTATTTCCAACGAATACAGAAGTACTGTCCAACGACCAATGACGTTTTCTTGTCGTTGCTGGTGTATTTTGATAGAATAGCCAAGGCTTGCAATAATGGGAAAGAACAAACGTTTGTGATGGACTCTTTCAATATTCATCGCTTAATCATATCTGCGGTTACAGTCAGTACTAAGTTCTTCAGCGATTTCTTTTACAGTAACTCCAGGTATGCGAGAGTTGGAGGCATTTCTTTGAAGGAGCTCAATCACTTGGAGCTTCAGTTTCTGGTTTTATGTGACTTTGAGCTGATTATTAGCGTTGAGGAGTTACAAAAGTATGGGGTTTTGTTGCGGGACTTTTGGCAAAGAGAGCAGGGAGAACTTGATCCTGCGATTGTAGTATAGATAAACTTAGCAATTTGGTGTAGTAAAGCATTCGATTAGGAACTCAAGTTTTAAGAATCTTGGAGTTCGCAAAGAAAATGAATGCTCGAGCTTTCACGCATGAGTGTTATTTAGGGTTGGCGTAGAGGATTATATTCACGGGGAATTTGGAGTCAGCGAAATGAAAAGAGGCTTTGTGGACTCGTTGCAAATTCCAAATTCTGACATTTTGTAATTTGAAATATTCATAATGAGTCGCATTTTTTTGTTTATGGAGTTGTAAGCTCTTCGTGCATACTAAGGTAGCATTAAAGAAAAAGGAGATCCCCGGTAGATTCCTGTTCTGCTGTAGAAGCTATCAAATTCATTGATATAGTATGTGTGTATCTATCTGTGAAAGCATCTTCCCACTCGATAGTAGAGAAGAAAATCAAGATATGGTATGCCTAGAAAAGCAGCTCAACCTTCATCATATTGCTAGAAAGCTATAACAAAATGTCTGCGGGTGGGATAAATTCCCAGAAAGAAATCGTCTCACTTCCAAGGTTTTTTCAGCTTTTAGTTCAAAGAATATTGATCATCGGCAGGCATCTGGAAATGTCAAAGCATCCTACATCTAGCGCATCACACGGGCTGATTGATGGGAAGGTTGATAGCGTCAACCACGTCAGTGCAGTATATAGTGATGTCGTTTCTAACAGAGATGTTTACTACGGGTTCCGAGAGTACCTGCTTTCCGCTTTCAGTGATCTGATTTGGAACCGAAAACAACCCATTTGATTTAAATGCTCGAGTATTCGCGTAGATTATGATTCAATTTAAAACGAATCTGGGCGTCAATCCGGCTCATCGATCAACCAAAACGTCAGAACTAGTTTGTTTACCTGAACATAATCAAGATCCACAACTCCCAGGGCTTCTTACTTTCTCTCAATCTCTTTCCACAACAGTTCGGGTTGTTTGGAACAGCTTTACCCCTGGTATTTTCATGTATAACTTAAGAAGGAAGTAAGGAAGGAAAGGGATTGTAAGGAGTAGGACGGTGGTCTCGGAGTTTACACGTATATTGGCTTGGGGTCTCTACAAAGCTTTGAATTTGGGATTTGATGTCACTGTCAAACTCGGATTGACGAACCATGTTTTAAATCAAGTGTTTATTGAGATAGAATTAAATTCCTTGAAAGGTATCATGATCTGCTTTCGACAATTGACAAGCTGGCATGCTATAGCGGTAGCAATGTTTTCACCAGAAAAAACTTGGAGCTTAGGTTATTGGTGGCAATCCCGGAAAAAATGCTTTACTCAGCAACGAAGTTTTACAGTGAACGTCGACTTGACACTGTGAAATGGAACCTTTGAATGTTTTTCACTTGCGTAACGTGCATGTTTGAAGAACTTGCGATGCTCCATTTCTAACGGAATCGTCCACTTTGTGAATATTAGTCGATACTACGAACTTGTTGAAATTGCGAAAAGCGGCCCAATGAACATTGGGCTTGGACCAATTAGCTTACCTTGAGGAATTTCTGAATGAGGTACTTGTTGCAACGGTGCAGTTCATGTACTTGACTATCGCGTACAAAGAAACCAGTTCAATGCGGGTTCCGATGATTGAGCTGACCGAGTGGTACATCATGAGTTGTCGGGAACAAGCTGCCAAGAGTTCTGGAAGACGGAGTCATCTCTTAAGTGGACGCAAAAGACTTAACGTCATGTCGTTAATCTCCGGCGACTACAAGCAGCAAGAGCCGTTGGAAATCCTGCAATGTCGGGCTAATGTGATGAGCATTGAAAAACGCAACGTCATATCATTGGTTTGTGACATTTGTGACCACTACGGAGAGCAAGAGTTGAAAACTCTGGAGTATCGGGATACCGAGGTCAGCTCTGGGGTGGACATAAACGACGAAACGTCACATTATTGATTTCTGACAACTAAGAGCGGCAAGAGCTGAAAACACCAGGGTACCGGGAGAATGAGAATCGGCTCTGGGGTGGACATAAACGACGCAACGTCACATTATTGATTTCTGACAACTAAGAGCGGCAAGAGCTAGAAACACTGGAGTATCGGGATAATGAGATCAGCTCTGGGGTGGACATAAACGACAAAACGTCACATTATTGATTTCTGACAACTAAGAGCGGCAAGAGCTGAAAACGCCAGGGTACCGGGAGAATGAGAAGTCGGCTCTGGGGTGGACATAAAAGACCAAACGTCACATTATTGATTTCTGACCACTACGAACAGCAAGAGCTGGAAATACTGGGATCTTGGCAGAATGAAAAAAAAAACACTCAAAAGAGCCATCGTTCCCACCCAACCACTTAGACACCCTTCGCTCTTCTTTCTTCGCTCTTCGCTCTTCGCTCTCCACCGCACAACACCGAATCAAGTGCTTCAACGTCTGCTATGATATTCCAATAATGGACGGTATCCCCATTGAAGTGGAGAACCGAAGAGATAATAATGCCTTGAGTTTTGTGATTGTGACGTACCATACGTCCGAAGAACAGCAACTCGTAATTGAGAATACGTTATGAGATATGAATATCAGCGTCTAATGTGGCTATCGGTGTGTGTGAGTGTGTGTGTGAAAGTCCACGTCTTTAGCTGACCCTGCGTATCCTTATCGATATGCTCCGAACCTCAAAGTTCGCGCATCTCGCCGTCGCTGTCGCTACCGCTACTGTTTTTGGTGCTACTACTACTGCAGCTGCAGATGCTATCAGCATTTCATTATCAAAATGTTCCCGTTCCCGACCGGATATCCCGGATAGCCCCGGCACGTGACCCAAAAACTTTTTTTTTTCGTTCCCTCTTGCCCCAGATTTCTTTTTTTTTCTGGTCCACACTTTGAAAGTTTCCCTCGTTTCTTTTCCTATCCGGCGCCCCTCTCGGGCTTATCTGGGGCCACACACTGTGGGCCACACACTGTACTGGCTTCCAATCTCGACTGATAGACTCAATTTTTTGAGAAGAGCTCATCACCTATATAAAAAACCAGGCGATGAGGTCCAGGGAACGAGTGGTAGGGAACAGCTTTACATTCCATCGCCAGCTACTTTCCTCTGTCCTCTCCAACACACTCTCCTCTGTCTCTTCCCCGCCATGTCGAAGGAAAACTATGAGATCCGGGACCTTGAAAAACGGGCCGGTTCCCGCTCCGACGATGACTACGCCGAGTCGCACTCGAACCCGGTCGTGGAAACCGCAGAAGCTGAGCAAACAAAACTGTCGTTTTTGGACACTTTGGCCTCCAAGTTGAGAGCCGAAACCAAGGGTATCGAGCCGATCACTGACGACGAAAAGGACGATCCTTCCATCTGGAACGCTGCTTCGATGTGGTTTTCCGCCAATATGGTTATTGCCGCGTTTGCTCTTGGTGTGCTTGGGCCTGTGATTTTTGGAATCAACTTTTGGGGGTCCGTACTTGCAGTGGTGCTGTTCTCGTTCATGGGGATCCTACCTGTGGCCATCTATTCCGTGTTCGGCGTTGAGCTGGGCTTACGTCAGATGGTTCTGTCACGGTTTCTGCTGGGAAACGTTACTGCGCGTATTTTCGCGTTAATCAACGTGATTGCCTGTGTTGGCTGGGGTGCGGTCAACACTATCGCGTCAGCGCAACTACTGCATATGGTCAATCCACACGGCGCGCAATGTCCGCCCTGGGCCGGATGTCTTATTATTGTGCTGTCAACGATTTTGGTGACGTTTTTCGGGTACCGTGTTATTCACGCGTACGAAAAATGGTCGTGGATCCCTAATTTCGCGGTGTTCCTAGTCATCATCGCACGCCTCAAGATCAACGGATCTTTTACCGCTGGCGCCTGGGAAAGCGGCTCTACCACGGCCGGCGGCATTTTGAGCATGGGCGGTGTGGTGTTTGGGTTTGCGTCCGGATGGACCACATATGCCGCTGATTACACCGTGTACATGCCCCGCAACATCAATCGTATTAAAGTTTTCTGTGCGGTGATGGCCGGACTTATGTTCCCATTGTGCTTCGCAATCATCTTAGGCGCCGCAGCCGGATGCGCGTCGCTCAACGATGAGACCTACGGCGAGTTCTACAAGAGCGACGGTGTGGGCGGCTTGGTGTATGCTATTTTGGTGCCTAACTCCGTCGGAGGTTTCGGACAGTTTTGTTGTGTACTACTGGCAATGTCTACGGTGGCCAACAACATCCCTAACATGTACTCGATCGCTTTGGGTACGCAAGCAATGTGGGCACCTTTGGCCAAAGTACCTCGTGTGCTATGGACAGTGGCTGGAAACTTTGTGACTCTGGCTATTGCCATCCCAGCTTACTACAAGTTCACTTCGTTTATGAGTAACTTCATGGACGCTATTGCGTACTATTTGTCGATCTACATTGGAATCTCGCTTACGGAACACTTGGTGTTCCGCAAGGCCAAGTTTGCTAACTATCACGTGGAGGACTGGAACAACTGGGCGGCATTGCCGGTCGGAGTGGCCGGGTGCTGCGCACTTTTCGTCGGAGCCGTGGGTGTGGCTATGGGAATGGACCAGACCTACTGGGATGGTGAAATCGGCCGCAAGATCGGAGATTACGGCGGAGATATCGGGTTTGAGCTCGGATTTGCATTTTCCGTAGTAACATATTTGGCGATCCGTCCATTGGAAAAGCGGTGGTTAGGCCGTTGAAATTCACTGCAATTGAGTAGTTACTTTGAGTGTTTTGTTACTCGATGTTGGTAATTAGAATTGTATTTGAATTAATTAATTTACGTAATTTGGGTATTTGTTAATATTACGCCTGAAGCGATGACTACAAGTATAATTGAAGAATTGAGAGCGTCAGCGATCAATTGTGAATAAAAGTGGTGATTAATAGCATAGTTGAACGATTGAGAGCGTCAGCGATCAATTGTGAACAGCAGTGATGGCTATTAGTAGGCTACACAATTGAGAGCATCGGCGATCAGTGGTGACTAAAGCTACGACTATCAACATAAGTGAACAATTGAGAGCGACAGCGATCAGTTGTGAATAAGAGAGGTTGTCGGAAGCATGATTGAACAATTGAGAGCGCCAGCGATCAGTTGTGAATAAAAGTGGTATTTATTAGCATATGAAGAAACGAGAGCGCCAGCTATAAAGTGCGAACGATAGTGATGGCAAAGAGAAGGTCAAGAGCTTTACTGAACAATTGAGAGCTTTGACGACCATTTGTGATAAGTAGGGATGGCTAAAAGTATAACTGAACAATTGAGAGCGCCAGCGATCAATTGTGAATAAAGTTTTTATTGAAGCTCGACTTCATCGGCAGTGTTTGAGTCGTTAAACTGCTTCGTTCGCTCAGTCATTATTTGCTCTGGGTGCATGGTTATGGTTATGGGTTACTTTTCTCTCCGTGATTCTTTGGTAATAAGTTTGATACATTCTGTTTGACCAAACCACGGATATTTAAACGATGGAGCAACAATAGCAAACAATCGGTAACGCTCTCGATTGCTCAATAGAAGTCCTGGATTGCATTCATATCCTGCATAGCGTTGACGTATTGTTGCTTCAAATCTTTATGGTTGGTGTTTTCACCTTAGCGCTTAATATGTCTTTTTAGTTTAATATGTCATTTTCTGATCGCGCAATTTGCAATTCCAACAGTTATGGCTATTAGTATAGTCGAACAGTTGAGAGCGTCAGCGATCAATGGTGAATGTTAGAGATGGATTTTAGTATAATGGAACGATTGAGAGCTTCAGTAAGAGAGATGGCAAAAACCATTGTAAACATGGTCAGGAACATATCTGAACTGAGAGCTTCAGCGATCCATAAAAAAGATGGCTAACACCATTTTAGAAATGGCCAAGTGTGTTCTAGAGATGGCTTAAACTGTCAGCAATCAGTTGTGAGCGATGGTGATGGCTATCAGCATAGCTGAACAATTAAGACCGCCAGCAATTTTAAATATAAGGATTAGCCAAGACCACTGTAGAAACGCCTAAGAGCATTCTAGAGATGGTTTAGAACGTCAGCAATCAATTCAAGTCATATAGAGTTCTTAGATCATTGGAGAGTGCCGCCGAGTGATAGTTGACGCAGCATTCTTCCCATCAGCAGTTTTTTTAGATTGCTTGACTATTCGTTAATTGTGTCGCTGTCATATAGTCACGTGAATGTAATCACTTTGCCATGGATCTGACACTAGATGGACATAAGTTCGGACAGTAGGGCAATTTTAAAGACGGCTAGGATCAAAGCTGGATAATTGAGTGCGATAGCGATCAATTGTAAGCGACAGCAATGGCCTCTAGAATTTCTGACCAATTGAGAGCATCAGCAATGAGTTGTGAATCAAAAGGTGACCAAGACCATTATAGAGTTGTCTCACAGTCTTGTAGTGTTGTCTAACAGCAATGTATTGATGTTTAACATTCTTGTTGTTTATACTCGTGTTGAGACTTTGTGTCTGGCCTCTGCCTCTGAAGTGTCGTTGCACGATAAACGTCCTATATCTTGGGTAATTATATCCCTTCTTGAAAGATGTAAAGTGTTGTTTTACTGAGTTAGAGTTAGCTCTCCGCGATGTATACAGCATAAATGGCATGAGCTTGTAAGCGTGAATGAAACGGCCCTTACATATATTCCTGGAAATGTTCCGTCGATAACTGATGTAAAAGTTTTCCAGCATTCCGGGTACAAATAAAGGGAATGGGCTGCTCTAGGAGCTATACGATCAACCGCAAGTGGTACCACTTGGTTCAATCAATGCCGTTCCTGTTAGATCAGTAGTAGTTCTGGATTCTTTGAATATCTTCCCAATTCTGTCGCTGTTGTTGCGTCACGTGTGTGTGATCACCTTGTTTAGATCTGACGCAAGGCAGACAGAGGTTCCGACAATTGTAGAGCTGGCCAAGACCATTGCTGAGCTATTCAGAGCTTGAACGATCGATTGTGGCTAGTAGAGATGGCTTAGTGTTCATACTCGCGTTGAAACTCTGCCACTGTAGTGTTGTTGTACGATAAACCTTTTAAACCTTTGGAGTTTTTTTACATCACTATAAAGCGTAAGCTACCTTCCTTCAGAGTTTCTATCACATTTATACAATTATTGGGAGGGTTTTGTCATTGACGGATGTCAAAAGGATTACGGGCGCAATTTCTTCGATGAATAGCAGCACAGGTAAACACATGAGCGCAAGTGCCACTCGGTACAAGTAAGACATCATTCCCTTTACAGCAGCAGCTTTTCTAAATTCTTTGACCATTTCGACAATTTTCTCGCTGTTAACTTGTCACGTGTTTAGCTGTGGGTCTGACGTTAGGCAGATCAAGGCTAAGAATAGCGAAGAGCACCTTAGAGCTGGTTAAGACCATTGCTCAAGCTTCACTGATCAGCTGAAAATATCATACATGGTTGGAATACTTCTGGAGATGGCTAAGAGCGTTGTCAAGCCGGCTAAGACCTGTATATAGATGGGATTCTCATAGTTGGTTGGGGGCATCGTGAACTTTCCTTGGAGCATTGAAGAGCTGGATAGAGCCATTCCACAGTTGCCTAGGACCATTGTTGGGTTCGTTGAGATCACAGAGTTGGCCAGAAGCATTGCAGAGTTTGCTAGGAGTATTTTACAGTTGGCTGGGAGCATTTCAATGTTGTATAGAAGCATTGTGGAATTAACTAGAAGCAATGTAGAGTTTGCTAATACCAATGTGGAGATGGCTACGACCATTTTGGAGCTGGTAACGACCATTGTAGAGATGACTACGACCATTGTAGATACGGCCATGAGCATTCGGTGGATGGCGACGGTTATTTTGGACTTGGCTAAGGGCATTACTAGTAGAGAGTGCAATGGCAGCAGTTTAACAATCGCGATCTCCTGCAATCGGTTGTTTGAATACTACTAGTAACAATGATACTTGAAAACGTAAAGGCATCGGCGATCAATTGTGAATAGGAGAAATTAGCTGAGCTAACAAACTCATAAACTGATCGCTGATGCCAGCAGTCACGTTACTGGCGCTTCTCGAATTCGTAACGAATAAGATCCCGTCAGATACGTATTTTAGCCCAAAGCCTACGGAATGAATTTGACAACAAGGTTTATAGTAGAACGGCTATTTGAAGTGCTTGGATAGCTTGATGACACCTTAGATTCCCTGCAATCCTTGGTAATTAAACTTGAGCACCGCGTATGAGGTGATGATATCATGACCTCAGCCAGGACAGTAAGTGAATCACGAATCCAAGCGCCAATCCGGCTCAGCAATCAGTCAACTACGCGAAAGATAGCTTGTTAATCTGGAGATAAAGGAGATTCACGCATTTAATAGCTGCTTTCCCTTCGTCAATACAACGATTCGGCTTGTTTTAGATGTCAGTGTCTTGCTTTCGTTGCAATGAGACCTAGAGGCTCGAAAACATCTCTACGCATACAGTGATAGATTCGCGGTATATTCGAGCTTCTGAGATCGTAGACCACAACGGGATTCGCGAATCCTAAAAGTCGACCCCGATTCTGGACTCAGCTACATTAACAATGATCAATCCGGGAAATACCCATAGATATATATTGACAGCACCAAATTGGCGTGCATAGTGCTGACTGGTAGCGTCGGCGGCTAGCATTTGTTTGATCATAGACAAGGTCTGAAACTTTTGATACTTGACACATCTTTGAGTACTCCTCCAGAAATCCAGATTTGTCGAGGGCTGGTCAACATATTTGTCAGGAGCTTTATTTCCGGATACCAACATAGGAGACGAGATAAAGCGAACCGCCAAGAATTGAAGAAAGTAGGAGTGAAACACGGCATGGAGACTCTAATAATCAAGTTAACGATACATTTGAATACGAATGTCAAAACTTTGTCTAATAGGATTGTACTTGCTGAACGAAGCTGTCCTTCAAACTTTGAGATTTAATTGGCGAAAAGTAACCGAAGCGATGATGCACATCGAAGAAGACCACCGCGACACCGTCGTCTTAGAGAAGGAGTAAATTGATGTTTCTTGCAAAGGAAGCTCCCAATTCTCAGCCAAATGAGATTGTTCACCGGTAGCTTCGTTCTGTACTCTGCAGAGGCCTGAGACATGACAATGCATATCACGACTCGACAGTAATTTTGAATCGATAGATGAGCATTTTCAAGATGTGCTACAGCGAAAAATGAAGCAACTGGAGTCTATACTTGGAAAAAGGCACACCGAGGAGAATTTAATAAATTCTTGCCAAGTTCAAAACGAAACGGTTCTATCGAAAAGTTTGGCAAGAAATTTGAGATCCAGCTTTCAAGATCCCAAGTGAAAGGAATTCACAAACATGAAGCACGCTGCTTCCGAAATTCGGAAGCCAAAGCTTTAATGTTTTTTTCATTATGAAATACGCAATGATCAAGGAACTTGATTTTTGATTGACAAGCTACTACCACAACTAGTTCGACAGTCATCGAATACTGTAAAGTGAGAGCGCCAATCAACAATTATGACCACTCGGTACCTATCAACTGTGGAGATAACAGCAGGCAAAAGTTTGTCCGGTCCCCGGTATGTGTAGTCACGTGCCTGGTGACAGTGACATAAAAGCCGACGAACTTCATTTGACGATGGCAAGACTTTAGAACACATTCCCATGCCATTTTTTTGTCACTACAGGCTACCGTCAATTTTTAGCCATAATCGAACTATTGAGCACATCAGCGACCTGTTGTGACGATTCATGAGACCCGAGGCACATTCGGACAATTGGGAGCGTCAGAGATCTGTTGTTGATAACAAAAAGCTTTTATCACTCGGGCCTAAGTATGCAAGGAGCGCGTCAATAGCGTGGTCATTTTTCATGACTAATTTAGTGCCCAAATGTTTTTGCAACTGGTAGTTTCAGCGATTAGTGCCAATACCGAGATTTTCAAAGACAATTGAATAAATGAACCCGCCAAAGAAGGTTGTGGGAACGCAATATATCAATGTCTTTAACTGCTACCACAGGAACCGCGAGACAATTACGAGCATCAAGTCTAGAAATCCAGCCCATTGAAGGATTGCAAGTGGCTCATTGTTTGGAATCCACCACCTGGATCAATTTTGAAGGTGGTTTTAGCAATCTCTTAATTCAGTGTCATGAAGATGCGTTTGGGCCCGAATGAAGTGACAATAGTTAAACAAATTTCGGTAGAATTTCCTTGGACTGCTACAAGAACCGAAACTCATGATTTCACAAGAGCATTCTGAAGACTACACAGCATTTGAACTACCGAAATCTTTCGAGGAAGGCTTTGAATAAATACTGAACAATTCGCAGCTGTCTTCGTCGTGTTTGCAGCGACCTTCATCCCCATTAGCATTATATCTCCGCCAGGTCGTTGTACTGCTCTACCTGGACCATTAACCATAATACTGACGAGCACCTTTTCTTGGATCACGAGACCGCTGTTACGTTTTTTGTTCTACTTAAATCTCAACTTAGCCGCTGCGATATATCATCTGACTACCTAAACACCACTCACAGCCTCCAGATATCTTTCAACTACAAACTTTAGACGCCTCCTCGAGCTCTCTGATGTTTGCAATGCTTACACTCTTCAACCCCATCGAATATGTCTTCTATATAACGTTTCTGATAGGTATGTTATCGCTGCTACTGGCGAGCATTCAAGCTCCTTTATTGCTGAAATATGGCAAAACTTTACCTGAGAATGCCAGTAGAGGTCAAGACAAGAACTTGTGGGTGCTCTTTCAACACTTCACGGTACCCAAAAGCTGGTTCAGTCACTTTTATGTTTACTCCGGGTTTCTATCGTGTGTAAACATGACGCTATTGCATTTCAAAACGCTCTCCCTTTTGATGGCCCTACATTCTATGAGAAGACTCTATGAGACTATTTATGTCAACAAATCCAAGCCTAGCGCTAGAATTCATGTATCACACTACTTGGTGGGATTTTGGTTTTATTCTGCAGTAAACTATGCCATTTACACAAGCAGGCCTGATACTTGGAGCCCACCGCTTATAAGAAGCTTTGCGATGCTGCTGTTCGCAATTGCATCGTGGGACCAATACAAAAGTCATTTGCATCTATCGCAGTTGCGTAAATACACATTGCCCACAAAGGGCTTATTTCGATTAGTGGCCAGTGCACACTATTTGGACGAGATACTCCTATATTCAGCATTGGCACTCTACTCTCGATCCACAAAATTACTAGTGTGCTTGCTATGGGTGATATCCAATCTTTCCGTCTCTGCCATTGAAACAAGACAATGGTATTTGCGAAAATTTCCACAATCGACTCCAAAGTTTGCAATCATTCCTTACATTCTGTGAAACTATCTATGCTTCTGTTGCCAAAGGCTGTTAACGTTCCCATTTTCTAAAAAGTAAAGACGAGTTGATACCACCGAAGCCAAAACTGTTTGCGAGTGCGTACCGTAGTTTTTGTGAGTCCGGCTTCCCCTTCACCAGGTCCAATTGTTGCCAAGACTCCAAATGATCGCCGGATGCGCCGCCAACTTTCTCCAGGTTCAGTGTATGCGGTATCACACCATCTTGCAATGATTTTATTGTGAAAATGCTCTCAACAGCACCTGCTGCACCCAACAAGTGACCTATGGCTCCTTTGTTACTTGAGACTTTCAAACGATAGTCTCGGGGATCATTTGCGAATATCTGGGTGATCGCTTGCAATTCGGCTCTATCGCCCAGGATCGTTGAAGTGGCGTGTGCATTTACATAATCCACTTGTGTAGGATCAATCGTATTCAAGGCCATCTTCATGGCTCGACTAGCGCCTTCCCCGTTTTCAGATGGTGACGTTATGTGGTGAGCGTCGCTCGACAACCCGTACCCTTCCACTTCTGCGTAAATGTGAGCGCCTCTCTTTTGCGCGTGTTGCAAGGATTCCAAGACCAATATCCCTGCGCCTTCTCCCAGAACGAATCCACTCCTACGGGCATCAAATGGTCTAGATATTCCATCCGTTGTTATGCTTTTGGCTCTCAAAAAGCCCGAAAGCGCTAAAGGATGGACACAAGCTTCACTGGCGCCCGCGAGACAAAGATCATTGTAACCGAGTCTGATGAAGTTATATGCATCTCCAATTGCATTGTTCCCGGTTGCACAAGCGGTTGACGCACAATGGGAGACTCCCTTGAGCTGAAATTTTATTGAGACGTTACCGCATGCCATGTTGGCCAAAATCTTCGGTACAAAAGTTGGCGCAAGTTTTTTCCCACGATCAAATCCCAGAATCGAATCGTACATGTCCTGGATAGAGGCTATTCCCGACCCTATAACGCAACCAAACTTTTCGGAATTGATCTCGTTCAGCTTATGCAGTAAGCCAGCATCGTCCAATGCCTCTTGAGCGGCCACAACCGCAAACTGGGTGAAAAGACTCATTCTTCTGAGATCTTGAGAAGTGAAAAGTGGACCATAATCACTGGCATCAAACCCAGTTATGTTACCTACACCAACATTTGCAGGACAGTGTGGTTCGTAATTTTTGAAGTCAGGTAGCTCTGAAACAGGACGAATCCCGGATTTTCCACGCAGTAAGTTTGTCCAGGACTCCTGTACAGTTTTGCCTAATGGTGTGAGGGCTCCAAGCCCGGTAACGACAACTCTGGACGTCATGGTGAGCCTGAACAGATGAACGATGTCAATGAAGGGTCGCGATGAACGGAATTCGGTCTTTTAATAAATGGTCTACACGATGACTACTGTCATCGAAGTAAGAAAAACGCTTTGACGACGGTGAAAGTTTGACCAGATCTAATACCCAAGGATTAGTTTTACTGGAGCTGTAGCTCTTGATTTAATGGACGGTTTTCCATATTTGAATTTGTGAGCTCAGATTCAAATTTGGCCAAAATGTCTCTTGATGGGTATATTTTGGTTAGGAAAGAGAGACAACAGCTTTACAAAGATGAGGCTAGGAGGGAATTCAAAATATTTGTGGGGATGGCTGGAAGATGAGACTTCATGCTCAAAATTCGATACTTTACTGTGAAAGTAACTCATTAGAGGTATTCATGATCTTTTAATGCGGGTAGCACAAATCTGTGTCTGTTGAAGGTTGTCGTTCTAGTCCTTCAAACGGTTCGCGATGTGTCAGGATGGTATCGACGTTAACTTGATGCTTCAGATATCACCGTATGTTATAGTGTCACCACTGGTGGGATGAGCTTTGGCTCTACCTTTACGTAAGCACGTCGCTGAAAGAGAGATCGCTTAAACTTGATGTCAATTGAACTAGTGTGGATTTTGTCTGTCAAAACGGGAATGTACACGTATTATCGATTACTGGTAGACAATGACCAGTTTTAACGTAACAAGGAACGACGATTGTCTCCTTGTATCTTTCCAGTGATCAGATGTAAGTAACGAAAGGAGAGTTCGAGAAAATCGAAGGAATGCGTCTGGTGGCTATATATCAGGGCAAATCTTTTGGTGGAAAGTGGTTTACATGGGAATACTGAGCGGTGTGAATTTTTTCGGTCATCGAGAGCTGCGATTCGTTATACTAATGGTTTCTCCAACTTGAATGTTAATCCGTTTACAAGATACAATTGTATCGCAACAAACAGTCGCGGTTCGATGAACAAAATCATTCAAGAGGCATACAGAGACATGCTTTAATACAGCTAAAAGACCATCGCTTGTACACTCTCGTCTAAATATCAATTTTTCCCTCAAGAAGCGGTCATCGTGCCAAGAACCTGACTATAATCTCACAACGAGTTTGAACTATTATGGGAACTCCTCATTGTGCGCTCTGCAGCGTTTCTTCACTTCAAGTCTTCGTTCGTGCCAGTATTTGGGGGCCTTGGGCTATCGCCTCTTGGCTGCGTCGTTCAAGAAGAACGAGTCCTGGATGAAGATGTGCATAATGACGCTGAAAGCTTCAAAGCTGCCTTACGAACAGCTTTCTGATCTGATACCTCGAGGACTCTCATAGGTCTGTACCCAAGAGGAACCATTCTTATACACAAAAAAAAACCTTAAAGAATAGGCACTTTTTTATTCTTCTGGCAACTTAACAAAGCTATTGCGCGAGCATCCGGACAATCGAACAACCACCATGTTCAACTTCAGTAACATCTCTGGACGATCATTGTAGTGTACCTCAACTTCTTTCGCTCAGTACTCGTACTCGTGAAGACCGTTGAAGTTATTCAAGCCTGTCAAAAATTGGAATGTCTTCCATACAAGAACTCCGAACGACACTATCATTAAACGTCAAACGCCCATCATGGACTACAAGGGCATTGAAGAGCATTTAACCGAGACCAAAGAGGGGAGCCAAAGCTACAAGTTAGACCATGGACCTTTACCACGAGACGTTTTCAAAGTTAAATTAGTGTGGAGACTGATGTTGCGAAAGTGGAGCTATGTGAGTCTTTTCTTGAATATAATAGTAAATGGCTCGTTCATTAATTCTTGCAATGATAGAGACCTAGTTGTTGGAGTTTTATTCTTAAACACAGTCGCCGTTCTCTTCATTGTGTCAATTCAATTTTTCTTTTCCTCAACTTCCGAAGGGTGGAACGACAAAAGCGTGCGTATCTGGATGGTGGAGATATTACGTGTCAATCCTGGAGAAGATTTGAAAAAGTGGGATCTGATTGCTGCTAAAATGAACACTATTCTTTACGAAAATGACAAGAGTGCCACAAGGTATTTTTTCTACGACGGGAAACAATGCTTGTCCAGATTTTCAAGCAATTACGTCACATCAAACTCTACAGAGTGGTATCCTACTCTCGCACCCTTCATCAAAGCTGCTGTGGATCAATACGTTGAGTTTTTCAATCAGCAATTCCGGCAAATGACATTGGGTATCTCTGCCGATCGCACCGAAGCTACCACCCAGAGCGAAGCGGTTTGAAGAAGTGACGGAATACTCAAAGCAACTTGATAGCTGGTTACGTCCAGTGTTATACCAGTACATCTTTGAACCAGTGAGCTAGCCAAAAAGTTAAGCTTTTGAAGACGAAACCTGGGGCCTTACCTGCATCCTATCGCTTCTGAGAAAAGGTAGTTACAAACGCTCCGACAGATCAACGAGCATAGCCTACTCAATTTCAAAGATTGTCGTGCTCGAATGAATGTTCTTCTGGCTGGTTGTCGTGATGTGTCCGAATCGAACTTTCAGTATAAGCGTCAATCTAACGACACCCGCGTGTAAAACGATATCTAACTCAAGGTTCTCAATCCGCTCAAATCATTCTTTTAAGATCATCGGTAACAACTCCCATCACCGCCCAGATAACCAATGATATCCGCTATAGAGATCGCTATTCAAACGTCGAACTCCCATCAGCTTAGGTCATCTGCAGTCAATCGCTACTAACACCAATTGATTTGAAAATATGCGTGTAGTTTTTGTATGAGACTAGATACTTTCCCTTCTGATGAGGTTTTGTATGTATGCTATTGTACAGTGCAGCTGTGAGACAGTTGCAGCGTTTCGTTTACCATTCCAACAAGTCGTCCTTGGCGTACAAGTAGTCGGTGAAAACAAAGTCGACTTCGTCGGTTTCTGGGTTGTAACCACCGATCTTGATAGATTCGTGGTTCTTGACGATGATGTCACAGCCCTTTTCCTTTAGGAAGTCCAAGTCGAAGGTAGTGGCAATACCGACGATCTTGCAGCCAGCGGCCTTACCGGCAGCAATACCAGCTGGGGCGTCTTCGAAAACGATGACCTTAGACTTGGAAGGTTCCTTTTCGTTGATTGGGTAGCCCAAACCGTTTCTACCCTTGATGTAAGGTTCTGGGAAAGGCTTACCTTGCTTGACGTCATTGGCAGTGATGAAGTATTCAGGTCTCTTGATTCCCAAAAGCTCGAACCACTTGGTGGCCATAGGACGGGTACCAGAAGTGGCCACGGCCCATTTCTCCTTAGGTAGAGCGTTTAGCTCTTTGCACAGAGTGACGGCACCTGGGACTTCGATGGAGTGTTCACCGTACTTGGCTGGGATTTCGGCTTCCAATTGGGTAGCGTAGTCCTCGTCAGCAAAGTCTGGGGCGAACTTGGCGATGGCATCGTAAGTTCTCCAGCCGTGGGACTCGTGGATGACGTGTTCAGCGTCGAAGTAAGGCTTGTCCTTACCGAAGTCTCTCCAGAAGGCAGCAATGGCCGGTTGTGAAATGATGATGGTTCCGTCGACGTCGAAAAGAGCAGCGTTGACTTTCAAAGATAGTGGTTTTCCTAGAGACATTATTGCGAGATGATTGGATGTGTGATTTGCAATGGAATCTTGAACCTTAATAACTAAATCACAATGCCAACTACAATCTGCATAAACTTGTCAGACCCTGGGTATTTATACTCTTTGCAACTCGATCTGTTTGTTCGTGTGGGCTTCCTGAACTGCTGTGGAGTTCTGCACACTTGCAAAAAAGAAACAGGAATTGTCCAAATGTCCTAAAGTCGGCAAAGCGATATCATCATGGGCAAAGCAAAAGGCGTGTTAGAGACCGCTATACGCAACGTCCGGTTCTTCTGCTGCGACATCTGCTGCGACATCTGATGCGACAATCCACGGTAATGCAATAATAACCAATCTCTCGTTTCTTTACGCCCACGATAGAAACCCGGGCTTGCCAATTTTTTTTGTTTTGTTGCTTCTGTGGATTACCACACGTAGTGTGTGTACTCGCACCACCAGAGGATCGCGTGTTGGTGCTTAGTCTACATGAGACGCTACTACGTTTTTGGTATTGGATGTGTAGTGGACCGAGTGATTGACTGATGATGTCCTGGACTGGACTGCCTATACGTAATGGGAAGATTAACAGTGCAAAAGGTCCGCTGACATAAGCAGAATGGGCGAAGGTGCGAATTAAGACATATTTTGACCCTTTTTGGGTCAAAAGGGCATGTTTGACCCAAATTGGGTCAAACGAAAAGAAAGACGCCAACAGGAAGCCGGATCGCGTGACAGGAAGCTGGGTCACGTGGAATGTCGATGGTGGTCATTATATACGTACAATATCACGTGAGACATTTCTTATCCGATAATCATATTATACGGAATGCTCATTAAATCGCATGTATGATATAAAAACACGTGATGCGTGATCACGTGCTTTTCTATACGTTGATCATACAATACGGAAAACATTGCGCCTGCATAACATGTGACGAGCCATCGGAGTTTTATCCATCTCTAGTGAACAGAGGATATAGCCTCGAACTAATCACTGGTCCGTCATAGGCTTGCGAGCTGTCTACGAAGAAGACATATGAGATACAAAAGTATTCTACATGAGAAATATGACGTGGACTCGCCAACCAAGCTCAGTGGGGAGAATTAGAATTGTGATAACTACACACGACAATGTGTAGGTCAGCTCAGACATGCGCAATGGGTAACTCGAGTAAATGATTATCGTTACTCGGTAATCGTGAGTAAGTAATCAAGATCCAAATTTACTTACCCACGGGAAATTTGAGTAAGCAACGGGTAAATGACTTTGTACGGCATGGGTAACCCGCAGACGTTCGATGTGATTTGATTGGCGTCAGCACCAAAATTTCAACTACCAAAATCTAGACTATTTGGTTCAGCTAGACAGGTAGCATTTCAATCTTTCGTAAATGGAAGAGTCGAGCTCGATGGCTGTTTGTGAAAATTCCATACACTTACATATTTTGATTCTACGAGACGATAGCATTTATTTTGCTTGAAAACTCCGTGAGTAAGCAACAAGATCAAGGGTCAATTCGATCAGAACAAGTCACTATTTGTACCATCGAAGGGTTTGAATTAACACAGGAGATCTTGACGACCGGCTTCTCATAAGACCTTCATAAGTAAATTACGCACCTCATATATACCTTAATTCGTTTGCAAACGACACATTCGTATCACGTGATCTGTGTTGGAAAATCGACCCGTGCTCTTCAAAAACACTCACAGATGTACCGTGTAGATCTCCAGAGCTTGCATGCAGCTCAACCTCCAAAAACTGCTCGAGCAACATCAATTTCGCTGCGATATTCTAAATTTTTTACCCTTTCTCTCGTTTTCCGGTGCGGCCTCGATTCTCGATTTTCCACGAGACCTCAAGCTCCTCCCAGTCATTTTGTCTACTTGAGTAAGGCCATTCACTTCCAACTGTCTGCTTGTCTTTCTTTCTCCCCCTCTGTTTCCAGTTTTTGGCCTTAAATGCTTGTTGGGTCCATAATAAAGTCCAAAAAAATTGGTCAAACCAAGACGATATAACCTATTCTACCAAACCAAACATCCAAAACGATGGCTACCTACGCTCAACAAACCGTGAAACAGCTCCAGAAGGAGCTTGAATCTAGAAAACTCAGTACCAATGGCATTAAGAAAGACTTAATTGCGCGATTGGAGGCCCATGACGCCGAAAAATCGCAACCAACGGACGCACAACAGGAGGAACCACAGCAGTCTGAGATCTCAGAAACTGCAAAAGTCGAAAAACCTGAAGACAAGCCTGAGGAGGCAGTCGTTCCAGAGACTGAGGAGCCTACTACCACTGAGACACCCCCTGAACAGCAACCTATTGCTCCTGTGGCAGAACATTCGTCAGATTCTTCTTCCACACAGATAAAACCCAAAGCTTTCTCCCCAGAAGAGGCCAAGGCAAAGGCATTGGAACATCTGCAGGTCAAACTGCGTCGTGCACGCAAGTTTGCAGACGATGAGTCCACAATACAATCGTTGGAGCGTCAAATTAATAGAATTCAGAAATTCGGGCTCGATCAAACAACTCAACTGGCACAGGAGCTAGGATTTGGCAAGGGTCCTGAAAATACAATTGCACGCCGTGGGAACAAGAAGTCGCATCGCAAAAACCCCAAAAACAACAACAGAAAGTAAAAGTGGTAAAACGAATGGTGTTGGTCTTAGCGTCATAATCACCCGCACCTGACGGGAATCCTGAAGAGAAAAACTCCGAACAAAACCCAGAAAAAAAACACGATAGAACAAAGAAAAAAATCCATCAATGAGATACAGTACCGATGGAAACCCCACTCTTGACCCAATTTTGACTCCTCATCTTTCAATGTCGCTACCGAAACTCGAACGCCCGACTCGAAACTCATTTGACACGTGACCTGTGAAATTTCAACTCAAAGCTTAACCTCCCCCGCCCCCTTTGAAATTTGAGTGGTTCTAGAATTTCAGGAATTTCTGACATCAAGTTGATCAAATATGTTGAACAATTCGCAAACCAACTCTTCGAAGTATTCACCACACTCAGTCCTATTGAAGTGTTCTGAGATCCTTGAATATAAGCATCAACTAATTCAACTAAAGCCCTCTTTTCAAAATTTCCATTTATCTGGTCTACAAATTTGAGAATAGAATAATAACCTTGAAATTCTGCAAAATAAGCCACTTTGGCTCCCTGAGTTTGTTCTTAATTTTACAGCAGCAACCTTGGCTTTTGAAAGTGTAATTTTGATTGACGTTAACGGGGCCCTTAAGACGTTCGCACTGGTTTGAGGCACTGAAGCTTACAGAAATAGTAGCAATCAATAGATGGCATTTTGAACACAGACCACCAATCAATGGACCAATCGAATAGTAAGGTAGCATACGTGAGGATAGACAACCTACCTCCGGGCAAAACATGGCGCCAAGTCAAGTACATGGTGGGCGGGTTGATACATCACACGTCGATCCTACAGGTCAAAATGCTTCCTCCTGTGCAATCGATAGTTCCACCCTTCATGCCATTCCAAAGCTGCATCGTTTCTTTGAAACGCTCAGACGGGCAACTGAACCGTCTTCTCATCGACCTAAACGGATATACGTGGGAGTACTACCGGCTTATGGCGTATGCTGTTCCTCCTTTGCATGCACCTAACAACTCTGCTTTTTTAGCAGCCGGACCTACCACGGGTTTGGATCAACTCAATCCTCCTGCATCTGTACAAAGCTCCACTGCAACTCCTGTACCACCGCCTTCGGCTCAACTGATGATGCCTTTCGCACCCATGCCTCCGATGTACTATCCAGCAACTCGATCACAGCCTTTTCCTAGAGATACTTACCTTCGACAGCAAAATAACCAATTTGGAAGGAAAATGCGACAAGTATTCAGTGAAGAAAGTTTTCGCCGGCAAATGAGTGCTAGAGGTATGCATCAGTTATCATTGGGCGGATTTCCGCCTTGCTTGCATTGGGACGTGAATGGAAATTATGGACTAACTCCCCAGGAGCCATTGTCTTCCACAGGAAACCCAAAGATACACATCAAGACCGCTCATCCTGAATATTTTGGGAAGCTGAAATGGACGGTCTTGAAAGATTTCATAAAGCTAAAGTGTCAGAGGTTGTTGGAAATGGAAACATCTGGAGCTGCAACCAATACCAGGGAGTTTTATGTGGGCGTATATGAGGATGCAGAGACAGCAGTAGATGTTGAGGTTTTGGATTCAACTTCTGATTCGGCTTCAACTCATTCTACAGATCTCAAAGAACACGATGTGGTCAACGACGTGGTCGACAACGAGGTCGACAACGAACGTATTGAACAAACCGGAAGCAGTTTGGAAGAAATAGACAAAACCGCTGAAAATCTAGAGGCGTTGTCGTTAGACTCTGATCATCGCGTTGTTTCTGCTACTATTTACAAAGCCATCGTCGGTTTCCATTCACGAGAGCTGTGTGATCTGTGTAGAGATAGTCTCCAGGATCAGGAATATTCACTGGGCTATAAATTGACGGTAAACGAGCTTCCTCTATTGGAATGGTGACGGTTGGTTATGAAAGAAGCCATCATTGGAACATTGAATGATGAGGAGGAAACACAAAATCTGGGAACAAAGGAACATAGGTAGGTAGTAACGAGGGAAACAAAACGGACAAAAAATAACATGTATTGCCAAAAGGCTTGAGTAGGTGATTGAGATTTGGGACTGTCATCGTAAAAGTTCCACAAATTAACAAATAAATAGTTTACTGGCCGTGATTATACAAGAGCACTAATGCAACTCACAGTAACGGTTGGAATACTAACGACGACTTGATATTTGCGGGATTGGTCGGTCGCTTTTCTTCACTTTGTTCCTCTGCCTTTGATGGAATGTCTGATTTGACAGCGGATGGTATGTTATCATCGAGTTTGTTTTCCAACTTGACATCATTAAAGTGTTCATGATCAGCGTCTGAAGGTTGTGGGGAGTTTCCAGAGCGCTCGGTGTGGTCAGAGAGAGGTTTCTGTTCCACATAAGGGAGGGCAGATGCAGATACACTGCTGAGCATTGCAAGTCCATTGAAAGAATTAGAGACATCTTCACGGATTTCAATCACTATTTCTTCAGATGTGAACTTGTTGAAAATCTTGGCAAGCTCCAAATCGTCTCTGACAAGATCATTGTTATGCATCAAATACAAGCTTTTCGCCTGCGACACAATCTGAAACAAATGGCGAGAATTTGCCAAAACTTCTGAGACTGTTGGTGGTCCATTGCTCAATAGATGAAATGTGAACCTTTGCTCTTTATCTTTAAATTTCAAAAGTACCTTTCGATAAACATCTTTGTTTGCGGATGCAGGCGTCATGGAAAGCGTCGACATGATCGCGGATCGTTTGCAGTCACGATTACGCTGGCTGGCTAATGGGTATTGTTTTAATATAACGTCATGCATAATTTCGCTGAGAGGATATATACAAGGATCAAACCCAAAGTCCTTGATGATTCCGCCCATAGTGAGATTGAACAATTTCAGCTGGGCGTTCTGAGGTAATTGTTCAAAGTGGTGTTCGGTAGCTGGCTCAAAGATTTGTACAGCCACATATGCCAGTCCCGCTGTAGATGTGAGCTTTGAAGTGATGTATTCCATTGACGCGCCTGACAAGTTTGAAAAGAACCGCTCCATGACAAATGCAACCGACGCCTTGATTGATGTCTGGCCCAAAATTTCTAGAGTCGAGTAAAGCTCCAACGATCCTTGTGAAGAGCTCAGCTCCAAACATGCCCTTGATCTTTGAATATGCAGCAGTATTTTCTCCCTCAAAAAAAATGGTATTTTGGCTTTGGTGTCCGGGGTGTCCGGTTTACGCGAAGTACTTGTGTAATTCGACCCGGGGAGTGCTTGAGAGTGAAATGCAAGGTTGAGAAGTTCGCCGTCATTACTTGACAGGGCAAAGTCTGTGAGATTAGGCGTGAAATTGTCCTGTTGTGACTGTTCATGCAGTGATACACGGTCGTGAACCGCGTCTGCAATGATGGTCTTGATGAGCTCGTCGTGATGATGGCTTTGTGCTGACACGATGGGTGGTAAAGAAGTAGCCTTTGGCTGAATTTCCGGTGGCGGACGTGGCCGTATCGTGGGCAATGCAGGAATTTGAACTGAAGTGCTCATACGACCAGGAGCGTCGCGCCGCAGTGTGTGTGTAAACAAAGAGAAGGTTCGAGCCTCTAGGGCGTCTTCGTGGGAGGTCGGTGCCGTAGGCTGATGATGCTGCTGGTTATCGTGAGGATCGAAAAACAGATCTTCAGGACGCGGAGTGGGTGAATCAACAAAGCCCGGGGGCGAGCTCTCACCTGTTTTTGATGCGGAAATGGATTGACTAGGACCGCCGCCCATATCTGGACCCCTAAACTTGGTGGACCGCTTCCGGTTGCGCCGAACAGATTGTACAGCGGCCGTCACCAGTTTCTCGAATTCTGCTGAAGAATTCAACGGGTATCCAAACTCCGTTCGCAGAATAGTAGCGATCTGCGCCACACTATTGTCCTGCTCACTGGCTTTACGTTCACTAAGCCTGAACTTCTCGATCAACTCCAGTCTGCGTCCCGAAAACTGCTTCCAACGTCGTTCATCGGTGAAGTTTAAATGCTCTCGAATCTTTCGAGTAGTACCTACCCCTGTGGGTTTCTGAACTCCACCGCCACTTATCATAAAAAGAAGTCTGGATAGTTGACTGGAATGGTTGTGGTGAGATCAGAAGCTTTGAGTGGTGGGTAGTGAGTGGGTCTCTTCTGTTCTCACATCGCTCTTGAATATGTATGGTTCCATTTCTGATGTTACGATGATTAGATTTAAATATCACGTGCTCTGGTGAATCATGGCATGACTCAAGATTCAAGGCGGGCTATTTTACAACTAATGAAAACGATACTCTGTCAACGATCGCAGTTGAGCCACTGGGAACACTAGACTAAAACCAGTTTTATCGCATTTCAGAGTTTACCATTTTCTCGAAATTGTTCCTCAGTCACACCAACGCCCATGGCAGCCGTGGCACTGACCCCACCTTGCGCCAGTTTTAATAAACTGTCAATGTACTCGGCACCAGACCATTTTTGATGTTTTACAATGTCTACGTTATTGTCAATCTCTTTCTGCTGCACCGTTGTTGCATATGATAGCATTCCCCGCTGGCTAAAGTCCTTTGCAAAAGTGTTGACGGCAAGCGCACTGGTGTGCAGCCCGGCCAAAGTGATGAATTGCCATATGTAACCCAGTTGACCTAAACGGTCGATAAACGAACTTAGTTCCATTGGTGACATGGCGGTGTTCCAGTTGAACGATGGCGACAGGTTATAGGCCAACCATTGGTCTGGGTATTGCGCTTTGACGCCTTCGGCAAAAGTCTTGGCTTGTTGGTAGTCTGGAGAATTGCATTCCATCCACACTAGATCTGCGTATGGTGCAAATGCTCTTGCCCGCATGATACTGCTTTGAGTGCCACCCCGGTAACGGTAAAGTCCCTCTCGCACGCGTGGCAAGTCCCAGTCGAAATGAATGGGTGCACCCAAAAGTTTTTTGGCAATCGCTTGCATTTGCCTGAGGGACAAGCCATTCAATGGCCCGGCTTGTGCATTAAATTTTGAAATTAGTTGTTCGCTGTTTGCAGGCTTTTGTTTCTGTGCAGCCTCTGCAAATGCTTCGTGGAACAATTTGAGACCGGCCTTCGCACACCAACGTGATTCCAGGTTTTCCAATTCTTTACCGCCATGACCTTTCAAGATGGCCGCGTCCATGCTTTCCGATAGTGATTCTTGCAAATCCGGATTTGTGGCACCAACAATGAAATAATGGTCGCGGGGATCGATAGTCGAGCTCAAAAGTGTAGCTTCTTCAGAGTCGGTACGCGCAACCAAAACCAAATCTGAGTGCATGATATCGGCACACATCCGAACCGTGGTGAGTCGATTGATATGTTCCTGAACTGGAATAACGCACCTGCCAGCCATGTGCCCACATTTCTTATTGGTAGAGGTTTGATCTTCCATATGGATCCCCGCGGCACCATTTTCAATAAACATTTTGGTGAGTTTGAAAACCGCAGTGATTCCACCGTGACCAGCGTCTGCATCTGCAATGATAGGTCTGAGATAATCGATGGGGGGACCCAAATTGTTCCATTCGCGTTGCGATTGGCACCGTGAACGCTCTTCCCATTGTTTGCGGTCGTGAAAACGTTGAGCTTTGAATAAATGATCCACTTTTGTCGGGACCGTGTCCATGGGGTAATCTGCAAGGTCTGGACCGGGCTCATTGCTCGTGGATGCGGTTGATGAACATTGCCAACCAGAAACGTACACGGTGTCTAAAAATGGTGCCATTTGGGTTACATGAACTGGATCGAGTGCTCCAAACGTTTTACTAACGGTTTTACGATCGTGATGGTTTGCCAAAAGAGCGTACAATTTCCGGGCCATTAACGACGATGCATTGTTAGTTTCAATCGGAATAGACCCTTGACGGGCTGCAATATCACGAGCGGTGTAGATCCGTTTGGTTTTTTTCCAACGAGGTTGAGACCACCAATTTTCAATTTCCCGAGTTTGACGTTCCAATTGCGTTTGTGCATCTGCAAAGGAGTGTGCCATGATTTGAGTGTTGCAAGAGAAGAGAGACTGTTTTTTTGAGACAACCAAATCACACAATTGTTTGAGTAGGAAACTTCTTATTTCAGAAAATCAGACGCATAAAAGGTTATCATCTCAAGGGAATGTTCTAAATCCTTCTCATTTTTCCCCACATTCCCTCCCATATTTATACCTTTTTTTTTTTGTGGATCATTCCCCCCTGCCCTTCCCCGCCCATCATGATGTTGGAGTAGAAAGCCGACGAAAGCCGACAACCGCCGAGCTTTCATGACGTCCTAGCCGCGCTAAAAGGGGCGGGACGGGATTTAGTCCGAGAAGGTCACGCGAAGGGTTCGGATCAAAACCACGAAGGGTGAGGGAGGTCCCGGCTCAAAGAAGAGGAGGGGAAAAAGGGGGTGGTGGTGAGTTGGTGATTCGACGAGTTTCGGATCAATTGAAGAAAAAGGGTTTTGGTGTCGGTGAAAAGGCGGGGAGTGTGTCACGTGATAGGGGTGGTTGGAAGTCATAATTGAACAATTGAGAGCGTCAGCGATCAGTTGTGAAGGATGGTGATGGCTACTAGCATAGTTGAACAATTGAGGGTGTCAGCCATCAATTGTGAATAGCAGAGATGGTCGGAAGCATAATAGAGCAATTGAGGGCGTCAGCCATCAATTGTGAATAGCAGAGCTGGTCGTTAGCATTGCGGAACAATTGAGAGCGTCAGCGATCAGTTGTGAACGATAGTGGTGGTCGGAAGCATAATTGACCTCTGACGCTCTCAATTGTGAATGGAATGGCTATTAGCATACCCTCTCAATTAAGCATCAATTTCAGGAGTAGTGATGGCCATTAGCATAAATTGAACAATTAAGAGCATCTGCGACTAGTTGTGATCAAAACTTCTAAGAGCTACTAACCGTCAGCAATGAATTTTGCATGTGTGACAATTATCAGCATTGTTTACAATTGACAGCAATGCTAAAAGCCATCACTATCATTCACAATTGGTAGCTGTTAGTATAGTTCCACATCTGAGAATAACATTTATCAACTGTGAATAACGTGTCTATTAGCGTAGTAGTGATAGTTGCTGGCACAACTGAACAATTGATCACTGACGCCCTCAGTTGTGAATGGTAGTGATGGCCAAGGATAATTCTGTCCAATTCAAAGCGACAACCATCAGCGTAATTGAAAATTGGTCGGTGTGCTCTAAATTGTGAATAGTAGTGATAGCTATGAATGCTATTAATGGTCATAAGCATACTTTTAAGAGCAGTGGCGATTTATCGCGAACAAATGGCCATTACCACTGCTAAACAATCGAAAGCTTCAGCGTCGATCTTGAATATTATTGATGGCTCTTCCAACAGTATGCTTTCAGTAGTACTCAATCTTGTGCTCAAAACCAACAGTAAGTGATCTTGTGGTTGACCAGAACAAATGCTAACCGCCGACGCTGCTCTAAAATTAATGTATCACTGTATACGTAGTCTCTGGTAATCAGCATACCTGAACAATTAAGAGCGTCAGCGATCAATTGTGAATTCCAGTGATCGCCAGGAGCATTGCTGTCACTCTCAATTGTGAACAGTAGAGATAGCTTTCAGCATTGTTGAATAGTTGAGAACGTCAGTGATTTAGTGTGAAGAGTAGAAGACTACAATAACAGTCCAACAATCGAGGCCCTTATTAGCATTTCTGGACAGTTGAGACCACCAGCGAGCAACTGTGAACAAAAGTGATGGCTACAATCTCGATCGAACAACTGATAGCATCAGCGTTCAATTGAGATGAGTATTAGCATGTCTAAACAATTGAAGCCAAAGCCATCGATGGTAAATGTTGGAGATAGTCAAGGGTAATTCTGGCCGATTCATACCATCAGCAATGAATGGTGAGCGTCATAGCCATCATCTGTTGATGACATCTTCACAAACATGATAAAACAGCTGAGTCTGGTGCTCTCAACTTTGATTAAAGAGCTGACTATAGATGAATAAAGGCTCCAAACGATGGTAAAAGTTTCCCAGCGGTGTCGTAACAGAGATACGAATTTAGTGATTATAATGCGAATGTGATAAGATTTATGGTAATTCATTGGGTTCGGTTTCGAGAATGTTTCGAATTGGGTAAGAGCATGGTTGAGCAATTCAGAGCGTGGGGGGATCAATTGTGAATCGTCAAGATGGCCATTAACACTCATAAACAATTGGCGACAAAAACACTTAGATATGTGATCACATCTCTGCAAATAAGAATAATCTCAACCCACAACAATTGAGAGCGTCAGCGATCTGTTCTGAACTAGAGTTGGCTATATAGCTACGATAGTGACTAGTCTCTAAACGTTCAGAATTTCAAGTATTATTCCATCTCTACCATGTAGGGTAGTATAATAATGATGATTGAATAATTGAGAGCATCAGCAATTAATGGTGGAGAGAAGTAATAGCCCGGAGCATTGCTCAGCAATCGACTGAGACAGTAGTGAAGTCGTGGAGATGGCCGATATCATAATTGAACAGTTGAGTCGTAGTGATTAATTGTAAAAAGTAGAAATGTCTCATAGCATATGAACAATTAATTTCTGTCGCTCCCGATTGTAAAAAGTATTGATGGCCAGGATATACCTGCAACGTTGACCGCTGAAGCTATATCATGGTTATTACAGTGTCCACAATAGTCACACTGATCGCTGACGCTTTCAATTGTTGAGTGTTGTGGTTAGACTCTCTACTCTTCACAATCGATCGCTGACGCTCAAAAAATTTAGCAATACTACTGGCCATCGATTGTTCAACCATACAAAAAGTCATCACTACTCCTCACAATCAATCGCTGCGGTTCTCTCCTGATGGATTGATTTGTTTTTACATGTGTCAATTTTCCACCCCTTTGAATGTCTCAAACCATAACCATAACATGAACTAGACACTATCACAATAAACACATCGACAAAATAAAGAAACCGCTACAATTCTACAACCACTATTTCAAACACAGCAAAAAGGACTTCAAGCCTATACCGCACAGTATTCTATCTTCTCAACCCAACCCCTCCTTACAAAAACCAAAAAAATAATCGTCAGCTGCCGGATTTGAACCGACGCGGGCAGAGCCCAATAGATATCTTTAATCCTAACAGATTCAAGTCTATCGCCTTAACCACTCGGCCAAACTGACTTTTCGTACAGTATTGAAATCACTGCTCGTGTCCCATGGGAGAATCGAACACCCGAAATCTCAGATGTTCTACTCTTGAACCATTGAAGGTACCCATTTGATGGGAGAGTAAGAAGACTGGGAGCATCATATACAGCGTATCAACTCCAAAAGCTTCCACATATGAGAGCGTTTAGATCGATACCATGAAGTTCATGTACGAATGTGATAGTATGGCGCAGCATGAAAGCTGCAAATACGTCAAAAACTCACTCTTCTTGCCCCCCCCCATGGCTTACCATCTTCCTCCACCGCCAACCATTCAACCTACATGGGTGTGAAGCAAGTATCCAATTTTTTGTCATCACCTGAGTCTTACCCCAAGTATTCAACACGTCTCAAGGGCAATCACCAATCACCTTAAACCATTATAATTCGTGACTTCCAGCCCCATGTACTCAACACAGCTCTCCCCACATTAATTTCGATTCCTCGTTCCCACGAAAAACAAGGGATCTTCTTGAATATGTGGGGTGAAAAAAAGAATTTCTAGGGTGTGAGGGCCACGACAGATGATCCCTCTTACAGTCACCAACTGTATATAAGGAGTCAATACACCTTCTCATTCGATGTGCTTTCACTCTTTACCACTTATACCACTATATTCATACAACATACAGTATACATATATACTACGCAATGACTAAAAAAGACAAGAAACCAAAGGTGAGCACGGTGGTGACCAAAGAGGGTGAAAGCATTAAAGTGTTTGAAGATCTGGACAGTTTCGAACTGTACATCAAAAACGAAACAGAGGACGACGATTTCGACCATGTGAGATGCCGTTTGAAGTATATCCCACCTTTCGTGCTACATGAGTCGCACGAAGACCCGGAAAGGATCAAAGACTCGGTTAACTCGCACAGCAGGAAGTTTGTGCGTCACTTGCACCAGCATGTGGAAAAGCACTTGCTCAAGGACATCACGGAGAGATTACAGATTCCTACACTCAAGTTCAAGGATAAGTCAAAGGTGGAAACCGCAGACAATATCGTGTGGAAGTACAACGAGCATGCAGAGTACCACAGCCGCGAATTCGACATCCACGTGACCGTGGAATGTCATCATGATAGTGCCATGGTGGATGTAGACTATTTGACTGAGCCTGCCCGTCCTGCAGTGCCAGAACCAATGGCCAAAACGCCTGTCGCCGCTGCGTGAACCTAATGGGAACAAAACTACGTATTATGAATATGATGAAGTAACGAAACTCGTACGACGCGATGAAATGACTGATCACTTTATACTAGTGTGACGTTTTCATGATTTTAGCATTCTGTCTTTCTCTCTGAGATCAGTTCATAGGCTTTTAGGGCGAGTGAAAACCAGTCTGTAGTGTTATTCGAACTGCATTGTCTCACTATCATCACAAAACGGGGACTTACCGTGCGACAAATGATAAACTCCTTATGAGGTACAATATTACAACCTCTTAGGAGTTTGCGGTGCTTTGGAAGCTCTCCCAAATTTCTGTACAGGCCTGTACCAGCTCAATCATACATGCGCTTCGTTCGCCCGATTCCCATCGATTGTTTCAGTTTTGACTACATGTCACACGACATTCACGTGATAATCACATGCGCCACTTTTCTGGCAAATATCCCATAAAAATGCCAATAGTCAATCATTTTAAACTTGACGCTATGAATAGTGTTTCTCAAACTCTCTAGACTATGTACAAACAGCCGAAAACAGACCTCAAACAAATCATTTACCATTCAAAATTACCATGAATAAAACCACTACCACTGCAAATATGCATGCGATTCAAAATGCGCTTGCAAACTACGACACTTCGTTCCTTTCTGATGACGAAGAAGATTACTGCCCGCTGTGCATAGAACCTATGGATATTACGGACAAAAACTTCAAACCGTGTCATTGTGGCTACCAGATATGTCAGTTCTGCTACAATAACATCCGTCAGAATCCAGAGCTTAATGGAAAATGTCCCGCTTGTCGTCGTAAGTACGATGACGAAAGCGTGGAATACATCGTCTTGACACCAGAAGAAATGAGGTTGGAACAGGCCAAACAAGCGCGGAAGGAGAAAGACCGTAAACTACGCGATAAGGAACGCAAAGAACACGAGTTTGCAAATCGCAAGCATCTGGCCGGAATGCGGGTTATCCAGAAAAATTTGGTGTACGTTGTGGGTCTAAACCCACCTGTGGCATACGAAGACGTGGCACCGTTGCTGAGAACTGACCGGTATTTTGGCCAATACGGTAAAATCAACAAAATTGTTGTCAACAAGAAAACGTCGCATAACGAACATCACAGTGGTCCCGCCGGATACCATAACAGTAGTCATCATACCGGGTACGGTATTTATGTCACATTTGCGCGAAAAGATGACGCTGCACGTTGCATAGCCGCTGTGGATGGTACCTACATGGATGGCCGGATTGTAAAGGCCGCTTACGGTACTACGAAGTACTGTTCGTCGTATTTGAGGGGCCAGAGCTGTCCAAATCCGAACTGCATGTTTTTACACGAGCCCGGTGAAGAAGCGGATTCTTTCAATAGACGTGAACTCACCAACAAGCAGAACACCGAGCACGTAATGCCGTTCAAGTTAGCCGGTCCAAGTGGCAGCGTACAGGGCCATCTCCCACCGAAATCTGCGACAGCAGTGGCATCTGCTTCGCCGGTGCCTTCTCCACTACCTACCAGGGCCCAGTTGAACCATACTGAAGACGACAGCAATATTTCGTCTTCGTCTTCCACGCCAGGTGGACAAACTCCCGTTTTAACACCGGCTCCAGTCCCCAGTGGTTCGAACCCCTGGGGGGTCAACACAACGGCACCACCACTTTTCCCTTCCACATCTAGTAAACTGACAAGCTCATCTGCGTTCCCTACTTTGGGGGAGGCCACTTTAGCGCAGTCCATGGCTGCGTTGTCTAACAACCAGCCGAACAGTAATAACAGTGCCCATCAAAGCGGCGGGAAAAACAGCAAGAAAAATGCCAACAACAACGAAAGAAAATACGTGGACCCTTTCGATCCGCTGTCCAGTGCTGTGAGGTTCATTGATGAAACGCTCAAAATGCTGTCTTCCTACAAGAATTGCGAGTTTCAGCTTAGAACTGACGTTATCGATGACGCTACTTACCGTTCCTATCCTTCTCTTTTCTCATTCGAGAACATTCCGGTGTCGGAAACTTCGGACAACGCTTTGGGTCGCAAATTGGTCGACATGCTTGCAATCAAGCCAGTAGACCAACCTTCATCGGTGATGCCCTTTCTACAGGGTGCTTCGCCAGCCAACCCCGCTATCTTCCAACTACAGCAGCAGCAGCAGCAGCAGCAACAGATGCTTTTGGCGAAACAGCAGCAACAACAACTGCAACAGCTACAACAACAACAACAACAACAAGAACAGCAGCAGCAGCAACAACAGCACCAAATGTCTCAGATGAAAGTTCAGCAGTCTACTCCTCCTGGCATGACTCCTCAATTATTGCATACACAACTACGACAGCAGAGGGCTGCCAACACACCACCACCACCTGGGATCTTTTCGCCAACTAATCCATCAACGGGGCCAAACCAAATGCCAGGTTCTGGTAGCAATTCGTCTGACCTGTTGAACCAGCTCATCAATGGAAAACGCATCTCAACAAACTGAAAACCTCAGCCGTCAGAGAGTGTATGCATTCAACTGATTTCTCTCTAACAAGGAATACTAGCATATGACGATGTGTTCTCCCGAGCTCATCGCGCACCTGTTTATAAACAATATATTAACATACAAAACTTGAAAAATCAACCTTTAACTACATGTTGCGAGAAAAGTGATAGATCTGTCGCAGGATTATACGTACACAGTGTATTCAAGACACAGCTAGGGATCTTGAATCTTTACTTAGCACTTGGAAAATCCCTGTTGTCTCTCTTTCGTTGCTCCGAAGATGGCCACAAAGTACCCACAGCATGTAGCCAAGTTGTTCAAGCCTGGAGCACCAATTCAATACAAGAAGCCCGTTGACTATCCGATTGAATGCCGCAAGACCATTGCAAATATCGGCGGAGTATCGCACTATTTGGAAGATCTGAAGACTTATCAGCAGGAATTTAGTCACGGTATAGACAATGGACATTTACGGGCCTACGATGAAGCAGATCAAGAGCGGCAATCCGAGAATAAAAGGCTACGAGCAAAACTGGACGAGTGGAAACCGCAGGAGGATGCTAATATGAGGGAAACAGATCCCTATAAGACCATTTTTGTAGGCAGACTGCCGTACAGCTTCACAGAAGTGGAGCTACAGAAGCTATTTGTACGGTTTGGCGAAATTGATCGAGTACGCGTGGTTAGAAACAGGTCTAACAACAAGAGTCGTGGCTACGGCTTCGTGGCGTTCAAGGAGGAACACTCTGCAAGGACCGCGTGTCGAGAAATCGGGGTTCATCGGGGCGAGGAAGTCGAGGGCCGTTCCATTATCGTGGACATCGAACGCGGAAGAACAGTCAGGTACTTCACGCCGCGGAGATTGGGCGGGGGACTCGGAGGCCGGGGCTACATGAAACGCGACCGAATGGCCAAACTGGCGCTGGCCCCGGCGACAGTAGCTGGTGGCGATACCCCACGAGAAGCACGCGAAGAAGTGCCCACACGTCTGAATGCTTTTCCACGAAACACCGCCGTTCCCACTCATCGCAGCCGCTTTTCGGGCCACAGCAATACGAACACGAACAACAATAACAATAATGTCAGCCACTACGCACAGCCAGTAAATCTTGAAAGTGCTTCTTCCGCTACTGGCTATCGCTCCAGAAGCTCAAGAACCGGTTCTCGATTTGAACGCTAGATCACGCCAAAAGCACGTGACACAAACCGGCTTCCACCCAGTCACCATAAGCACATGATATTCACGTGGTACAACCTATTTGGGAAATAAGACTTTACCAAACTTTTTCAGTTTTTCACATTTTTCCCCTTCTGCTTTATCTTCAGTCAACTGCCGCATTTTATCAACCATACTAAGATAAGACCAAAAACGGCTCCTCTATCCCACAAGCTTCACTGAGACGACACAATGTATTTTGGCTAATGTCATTCCCACTGTAAAGACGTCCAGGAGCCTTATTCGCCAGCATTTTAACCCAGGATAATACACATCACGATTATACCCTGGGTTCTAAGAAGTGATAAAAAAGTTTATGAAATCAACCGGTGGAATATTGAGAATCGGTGGGTCTATGATTCACAGGTTGTTATAAAAGGGATCGTCAGGTGGATCGTCCAGTGGATTGATTGTTAAGTGGTCATTTATTATTTCGATCTGGTCCCTATTTTCAGCTTAAATTCCACCAGAACGGAGATCTTTACGGACTTATTACCACATGTCGTCCAAACTACTGGTGTCGTTGAAGGGCGTGAAACCTGCCAGATTGCAAGGTATAGCGTCGATTCTGGCAGCCAATCACAGCCCCGTCAATAGAGTGATACAGACCGGTACCAAGAGAGTCGGTTACTCCAAAAGATGCGTTTCGAGCGTTAGCGGTGTGGGCACTGAGGGAACCAGATCTACCGTGGTGCAGTTGCTGAACAACATTGGCTCCAAACGCGAAGTAGAACAGTATCTGAAATACTTCACATCCGTGTCACAACAACAATTCGCAATCATCAAGGTTGGTGGTGCTATCATCAGCGACAACCTGCAAGAACTGGCTTCATGCTTGGCTTTCTTGTATCACGTGGGGCTATACCCAATCATCCTACACGGTACGGGTCCACAGGTCAATGGTAGACTGGAAGCCCTGGGCGTCGAGCCGGACTACATCGATGGTATCAGGATAACTGACGAGCGTACCATGTCAGTGGTGAGACAGTGTTTTTTGGAGCAGAACCTCAAGCTGGTCACAGCCCTAGAGCAGCTAGGCGTGCGTGCCAGACCCATCACCTCTGGAGTGTTCACCGCTGACTATCTCGACAAGGACAAATACAAGCTGGTTGGTAACATCAACGGCGTTTGCAAGGACCCAATCGAGGCCTCGATCAAGGCAGGTGCTTTGCCTGTTTTGACCTCTCTGGCAGAAACCGTTTCCGGACAGACTTTGAACGTTAATGCCGACATCGCCGCTGGTGAACTAGCCCGTATTTTCGAACCTCTCAAGATTGTGTATCTCAACGAGAAGGGTGGTATCATCAACGGCAACACAAAGGAAAAAGTGTCGGTCATCAACTTGGACGAGGAGTACGACGACCTCATGCAGCAAAGCTGGGTTAAGTACGGTACCAAGTTGAAGATCAAAGAGATCAAAGAACTGCTCGACTTCCTACCCCGCTCGTCCTCTGTGGCCATCATCAATGTTCAGGACTTGCAGAAGGAATTGTTCACAGACTCTGGAGCCGGTACCATGATCAGACGCGGCTATAAGCTAGTCAGAAGATCTAATCTTGGCGAATTTCCCTCTCCAGACTCCTTGAGAAACGCCCTTCAAAGAGATCCCGATATCGCCTCAGGCGCCGAGTCCGCAGCCTCTTACCTGCGTAACCTTTCCTCTTCCCAATTTGTGTCGTATTCCGATGAACCTATGGAGGTTTTGGCTATTGTCAAAGAAAACAGTCTCGTTTCCCAGCTGGAAAAGTTTTTGTGTTCCAAGGTCGGATGGTTAAACAATGTGACTGACAATGTGTTTTCATCTTTGAAGCGAGACTTCCCATCGCTACAGTGGGTTGTCAGAGAAGATGACGAGAACATCTCTTGGCATTTTGGTAAAAGTGAAGGATCTTACTTGAAAAATGGAAAAGTTTTGTTTTGGTACGGGGTAAAAGATTTGAATACAGTGTCGCAGCTGGTTAAGGACTTTTCCGCTTCCGTTGCGCCAACCACCTCTCCAGCCGGACATAAATCTAATGCGTTCTCCTCAAGCCAGTCGACAAGATCATATTCGACAAGGAGCGCGCCTAAGCCACAAGGAGTGAACAAAGAGAAAGCTCGCGTTGCCCTTATAGGTGCAAGAGGTTTCACAGGAAGAAACCTGATTGCCTTGATAGACCAACATCCTCATTTGGAGCTCGCTCACGTTTCCTCTCGTGAATTAAAGGGTAAGAAGCTTGAAGGGTACTCTAAAGGTGAGATCATATACGAAAATCTGAGCGTTGACGATTTGAAAAGACTTGAAGCCGAGGGCGGTGTTGACATGTGGGTGATGGCTTTGCCCAACGGTGTTTGCAAGCCATTTGTGGAAGCCATTGAAAGCGTGAAGGGAAAATCCAAGATTATTGATTTAGGTGCAGACTACAGATTTGTCCCCGAGACTGAGTGGGCCTACGGACTACCAGAACTAAATGAAAGACAGAAGATTGCCGCCGCTAAAAAGATTGCGAACCCAGGGTGTTACGCAACTGGTGCTCAGGTTGCTATTGCTCCTTTGCTCGAATTCATTACAGGTTTGCCAACCGTTTTCGGTGTCTCTGGGTACTCCGGTGCCGGTACAAAGCCGTCGCCTAAGAATGACCCAGCATTTTTGAGTGATAACTTGATCCCATACAGTCTGACGAATCACATTCACGAACGCGAAATTTCGACCAGAATGGGGCGCGAGGTCGCGTTTGTTCCACATGTAGCGCAATGGTTCCAAGGTATTTCACACACAATCTCAATTCCTATCAAGAAGGGTTCCTTGACTTCTGAACAAATCCATGAATTGTACGAGAAGTTTTATGAGGGTGAACGCCTGGTGAAAGTAACTGAAGATGTCCCACTAGTCAAATCTATTTCCGGTACACATGGTGTCCTAGTTGGTGGATTCAAGGTGAATGATGCTCAAGACCGTGTTGTTGTTTGTGCTGCAATCGATAACCTATTGAAGGGTGCAGCCACGCAATGTCTGCAGAACATCAACCTGGCTTTAGGATATGGTGAATATGACGGAATTCCCGAAAACAAGATCGCCCAGAAGTAAAGCGTATTTACGAACGCTATTCTATAACTGTATACAAACGTAAAGGCCTTTGCAAATGTTTACAGAGAGAGACGTCAGAGAGAGACAAGAGCGTACCTTGATATCACTATGTACTATCGTGTCTGACCAGTTGATCTTGACACCTCCCTCGAAGATTGACAAAGATCCACCGCTTTTTGGATCCATAACAACAAAGAAACTGGGGTTGAATGAACATAGCCCGGTGTCAGATACTACTCCCATCCTGATGATAGTCAGGATAACTTTGAGATGGGTCACGTGACTTTGATTGAAATCAGTCGAGCATTGCAAACAGTACAAAACGATTATTAAAGTAATGAGCTGGTAGCCCTAAATGGAGTGATTTTGGATTTATTCCCTAAGATCCGTCCCATATCGTCTTCCTAAAGATGCGGCAACATAAAATGCCAGCATTATTTCCAACGAAAATACAAATATGTGCACGTGACTAACTACAGAAAATGGCCGTAATTTATTATATTCCAAGTTTAACAAACTACACCAGAGAGGATGTGTAGATCCAGGAAAGGGGTCGATACTCTGAGGTGCAAGTTCTAGCGACCAACTGGCTTACAATGGAGGATTGGAGAAGAATTGATATTGATGCGTTTGACCCAGATAGCGGACGCCTAGTTCCCGAAGATTTAGCCCCTCCAAACTTGAAATCTGTGAACGCTGGCGAAATTGAATCTAAAATCTCACAGTTGCGCTCTGCAGCGACCAGCGGCGATTTTGCAACTGCTTTGCAACTTGTGACAAATGAACCTCCTTACAGTGCCGACGAAGTGACCAAATCCCGGTATTTCGAAGCAGTTTTGAGCGCTCTGACCCAAGTCCGTCAGGCAGAAATTGCAAACTTGGTTAAACAGCTATCACCCGCACAGACAGACGTACTAATAAAATACTTGTACAAAGGTATGAGCGTACCGGAAGGCCAGAAACAAGGTGGAATACTGCTTTCGTGGTTCGAAAAAGTAACTCAAAATACCGGTGTCGCTCCAGTTGTACGGTACTTATCTGATAGAAGGACCGTCTGAGAAAATAGACTGAGAAGCCCGAGCAACTAAAGTGCCTCATTCAGTCCATAAATATTAACACGGAAGCCACTACTAAGAAGTTCCACTCTTACTACATCTTTTGGCCAAAACGTGAGAATCACATGACCAAATATCGATTACGTAACAATAACAATTTGCGTGCATAGTGACCAGGATAATTATTAGTTGGTCAGAATAGGCTATATAAAAATCCATCCATGTTCTTGACAGAGCTGAACTGCCGTGTCCCTAACCCAACGATAACGCCAACAATTGGGATGAGTGAGAGCGTCGAGAAGCCTGAAAGCACTGTCAGGGACCAGAAATTAGGCATGGTACCTACCACCGAGAAAACGGTATCTGCAAAGCGTTCCAGGAGCCCAGAAATTGAAAAAAACGTCAACGAAACGGGTTCTGCTAAAAAGGCCAAAAACGGGGACAAGAACGGCGATCTAGACAGCTTTGGCGACACAGGATCTACTGCGGGTAAAAAGGACGATATCAAACCAACAGAAGACGAATCCGCAGATAAAATCGTGCGAGAAGTGGGTGGAGAACTAAGTGGAAAACAAGAACAGCCATTTTTGACGGCTAAAGATGAAACCTTGAATGAAGGGAAGGGTGAAACTGAATTGTCTAGTAGCTCTAAGAATGAAGGAAATGAAATATCTGTTGGTAGCTTTCCAGAAAATCCATCTGAAAAGCCATCCGAAACTACAACTGAGAAGCCCAAATTTACCTTTGGAGCATCGTCTAGCTTCAGCAGTGGGTTTGGCGTGGCGAAAGCGCCTTCTATAGCTGTTAAGAACTCAGAACAACCAAAAGCCTCGGAAACAAGCAGCAGTGAAAATTCTCAAAATACGCCTAAGCCAGCAGCTTTCGGATCTGGGTTTGCCTTTGGCGCCGGATTCCATGCGTTGAACAAGGCAAAAACTACGTCAAGTCCTAAAGTTTTCGAAAATGAAGCCGAAAAGGCGGAAAAATTGGAAAAATCCAAGAGTGCTAGCGTGACGCCCGCGGGATCCAAGGATGACGAGAAAAACGGTAGTACAGAAAGCGACGGAGTTGTAAAACTCACGAAGCAAGAAATCAAATCTGGGGAAGAATCTGAGGAATCAATTTACCAGGCCAACGCCAAGCTTTACCAGCTCAGTGACCTGAAGGATGGCTGGAAAGAAAGAGGCGTTGGGGCCATACATGTAAATACAGACCGCACGACCGGTAAAGGTCGTATTGTGATGAGATCTCGCGGTATTCTCAAAGTGATTCTTAACGTGTCGCTTGTGAAAGGCGTTATAATTCACAAGGGGTTTCCTGCTTCGTTGAACGGAGAGAAATTCATTCGCATTGTTACCGTCGACAATGAAAAGGCCCCCGTTCAATACGCTTTGAAAACGGGTAAAGCAGAAACCGCAAGCGAGCTGTACGAGCATATCTCAAAGCTAATACCCTCCTAGTAGGACAACAGCGACAACACACCAACACTACACTCCCCGACTCCAGTTATTTTTTTTTTTTTTTTTTGAAA